TTTCAAACTAGTACTAGTATTTTGACCATGAATACTAGTACTAGTCTAGTAAGACCCACAATACTCGACTAGTCGAGTATTTTTAATACCCTGCTGTGTAGGATCTGTGCCGCTTGAAATCTACATGATCGCGCCCTTTTGATCACGTGAGCGAGCCCTTCCAAAGCATCTTCCGGAGCACGACACATGTTGTACGACAGTATGAAGTTTTTGGAAACGACTTCTATGCCGTCGGTCTTTAATTCTAGAGGAACCCACCGAATCATACCAGAGGAGAGAAAGTGTCAATGGCATTGCATCCCAGGGGATGAACTGGCAAGGTCTATCCTGGTCTATCATAAGTTCACGTGCTAGACAGTCAGTCCTGCGGTCAAAAAATTGGATGACATTACAGTGTCCTCTTGCACGCCGCAATACGCCTACGTCGATGATCTATTAGGTCGATGGATGCCCTAAATGGGTCGATGGCACCCCTGTATGAACTTGATTGGTGGCTGTGCCGCTGTGGGCATACGCCCCAAGAACTCGTACCTTAAGGAGGGACCCAATAACCTTAAGATCACGATATTTCGCAATGTCTTCACATCTCGCCTCATCGTGTTTCAATTTCGCAGTATGCGCCTTCTCAATGCCCATACCCGCCTTTTAGAGGAGTTTTTCGATGTAGATATCACCCCAAAATACGCGATATTATCCCATACATGGGGTAAAGAGGAGGTGACGTTTCAAGATCTACAGAGCGAAGACTACGAGTCTAAAACTGGGTATCGCAAGATTGAAGGCTGCTGTGTTCGAGCCGTTCAAGATGGATATGATTACGTTTGGATCGACACTTGCTGCATCGATAAGAAGGACTCTTCGGAGCTCTCAGAAGCCATCAATTCAATGTATCAATGGTATTCGGCTTCTGCAGTTTGCTATGTCTATCTAGCAGACGTAGAGGCTGACGAAGGGAAGCAAATCGATGGCACCCTTCTGAGCAACAGCCGCTGGGTTGCTCGAGGCTGGACGCTCCAGGAGTTGCTAGCTCCGGCGAACCTTCTTTTCTTCGATCATCATTGGCATGAGCTCGGCTTCACAAGCAAAAACGCGAGCTCTAATCATGTGTCGGATATCACCTCCATGTTATCAGCTGCGACGAGAATAAATGAGAGTATCCTCCGTGATAGACGATTAATACATCGAGCTACCGCAGCGGAAAGATTCTCATGGGCAGCCCATCGCCAAACCACGAAAAAAGAAGACATGGCATATTGTCTATTGGTACGTATAGTGGTATCGCCGTTGACTAGGTAGGCAGTTTTTTACTAATACTCGGTAAGGGGATACTTGGTGTCAATATGCCACTTCTGTACGGAGAGGGCGAGAGCGCGTTCATTCGGCTCCAACGGGAATATATTCGACAGTATAATGATCCCACGTTGTTACTATGGGGGTTCGGACTTCCGTGCCAAGATTTATTCTGGCGTTCTACAAGCGACTGGGCGTTAGCACCTTTCGTTTCGTTATTTTCAGGCTTCAGCTCCCCTCCAAAAATGGAAAGGAATAATGTACTCTCCACATTTTCATGCACTAACAACGGCGTGGAAGTTGAGCTTCTCCTTCTAGGAGTTGACAAGAACATAAAACTTGCTTGCTTCGGAACAAGTGCAGAATTCCCTCTTCATCGTCGAAAATCTTCGGATCTGACGTTGGCTTCTCTTCTCTCGCCGCTGCGGCGACTAAAAAACGAGAGAACGGGCTCTACAGACCAAACTGTCATAGCGCTTCCATTACTATACCGTCCAAACGAATCCAGGGGCGATTTTAATATATACGAACGTGCTTTATTATGGCCTCCTTTTCTTATACCTGAAAGTTTATGCTGGAATGCTGAATGGACGAGGGTGTACATTCAAGGTGTAAACATCCAATCCGTCTTGCTAAAACCGTCGCATAAGATCTATCGTGAGTATCTTGTGGACATTGAAATGTTGACCAAGGAGGGATTCAGCCTAGATGCTGTCTACCCCCCGGCAAATGCCATCTCCCTGACTACTCGGATCACACTTCAAGTCCAGACCGAAGGATTCCAACGATTTTTTCTTATCTTTAAGGGGCCTAACGATTTGCCTCTTGGGTTATTTCTTGAATACGAGTTTGAAAAGACGAAACTACTTCAATTGCGTGTATCACTTGGGGAAATGACCATGATGGACGTCTTACACTATTTGATACCACGTGGTGAGGCGCTGTCAGGGCGTGCACGAAGGAAAGCTTTGGCGAAATTAGGAAGATCTCTCCAAGGAGTGCTAGATCCCGGGATGACAAGTTTTAAAATACCGGGAGAGCGGCTGGGAAGGCCTACGACAAACTACGCGATCGTGACCGCACTCGTACGCCGTCTTGGCAATTCTCATTTTCGCTCTGTCAAGTTACAATGGGAAGAGCATCATACAGATCGTCACGGTAGAAGAAGCGATTCTTCAACCGAATACGACCTCTCCTCTCATGGTGAGATCGAACCAGGGCGTCCTTCGTTTGTAAAAAGTTGAGCGGATGGATAGGTACGGGAATATCAAAATATACAGTGGCCTCGGAAATATTACTGGAATGGGATCGTTTCATTTATACCTACTCTTCCGGCTCTCAATATGCCGTGTACATGAGATGGACGCGAATAGTTAAATATTTCCAAAATCTTCCACTCATTCTCCGCACTCAAACGAATACCAATTATTCGGATCGCCACCCTTGAACTTAGCTGTTTGAGGCCAGGGGCAAAACTTGCTCGTCTTGTTCAGCAAGCTCTTGTCCGAAGGATCAGTGCCCAGCATCTCCGTTGCCGGCCGTCCCGTCTCAACCCACTGTACGAGAGCATCGAGCGCATGCCACGTCGCCGGAACTTGGGGATAGCCCGCAGCTGCGCCGCAATGGCCACCGCCAGGTATCATAAACAGCCGAAACCAATCGCCCACATCGCCGCCGAAGAAGTCCTCGATCTGACGAAGATGTTGAATTGGCCACATCGCGGCGTTGAACGGGTCGGTCCAGCTTTGGAACACGAGCATCTTGGCACCAGTTGCCTTCAACGCTGATAGGTCCGGGCTAATCTCGTCGATGAACGTACCCACCTTCTCGTTGAGCGCATCTATGTCGGTGCCCCAGTTGAATGCCGAAGGGTCAAATGTCAGGTTAAAGACCATGTTCTGCAAGATCGGAATCGAGAAGGCATTCGCTAGAGCACCTTCCTGCATCGCCCACTCTGTCTCGCTTCCTACCGAGAATCCCGGATACAGAGAGGTGTTTGAGCGAAGATCAGCAGGGCCGGTATAAATTTTCTGCGCCGTCGCCACTTGAGCCGGCGTAAGACATGTGGATGAATTCGTCACCGGTGCCTTACACTCCAGTGATGAAACGTCAAAAGAACATAATAAGGGGTTTTCTACCACCCCGTCCTTAACCCCGTCGATGGTGTCGCACTTTGCTAAGACCGCCTGGGTTATGAGATCAAGCGCAGTCTGCGGCAAGGTATTCGAGCCCTTTGATTATTAGTTACGGGGTTTTAGAAGAGGCTTCTTGAACTTACCTGAGTCGCCTGAGCGTTCCATAGGAATGATAGTGCCAAATGAGAATACCAGTTTCCAGGACAGCCCGCTGCGATGCCATCAAACAGATGTGGATGAAACTGGGCTAAGGCAAAGCCTTGAGCACCGCCTGTAGAGCACCCTTCATAATAACTGCGTCTTGGAGGAATGCGGTAGAATTTCGCCGTTATTTTCCTGGCGACTGGCGTGAAGTACGCGATGGAGTTGTGTATCCATGCTTTGACCTGCTCTTGGTCATGCATGTACGGCAGATATACCCCAGGAGCACCATTGCCGGCGTTGTTGAGCGAAGCCAGATGACCTGCATTGCTGCCTGCTACTGCGTACCCCTTATTCACGTTGAGGATCACGTTTCCTTCGTCAATGGTGCCTGCCATCCCACCATTTCCTATGAATTGTTCTTAACCTCGCTTGTTCCGGTGGAGGAATTGGGGATAGAAACAGAATCATACCTATAACTAGAAATCGCCCATTGTACTTGTCGGCTGCGGGGAGCCAGAGCTCGAAGATGATCGAGTTGTTCTTGGGATATGGGACTTTGCCAAACAAGCGGCATAATGGAAATATGTTAAGTGTGCCGCTGATATTAACAGCTTTGACGGGGATATGAGAAGAGTTCAAGATCGACCCTCCTATATCGCTTGTTGAGAGTGAAGTTGCGAACTCCGAGCACTCATCCGCTTGCCATGGTGTGTTATTATTTAAAGCATGAACCGCGAAGGCAAGCAAAGAAATAACCAAAATGACCTTCATCTTTGAAAGGCGAGAGTTTTTGGTCGTTGGACCAATAGACAGGCCCAAGAATCAGGTAGAAGATCAACACGCCAGAATTATTACTTCCGTACGCAGTTTCGAGAGCAATGCAAGCTTTGGCAATAAGCACCTACCCGAAGTCTGTAAAAGTCAATCATAAGGAAGTGACATCACTCATTTCAAACAAAGAGCTACCCAATCGGCACCCCAAATGTGAAAATCTACATATACCGATTTGGAGAACACCGGTAAAGAGTATTCCGAACCACGGTGAACCGGGACACGGGGATCAGCCGATGTAACGCAAGCGACAACAAGCAGCGACAACATCATCTTAACAGTATACCGTAATTACGTCGTTAGCAGGAAATAAACATTACGTGCAACTACAATTCCGTAGTAAAATGACTTCGCAATATCGAAGCTTGAACCGTCAGTCACAAGGTGGGACCCAGGTCCCTGGCCTATTTCCTACCGGGACCAAGACTCCGAAGACATAGCAGTTGGACTCCAAAGCCTACATATCCGCATTCCGAAGGTTTCTAATCCTATGTAGACCAACCGACCAAGCTTCACCCCTCTCTAGTTCGGCTAACAAGGATGGGAAGTCCTAATGAATTCATGGTATTTCATAGAGAACCAACGTGAATGACCTCTCCCTATCCGGTTTAAGTTCCCAACTCCACGATCAACACCCCGGAAGTGGATTCGCCTCATTTGTGTTAGCTTCATCTCCACAATCCCCGCGTCAGGCGGCCTGAATTTTCCCCCAACCAACCCCCCTCAAGGATTTAGGAGTATTGTTACCATGCTAGCGTGTTCCTGCAGGGTTCACCGAGTTTTTCGGCTTCCTTCCCAAGTCTTCGGACTCAGCCCGTCGCCAAGTTTGCTCTTTATCTTCTTCCCGCTCCAAGTCTCCTCTTGGCAAAGGCTTGAGTTGAGTCTCTAAGTGCCAAGATTCAGCCTCGAAGATATGGCGGACCAGAAATCGGTGCTCGATGCCGAGAGCGGGAAGGAGGTATGGCTTCCCAATACCTGCTAAAATGTGAAAGTTTGACTAAACAGTCCTTAGGATCTCGGTGCGAATGTTGCCCAATATGAGAATGCACCCATCACAGAAGCAGAGAAGGCACTTCGATGGAAGCAAGACAAGCGCATCGTGCCCTTGTCCGCGGGCATCTACTTCCTCTGCTATCTGGACCGGTCCAACATAGGGAACGCCAAAATCATGAACGCATCTACCGGCGACGACCTCATGACGCAGACCGGCATGACTAACTTCCAGTACACGATCTCCCTGATGATCTTCCTCGTAGCATACGGCTTGTTCGAGGTCCCGTCAAACATCCTGCTCAAGAAGCTGCGGCCCTCCCGCTGGATCGCGTTCCTCATGTTCTCGTGGGGAGCGCTGACGATGGGACTAGGCGGCGTCCACAGCTACGCCAGCGTGACCGTCGTGCGGTTCTTGCTTGGCGTGTTCGAAGCCGGTCTCTTCCCCGGGCTGGTGTACTATCTGACCTTCTGGTACAAGACCGAGGAGCGTAGTATCCGCGTGGCTTTCATCCTGGCCTCGGCGACTCTCGCAGGCGCATTCGGAGGCGCCATAGCCTACGGTATCGGCCACATGAACCGAGCCGGAGGGCTCTCGGCCTGGCGTTGGCTCTTCATCCTCGAAGGCATACCATCCTGCCTCTCCGCGCTTTTGGTCTGGTTCCTGCTTCCAGACTACCCCGAAGACGCGAAGTGGTTGACTACCAAGGAGCGAGATTTGGCGGTGCAACGACTACACGTCGAGGGAAGCAAGGGGCAAGATAAGGCGATGTCATGGGAAGACGCCAAGGCCACGCTCGTAGATTGGAGGCTCTGGGGCCACTACATCGTGTACTTTGGCATCTCGACGCCCTTCAGCTCGCTTTCCTTATTCACGCCTTCCATCACGGCTGGCCTGGGCTACACGGACCTTCGCGCGCAGCTCATGACTGTTCCTCCATACGCCGTCGCCTACGGTACGTACCTACCTATCTAGTCACCATTACCCCATCTTATGCCCCCCTTTCATTATCGAGATATAGCTAACACTATCCCCCTACCCAGTAATCCAAATCCTAGCCTCCTGGTCAGCAGACCACTTCAACGCGCGGGGTCTGCACTCCGCGGCACTAGCCACAATCGGCGCGATCGGGTTCCTCGCCTCGGCCGCGCTGCCGCCGGACGCGTACGCGTCGCGGTACGGGTGCCTGATCGTAGCGGCGTCGGGCGCCTTCGCCTGCATCCCGCCGCTGCTGGGGTGGCTGTCGTCCAACATCTTCAGCACGGCGTCGGTGGGGCTCGCGATCGCGCTCAACATCGGGCTCGGCGGCGCCCCCGGCCAGATCGTCGGCGTCTGGATCTATAAGGCGGATGAGGCGGGGAGGGGGTACCCGACGGGCCATTGGACGAATGCGGCGTTGCTTTTTATGGTGGCGGTTGGGTGTGTGGGGTTGAGGGTTTATTATGGGTGGAGGAATAGGGGGATCTTGGGCGCTGGGGGTGGGAGTGGGGAGGTGAGGGTGTTTAAGTATTGATCTAGTGTAGGTATGAATAGGCAGGTACGAAAGTTACGAGCCGTTTCAGGGGTGAGGTAGTTGGTGTAGATACCCAGGCTGAGATGATGCGGACGTTAATAAGAGTCTTGAGTAAATCATTAGCTCTTATGAATTGAATTTACAGTCTAGGAGTGATGCTAGCTGACGCTTTTCTTTACTTCTTGCCCAAGGATAAGGCTAGGTATGGTCCTAGGTTACAATCAGAGCAATGACAGGTATATCGAGTACTAGCTGCTTCATGAACAGTTGGTGGGGTCTATACGCGTAAGAGGCATCCTTGAGAGAGGCTATACTCGAGAAAAGAAGTTACATATACGCTCATGTGATAGGCATTTAGTAAGACGAACAGAAAACGGAGTAGTTCCAAACTATCGAGGCTTGCTATCACAAGTTTTGTTACTTTTACCGAAAACCTTACTTCAGACGGTGTCAACAAAGATTTAGACATCGTCAGTCGTTAGAGGTAATGCGGCATATCACCATTCTATGGCATATTAGATGACTCTGGGTCAAAGAGGGACGCCGTTTAAATTTGAACTTCGGGGTAGGAGAGAGATAGAGGAGCTAACGCGGAAGCTGAAGCCCGGAAGTCCGTCGACGTACCTACCAAGTAAATTTTGCCAGCCCCGCATTGCCTAAATGGGAAACTAGATGTTCATTGGTGCATCTATCCGTCTCCCATCACTCTTGACACGTCCTATATCTAATCTTTTACAAGTTATTCTTCCAACAATTCATTGGTGAGATGGCCGAGTTGGTCCATGGCGCGAGGTTAAGGTCTCAATCTTAACGCGATTTCCTCGTGGGGAAACCCTCGTGGGTTCGAATCCCACTCTCATCAACATTCACTTTTTGCATTTCGTCAGACTTGTTAAATTTGTACTGATTTTTTCGAGTGTGCTCTGTCCCTTCTCACAAATTTCTCTTAAATTTTTTTTTTACGCTAGCCATGCTGTCTTACCATTTTTCGTTTGTCGTTCCATCCTATATTATCGATCCCATACACTTCGTAATTTTCAATGACGGCGCAAGTACAAATGCAAGCTTTATATCGTCTATGCCAGCAATGGGAACGCTTGCATAGACAGTCATGTTGCATTATATGAATCTCTTGTCTGATTTTATTTATAACCCCAACCAGGTATCTTACGTATCCTTTATGAGGATTGTTAAGAATCATCACTGTTTGCGCAAGACTGAGCATTTTGTCTTAACATGCTTGTACAAGTGGGAGCCCTGCCGTTTGGATTTGAATGTACATGCACACTTGAAATGACCAGGTAGGTACTTCAGGTGGGTAGGTGAGACCCGCGGGTACCTGACGGAGAACCCCTGCAAGGAGAAGATAGAAGGTGGGTTCAATGTTACAAACGAGGTCATCTGGGAAAGGGCAGCTGATAAACTGTCTTATCGATTCCGGCTGAGCTCTGGAATTGTTGACCTCATTTCCCAACCTCTCTCCTGTTGATCTTCTAAGACACTCACTATTTAATAACTTTGGGTAGACGCTGTTCAAACGAACCTTGGAACTTCGCACTCTGTTCAAACACCTTAGGTAGCTAGTCTGTCTACGAATCGAAAGCCATATCATATTCAATCATGACTCGACACACGTCCGACTTCCTGCGCCAGCGCAGCTCTAACTTGTCTCTACGAAGCGTTGCTGCGGCGAATTCCTTAAGCACCTCCCGATTGTCGAGCTTTGCCAACCCTTCCGATTTTGAGAAGAAGCCAGCTATGACCGATGCTGAAAAAGCATTCATCGTAGGCGACTTGGCTCGCTGCAAATGTTTAACTCTTTGCGACTCCTGCTACCGAGACATACCAGACCACCGTACCGATTCAATTGGCCTCCTGCTCAGGGACGACAGAAGCTCCTGTTCCGTGTGCCAAGTCATGTTGACAAAGCCCGAAGCCTTCACCGACCCCTTCCTCAAGTTTATGCAGGAGAATCCTACCATATTTCATGCCGTTGGTTATTTCAAGGACAAGGCGACATCCCTTGGCTACAAGGAGCTTCCTGCACGGGAGGATTGGTCTGGCAAGCTCGAGGCTGGTGGCAAGTATTTCGTGACGCGAAATGGCACATCCGTTATTGGATTTACGGTCGGAAAAGCATACAAACCTGGTAACGGTGTAGCTATGGTGGCTGGTCATATTGATGCTTTGACCGCAAAGCTCAAGCCCGTCAGCAACAAACCAACCAAAGCTGGATATGTCCAGCTAGGTGTCGCACCCTATGCTGGTGCTCTAAACGAAACTTGGTGGGACCGAGATCTGAGCATCGGAGGTAGAGTTATTGTACGGGACGAGTCCGGCAAGACTTCAAGCAAGCTTGTTAAGCTTGACTGGCCCAGTATGTATGCAATTGATGATGCTATGTTTCCTCGTGCTAATTGGACACAGTTGCCAAAATACCCACGCTTGCGCCGCATTTCGGTGTTGGTATAATGGGTCAGAACAACAAGGAAACCGAGGCAGTGCCAATCATTGGACTTGATAATTCTGACATTTCATCTTCGACAGCCACGCCGGCCCAGCCCCTCGGTCCGTCTGGGTCGTTTGCTTCCACCCAGCCACCGAGACTCGTCAAGATCATTTCAAAAGAGCTTGGAATTGAAGACTACTCGCAAATTGTGAATTGGGAACTAGAGCTATTTGATCTTCAACCAGCAACAGTGGGCGGATTGGACAAAGAGTTCATCTTCGCTGGTAGGATCGATGATAAGCTATGCAGTTGGGCCGCATTCGAGGGGCTCTTAGCCTCAGAAGCGAATGACGATGACGGAATCATAAAGCTGGTCGCGCTTTTCGACGACGAAGAAATCGGTTCTCTACTACGCCAGGGTGCTAGGGGTAATTTCTTACCATCTGTTATCGAGAGGACGGTTGAGTCGCTATGCGGGGACAGCAAGGCGTTTGGCCCTGGTGTCCTGGGCCAGACGTACGCACAATCGTTCCTCGTATCGGCCGATGTCACCCACGCCGTGAACCCCAACTTCCTAGGCCGTTATCTAGAAGATCACACTCCTCGGCTTAACGTTGGAATTTCCATCGCTGCGGATAGCAACGGTCACATGACTACGGATTCGGTCTCGACCGCCATCATCAACAGAGTTTGTGAATTAAGCGACTGCACGCCACAAGTTTTCCAGATCCGAAACGACTCCCGCAGTGGTGGTACAGTCGGACCCATGTTAAGCAGCGCGATGGGTGTCAAAGCCATCGACGCCGGAATGGCCCAGCTCAGCATGCATTCTATCCGTGCGACGTGCGGATCATTGGACCCCGGCTTGGGTGTTAAATTCTTCAAGGGATTCTTGGACAAGTGGGAGAAGGTAGATGCTGAGTGGCAATGATCTTGTCATGTTGCGAACTTGAATTCATCATCTTCGAGGTGTACTAACATGTAATACGTATGTATGTTAATATCCGTCCGGTTGTCTCTAAGGAGCACGTTGATTGGGTCTATGGATGCGCAGAGTTGCGCCCGTTCAGAGCTAGACGAGTTTCCATGGATAGATACGATGATAATACACATTGATGTAATATTCCATGATGGTGTAAGCATCCATATCCACTATTAAGTATGGTGGCAATCTGCAGGAACTAGAAGCCATTCAGGGCACCATCATTATCTTTTCACATGTAAATGCAGAGTGATGCAACCAGGGGTCCCGCTGGGAGAGCTATAAAGTTTTCGATACCACGCTACTTCCCGGCGTCGATCTAAGTCGGGTCCGCCGGGTGTTCTAATTTTTCTCTCGGGAACTACTTCGCATTAGAGCACGCGACCATCGTGTGACCATATATGAATTCAAACGAAAATGATAATTGCATGCTGATTTATTGAATCTTAAATTGCCATACATATTAGTAGTAAGTTAATAATGACTTGGAAGTATTGGAGTGTCAGTGCCACAAGCGAGTCGATGACGTGTTATCCAACTAAGGAAAGCTGAAGAGACCAAGGAATTGTAGACTATCATTGGCTCATGGTAGTTTATTCTCAACCTTGAAAGTTGGGAAGGGGATTTCTCTCCTTCACCCGATTATCTCAATTTAGAAAAACTAAACTTTCTATACCCTTCGCACTTTCTTCGCCTTCGGCATTTTACATGCTTCGCATATTATTTTTAATAAAGACAAACCTTTATTCTGCATAACCTTGTAATACTTTATTAAGGCCCTTCCGTTCTTGTACACTTGCCGAGCAAGCTAGACGCGAAGCGACGAGGCTGTGTTCCGCGAACTTTTATTCAACCTTTAGCGCCGGCGAGCCTTTGAGTCTATCTTTTTTCGAGTCACTCATTCATACAGCAACAGGGAGCACGAATATTGAATCTGATACAAACCAACGCCGACTGCTACGACATACTCCTCTGTGTAACATTAAGCCACCGGTGACGATTCATGGCGCAACCAGCAAACCCCTCGAGCTCAGACAAGTGGAGTTCTCTCCTATCACGGCTGAATCCCATCCCCAGCTTTCCAGAGTATACCGGTCCGTACAAAGTCGGTACCGCCGATGTTGAGATTCCAGTTTCAGAGCTCGACTCCCCAGCTCCAGCGCCAGACAATGCGGTCGATATCGAGACGATCCAGTTCCGTATATTCTACCCGGCGCATCCGGAAGCCCAGGGCAAGCGCATTACATGGCTTCCGGCTCCGCAGCGCGATCATCTATCCGCCTACATACAGTTCTTAGGAGTTGGGCAATTAGTGGCACAAGCCGTCTCGTAAGTCGAAAGTCGTCCTTACCAGTGTACCAGATCTTCAAGTGGCAAAATATCTAATCGCAAATCTACGTATAGTTTCCTACCGAGACATCTCCACTACACCTACATACCAGTCGTTAAGAATGCGCCGGTACTCGAGCCCAACACGCCGAACAAGCGATGGCCGACGGTCATCTTCTCGCACGGCCTCGGCGGCAGCCGGAACGCGTACTCGCAGATCGTCGGGTCGCTCGCCTCGCACGGCGTCGTCGTCATCTGTCCCGAGCACCGCGACGGCAGCGCCGTCAAATCCTTCATCCGGATCCCGTCGCAGCAGGACCGGTACTTCGTGCGCAACACGCGGCGCGTCGTGCCCTACCGCCGCATCGCGCACGACCCCAACGACGAGACGCACGCCCTGCGCAACGACCAGCTGCGCATCCGCCTGTGGGAGATGGGCCTCGTGCACGAGGCCTTGTTGGGAATCGACGGCGGCGCCGCCCTGACGAACCTGAACAAGAGCACGCCCTCGCTTGCCCATTTCGCCGGCCAGCTGCACGTTCGGGACCCGGGGAGCATCATCTTCGCCGGCCACAGCTTCGGCTCCGCCACCGTCGTCCAGTTCCTCAAGTCCGTCTTCTACGCCGGCCGCCCCGAGCTCGAGGCCATGGCCGACCCGCTGTACGTGCCGGCCCGCGACTCCGCGATCCGCAGACAGGTCACGCCGCGCAACGTCACGATCCTCCTCGACATGTGGTGTTTCCCGCTGCTCGCCAAGACCACGAAGCCGCTCTGGGACCTGCCCTTACCCGTATACGCCTCCTCCGCGGGCTCCTCCTCGCCCACCTCTTCTTCTTCTTTTTCTTCTTCTTCCTCGCCACAACCCCCACCACCAGGCGGCAACGCGCTTCTCGCGATAGAATCCGAAGACTTCCACAACTGGACAGAGCACCTGCACGCGACAGCACGAGCGCTCTCGCCAGACCCATCAGCGTCGCGCGTTCTCGCCACAGCATTCTACGACTCTGACTCCGGCTCTGGGTCGGGCTGCGGGTCGGGGTCGGGCGTCAAGCTCGCCGAGCCGCACTTCTTCTTCGTCGAGCGGTCGGCCCACCTCAGCCAGTCCGACTTCGGCCTCCTCTTCCCCTGGCTCATGTCCCGCGTGTACGGGTCGCAGGAGCCCGAGCGCGCGCTCCGGCTCAACCGCCGCGCGCTGCTGCAGCTGCTCCGCGCCAACGGCGTGCCGGTCGCGCGCACGTGGGCTGCGGACTTGGTGGATGGTTTTGGGGAGGGGAAGATGGTCGGTGGTGTGGCGATGGGTGGGGATGTTGGGGAGGGAGGCGCGGGCGCGGGCGCGGGGGTTGGTGCGATGGATGGCGGGGTTGATGGCGGGGTTGATGTTGATGAGACGGAAGGGGATGGGAGGGATAGGGGCCCGGAGGATGGGGTTCGTGATGATAGAGCGATTTTCGATCGTAGCGGGCATGGTGTTGTTGATGCGTGGCGCTGGATTGATATCGTGGGGATGGGTGACGCGGAAGCGGTGGCGGCGGTGGAGAATGTCCACGGCAAAGACGATATTGAGCGCGCGGTAGAGGCGGGCGATGAGGCGGCGGAGGTTCGGGAGCCGGAGATGGCAGGCGCGATTGAACCTCATGCTACGGAGGGCGCGACGGCTGAGAGTCATTGAAGGTCTAAAGCTAGCACCGAGGGTGAATATTAGGACTAGCATGGTGTAAAATGGTTAGACAACTAGGGTCTGGCGTTAAATGGGATTTGGGAAGTTGTCGTTTTTGTTTTATTTTTTTTGGGATCGACATAGAGGGCAACGGAGTAAGGGAAGGTGTCACGAAAAAAGGAGTGGGTGCTAGGTTGGAAAACTTCTCGACGCTGTTCATCGTATGGCGTTTTAAGAGGGAATAGGTCAAGTTGGACTTGTATGGATTCATCGTGTATCTATAATAGCGTAACCGCGATGGTTTTGCAAAATTATGACTTGGTCGCTGGTTCATTTCACGGATTACTTGCTTTCGATATTTTATAGTTATATGAAATCTTCTGATCATAAGTTTGTAATGACATTTTTGCCCTCTAAAACGAGATTGATGTAATGAAATCAAGACCTAGATATCTCCTCTCATAATCACCTTAGTCGTCGGAATTCTCGTAACCTCGTCGTCTTTTCACCTCCAAGGCTTTGGAGGCATCGGCGCCGACGCTGACTTCGTGGGTTGTAGTTTCACCTGTGACCACTCGTCGCCGTTTCTTGTCTTCTGCATATACCCACTTGACGTCAAATCCGTGGTCCTCTAATATCCCTTCCCATATGGCTGTCCAGCGGGAGTAAATGAGCAAGTCCGAAATCGTGACATTATCGTGAATGTCGAAGATGCAGTCTGGGCGCTGAGCAATTCCCTTCGATATGACGTGTTCGAGGAAATTTAAGCTTCGGGTTACAGCAGGGTGAGCATAATAGCCTCGATAGGAGACCGACAACGCAGGCGATGCCTCCTCGGCTATGAGTGACTCTTCGCAGGCGTCCCAAAGCATCTCTTCTACACGGGCAGCAGCATATGCTACAGGTATGTCCGAAGTATTTGCTGGGCCAGAACTCCCGATTCTTAGGCGGGTTATTGCATCAAATTGGACCTCCGCATCATACGGCCTCATAAGATCCTCCTCGTTATCTTTATACCTAGAATTATGATACACGATGCACTCTAAAAAGGTACGTTGGCCGGGAATATTCAAGTCGAAGTCTACCAATCGACACATTGACATCCAGTCCTGCAAATGCAGATCGATGTCTTTTTTCGATATTCCTGGACCGAATATTGCCATAAGATACGCGATTAAGTTGACTAGGGAGCCTTCGTTTAACCAGAAGCCTTCCAGCTCGACTCCTAAACCCAGGAGGTAGTGAAATGCGTCTGTGCCTTGTCGATCACTCCATAATATAGAAGGGATTATTGCGCATTCTATGGCACTCATTCCGAGACTAGTAATGACCGAGTCAGTATGCGATTTAATGGTATCCTCGATTGTAGTAAGTTTGGTACCTATTGCGCGCATTAATATCGGCACCACTTTGCACCAGCGTCTTGCAGATTTCTAGTCGGTCATAACACACGGCAACCTAACTTTTCTCAGTGTTACCCATCACACTTATTGGATCATTTAGACTTACATGAAGTAGCGTAGCACCCGCAACGGTCCTATCTGAAGTTGAAATGATCTTCTGCGATAGCATGTCGCGGATGCGAGAGACATCGCCCCGTTCTATGGCACCGTGGACTTCATCCATGAGGTTGTCATCGATAACGCGATGCGAAGATAGCCTAAGACCGAATTCCGGGCTTCCTCTAGCATCAGTTTTGCTCTCGTATCTAATCGAACAGCCAGGAGAGAGCCAGCGTGGCGATGGGTTAAACTGCACTGTAAGCTCGTACACCTCTGTTGGGATTCCAAACGCGTCGAAGCGGATTCGGTCGAGAATGATCAGCGAGAATGTCCCTAGTCTATTTTCAACCCACCAACGCTTTCGATAAATCATCGTAAGACTGTCCTTATTGAATTGGCTATCAGTTTGTTTATTGGCGTTGACGATCTCGAAATTCCGAGATTCGAAATCATCTAGGTCTGTCTCAGATGTGACTTCCTCCACTATCGCCCCATGATCTCGTTGTGTTGTTTCGCCGCGATATTGCATTTTGTCAAGCGCAGGTAACGCTTGTTGGAGCATGTTGTCCAACTCAGATCGAGCCGTCGCTCGGAACTTTTCCTCGACTTTCACAAGAAACTTCTCCTTATACTCTTCCAAAAGAGGACACAACGCATGTCGAAGAGAGCTGTCAGGGTCGCTAGCTAGAGGAACCTGTTGGGTTATGCCGGCAAGGAAGGTCGAGTTTTCAACCTTTACTTGCGCCGAGGATTCAATTGCGCTTGACTGTTGATACTGAATATTTTGGACGCCGACATTCAGAGTTGCCATGGAAGTGTGGAGGCTATCTAGTTTGTCAAGGACCTTGGTCTGATCCACAAGGCCCTGTTGCGCTGCTCGAGTGTGAAGTTGGGCATTCTCGGACCGCGCCTCGGCAATGGAATTCAATAACTCGGAGTGTTGAATGCTAGATTTGTCGTTGATACCACGCTTCACACTCTCGATTACAGGGCCGAGATCATCGAGCTTATCTAAGACCGCCTGGATATCATCCTTACTCGGCTGCCTCCCCTGTTGATCTGCTTGTGTTTTCCTAGTCTGGAATGCATAGTAAAGAATCAATTCACTTCTGAAATACTCCAACCTGCTAGAAATCTCTCCGATCTCTCGTTTATTCCAGATGGCCCTGAAAGCCCCTCTGGCGCGTTGGAGTCGATTAGCATTCTGGCCAGGTTGGATACCACACGTCTCGAGTCGTTTTAGGAGGCTCTTCGCAAGTTCACAGCACTTGTCGGCTACTGGTTGGAGATCCTAACTCATCACCTGCAGTTAATATACGAGAACATAGAAATACTAAATAAGGATAACTTTACATGCCTTCTCTTCCGACGAAGCAGTGGTGGAAGTTTGGGAGATCGCCTTAGCTGAATCGCTAATCTTTTGAGAAAGGGTTTCTAGATGCGTCGCAATTACTCGATAGTCTCTATTTTCAGACGAGGCTGCGTTTTTTCGGAGTTCGTTCGAAATGCTGATCAATTTGGCGGAAAACTCGACGAACTGGAACACGTTCGACGCAAGGCCTACGGCAACGAGAGCCTCCATTATTACTCTGCCACATCTCAATGAGCATGATCTGTAGTGTACGATATATCAAAAGCAGGAATAGAAGAGGGTAGGTGAGTGCGAGTATTATTATCAAGAAGGCCGTAAGACATGTCTACCTAATTGTGCACTTCTATACACTGCCTCCACTTCTCGTTTATTTGGGGAGCCTGATAGAAAGCCTTCTAATGACATTGGATAAAGGTATACTGCCGTGATACACTCCAGAAGGATAGAGGTGCCAATCACGATTGCTATAATACGTCGCGAAGCCAGTTGTCACTGCATTAGATGCGACACTGGCCTTCATAGCCACCATGAACAGCCTTCACAATTCTCAGCCGTGATCTTTATCATTTGGAACCGGCAGTCCATTTAGCCTTATCATAAACAAGTTAGACGTTAGAAAGGCACTCATAAACATCAAATCAAGATACTATTACGAATTTTGACCCATCTGCTCAAGGGAATAACAGGATCGTTGATGATGTGGAGACACGAACAACATAGGTAAGGCTCGTGGAAGCTTGAAAGAAGGCAGGTCGAAGCTACGCGGCTGTAAAGGCGCATGAACTCATACGGCTGAAGTTGCCTTGCGAACAACAATATCTTAGGGCCGTGGTTAATTCCCGGTATCCTAAGCTCCTCGCCCATGTCAATTGCGTCGCTAAATCGACCCGAATCGCTCGTTAGGCTGTAGATCTACCAGTAGCTCAGACTGCACGGAGATGTGACCAGGGAGCAGAGATGTAGGATAGCCAAAACGAGCGAGTTTTACGCACGAAGATCACACTCGTTAATGCCGGGCAGATGAAAGCCTAGTCGGGGGATCGGCTCGCTGAGACAGTGCCAAGGACTGTAGAGCCTGCTTGAGGTCGACGTTTTGAGATTGATGCGCTGTACCTAACTCGTAAAAGAATTTCACTGATTTAGTAAACAATACTAAATCATGTACATAGTAAGTAGGGAAAGTAGAAAATGAAGTATGAATCCTCATCGCTCATTTGATATTTTTCTTATTTCGGAGGACTCGTCATGAGTACTCGACTTCCGACATGAAAAGACGTACGTGTGTCTCTCCGTACACTGTATGCCCTGCTAAAACCGGAAAGGTGAGGCGCTTCCAGCCGCAAAGCAGAGCCGACTAGGGTCCGGAGAGGCACGTCCCGGAGCCCTTAGCTTCAATCCAGTAGCCCTTCGTTTCAGGGTCCTGGTCGGAAACCGAAAGCAGCTACAAGGTCAACACCCCCTTCGGTCTCACAATTCGCGAACACACAACCTCTAAACCGACGGCCGCCGAATCTTAGGTAGATACCGGCGCCATGTAGCTGTTCCTGCCAAGATGACTAGGATGGATATTCGACGTGATGGGGTCGCCAGTGTTTCCCTCCTACATACCTTTCGCAAAGTATCCGTCTTGGATACGTCCTTGTATCATGAGAATCTCCTTCACGTAAAGCGTTTTAATTCCCGTAGTTTGTTGACCAAACAATTTCGTTCTTTTCTTCTTCTTTTTTCTCTTTCTTCCCTTCTATCTAGCCTATCGCGGCCTTGAATTCTTAATTAAATATTCCGTTCGATTCTAAGGGCTGGAAGTGATGGTTGCCGTCCAATAGCACCTAGGGAAGAATTGACATTTACATTCGACTCAGACGACATCCGCCAGCAGGACGGTTCCTAATAGGGCATTTCGGCCTTCAATTATATTTGGTGTATGAGTCGAATAGCCATACGGCTGATTTGAATAATTCGCGTGGATCGTGGTTCAAAGCGTCGCTGGCCACATCGTGGGCCGTTTGTCCAACTGAATTCACCTTGACAAAAATCACGGAATGGTCTATTGGAAGCGATAATACCCATGATAGACATCGTGTATTACGACGGCCGCGGGCAATTCATCCTAATTCCTTTCTCCTAACCTCTTCTTCGCTTCTCTTCCCCTCATCTCACCTTCTCGCCCACTTATTTATTCTTACGATGCCTTCGATAATAGAGAATGCGAGTCCTCTCACCAACTTCACAACAGTCGCAGATGTGCTGCCGAGTAACGTCTTAAGCGGTAGTCGCTTAAGTTACTACGTCGCTATTAGCGCGGTACTCCTCTGCGTATGGCTATTCCAACCAGCTAAACAGAAATGTGGTGTCTCAGCACCCTTCTACAAAGCTTCGCGGTTAAAATGGATGTTCAGCGCCGATACCCTGATAAAGGACAGCTACTCCAAGGTTTGCCTAGATCCCATGACTTTATACTGATCTATCTAGTACTAATACTTTCCTAGTTCCGCGATGCCGTATACCAGATCAAGACGACGGAGGGTGTGAGAACCATCATTCCGGCGTCGTTGGTCGGTGAGCTCAAGGGACTTCCGGAGGATACCTTGAGCGCAAGGACGGCTGTGAGAGAGGTTAGTTCAGGATGAGAGGCGGAATTTATAAAGAGTTTCATGAGAAGTATAGAGCTAAATGGTTTGAATAGGCTATGCTGAGCGAGTACACCAAGCTCTGTGCTGGACAACACTCCGATACACTTTCCTTGCTCCTCAAGTGTAAGATGACCGGGCAACTCGCGCGGATGACACCGCAGCTCAAGGAAGAACTCGAATACATTATCGGGACAGAGTTCCCCGAGTGTGAAGGTAGACCACATTAACGGCGCTGCTTCAAACAACTATTCAACTGATCGATATTACAGAGTGGACCCCTTTCAAGATCCAGCCCTTCATGATCCGAACGATATCACGCCTGAGCGGGCGCGTTTTCGTCGGGCCGGCGCTCAACCGGGTGGAGGAGTGGATGGACGTGAGCATCAACTTCGCGGTGACGGCCTTCATCGCCGTCATCAAGCTGCAGTTCTTCCCGCCGTGGATGCGGCCCGTGGCGCAGTACTTGGTGTCGGAGCTGCGTACGATCGACAGAGATCTCGAGAAGGCGCAAGCAATGCTGACGCCGATTATCGAGGAGCGCATACGTGATTCTGAGACGCCCGGTTACGAAGAGCCTGACGACTTCGTTCAATGGCTATTGGACGCCTTACCTGACGACCAGAAGAGGGATTTCTATATCCAAGGAAAGGTTCAGTTGCTCCTGAGCGCCGCTTCTATCCACACGACTAGTAACCTCACGACGGACTGTATCTACGACTTGGCTGTCCACCAAGATATGCAGGAGATACTACGGGAGGAAGCGCGTGAGGTCCTGGAGGACGAGGAGGCGTGGGGTAAGAAGGACAGCATGTCACGGTTGAAAAAGCTGGACAGTTTCATCAAGGAATCGCAACGACTGTCCGGCAACGTCAGTAAGTATACACTGGAGGGTCAACACATGCATTCACGTGGATACTAACATACCTACCCAGCATCCTTCATCCGCAAAGTAATGAAACCCATCGACCTCTCGGACGGCACACACCTCCCAGCCGGCACGAGCCTCCTCGCGCCCATGGCCGGCGTCGCCGTCGACCCGCGGTACTACCCGGACCCGGACGTCTTCGACGGCCTGCGCTTCTGGAAGCTTCGCCAACAACAGCAACAACAACAATCCTCCAACACCTCCGGCAGCAGCTCGCCCACCACCGCGACCACCCCCTGCTCATCCACAACCTCGCTAGTAACCTCCGACCTCCTCGCCAACGCGCCCTGCAGCAACAACCCCAACAACTCCAACAACCCCCCCGGGAGCGGGCGGTGGCAGTTCACCAGCATCAGCGACGCGGCGATGAATTTCGGGCTGGGCAAGCACGCGTGCCCGGGGCGCTTCTTCGCCGCGAGCGAGATCAAGATGGTGCTCGCGTATTTACTCCTAAACTACGACGTCCGGCTGCGCGACGGCGAAGGCCGGCCGCCTCCCAACATGTTCATGATGACGCGGAGCCCGAGCACGACTGCCGAGGTGTTGTTTCGGCGGCGGTCGGCGGCGGCTTCGTCGTGATCTTGAACTCGGACTCGGACTCGGACTTGGACTGCCCGGGTACCTAGTTGGAAGGGAGGATGAGGACGAGGAGGGGAGGAGATGCGGAGAGAAGACGGACGCGAAGCCTCGGGGCCAGGAGCTTCCGGGGCCGCTTGCCCGGCGTATTATAAGTATATCTAACTTAATGGCCGTTGTTTCTATACAAGGTGGGAAGACGGCATAGAAGATGTGAGTAGAGAGAGGGAAGGGGAGACAGAACCTGCATATACCCAACTATACGATCGCAGGTATTTCGAACCTAGCAGCCGCGGCTGCAGGCTACAGGCTACAGGGTTTTATGGTCATCATAAACGGCGTTCGGGGAAGGAGCCTATCGGTTTTACTCGGAATACACTGCTGTATATATACAGGATGTAAATAAGCATATCGTGTCACTTAGGCAAAGGAGACATCGTATGTCTCCTAGAATATATATTTATTGCTAGTATCAATATTGGGATTTGGGAAAGGCCCAAGACTCACTTATGTTGCAGCCTTCAATGCTTACGTCCATCGACTGTGCTCCTTATGATCTATAAGAAACGTTATGAGTTTGAACAATGCTTGTATTATCATGAGAAAAGAACGGGGTATCTCTAGACTCGCTGCGCTCGCTAATATGAGTAAATATTTACTGCCTCGTAACAATTTCCGAGACTCCTTGCGCTTCCTCACCATCATTATATATCATGACTCATCATACCCTTCCCTTCAAACCGTTTCACTCATCACAAAGCGTGTCGTCCTAGTTTCCCCTTCTTCATTCATAATTCGCTTCCAGAGCCATCCGCTCGCCCAAATTTTCGACTGCTTGCTGACCGAAACGACCGTCGGGGCTGCAATAGCCAGCCATTGCCGCGAAGAATATCAAAGATCCAGCCTCCTTCACTAGAAAAATGTCCTAAATAATCCAAACTTCCAAGTGCTCTTGTCCAAGAGCCCTAGAAGTACCCCAGGAGGCCGGTCCCGCGACGATGAGCAATAAAGTATTAAATAGTAAAAGTTTCCCGGACTTGGGTAGTCCTATCAAAAGACAGTGAAAAATAAGATAAAGTAAAATGCAAATATGTCGTTCATGTATATATTCAGAAGTGAAATGTGATGATTTGTCGTGGTCCCGATCGAGGGCGCGGCAATGAGGTTGATGAAGCCCGTACTGTTTTCCCGGATCTCTGTTTTATATGCATTGACTTCGAGTCCTTTGGTCCCTGCCCATCTGATAAATAAAAACGTGATTTTCATGCTAAATGGGCTCGCGCCCTCTTGAGATCTTATTGCAAATGCTTGCGATGCTTCTGTAAATTTTTCTGCGACATAATGATGAAAGAAGTGATGAGATGTCCAAGTCCAGGGATAGATTGATGTAAACGTTGGTCGGTTGGTCGTTAAGAGGGTTCATCAGTCACTAGATAGAAGGTCGACTTTGAGGATAACGTCGTTATAGATATGGATCCGAGATGCGTAGACCAGACCAATTTATGCAAGGGCCACATCATATACTTGCAACTCGCCCTCCTGCTTCGGGTTTTCTGGCATGGCACACCATAAGTTTGAGGCTCGTTCCCCACTCCTCACATTCGGCCAACAGTGATTTATCGTTCCATATGCTAGTAGGCATTCCAGTGGAAGTCTCGTAGCATCGGTTGTACCACCATCGTCCGACTTTGGAAACCATATTCGTGATATTTTCGTCGCCCATTTCGGTCTTGTCATTCATCATCTCTGCCAAACTCCTCTCGTCCTTCTTCTTCCCTTTGAAACCAGAAGAGTTAGTTATCGCACTCGCCACGGGCACGCCAACGCGGCATTTCTTAACGTCAGTAAACCCCTTTTTACCGAGGAGGCGGAGGATGAGGTCCGCTGTGCTGCTGAGGCTGTAGTCGGGATTACGTGCACTGACTCGCTCCTTCAGGCGGCGTACAGCACGTCGAGTTCGGGTACCCATATTGTTCAAATCCACGTCAAGGATAGACAACTCGATATATCCACCGGGCTTGAGGACACGGCGCGCCTCAGAAATAATATTCCGATAATGAGCTTCCGGAGCTGCGGAAGGGAACCGGAACACGACTGCCGTAAAGCTGTCCGGACCAAAAGGAAATTTGTCCATATACGAGGCGAATTGGATTTGGTGATGGTTAGGTGGCGAGAGGGGGAACGAGGGAGTTGATTGTTGCTCTGGTGTTAAGGGCGCACGTGGGGACAAGTTGAAGAAAGTTGCGGTAGGATATGTCTCCGCCGCATAAAAGGACCAGTCATCGTTCCCAAGTCCGTCAATGACAAGTATTGACTGGCGTTTCAGTGAGCTGTCGTCGTTGATGAGGTCTTCGCGGACCGGACTAAATAGCACGTGACCAAAGGAGAGCCACTTGCTGACCGTCATTGAGCCGACCCGAAGGTTTACCTGGGAAAGAGGCGAGTCTTCACTAATACGACTACTGCTAGAGCTTCTTTTAGTCTTGGAGCTTTTGGTAGAGGAAGAACTCTCTCGTTTGGAAGAAACAGAGGTCTTGGTTAGCTGAACGTTGCTGTTTTCGCGATCACCATATCCAGATACGAACTCGGAGACAGAGAAGGGCGTAGCTGGCGGATCAGAACCGAATCTGAAGGCAGCGTTTATTCTGGCTGTCATGTCGGCGCTATAATGGCTCGACGATGTAGCAGCCTTTCCAGTCTCGGTAGAATCACGGATGCCCTTGGCGTGATGGGTTATGATGGTAGGCGATTCGGGCACCCGACTCGACTTCTTCGCCAGCTTGGACTCATAAGTTTCCAGATGGAAAGGGGCGCCCCGGGAAGAGGTTGCCGACGGCGGTGTCTCGCCTAAAAAGTCGTTATACTCGTCCCAGATTTCATCTTCAGTAAGTGGGGCATTCGGCGCTGGGGGTAACGCTGTATGGGTAGATACATTCACTAATTCTGAGCTACCGGATCCAGAACTTGTCGTGTACTCAGAATCCTTCTGAGGCGGGAAGGAAAGAAATTCCTTTCCGAGCCCAAGCCCAAGGGGTACATCTCCACTAGGTGTTCCTTGTTGAGTAGGGGGATCAAAGCCACTCGTTGTTTCCGCTGGCTCTTCCTCAGTCTGCTCTGGATACCAGGGTCTAGGTGGACTTGGGCCTTTTGCAACAGAGTCTCGGTCAACATGACTTAGGTCAGGGGGTGGTATCTGCAAGCTGACTCGGTGGAAGGGCCGGGAGAAACTCTTGGGAGATGTTTGTTCTGGGCGGGTAGTGACAACTTTAGGTATCCTACCAACTTGGGGAAGCCTGCTTGGACGGACTTTAGGAGTAGCTGAAGATGAGGCGTTGGGAGTTGCGTTCCGCGACTTTGGTATCGAAGGTCTTGGCGATTCCTTGGCAAAAGTCGAGTTTTGTTTCGTTGGCTCCGAGGCAGTCTTCTCGGTTTGTAGCTGGTGACTGGACGGTATTTCCAGAATAGACTGGCTACTCTCGGACAAATTTCGACTATGTTCGCCTGTAGGCATAAAGGGAACCAGAACCTCTGCCTCCCTCAAAATGTCACAAACATCTTGGTCTTCGGTGTCGTCTTGCTCGGAAGAATCCATCATGGTGTAAAATGCAATCGATTTGCCCTTCGTAGGCTTTACTGCCGCTGACACACTCGCCTCAACTTTCTTACGGTCCTTTGAAGGCTGGCTCTGGGACCTACTGAATAGGTTCCATTTACGAGGTGATTTGGCACGTTTTGTTAGCTTCTTTGGTCCAGCCTTCGGCTCGGCCTTCGAACGGCTAAGATCTGGCCGGGATTCTAGCAGAGAGTCGTCGGTAAAGGTGCTGGTTTCCACGCTCCCCACTGATGGAGATGTCATTTGTGTGGTTATGATGGGTGCTGGTAACTTCAAAGGGGCACGACTAGGGGATCGAAGACGTTGAATTGACCTCCGAAACGCAATGGTTGATCCCATCGGACCCGCTTCCGAATCGCTACTCTCAGAAGGACGACGAGCCTGCGCGGATGGCCGAGGAAACGCTGAAGGCCATAAAGTTTGCCTCGTCTCTTCTCTCGAAGACACTGATGCAAACGAGTTGTTGCGGGAACCGATGTCTGGACGGCTTGAAATGGCGCTCTGGCTGCTTTCTGTTCTTGTCAATTCAAAGCTTGTATTGCGATTTTCCACAATTTCACCGCCGGCGATAATCACGGGATTCATTCGATCTAGTAAAAACTGGTCGGTTGACTGGGGGCTCGCGGTGCTGTCTAATGGAGAAACTGGGCCTGGCATCCCGCTGCGTCTTCTGACCGCACCGAGTCTGCCGTATCCTTCATGGCCTGTTCCAGCTGCTGGACCTTTTCGACTTGGTTTGTCTTTCTTTTCCGCTTGTGGTACTTCCGGAGCCGTCTTGGTTCGTCGTCCGAAGAGGGGAAACCGTGTTTTGAACGTGGTGGCCGGGCTAGGCGTTCTAGTGGCTTTGCCCCTTTCTATCTGGCTTGGTTGGGTGGTTTTCGGAACCCCCAATCGTGGCGCTGGTGTAGGCTCCCGAGACACAGGGCCTTTTGATGAAACCGAGCGGTCCTGAGCAGAGGGCGTTATTGACCGCGGTAACGAACTGGGTATTAGCTGGCCACTGTGTCGTTTGTCCGTAAGGCTTGTTGTAGAGAGATTGCTCTGAATTATGGGAATTGGGCCACCAAATTGAGAGTAGAGGTTGGGTGTTCCGTCTCTACTAGGCCTTGAGGGTGGTGCTGGGCGAATTCTAGACGTGGGCGCAGCTCTCTGGGCTCTTTCCTGAGCCGAATCAGATTTCTTGGTTGGAGATGGCGATCTTAACAAAGTCCGCGTAGGCATCCGAGGGACTTTCGACAACGACTCGGCCTCCACTCTGTCTTTCTTGAAATTCTGGGACGATTTTCTAGGAGGCGGGTTTGGTGTGGGAAGTGGTCCTCTGCGTACTTTCTTCTCCTTCCTGTCGTCCGGACGTACTGTAGAATTTGATGACGAAGATGTTAATACTTCCCGTACCGCTGCGAGGCCATGTGAGTCAGTGCCAAAAGCATCACCTTCATTTGGTATGCTGCCAGCTCTTCTCCTGGTTACAGGTGGTCTGGTCTCGGCCGGACTTGCTTGCCTTCCAGCTCTAGAAACAGGAAGGCGATGCGGTGCGATTAGCCCAGGGGACTGTGATGACATTGAGGTTGGGGTTGTGTCACGGCTATAGGGCCCCGGCCCCGGCGACTCGGAAAACCTGGTGGAAGGGCTAGCGCTGAAGGTGCTTAGCTGGCTATGACTGCTCCCACCGGAGAAGAGCGGTGTTGGCGGTGGCAGGTTTTCCGTTGCGAGCTTGAATGGCAGATCTAGGCTCGGTCCGTCTCTCGAAACGGGGATTTCAATATCTCGATAGCGGTCCAGTTCCGGATATACTACAGAAGGCTGCATAGCCATCCGAGGCAATTCGTATTTCTGCGCTGTTCGGATCTCAACGGGGCTAGCGGTAATGCTCCGATCCGAATAAGGAGCGCTAGAATCCACGGTCGTCTGTGACTTGGGAATCGAAGAGGATGAACCCGTTCTCCCGGAGCTTGAACGAGACTGGCTCTGTGTGCTTGGTGGCTCCTTAGATAGGCTTGATGGTTTCCGACGTAAGGCAACTCGGGAAGGCTGGCTTGAGTCGCTTTGTCCACGTGCAGCTGACGTGGAAGATTTCAGCACATGTGTAGACAATTGCCCCGGGTTCGTCGACCAAGACTGCGTTTCGTGGGTTAGAGGAGGTCTCGCCAAAGACTTCTGGCCGGGCAGCTTTCGGGCCGAAGCGTTCTGGGGTATTCGACTCTGCAACGTCCTAGGCTGCGGGATCGATGAAGGCATAAGACGGGTGCTATCGACCTCCTTCCGAGCCGTTTGACTTAATGCTGGCGAGAAGTCTTGTCTTGATGTCTCCATTGCCCCTCCCCTTCTCTTCGACCGTGATTCATCACCTGACCTTGTCCGAGACTCCGAGCGTGAACGGATGGACGCCATAACGACCCCTGATATCTTCAAAACAGAATTCGATATTCAACCATCCCAGGATCAAGCGTCCATATTATTTACTATTTTTTCTGTAGAAATTCGTAGGATGTCTTGTATGGGTGGTCAGCAGTAAGACCCAATAGTAGACAAGCCAATGGAGACAACCTCGTAGGAACCTAGGTATTGTTGCGATTGGCTTCCCAATATTACAACCCGTCAATTAGGTGCTGACTGACCACACCATTTCAATGAGACGACGAGACTGGCAGAACGGAAAAGGCGTTCATAGACCGGTTTGAATAAACAAGAAAAGCCGAGTGTTCCACAGCAGTCCAGCTAATATTATGAATCCTTGTCCAGGGATATCAGGCCACGAAACTAGACAGGCATTCAGAAGCGACCGGGATGAATGGCAAATCGTAACTTGCTAGCCGACGAGCGGGTGTATGAAATGAGAGAAATTATTACAATAATGAATATTAAGCGAGGAGCAGGTATACAGGTCTCCGGGAAGGGGTGGAAATCTAATATGGAATCCGTAAACGGAGGCTGACGAGATCCGGGCTCGGGGAGGGTCTAAGTCGAGTTGGTGACGAGTGGGGGGACAACCTTGCCGGCGTATCTAGATGTCAACTTGACTAATTTAGATACTTTGGGGAACAGTGTGGTAGTACAATAGTTGTGGGGGATTCAAGAGCGTTTAACAAGCGACGAGCGATGCCGCGAAGCAATGCGCTTTTTTTAGGTGTTATCGAGGGTAATGAAAATTGACTAGCACAGCTAACTCTTGGAAAGATTTGCCTCGGCTTGTGAAATGGATGGGTAATACGAAAATAGAAAGGTTTTACAAATCCCCCAAAATAAGAGTAATGAGAAAAGAGACGATATCAAGAGAGGCGAGGCAGGTATTAGAGAGGCAAAGAGATGTACGGCTGTATATAAGAAGATACATGTAATTGTTAGTTCCTATCGCCTTTCCACCTTGCATATTCGCAAGACAACGATGTACCCAATGACCTGGACAGGGGTTGCGGTACGTAGGGTCGTAGGCGAATGAGTCCTTGTAGACAAGTGTGGCGCAAAACCCCTGTCTATAGCCAAGATGCGACCATCTTGGGTGCGTTTGGGATGGAATCGCCGAGTGAGCGGTCTGGTTGGCGGCAGCCCATAGTGGGTTAGAACACTAAAGTCCTTCCTCCAACCTCTAAAGCTAGACCTATACCCATGCCGTGCTAACGTTGGTGAAGAAAGCAACGTTGAGTCACTGAGCCCCATACGAGAACACGGAAGATCATCGACGTCTATACCGACATCCCTGGGTATCTCTTCTGTCTATCGCTTGAAGGGATTCTCCCGCACACTCGCCCGGGGCACACTCAGGCCAAGGTGAATTGACGACTTTATCCCTCTCTTACTCGCGTCGCATACTGCCAACCATCCGACTACGGACAATATGCGCGTGAGCGAGTGAGTGAGCAAGAGGAACCGCGCCAGTCGTGCTCGTAAACTGGTCTTGGATTGTGCATATTCCGATGCCCTATGAGAAGTGTGCTGTAGGCTCTTGATGATATTATTCGTTAAAGAAGACCCTTGGAGTTTGGAGAGCTTTTCCTGGTTGGGCCGAGCTAGGAATGGTCGAGTGCTTCCAGAACCGACCTTACAGTAGCTCTACATCGACCTAGATGGGGTCATACGACGCTACCGGTATGCGGTATCCAGACAGATGCGCGACCGGCTGGTGCTCATCTAGAGACGATTTACGGGGAACAGGCTATGGAAGCAGGATGCGATAACGAGCATGGTGCTGGTCGAATAGCAATTTGCAAGAGATTTTGTTGCGGGGACGAGAAAAAATAACGAGTGCCGGGGATAAACGACGGCACTTCCAGGGCAAGGAAAATCTAACTGCAACCTTCCAGGAAATCTAGGTGGATACTTCGGTACATCCACCCATATGTAAGTGTTCCAGCAGTGGCTGGTGCTGCTAGCTGCATCGGATACATGCGGGTGAGAGGCAGCCCGTCAAGCCTCATCTACAACTTTCAAGGCTTAAAAGTCATTCAAGAAGCACTCGCTATCGACAGATGCTTGCTGAATGACAACTGGCAGTGGCGATGAGGCGATGACTTACTTGTTAATCAAGTTGTTGCTTCTAGTAGCGGAAGCTTCAAGGCGCGGGCCGCCTCCGGGTTGTAATCAATTACCAACAACAAGGAATCCCTGACTTGAGGAAGGCTCGCCCCATACGAAATTTTACCATCTTACAAACCGCCGGAGTAGGAGCTACCTACCCCGTGGATCTCTAATAGGGTTCCGCTTTTCTAAGCGCTTAAACGGCCGAGACTTCCAAGTCTACGAAGTATCAACTCTGACTTCAACCTTCTTATTTTGCATCTTAATCCTTCTACATGATCCAAATCGGGAATCAAAATTGCTTATTATCGGCATCGCATTAATTCGGTTCATTACTTGACGCAAACGGAGAGTTGAAAATTTTCGACTATGTTTCAGACGGTTAGCTTCGCAATTCTTGCAGAAAATCCCCATACCTCCATAGTTCCGTGACGGCGTGACGGCTTCTGCATGTCTCACTCTCGTGCTCTCCGAGGTACGCCTCAAATCGTGCGCCAGCTTCGACGATCTTGGTTCAACCAAACTTGGACATTGGTACCCTTGTACCTCCCACTTGGCAGGCGCTTGTGCGTCCTACGTCGATTTCTACATATACAAATGGTCCTCGGTTCTTCATCTCTACGTGCTTGGTTTAACCTGTCGTCCTACGTATGAGGTCATTTCTGGTATTTACAAGCGATATAAAATGCCACCCCGATGCATCACCGGCATGTCTCAGATTGATCCGTCCTGCAGGTCGTTGCTTAATGTATACGCGGGATTACTTGTGTTGCGACGTAAATAATCCAACAAACGCCACTGAACCGGCCAAATCTCTACATATGGATGTACCTAGATGATGGCCGTGGGCACACAGTACTTAGGTAACCGTTCGGCGCCGACAGGGGTCTTAGCGGCCAAGGATTCGACGATAAAAGTCGTACAACGAATTTTCTGATTGGCTCTTAGCTATCGATTTTTCATCCAATGAGTCGTCAGTGAACGTTTTCAACAGATCGATCCTTGACGGAGTGAGACTCCTATCTGCATGTCTCTCCCTATCCGTGCGGGTTCCGTTGTGGCTGTTCGGTCTCGATCCCTCATTGAGGTTGCGCTCGCGGTCTCGGTGAAGCTTGTTCATATACGAATCGGTGCCGATCGCCCAGGTGACCTTGTATGAGGATAGGGGATAGAGACGCCGCATCTGTTCCTTCTGTTAGCACTATAGTAACTCTTGCTTGGTCCTCGTCCGATTCCGAGTACGCACATTTCGCAACGTTCTACTAGTCATCGCGACAAGTCCCCGCATACAGCAGTTTCATTGGCGATCTTTTACCCTATATTCAATTTAGTTGCCTTTTGAAAGCCAATAGTTCCTCGATACGGTAGATAGAATGAATAATCTAATCCTCCTCCATTGCCCTTTTCAGATTATTCGAACTTTGTTAATCAGCTACTTTTTCATCACCTATCAACAATCAAATCCGCAAGAAAGCTCTCGCCGTGAATCCTCCAATTGCCCTAGAATAGATCGCACTAACGGTCAGCTTTGACCTTAAGCGATGATTTTCCCCAGCTTACCTAGCCAACCAGCACGTTTTACTTATCAAAATGCGATGAGTGGTCTACTAATTGAGTCGACAGGCAAATTCCGCTCCTAGTAAGGGATATTTACCAGAATTCTCGACAAGTTGTTTGATAATATCTGCCTAGCAGAAAGCCTCCTGTTTCTTGATAGGCAAATAACGACACGTGCGAGCAACGCAAGCTGAAAGTTGCATGATACAGGGCAAACACGATGATGCATCAGCATGGGAGCCTTGGAAGCCTTGAAGCAATGTTGCGTCAATGTCTCTCCCAACCTAGCTACGAGGGCTTCCAGGTCACCATCTAATAGCCGGAAGCCTCTTTGCAGGTCCAGCCATTTGGACCCACCAGCATATGTGGCGAGTGCCGAAGATGCGCTCCGCCACAATCGTACCCTGAGCGACAAACCAGTTTTCGCGAGTTTTTAGATGGCTATGTACATAGCTAGTGTTTTGTTGACGTGGCACTCTCATTCTCCAAGATTAAAGTGAAACTTTCTAAGATCGTCGGCAGAGAATCAAGGAGTAACCGAAGACAAACTTCGCGACTCTGTAGAAGCTATGTACGATAGTGAGCCGCGACGATATCGAAATACGTATCCACAAGAAAGAGGGACAGGATCTTCGAACGCTACGGAATGATCCTCCTTGGCAGTTAACGAGCAGGGTCATAGATCCAATCACGAGCGTTTGTCTCGCGGCAAGCAGGGACTTGTTCAGGTGAACAGGGGTCTTCTACAGAATGATTGGATCTTCCAATTGAGACAAACGGCACCAAGAGCCTTAGGGTTTGGTGTCCTCCAAATAACGTGACGAGAAGATGGTGTGAAGGGATCTCTTCTCGGCCAAATTGAAGCCGCGGCTTCAAATCTGTTCCAACGACATTCAACGATATCACAGTACTCGCCACCAAAGACCATCAGAAGTTGGACGACTTAATTAGGAACTGCTTACGTTGCCCGACTCTGGTCCATTTTCCGCGTTTGTATAGATCCACACCGTGGGTAACGGCTTCGTCAACGTGTGACGAGTGCGGGATTAGCGCGCTTCTATCTGCCTAGGCCGGGCTGCTGGCGTCAAGAAACTCTTCTCCAACCAACATCGTGATGTCTACGGAATTGTAGATTAGGAAATCTTCACAAAAGCGGACTTCTTTCCACTGCTGCAGAAAACATACCTCCTATAAACGTTCGATCTTCGATTTGTCAAAAACTAAACACTTACTTAGAGCATGCGGGTAAGCATGTATGTCTTAAACATCTAGGATCGTCAGGCCGCCCCCTCAGCTGGTCAGCTACGGACGAATGTTCTACGCCTCATCGGTCGGGACTTCTGGATATGCATGTACTCCGTTCTACCGTTTTAGGCAATCTATTTTCTGTTCCAACTATCAGCAAACGAGAGCAGCAATTTTCTAGATCTTCCAATAGGCGCGAGCTGCACCAGCAAGCGCTTCTGTTAGCGCAGTTTGCACCTTTTGGCCAACTCGGCTTGGCTAACAGCAGGACTAATTAGATGGAGAGGTCAGCTTCGAGCCTCTAAGTGGATTAACGATCTAGCAAATGACCGCCCCCAACATTGAGTACCGTTATCATTGGGTCACTTAACCCCGATCAGCCCGAGATCTTCTCGATAACCGTTTTCTTACCACATAGTATTGTGATAGGCTTACCTAGCTATAACTTTATATTCGGAGCTAACGAACGTTCAATTCTTTCTTCATTCGCTCACCGACGTGGTATGTGGGCGTTTTGGTTGCATTCCCGTGATGGACCTTTTAATCGGGCCCTTTGCGCCTCATGGACACAAAAGACCGTCATCTGACTTCGAAGCAGCATGAACATTCGCACGATGTTGGGACGATCAGGATGTCATATGACCGATTCTGCGCGATTTTGTTCTCCAATCAATATATAAAATATTACTTGACCTACTCAACTCAAAGAGATGAAATCTGATGCCATTTTCATTGGTGGCTTAGCTGAAGTTAAATAACTGTCAGCTCAATTTCGGACTTTATATTGTTATCGTGATAGTTACGCTCAAGCCTCTCGATGTCATGTAGAGTAAGTAAACACGCTCATCATCGCCATGTAGAGTAAGCTCTTGGAAATAGGATCTGGTGCCAATTTATTCAATATTCAGTTCCAATAAACCCATGCTGGCGACTAGTCTCCAAATATAACGAGAGTAACTCTTCTTAAATGTTACCTAATATTCTTCTCGTGGTCCCAGGAATGAAGCTGCTATTAATGACTAAAGTCAAGGGTGGACAATAATAGACACTGCCGCCGATATCTCCCGGACCTTCTATGGTAACAGTTGAAGTTGAACCGTCTCGGAGCTTGTCATACGTCTGGTGTATCTAGAAATCCATTTGCCACCTACGCAATTATCCCACTGTAAGACATATCGTATTCTGCCACACCAGTAAATGTGAGTATTAGAAGTCTCTGAACTCCTCTGTGGGAGAAAAGGATGGCAATAAAGACTGCTCTCGCTTTAACCTGCTTGCGAACTATGACACCACCGAGAGATTTGGTGAGAGATGCATAGACTGTGCGAATGAGGGCTGTTATCCTAATTCGTCTAATTGAATAGGGTGTTACGAGACGGGACTAAGGAGAAGGGAAACAACGACGTTGTTGCGCGAGGAGCTTTGAATTCTCTCTCCCAAGGACTTCGATATACATACAGGAAAAGCCCTTTGTCTTCCTACTCTGCTCTAAGGCCAGCCACCAATGGGTCTTCTAGGATTATCAGGGGCTGAGCTCCTGTCCTAGTAAACCCCTAGCTACTAGATCTCTAATATAAGGTATCATAGTAACGAGTAAGAAGTGTAGGAACTTAGAAAGAGGTCGTTTAGCTCTTGTCTTTTACGTTGATGGATGGATATAGGAGGGAAGGCGGTTCTTGTCACGGACTGGCCATATTACCTCCAATAGATCGCAATTTGTCCGACTTGTAGATTCTCATTTTTTGGTAGGTTAGCCCAACTGGCAGGTGAAAATCATGAAGCATAGGGCTTCCAATCCCTACGTCCTGACAGTTCTTCAACATTCATTATATGATTTAGGTATATTGAACAACGTCTAATCAAACCAGATATTCTGAGTCTGTTTATGCCACCTGTGTAATGAGCTTATATAACTCTTGTTAGTATTATAGAAATAACATTATAACTCGGCCTACTTAAGGAAACTTGAGGAGAAAAGGGTAAACCCCTGAGTACCTATGGGTACTACACAACTATATTACAAGTAACTCACTCTGGTCAAGTGGAAGCAATATTGGAATCATTCATTTAGATGGCTTGTTATCAAATTCAGAGCACATCACCATGAATACCTGGTTAACACACGATTTCCTTAACCCTACCTAACTGACCTTGTTCACTTTGGAGCATGTAAGAATGGATCTCCTGTCTTGTAACACCTCACCAAGGGATATATGAACCTATATCGTTCTAAAAGTTCGGTGAGAAGGGGACGATGATTCAGCGCGCATTAATCGACATCATAGAAAGAATCTAGTTAGTCAACTGTTCGAAGAAGACAGGGGTGCGAAATATGCTAAACGAAAAACAAGCGCGCAAATAGGACTCAACGATATGATCCCCTACATCTCCTTAGTTTCTCTTACGTACAGAACCCTCTCTATTGCCTACATAAAACCAGGAGATCTCGAACAAATGCTTGATTTAACAAGATCGTTCGACATTCGACAGCAACCCCTATCAGTAAGCGATGACTTAGATAGTCTCGAACTTGGTCCCCTATTCTATCTATCGCTCCTTTTATTCATGGTAGAACGTCACAAGGGCCCCAGATCCTGTGGGAACTTCCTATTTAGCTCGCCAATATAGCGAAGGTGAGAAATGAGGGGAAAGCATCGCCTATCAAACCGTATTCGTAGCATTCCCATCTCGACCCCTTACGAAGTCGCCGGCCTCGGTAAGAACGGACGCTAGAATAGTACCTAGTTAAAAAGGCCAAGAGTGCGGAGTCGACATCCTGATCGTCGTTGAAAGCAGCTCAATCCCACGCAACCCCCAAAACGAGGCAGAATCATCTGCCGACCTTGGCGTCGTGTATAATATATATGACACCTCTCGGGGAGCCGACTGGGCGTGTTGCGCGTTCTGGCTGGGTCCCTGACGATTGCTAGATATGTATAGAGTGCGGAGGGTTGCAGCCGGCCATCGATCTAGGTACGCCAACGCCAACCGGCTAAACTTGAGATTAAAGAGCGTATAGGCGTATACCCCTTTCGATAGCGATAAGATGCCAAGAAGCGGTGTCACCCTCACCTACGTTCCCCAAAGCTGTCGTGCTAAGCTCATGCAGCCACCCAGAGAGAAGACGAAGCGAGATATGTGACATCTGGGACGCAGATGGATAAATGAAAAAGGGTCCCTGTGGGGGGAGGGGAAAGTTACATCAGTCTCCCCAAGGTTATGGAAGATGGTGTTCCGACAACGTCTTCATCGTCATCGCTTGCCTATAAAGTGGAAGGGGTCAGGAGCTAGTGAGCGAGAAGACGAGAGAGAGCTCTGAACGCTGACCTTATCCTTAACCGACCTCGACTATCTTCACCTAGCAGCAAACCAATAAAAACGAAATAACAATGGCCATCTCAACCGAAGTCCCGCAGACCGTGGAGTGGAACGGGAAGAAGGTCCCGGTCTACCCCATGGAGATCATCGACTTCTCGAAGCTGCTCTCTCAGGAGCCCCTCGAGATTGAGAGACTTGTCAAGTGCTGCCAGGACGCGGGATACTTCTACCTGGACCTTCGAGGAATCGACGGCCGTAGGATGCTCGAGGACCAGCAGGACACGTTGAAGCTCATGTACCGCTTCTTCGACGCTCCCCTCGAAGCTAAGAACGAGTTCGGTCTTGTTGCTCCACATCTCGGGTGAGTGAAACCACACTTATAGCTATACTTATAGCTACTTCTTTTTTTTTATCAAAAAATGAGGAACTTGACAATAAAAACCTTACTAACGCATAAACCCAACAGCTACGAGCCGATCGGCTCGCGCACCGGCGTCCTAGAGAACACCAAGGACGGGTACGAGATGATCAAAGTCTCGCGCGACGAGATCCAGAAGGACAGCCCGCACCTGCCGGCCGTGATCAAGAACAGCCCGGACATGAAGGTGCTCGAGCACGCCATCGCAGGCGCCAACATCGCCACGAAGACCATCCTGACCGCGCTATCGACCGGGTTAGGTCTCACCGGCGCCGAGCGCTTCGAGAACTCGCACCGGAACGAGCGGCCGTCGACGAGCACGCTCGCCATGATGCACTACATCCCGTCCGACCCGTCGGCCAAGAACATCGGGCACCAGAAGCACACGGACATCAGCTCGCTGACCTTCCTGTTCGCCGAGCAGTGGGGATTGCAGGTGCGTCCCCCCGGGTCCAAAGAATTCGGGTTCGTAGAGCCGAAACCCGGGATGGCGGTGATCAACGTGGGGGACTCGCTGCGCTTCGCGTCGGGGCACACGATGCAGTCGTGCATCCACCGCGTGGTACCCCTAGACCCGACCGAGCACCGCTACTCGATCGCGTACTTCCTGCGCGCCGAGAACGACACCGTCTTCACCGACAGCGAGGGGCGGCTGATCACCGCCGGCCAGTGGCACGACGAGAAGTTCTTCGCCTTCACCAGCCCGCCCGAGATCCAGGCCCTGGCCCCGAGCTCCATGATCCTCGGCGGCATGACCGAGGACGACGAGTCCAAGGACGCGCCTAGCCCCGTCTTGGGCGCGGGCGACGGCTTGAAGGAGTCCGTCCAGGTGTTCTAGACGAGAATATACGGAACCGCCCTCTTGAATTTCTAAGAAAGGGGAGAAGGATAAGCGGGGGTTTAAGAGAGAAAGATGGGCTGATACCTACCTGCTAACGGTCGTTATCCCTTAAGGACTCCCCGAGAACATGAAGAGTGCTCATTGTCTCTCGTTGCGTGCTGGATCAGGTAGTAGATCTTCTAGATCGCCTAATACACAAGGCAGATAGATGGAGGGAACCAATATACTCCATAGGTACTATATGTAGTCTTCGAAATAGGACTGTTTCTTTTGTCGTTATGACAGACTTGACCTGTAACCCGTAACTCGTAATTGAAAAGAGATCAAGCAACTACCTAGGTATATTAGACTGGGTGCCTGGTCGTAGATAACATCAGCCATTTCTTATAGGAAAACATACGCTCTTAGTCAATAATGACTCGAGCAGGGAGGAAGGACAGAGGACATATATATAGTTATCACATGATAGTCACACGTCTTAGAGCGGTCATATACTAACCATCGAGGTTCATTGTTGTCCCTACCTAGGTACCTATCCAATCTTACGCTGCAATAACGGAAACTCTCTAGGCACACCGGCTCAATGAATCCCCATCTCACCAATACCACGAGCGAGGTTTTCAATATCATCAGCATGCCGCACTCCATCGACAGGCCTGTGGTCGTAACCACCGACAGCCGCTCCGCACTCCGGACATCTAGCTTGCTCCATCGGCATTCCACACTCGCCAACTGTGAAGGGATGGCCGTTTTCGCAGTTGTACCAATGGCCCGTTCCGCGGAACTCCCGCGTCATGGCCTCGTATACCGCTCGCATTTCATCCGCAGAGACGGGTTCATAAAACACATTATCGCGTATCATCTTCTCCGTAGCTTCAAGCTCTGCGCTCAGGCCTTGAGTCTGGCTTTCATACTTTTCGACTAGACCACGAGCGAGGGCTAGCCGTTCCGAGGCTTTCTCTTTGAGGCTATCCCTCTTTCCTTTGTCGGAATCGCTCGATGGGTCCTCGCCGTCCGTCAAAAAAGCTCGATTGAAAGCACAGAATTGCGCACAGTAGATATATGCCTCAGTTTCCTGTCTAGGGTGCTTCGCCGTGCGGGCGCCTTCTGCTAAAGCATCACAGTCTCTGATATGCTGCGAAAAATCTAGCTTAAGCGTGTTATTATGGGATAATCGCAAATTTTCCAATCGTGCCATGAAGTCGGAGACAATAATGATATCGCATTTCAGCCAAAGCGAAAGTGCTTGGAGAAGCGCTCCATGTTGGATCATCGTTTCGTCGAAGGCAAAGATTCCTTCAGTTTTCCGTTGCTGAATAGCATATTGGACGAAGTTGTTGACTTTTTGGAACGGCTGCTCTTCTCTTTTCACCTGACCAATAAATACGTTTAATCCGTGCCAGAGCTTCGCAGCTTCGTCGTACCTTTTACCGCCTATCCAATCGCTGATGAGCTGGATTTGTTTCATACGCCCAGTCGATAGTTCCTTCATCTTGCTCGACTGAGGAGTTTGTCGAGGCCCTCCGGAAGTTGCTTCTGTCTTCGACAGGCGCTCTTGTACATCAAGCAAGCTGTTTGCCAATTTCGCATACTCAATGTGAGACCAAGCGACAAATTTCTTGGTAGCCTCGTCGAGCATAGCCCGTCGGACAATCCTCCCATATCTAGCAATATTCCGAAGAGATCCACGGCAAGTAGGACAGGTCTTGACCTCCTTCATTGAAAATGGTTTGGAGGCATTGCCAATGGCAGTTGGGCTGTCCTCGGCCGACATTTTGTAATGGGCTTTCATGTCCATGATGCCATCCATACTAGTCTTCGTGACAAAGTGGCCACAGTCTGGGAAGATGCAAGGATCCTCGTCTAGATCGACGTCTCGATATTCCGTGCCCATGATAAAATCTACCATCATTTTCTTTCTGTCTTCGGAGCAACACGTCTGGCAGAATATCTTGTTGGGACAAGTCTCGCCACACACAGACGGGCATCGGTGTCCACAGTCCAAAAGTTTCTCACACCTTTTCGAACAAGGCACCCAGTCGCAGGGAGCTGCACACGGCATAGTACACTTCGAGTGAGGACAGCTTGATGGGCAAGTCTGCTCAGCACATGGTGCACAAGGTTCATGGCACTGCTTGCTACATCTGGAATGACTGCAGCGTACTTCGCAGGGTGCTGGACACAGGGGGCATGCGGCCTTACCATGACATTCCTGTCGGCAGTTGTGACTGCATGTCGTATACTTCCGCCCGCATTGCTGCTTGCATAATTTGTGCCTCGTCTTGAAAATCTTCCCTTCTTTCCTCTCTTTGCATTTATAGCATGGGCTCTTGCAGGAATGGCCACACGGTTGAGGATCGAGGCACATCTTCCCACATCTGTATGTATCGGCACTGACATCTGTGTGACAAAAAACCTCAACCTCGTGGTCACAGCCAGGGACCTTCTTCTTGACCATCTGCTTGCAAGCGATGGATGAAGGATCTTGCGCCACCCAGCAATAGGCCGAGAATATTTTATGGCCGCAGGCAAGGGTGATGTTGAGGTTCGGCAAGAACTCGTCACACTTCGGCTTGCAAGGATCGCCGCAAACAAGCCTGCATGGATGCTGACAACCTTTTTTGAGTCTAGGGCAAGGTTCAAGACATTTGACAGCGTTGTGTAGATTCTCATGGTGACATCTGTTGATACAAGGATGTCCACAAGTCAGGCGTCGGTCGCAACGAAGAATACAACCCCCTTCAGGTGCGACTCTCAAGAAATCATCAGCCTTAGACACCAAAAGGGGCTCTTCCGGGTCAGGATGTCGGGGACCTGCAAGTGCAAGAGTTAGTACTTAATACGAGATATAATAGGACCTAGGTGCTACCCACACTGTAACTCCAGTTCTCTTCCAATGTTTCCATTTCTCTCGAGAATTCTAAGCACCTTGGCCCACATATCTACGTGCCTGTAAGTATTGGCGTTCCCGATTAGATACATACCATGCTGGGCTCGACTCAGCAGGACATTGATGCGGTTGGACGTGCTCAAGAAGCCGCATTTATTCGCATTATTGCTCCTCACGAGTGAGATAACCACTACCTTGGCCTCCTCGCCCTGGAAATTGTCGACAGTTGCTAACCGAATGCTCTTCAATAAGGTTCTCTTGACGGCGAGAGATTTCTGTGGCTGGGCAGCCGAGTTTTCGTCTGTCAAGTTATCTGCCTCGAGGGCTTCAAGCTCCTCTAGATCTCTCTCGCCAACTGATATCTCCAACAACTTCCCCATCTCACGGCGGAGACGATGGAGTTGTCCTAGATAAGGCGTAATTACGGCGATGTCATCTGCACCATACGATCCTTGTCTTACTAAGTGCTGGACGAGTGCTACAGTCATCTCGATCTCGAATGTGTTTGTATGCGAAGTTGTCGTTGGGTCGAGTTGCATCGCTTGGTCCTCCGGCGACTCGTGGTGCAACCAAAATAAGCGTTTCTTCATGCCGGCAATTTCTGGATACTTGGTTACCATTCCACCATCTTCTAGTGTTGGGTATAGGGTCGACCGAATCAACTCGGAAACATTTGGATGCATTCGTCTTTGAGTTTCTAGTGTATCATACGGCAGTCTTGGATCAGTGTCGTATGCTGGATTGATTAGACGCTCGAATAGCGAGACATCTAAAGAGTACTGAGCCCCTCGGTGGCTTGTGCTCTGAAGATCATAGTTCGCAATCTGAGGCCTTAGTTGTAGGTGATCGCCGATGAGAATGGCGTGCTCGACGGATGGGAGTAGGGCAGTAAGAGTGTGCGCTTCGAGAACTTCGCCGGCCTCCTCACACTACAGCAATTTGTTAACAATTACCTTTTTATAAGTTTTCAGCATATAAGGACTCTCGGTATCACATACTAGCATCACCTTACATCTCAACTTTTGGAGCAGTTCGATGTTCCTTGCTAGGCCAGTTGTTGTAACCCCAACGACATCCGATTCGTGTAAGCATCGGAGATCGAGATCACGAGACACCTTGTCTAATTCTTTTTTGGTATGTTCGTAGCTCTGGTATCTGTTTGTGATGTCGGCTATGAGCGGATCACGTATTCTTTGCAACCAGGAATTATAAAGGCGCAACCTCTCAGCATTAGTCATAGTCCAAACATCTCCCTTGAGCAAATTGCCGATGCTGCGAGGAGCTGAGTTGTCTCGTACACCACTACGCCTCCATTGGTCAAGGAGCTGGCCAGTATTTGGACGATGTTGTAGTTGGAAACCTTCATCGTCCTCTATGGCAAACAAGGATCCATAATGTTGGGGATGGAATTCGGAAAGATAGGCCCGTATTTTGGCCGGAGTTTGACAGGCTGCAAGTTCCTGGATCGATTTCGATATCGAGAGAGCGTCATCATCACGCTCTTTCCTTAGTTCCCAGAGAGAGCCTTTTTCAGGCTTCGTGCGCTCTGCAGCTTGGGCTACGACACGGAGATTGACATCCTCTAATTCATCCGCTTTAGACCTTGATCCAATTCGAATGATCTTGACCTTCTCGCGCTTCAAGTGTACTAGCAATTGATCTAGAGCGTGGTTGGTATAGCATACGCAGAGAATGGGTCCCAGACTAGCCTGGCTTTTGTTCGCAAGTAGCACTTTTATGATCTTCTCTCCAGTATAGCCTGTACGATGTTACGTTAGTAAGAGAAATTATTGTAGTCTGTAAAATTACCATCTAAAATCCATGACCCCTTAGATAGAGGTGTTTGTTTCTAAGGCGGGGAGGAGCACTTACTTTTCCCAGTGCCGGGTGGGCCTTGTATTAGAGCTACTCTCCTTGATAGTGTATTCAGGAGAGCAGAGGATTGGGTCAGATCGAGTGAAGAATGATTTGACAGGGTTTGAGGGTCGAGTGGAGCTCGAGGCGAATGATTCAAAACTGTATCGTTACCTGTCAGGCAACTTAAATTGAAAGAAAACCCTGGCTTGGTTGTATACTGAGGGGGTTCGACCATTTTCGTGTCTAGTTCTGGTATCTGCTCGGCCGGGGCAAGCAGATCATCAAAAGGCACGTTAGACTTTTCTGACATGCGTTGGAGGGCCATGAGGGTGTGCTGGAATGAGGGTAACAGAACACGGGGAAACTCTACAAGGCATCGTTGCTGATTCTTGTGGCCAATATGCTGGAACCATTGGAGTGTTTGTTCAATATCATTTGGGCACGCCTCAGCAAGATGTAGATATACGTAGGCGAATATCTCATCATCAGCAAGTGATGGCTTCTTCGAGGCTTCCTCGCCCTCGGTTTTCTTCCCATCGGTTACAATTGTATTTTCGCTAACAACGCCGAACAACACATCCTGCTTCTCGGAAACAATGCAAACCAGCGCACTAGGCTGGAGACGCTTAGAGTTCTCCCACCAGTCTCGACGTTGTTGAGCAGTCTTTTTCGATGTAGGCTGACGGAATCGAATAAGCAACTCCATGCCACGAAATTTGCTGAAATCAATATCGACGACTAAAACATCGTCGTACGCGTAGGTTCGAATGTTGTTTTTGTTGCCACGATCTTGTTTCTGCTTAGGATTTCGCATGGTCTCGAGTTGTGCAGCAACTGCATCTCGCAGTTGACCCACTGTATCCTCTCGTAACAGACGGAATTCTCTGTCAAGACGACCATGAATACCCGGCCTATGGAATAAGGTTGGATCAGTAGTCGGTAGGTATTCATTGCGTATTGAAGTAATTTCTTCATAGGTAGGTAGAATCCTGATCTGGCAGAAATCATCGTGGTCGTTGTCATGTCGTGGCCCTTCCGCCGACAGCCGCCCAGGAAGATCTTTTCGCATGACGAATTCAGCTCTTTTCACCGGAACTTTCTTTCGCACATCAACTTCATTCAGCGCCTCACCAACCCCAAGGCGTCGGCCAAGGTACTGCAGGTGTTTCTGAGATTGTAGTTTCGAGAAATCATTGGGCGAATTGTTAGCAGCTCGCACGCGGTTCTCAAATCGCACGAGGATCTGGTGAAAATTGTCGTTGATGATGTTACTAGTATTGCAGTCTACCATCGTAGCCAAAACTGAGAGCGAAAGCTCACAAGTGGATATACCATACGCATCCTCTTTGGCCATAGGCGTATCAGACCAGACGTCAAGCAGGTCTAAGATGAAATCAAATAGGATTTTCATTCGCTTGCCGCCAATTCCCTGGATGAAGTTGTAGAGGGTAGCGACTTGTTGCTCAAGCACATTGGAATCGATAACTCGAGTATGAGTAAGAACAAGAAACATCGGCTGTATCTGGTTTAGCCATAGACGATTCTTAGTGGATTTGTCCGTGGCTTCGAGGATTTGTCGATCAGTAAGATTCTTAATGAACTCGAGGCCAGATTCTTGGGCCACTGCAACAACGGGAGTCAGTAATTCCTTTTCTTAGGGAAGAATTGCTGGAGTTTTAAGCATGTCTCTGGAGCAAAACTCCTTGGACAACTCGATCAGGAAGCTTTCGCTCCCAAAACAAGCCAAAAGAAGATACAAAGATCTCGGTGTTACATACTAAGCTTGACAGTCTCCTGTGAAACCCCAATATCTCCCTCCATTAGCTCAAGAGCGAGCTTGAAAAATCGATCGCATGTCTGGGAGCTCATCGAAGTAGATGAACGAGTGAAGCGAGAATTTGAAGAGTTCGATTTAAGCAGTTGCTTCCATTCTCGAAGGCGGTCCCCGGCTGGAGCTGGCGTCTCTTGATGGTTCCTACGTTGTGACCATGCTTGCGATGAACCTGCTTGGGATGTTGAGATGTCATGCGAGAATTTACATCCGGCCCCAAATCTACATCTGCCATGCTGGGCGAAATGGTGACATGGCAGTTTGGGCTTTGGTTCACGCCGTCTAGTAGAAAGGTATGTTAGCAGTCAAATATAGTACGCTACAGGCGCCACCCCGAGCTGTTGTAGCGATTATGAAAATATCCTCACCGGTTCATAGTCACCATATGCGAAGTTACCTAGATTAGTTGATTGATGTAAATGGTTGACAATGTAAAACCGGCTTTATGGGTCCAGCACGATTGCGGAAGGATAAAGTGATAATATGATGGGAAGCTTCAAAGCTAGCTTTTGCAATCTATTGGCCTTATAAAGAACTAGTTTTTATTGATCAGAGCATAGGGATGCCTCGAAGTAACGATGTAGTAGCTAAAAGATGAGTTCGATAAGAAGAAATGGAAGTGTGGAAGCTGCTCAAGGCTGCCTGTTGTTTGAGTACAGCGAACGTAAGGCATCTTTGGGTCACAGGCGGCCACGCCTGCAGTCACGGGTATCTTTCCTATCAACACGCCCCGTTCTCCTGTGAGAGGTCATGGCTGTGGTACAACATTGTGTGCCGGAAATACTATAAGACGCTGTCAGATTGAAACCCAATGATTTTCTACTACCTATCTTTGATAAACAAAGGCTCGTATGACTGAGCAAACGGCAGGGGGTACGATAGCGATTGGACATAGGAATCCGGTTAGTCGTCGATTCTACCCATGAAACCGGCGTAGGGGAGGAAAGATGCTTTTTGGAATCTTGCTGTGGTGATAGCGCTTCAAGACTCCACTCCACTCGAATACTCGGTTGGTCCGTTTGACGGTCTACTTGGGAGGGCGTCGTTGGTAGCCCAGTGCTGCCTACAAGGCTCCGAGGCCTCCTAGATCAACTGGTTGAACATGCACATAGCCGGCCGATAGCCAATAGCGAAGCCATATCAGGCCGTAAACGCTGCTGACCCCTAGGTTTCGACGGGTTTGCTAGGAAAATGCTGCAGTTGGTAATTTTTATCTCAAAATTCGGCAGGTCACTGAGGTCCGCTTGTTTCGAATGTCGTCTGCGCCCACATCGTCGAAGACCTGCAGCCTTTTAGTGATAGGTAAGGCAGACTTTAGAGCAGGAACCTCAATTGGGACACCTCTGGATCCAGGTGCTAGCGGAGAAGGAGACATTTCCGCCGAAAGCGAACTGTTCAGATCCGTACACAACTGGGGTGTCGGCATAGAATTATTACATGTCGTTTTTTATTCATCTGAGCGATCTTGTGTCATCCCGCTACAGGTCGAATTACTAGTAGTGAATCCGAGAAGACTAGCAAGATGATCTGGATTATCATATGTAAATGATGAACGCATGCATATGTACATGCTAAAAAAGTTTGATGTAAAAGTAAAAGTGAAAATGTTTAAGCATTTGATATGTGTATGTAAACCGGTTTGATCAAGAGGAAGCAACCACGTGCATGAAGCTTGAAGCTTCCCAGAAATGTGGCGGGGATAGCTGTAAGGCATTGTGCTTATATGCATATTACAGCATTTGCGGTGTAAGTAGTACGCATTGACGCATATTTGCAATATAGAAATATATCTGCTATGTGCTAAGTTTCGTTTCGTTTCAAAACATGTTTTGCATCCCATCAACACATCATCTTTAATCTCAAGATCCTAGCCTAGATGAAGTCCTGTAAACACGTCTATCTACGCGTACGCTTGCTATATATAGCGATGATCTCAAAGTTCAAACAAAGCACTTATGTGAAAAACACCAAAGCGTCGACAGGGCTGACGACTATGTTGTCGGGGATTTAGAACCCAGACGTTTCTACACGTCACCTGCTAAAAGCGGAAGAGATTATCGCTAGACGCTTCTGGGGATGGAGCCTTTTCAACTAGATGACCAAGCACGATTACCGGGACATTGCGACAATAACTCTAACTTGCAAACATCAATTGCATCATTTACGTTAGCTTAGAAGCCGATTTCTAACATTCGGCAGGCTTTATGCCCACGGCTTTTCGACTATGCTTGACTCTGGGCATTGTCGCAGGTCTGCGCGTCCTTGTTTCATCTGATGGGACGATGTAAGGACCGGCTGCCAAATATGTGACGAGATCTTCGATAATGGAGTAGGAACTCATTCAAATATCTTCATATTCCCAAAAATTATTCCCAGATATTTTCCAGTCTGATCAACGGCGGGCTTCCTTTTTATTATTGTTATTGTTATTTTTATTTTTATTCTTCGCATTGCTGGTCAACTTGCGCTGTTATACATACATAATTTCATCGCCTAATTCAAGATGCTGTACGAATCTCTCGTCATTTTAGCGGCGGCCTCGGCAACGCTGGCTGCTACTCCCCAAGGGTTTCAGCCCGCAACGGAAGCTACTCTATTCGTTTCTTATGGCGGCAGTGCAGCCGCAAATGGTGGAAATGTTCTGGAAAAAGCGGGTAAGTAATCTTGACTCGGAATTCTCACCGTAGCAAAAATATACTCATGAGAACTGTAGTGACCCAGACGGCTCCTACTGTCGGTACACCGTCCAAGCTGGACGGGACATCGTTCGCGGTGCTGATGATGGACCTGGATATCCCCACGAACAACCCTCCTGCGACAGGAACTCTTCTCCATTGGATGCAGACTGGTTTGACGCAAAGCACGACTGCGACGGCTATAAATACGACCACTGGCAGCATGAGTGCTTTCCTATTGCAGAACTCCAAAAACCAGACTGCATTTGCAGCGTATTTAGGGCCGGCGCCACCAGCACGAGTTCCGCTATCTCATCGATATACGCAGATCCTAGTGGACACATCAAACGCCTCGACTAATAGCCTCAAGGTCCTTCAGACGGCAGCTTCGAACCGAAGTAATTTCAATGCCATGTCCGTCTTGACACAAGCCGGGCTAGCAAACAAGGTCCTGGCCGCAAATTTCTTCAACGTGACGAACTCTACCACTGCCAGCACTTCGGGAGGAAGCACCAGTAGCACTGGAGCTGACTCTGTCGCCTCGCCAACCCAGACATTTGTTCCCGCTGGGGCGGTGTCTCAGAGAGCTAGTGGGATGCTTTTGGCTATAGGATTAGTTGCCGCAGTATTCATCAGTCTGTAAATTGAGTTGGGATGAGATGAGATGAATAAGAATGAAATGACAATAAAACCGATGTCATCGCGCAAGAGAAAGCCAAGACATACACGCTTACGTTCGTCGAAGTTGAAGAGTACCTGTCATGCTATCGAGTTTCTTACTAGAGATCCACAGAAATCTCAGCAACCATAACCGTCATGATTAAATCGCACGTACTGAACTCGGTGTTTCGGAAAAGCAAAGAAAGCAAGTTATACCATCGACTGCTTGACTCGCTAGGAGCTCATGTAACAGTAAGCTCTACCACGCTCGCGCGCGGGTAAATAACTATCCCCGGGAAAGAAAGCTGCCTTATGCCGAACGGTACGATTACGAGTTCTCACTTAATATATCATTTTCGCCCGGTCTGCATGAACTGTAGCCGGCGACCTTTGATTAGATCAGAACTGCCGCGAAGAGTAGGAAGACGTATTCTCGGGACGTTGCACATGAACAGTATCCATTTCCTGCTTAGTTGGGATCCTTTGGCCAATCATCGAATCGGACGCCTTGTTGTTCCAGATCTAGCAATGCTGCGCGGTCCCCTCCCTCTCTTGGCTGTCTATTCGTTGCGATTCTTAGCAAGCTAGCTCCAACTCTTTGACAAGCTTCCCCGCAAACATTCCTTTCTTATGTGCCTGCGTAGACTTCCGAAATCTCCCCCACTTCACCGATGGCCGAGTACGCTACCAGACTACATAGCTCGCTGCTTCGAGGAGCTCGAACTCATCCTCAACTATGTGATCATCCCATTGTTGAATTTAACTGCTGATGACCTCCACATAGTGCACATAGCGCTCATCTAAGCTAACATAGTTACTACTTGGCTCGCACATTCCCTGAGCTCCCGGTCTTGAAATCACCCAGCTGACGATCCCTTCGCGCCGCGTTCACTAGCCTACTCCGCAGGGCGAGGGGCAACAAAGAGTGCGGGACACCTCGCCCTCACACACCGAAACATCACCGAACCATCCCGGCGGGCAGCCGAGAGTGCTTTTGGATCAATATTTCGGGATATTCACAATCTCATGCGGGTTGAACGGGTTCGACAAGCCACCCAATATGCGTTCAGAGAGCTGCGAGACGTGGGCAATAGTCCCTATCTGCAGCATCGGGATGCCTTGTATGTCCCTGAGTATTCCTCTGTCCGCTTGGCCTACTGTGTACATGATTCCACGCTGGCGGAAAGCCACTACCTGATGTAGCCGCTCGTAAAATTGCAATGCATGCATAGTACCTAGCGGGAAGGTTGGAGACTACGACGTGACCGAAGTAATAAGACCATTGAGCAACGGGGACTATCTACCTCTGGCTAGCTTTGTGTGCTCGAAACAGCAGCTAAAACATTCTCCGATTGTGTCCACCCCTCCGCTTCCCGAGCTGTGCTATGCTCAAACTGTTACTACGAGCTATGAGCAAAAAGATACCATTGTGGTTCCCCCTGGAGCTTTGCTCTGCTCTTTGTACGTAAGGTCAGCCCCAATTCATAAATGGCCGCGAGCTCCCGCCGTCGTCGACTTATTCTTCCTACGTTCTTCCCTACTCATTCTATCCTCATACTTGCGTAATTGAGTTTCTCCTGAGAAGCTCAGATCAGACCAGCAACCTGCTTAACCAACAAGCTTGAATACGTTATAATTATCCCTCGAACTACTCACCTTACCCAACATACCAAGCCTACGGCTGTTTTAGTCCAATTGGATAAAGCATAAATAACAAACTTCAAAATGGTATTATTAGCCCGCTCCCTCTCTTCCTGCTGCACTCGTCCCGTCTCTACGCGGGCGTTCTCTACAGCCACGGCAGCAGCTCGTTCTGTTAGCAATGCTCGACCGCTAGGCGCTGGCCTGACGTCACGGTCAGCCCCGGCGTTCAAGAGTCCTCTATTCCACCACCCTCCCTCGCCACGAATTCCCGCTACGACGCGTTTACTGACTACGAAACGTGAAAAGGTCAAAGTTCTAGCCGTTCTATACGATGGAGGTATCCACGCCCAACAGGTGAGTAAAAGAGGACATGATTCTTTACCAGCACAATTCCTTAGGCGGTGATTTTGCTGCTTGTCTTATTATTTTCTTTGCTTTTTTTTCTCCACCTCCAAGCTTCCTAGCCTCTGCCGTCTCCCCTCAATGCCGTTTCTTGCCTTAAGCAAGTTGGTCCGTCCAATGGGAGGAAACCAGCGCGTAATTGGCTGAAACGTGCATGCAATGGTCTGTCCTTGGTAACTGGATGTGGCGGCAGATGTAATGGTTGAAAGAGGGAGGGGGGAAGAGGAGCAGGGGGTTGAGATAGTAGAGGGGAAGAAGCATTAGAAGAGGGAAATGTGGAGAAGAGAGCAAACACCTATTCCCCTATGCCCCCTATTGCCCCTCTCAGTGCTGCCCCTCGACCCCAAAGTCGCATCACGAGTTTTCCCTCTCCACTTTACTTTACCTTACGGACTTACGTGAACTAACCTATCCTTCTTCCACCCAATTGCAGGTGCCCGACCTACTGGGAACAACCGAGAACGAACTAGGCATCCGAAAATGGCTCGAAGACCAAGGTCACACCCTCGTCACAACCTCCGACAAGGAGGGCGAGAACTCCACCTTCGACAAGGAGCTCGTAGACGCTGAGATCATCATTACCACTCCGTACGTGACCTATTACCCAATACCTAGTATCCCAGCGTTACCTCCTAGCTATGCGGAGATAGAAGAAAAAAATTAGAAAAATACAAGGATAATGGCCCCTGGACTAACAATACCCTCAGCTTCCACCCCGGCTACCTAACCGCCGAGCGGCTGGCCAAGGCCAAGAACTTGAAGCTCGCCATCACGGCGGGCATCGGGTCGGACCACGTGGACCTGAACGCGGCGAACAAGACGAACGGCGGGATCACGGTCGCGGAGGTGACCGGGTCGAACGTGGTGTCGGTGGCGGAGCACGTGGTGATGACGATCCTGGTGCTGGTGCGCAACTTCGTGCCGGCGCACGAGCAGATCGAGGCGGGCGAGTGGGACGTGGCGGCGGCGGCCAAGAACGAGTACGACCTCGAGGGCAAGGTCGTCGGCACCGTCGCCGTCGGCCGCATCGGCGAGCGCGTCCTGCGCCGTCTCAAGGCCTTCGACTGCAAGGAGCTCCTCTACTACGACTACCAGCCCCTCAAGCCCGAGGTCGAGAAGGAGATCGGCGCCCGCCGCGTCGACAGCCTCGAGGAGATGCTCGGCCAGTGCGACGTCGTCACCATCAACTGCCCCCTGCACGAGAAGACGCGCGGCCTGTTCAACAAGGATCTTATTGCTAAGATGAAGCCTGGTGAGTTTTTTAATCTATTTTATTAACTTACCTCCTCTCCCAGCGCGAAGAAGGTCGTGATTTGACAATTGACTAACACCACCTCCAGGCTCCTGGCTAGTCAACACGGCGCGCGGCGCCATCGTGGTCAAGGAGGACGTTGCCGAAGCGCTGAAGACGGGCCACCTCCGCGGCTACGGCGGCGACGTGTGGTTCCCGCAGCCGGCGCCCAAGGACCACCCGCTGCGCTACGCCAAGAACCCGTTCGGCGGCGGCAACGCCATGGTGCCGCACATGTCGGGCACGTCGATCGACGCGCAGAAGCGGTACGCCGCCGGCACCAAGGCCATCCTCGAGTCCTACCTCACCGGCAAGCACGACTACCGCCTCGAGGACCTGATCGTCAAGGACGGCGACTACGTCACCAAGGCGTATGGTCAGCGCAACAAGGCGTAAAACAACTTAACTTACTATTACTCCCCTACTCTCCTCTCTCCTCCTCGCCTGCCCCCAATTTCCCACAAAAGCGTGACGACGAAGATGTTTATATGAACATATTTTTCCAGGAGGTGCTATCTTTTTACTGAAATTACTTACCAAGTGTATACGAAAGGAAAGGATGGGTGCAATGAAATGAAATGGGTAGCCGGACGGAATCCGGCGTCCGACGAAATCGAAACCGACTGACTGACTATAAGCGACGAGCGACGACGCTACTACGGATATGAGCCTTTGATGCTAGGGTAATATGATTAAGTAGTGTTTTAGTACAGCCATTGCTTTGAACAATGATGAAGTCTGAAAGTGCCAATCTGTGGTTAAACCACCTGGTCTTGCGAAATTGCATGAGTCCCGTGATCCAGTCTATAGACAATGAAGATATACTGCACCTATTCCAGCCAGTTTCTGCACCTGATATATCATAAAGCCCTTTAGGTAACCAGTCAGCGCTAGTTGATCCTTTGACTAAAGCAGCTCCCCATCTCCTCACCACTCGTCCGCCCCGACCAGCCCTACACAGTTCCCATAGGCCTAGAATCGGGGCCACTGACGTTTGTTTTGCGCGACTATCGCGTGTTATGTCGTCAGAGACCTTTCTTGTAACATCATCGACACAAAGAAACATCCCCAACAACCCATTCCGGTTCGCTCAGCACGCAGAAATACCTCTAACATCTTACACAACCTTAGACGTTACCTCCAGGAAATGTAGATCTCTATGAAGACATACACGGCATATAAATAACCCCCCTTTCCTACCTTGATGGCCAAAAAAAAGCACCTTGCTGGCCAACCCTCTATTACCCGTTTCGACCACAGCCGACCAATCAGCAACCACCGCTAGCTATTGCAACATACTCGCTCTAAATTACAACGATTCATAACTCAGTATATTCTCTTAAGCTGTACATCATGGGATGCAACTGCAACTCCGCCGGCGCCTGTACCTGCGCCAGCTCAGGCACCTGCAAGTGCGAGCAGAACTGTGGCTGCACCAACTGCCCGGTTAGTCTGACATCCATCCATCCCCGTTTTCCACGTGTATTTGTACCTGTACCTTTATACTAACTCTATAACAGAAGAATGATTAATTAGCTAGCTCTACGTCTATTGCTTCGCGAAGCGGATTTGCGCTAGGCTTTTTGGTGTTGGTGTGAGTTTGTTTTTAAATGTCAATGTATCATGACAGGAGTTGGGCAACACGATCTACCGGTTTAGGTTTCCTTTTGGAAATTCCCAAAAATAAAAACATCTTGTACGATATTAAACGAAACGGTATGGAGGATACATAGTCGCTCCTTATCAACACACTTCACTGCTACTACATGTGTTACAATCCGCGTCGAATCAAGGCCATGAACATGTAATTCGAACGTGCAATTCGGATCCAGAAAACTACCTCCTATGCAACAGCCCTCCTCCCTATCCCTATCCCTAGGCACACCGTAACGCCGTAACAATGTAATCTTTCCTATGTAGATAGCCCGTAGTCATTACTCCTCATCATCACTACTCTCAACCACAAACCCCGCCCTCCGCCGCCTCGCCGGCGCTTTCGAAGAAGGCACATCGTCATCCGCATCCTCCATGTCAACGTCCTCTTCCTCGGCAGCAGCAGACGGCTCTTTCGACAACCGCCTGCGCTTCGCACCCGTCGCCTCGCCGGCCCCCGGACTAGACAACGGCGTATCATCCGCGCCCCCGTCCTCCTCATCCTCATCTTCATCCCTAGCGCCTCTCTTCCGGCTCCGACTCGACAAATCATCTTCATCCTCATCCTCCTCCTCATCATCATCGTCCTCCCTCGCCAACACCAAATCATCATCACCATCACTATCACCACTATCTCCCTTACTCTCCCCCAACATCTCAGCCTTCCTCTTCCTCTTCCTCTCCTCCCTAACAATCCCAGCCTTCACAGGCTCAGCCTTCGCAACCGACGTAGTCGTAACCCCCGCCGCCCCATGCTGCGCCGCGACTTGCTGCTGCCTCTGCCGGATCCTCTCCTCATTAGCGTAAAACTCAGCCCACTTCGCGCCGCCGCCGTCTTCCTCGTCCGACTCGTCGTCGCTCGCGTGCACGTAAAGCTCGCTCTTGAACCGTCTCGCCTTAGCCTTCTCGCGCTCCCTGCGCGCCCTTTCTTTCTCCTGCAGTTCTTCTTCGCCGAGCTCCTCCTCTGCTGCCTCGCTGCCCTTGCGGCGGCGGCGCCGAGTTTTCTTAGGCTTGTCTAGGTGTGCGTCCGCTACCTTACGCGTCGTCGGGCCTCCTGCCGGGAACAAGATTTCGTCGTCATCGTCATCGACGATTCCGCCATCCTCGTCGTCGTCGAACACGGCTTTCTTCCGCGGCGCTGTTTTCCTCCTCAGTTGGTCCTCTGCCAGTTTACCGTCCTCGAAGGTCGGCGGGTTGAACTCGGCCTTGTTGATCAAGTCTACGGATTCCTTCAATTGGTCGGGCGTCAGACGCGATGGGATGATCCAGGCTGATTCGGGCGTCTCGTCTATATCCGGGACGAGGCGTTCGATACCGACGAGCTTCATGAGGAGTCGGAGGTGGGAATTCTTGAATACGGCTGTGCGACGAGCGTCGTTGTCCGTTCGTATAGCTAAGTATTGTTAGCAGAAATCTATTGGCGACCGAGCAAGGAGACTCACAGATGACAGGGAATTCTTTAGTTGGCGAGCTCTCGGTATTCTGTTGCTCGCCTTCATTTTCACCCTCTTTTGCGCCCTCTTTTTCTACCTCATTTGCATCCTTCTTCTCACCCCCTTCCACAAGTGGCCCTTCTACCGATGGCATTGCCTTCTCTGCCTCTTCCCAAGCTCTCCTTTCCGTTTCTGCGGTAGATAGCTGGCCTTTAAGCCACTTAACATGGTCGGCCAAATTTTTATCTAACAGGACACCGACGGCAATGGCAATCTGTTGATCCCTGTCCACGAGATGTCGGAACTCCAACTCGGCCGCCGGTCTAGATTGGGTAGTAGACAGTGTCTGCTTCTCGTACCCGTACTCCAGGTAATGTGCCGTTGCATTGATCTTCGAGAACAGCATTTCTATGATTAACTGCGGTCGCTCCTCAACCTTACGGATGCACTTCTTGAGAATCTGCTTCACTAACTCTTCCCATTCCTTGTACATCGAGGAAGCCTTGTCCAGGGGTTCCTGGCCTTTGATCATGCTATAAAATAGTTGTATGATATCAACGCGGAAAAGCATGACGCTCATGTTCTGCTTGAAAGCTATGCGATAAAAGTAGCGATGCGCCCGCTTCAGCTGGGTATCGTCGAGGTCCTTGTAGTATTTTGTGAACTTGACGAAGGTATCCACCACGCCTTGAGGGGTAAAGCGATTTACAAAGCGATTGAAGTCGAATTTTCGCTCGCGTGATGTTCGCTCTGCGTTTGCCTGGTCGTTCTCGGAATCGTCTCCCTCTTCTACGGGATTCTCCTCATCTTCACCAGCAGCGTTTGCAGCCTTCTTCTTCTTACGGACTCGCCGTCGTGATCGCACTTGCATGTCTACGTTCTGTTTTGAGTAAGCCTCCAGAACGCGGAGGTAAGTGTGTGTAAGCTCGGTACAGGCATCAAGATACTCAAAACCTTGATCCTTATAGTCCCTCGCAATATTTGCAATTCTGTCGTGTGTTTCGTCTTCGTAGAAAATACGGGCGAGAATATTCTCTGCGATCTCTTCATCATCTTCGTTTCCAGACTCTGACATTTCTTGTACTGTGAGAAGAATTTGCGTAAAACATCGCATAGCGGCACATAACTCCTGCCAACGCTTGCTTTCCAGCGCATCTCCAATTGCTCTGTTTAACGTGATGAACGTCTGCTGGTTAAGAACTCCGGCGACGAGGTTGAACGAACCGACGTCTTCGGCGCTTGCCGACTTCTGGTCCTTCGCCTTGTCTTTCGCAACCTTCTTTCGCACTCTTTCCGCTTCCAAAAACCACGAGACCAAGTAGAAGAACTGCCGAGAATGATACTCGAAAACGTAGTCCTTTTGCTCATCGATCTTCTTTCGGACGTGCTGGAAAAGGGGGTTGAAACTAGAATCTAGGAATTCCTCCACAAAACCCTTCAATTGCTGGCGTGCCCTAGCATTGAGTGATACTGGAGGTCCAAGATCCTTCGGCTCCATATCTTCCTTCCTAGGTCTCCGCGGTGGACGATATACCTTGCTATTATCCATTTTATGCTGTCTAGTGGCCGCATCAAGCAAAGCATCTTGGCCGGTGACAGTTGAAACTTTACCGTCGCCTCGATCCACCCAGAGCATAGTCCCCCATCGATTATGTCTAGACGGCGCTTTTCGATTGTATGGTCGGTGCATTGCCGCCTCCTTATTCATCATCGCCGTGAGTTCATTCGATTTCGCTTTGCCAAGCTGCTTTTCATCCATGAACAACTTAGTGACATCGACTCGCTTGACTAAGTGGAAAATGATCTCCATCACAATAACTCCCTCCTGGTTGAAATCATCTCCCATATTGGAAGCTATTGTCAAGAGGGTGAGAAGAATATCTTGATAGGAAAACGCATCGATTAGAGCGGAACGCGAGATCTGAGATTCGTCTCCGTCATATTGAACGCCCGGGGGTGGCGAAATCATGGCTACGTTCCGCAGAAACAGCAGGACTAGTTTGATAATTCCTTCGTCACGTCCGGATCGATCGCTTCGTGATAGAGCCATGGAAGGCAATGCAACTCGTACGGCGGTATGGAGAATCTGGGCAGCATCGAAGTTGATAATGGCACGCTTATAACCAAGTTGGGCAAGCTGCAACACCGGAAGATGTCTATGGTGGTTGACAGTCATCTGATCACGATCTCTTTCCAATGGCCAGGTCAATGGTACCATAATCTCGAAACATGCTAGGGCAGCTCTCGCTCTGAACTTATTGTTCGTCTCGTTCTCGGGCCATGTCGCAAGGATATGCAGCAAATCGCCGTCGACTATGTTTGCTTCGGCAAGACATCGCGCAACGTCCATTCGGTTCGTCTTCTCGTCGTAAAATCGAATCCATTTTTTAATATCCCTAAGAACCTCCAAGGCGGAGTCTCCAAGTACGTAGCGTCCATCGTCGTCGGCACTAAAACCACCAAGCTACAAGATCGTGATCAGTAACACCGCCAGCAAACGGCATGCGATAGAAGCGACTAACCGCTGAGACTAGACTGTTTATATGCGCCCGAACCTCAGGATGCACCACATCCGTAGTACCTTCAGAGGGCTCCATGTTTGTAGCGAGGAATTGTTTCCCTGCGCTAGAGTTCTCCCCGTATGTCAATCTTGTCTTGGACAATCATCAATACTGGAGGGGCTAATCGAATTGGTATAAATTGAAAACGCGACAAACGCGTCTTCAATCGACAGAATAACGCGCTAAGATGCACCCAATTAAGTGGAGAGTGTATGCGGATTGGCCCGTGCGTGACGTATGTACTCATGCTCAGAACGGTGGCCCCACAGATATCCGTATCCCGAGGCTATCCGGTTACCTCATACTTCCGGGCCCTTATTAACTTACCTCATATTATAATCTCACCCACCTTCATTCCCTCGATAATTAAGTGAGTTTTGTACGGATATAGGAAAATGGCAAGCTCAATTGTAAGAATAAGAGCTTTACAGCTCGGCCGTCAAGTTAGGCATTTTAGCTCTAGCCCTGCTCGATATGCGGCCGAAGTTAAGAGTCTAGGCGTCCTAGGTGCAGGTCAAATGGTAAGAAACCACTTTCACATGTGAATTGAAGCTATCACAATTCAACTCAGCGCAACTCAACTCACTTCTCCCCAGGGACTTGGTATTGCTTTAGTTGCTGCTCAAAAGGCTGGCGTTCCCGTCACACTTGTCGACTCATCACAGTCATCTCTTGATAAAGGATTGTCATTTGCAGGTCCGTTCAATTTATGATCATCTTGCTCCTCAACTTTGATCACATATGCTCATTAGACTATCCAGAGAAGCTTCTATCCAAAGATGTGTCGAAAGCGCGACTCACGCAAGAACAAGCGGATGCGGCAAGGGCTTTACTCTCACCTACCACATCAATTGAAGAGCTCTCGGGTGTTGATTTTGTAATCGAGGCCGTGCCGGAGATCCCCCAGCTGAAGTTTGACATCTTCTCAAAGCTGGCGGAAATCTGCCCGAAGCACACAATCTTAGCAACTAATACGTCTTCCATCTCGATTACCAAAATCGCGGCTGCAACTACTAAGGATCCTAAGGATACGTCTACGAGTTCTCGCGTGGTATCAACCCACTTCATGAACCCAGTGCCGGTACAGAAGGGCGTCGAGATTATCAGCGGGCTGCAGACAAGTACAGAAACCGTCGAGACCGCCGTGGCTTTCTGCAAAGCCATGGGTAAGATCCCTTCAGTGTCCGCGGATTCGCCGGGCTTCTTGGCAAACCGGATTCTAATGCCTTATATCAATGAGGCTGTAATATGTCTGGAGACTGGCGTCGGAGATCGGAATTCTATCGACGCCATTATGAAAAACGGTACCAATGTACCGATGGGGCCGCTCCAACTTGCCGACTTTATCGGATTGGATACATGCTTAGCTATCATGAAAGTTCTTCATCAAGAGACAGGGGACTCTAAGTACCGACCGAGTGTGCTACTCGCTAAGATGGTGGATGCTGGTTGGCTAGGGAAGAAGAGTGGTAAGGGATTTTATGACTATTAGATGAATGAGATGTGCAGGCCACCTTATTGTATACCTAATTATCTCAATTGAGCATGAACTTGACTCCTATAGCCAAAATTGACAGGTGTATCCTTATTGACGACTTCATCCGCACACGGCGTCGGGTCTCAGGGATTGGATCGAGTTCTAGTTTTTTTCAATTGTTTCCCTGTTGAAACAAGTGTATTTCGAATGATAGAATAAGAATCTATACTTCGTCATATCATGTCAGTTGGCAGGTCACTCATCTCCTGACTCAATAGTCAAGCTATTAGTTAGCACACATTATAGTCGCAATCCCCATTACCGAACCACACAGCAGCTCGATTATATGTCCAGCACATACCTACATATCTACACACAAACTAATCTCGAGCCAGCGAGTTACAGATCACCTTACATACAACCGAAACGGGGAAAAAAGCCCAAGAAGCTGAATTTGAAATGTCTTCATTTCATATCTTTCTCTCTACTCGCTATAAACGAGACAGAGGCATCGAATAAAAATCCACCTTCTGGTCCGCGCTATTGGGTATCGCCACCTCTTCGCACCTCCTCAGATGTGCGTATCTATCCCCCTTCCCCCTTTCCATTACCACTAAGAAAATAATAAATATGTAGAAGGTATAAAAAAAGAATAATAATGCGAGAAGAAAGAAAAAATGCGTGTCCCGTACTCCGAAAACCCGTTTCGCCTCCCGTCGTGAAAACTTCCGTTCCCTTTTTTTCTCCCCCTTGACGCCCCATGTACTTGCTATACAGGCCTTCTGGGGGTATTTGTTGTGTCTGGCGCGCGAAACTAGGCTAACAGGTAAATTACATACAAAAATGGGGCGCGAGCTGCAACACCCAAGAAAACCAGGGGAAGAGAATTGACGACAAAAACGTGATATATTGTCTAAACTGGCGGTACGGTACTGTGCGAGCTACCGAGAACCCCCGCCCGTTCGTTTCGCCCTTCCTTTTTCGTTTCTTTTTTTTAAGAAAATGCAGCGCCCCATCTTCTCGGCCCGGCTCCTGATGTCGGTAGCCGTCATAAAAAAACCGAGCATTCCTCCTCTGCCACCCTTTTAAGCATTAAAGTGTCGGCGCCGTCATTATAAGAAACATATATCCCCTTCTTCACCTCCGACGTTAATCGTGTCGAGAACGTCTCACTTAGCTAAGGACCATGACCATAGGCCCAGCAAGCGTAATAGCATCCGTCAAGACGCCATCAGCAGGGCCGGCGCTAGTCAGGGTGACATAGACAGTACCCGCCAGGTTAGGCGGCAAAGCGCACCCCTGAGCAGGGTCGAAGGCAGAGAACGCAGTACCGCCAGGCGCAGCCGAGTTAGTGAAGCCGCAGAAGGTAGCGGCGGACGCGGCGTCGCTCTGGAAGTTGAGCATGGTTCCTTGCGCGAGGGCCATGACGCCGGCTACCGGAGCGGGGCTAGTCATCGTCAGGGTCGGGAAGGCGGTGAGGATGAGGTTGGAGCCGCCGGGGCAGGACTGGATGAAGGGGGCGGCGAGGGAGAAGACGGCCTTGGGGCCCAGGGGAGTGTCGAAGGGGGAGGGGGAGGCGGCGACTCCCGAGGCGACGCGGATGAAGGACTGGTGCCTGGCCTCGATGGTGAGGATGGAGGCAGCGGTGCTGAGGATCTTGGTGTCGGAAACGAGGGGAGCGGCGCCCAGGTAAGCGGAGATACCGACGCTCTCGAGGATGGAAGCGGTGGCAACCATACCCTTGGCGTCGGTGAAGCCGAAGTTGTATTGGCAGGGCTGGACGGGCTGGACACCAGCCTGTGCAATGGAGCTCTGTAGCAGGTCGACGTGGTTCTGCTCGCTGGAGCCAATACCCTTGAGATCGGCGAGCTGAAGATCGTTCAAGCCGAGAGCCTTGAATTGGTCGTCTCCAAACTGAGCAAAGCCTTGTTGGTAGAAGGAAGCCTCAAGCCATTCCAGGGTCAAGGCGCTGTATACTTGTTAGTGATCTGATATATGGGTATTTGTATGTAATGAGTTAGTGTCAACTTACAATTGCAGGATATCGACGTCTTGCAGGCCGAGAGCGGCAGCGGCGGCGTTTTGTCGCTTGGCGAGGTTGTAGATGTGGTTTTGTCTCGTCGTCAACTTGGGGTAAGCTGGGAGAGCGCTGGCAACGGCCACCAATCCTGCCACAACTCCTACGGTCTTCATGATGGAAGGCATCTTGTCTTATTATTGTCGGTTAGGTAATAATCGTCTTCGTTCTCCGTTTCGTGTTAAGTAAAATAAATGTCGGACCAAATAGCGACAGCGTTGAAAAAATTCGTAAAAAAAGAGCGATTATTGAAGTGAATGAAAGCAAGACTAGCTTGGCTGTTCTATAAAAAGGCCCACCTGGGTATTACAAGAATTACAAATTCGAAAGGAGAGTGAAGACGTTGATCCCGCAGGAAGCAGACCAGCGCTTTGAATTTCGGAGTTGGACACGAATTGTACGGGATGAGAAGGGAAAGGGAAAACCAAACCAGATGGACGGGAAACAGCGCTTCATTAAAACCAAGTCGCCAACAGGTAGGATTTGATGTGCTAGCCAGAGCGGGTCACGGAAAGAAGGCAGGCCGGCAATAGACAGGGCGATCTTAAGCACCGGCCCCTTGAGGCTCCTTGACAATAGGAATGGCATTTCTACTTGCCATTCCCTTCCTCCCACGAGCTTCCGACTCCGAGAATCAAGGGGTACCTGGCATACCTTGGCAATCTAGATTCCATAGTATGCGGGATCAATCAGGTACAAGGCTCAATGTAGACGGGAGGGAGACTAGCCATAGACGGGAAGAGGAAACGAAACGAAGGTGAAGGTAAGCTTCACTCGGTCCAATGAGAGCCGGCATCGTAGATCAAGCTCATAGCTTAAAGTTGAGATGAAGACAGCCTTGTCAGGTCCGGGCTCGGATCACCCATGCTTTCGCTTAAGGGGGTCGCAGCCAAGAGCCGTTGAGGGGACGACCAGGGGTTGATTTTGACTCCTTAGGAAAGGAGCTGGCGGACGCGCACGGGATCTTAGAGGCCCGCCCGCCTCAGATGACGTTTCAGAGAGCGGACGGTCAGCGAGCCGAGCTCTGAAACTGGAGACCCAGCTGTCCCGGTTGATTCGCCCGTTACCACGTTCGCAAGCTCTTTATTAATGATGCCAGTCCCTTAAGGACAGGCTTTAAGCTTCATGACGCATTGGTACAGTGTTGTGACACGGCTTGGCGGTAGGAGTTGGATCTGCTCCTAGATCTTCCTAGATTCAGTAACGGAGCAACGTCTTCAAGTCTCTCTTCAGCTTCATCGACAACGTAGAGACCTTATGCTTCGCACGTAATAAGAAAATATAGTAATTTAGTAACAGATTCAATCTTATTTGGCCTTTATTATCTAATATCGTGGATTATTGTTATTGGGCCTCTATGATAAATCAAAGAGAAAAAGATTTTGACACCTGCGCTACGTGCGCAAAGTATAGTAGCTTCCAGGGACCTGGTAGACCGCCAAACCAGGGTTATAATTGGTGGAGACGGGGTTGAAATGACAGGAATGGTAAATGTCGTATCGCGCGTTTCTCAGCACCGCTAAATCCTCACTGAATCTCGACAACGGCTTGGCGGACGGAATGACGATAGACTGTAATTAGGGTAGGTAAGTAACAAGATAGAAGAGAGATTGGATCGTCGCACGGGTGTTCATTGAGTCCCTGGTTACATCGCAGATCTATGGTGCGCGATGCACATTGGCGCTAGATTAGCTCTTCATCTCTATTCACGTACTCCATTCTTTGGATCCGGTGCCAAACGTTGGACGAGGCAGCACGTGAGAGGGAAGTGGGAGGAAAGAGACGGACCGCGACGGGAGATGGGGGTTCGGAAAAGGAAAAAGCCACATAAAACAACGGCAGCTGTGGTAGGTTACACATCCGGGGATCTCATCTAACCGGATCTGTCTGACGCCCTGCGATTACTCCGTGCATGCATCATGCTCGCATAGCTCGAGGCCTGCTGCAGGTCTGTCCACTGGGATCGAAAACTACCTGCATACAACTCGGTCCCAAGAACTATGTACATAGTACCATGGATATATATATCTATCAAATTTCATGCCTTTACCGTGGAATGTATGGAATGTAAATCTTGCTGAATATATCCTCGGACGATCTACTCGCGTATGATTTACCTTGACTATGAAAATGTCACGATCGTCGTACCAGGTTATTCATCGGAACGAATGGTATAACTTAACACGATCTCATATATCTCTGTTGTTGATTGTGGCAGCTACCTAGTTCTATCTGCCTGTCCAATAAAACACTTTTTATCAACACGGTAAGAGATGCACTCCTTGGGGTTCCGGCCGAGAGCGGCCTGACAATCTACCCTATTTTCCGCTCCTCCTTACTTCATAAACTCTACATCCCGTGATTCAAACAGCGCGTAACAAACGTGCCGCCGCTCTATTGCCCCGCCTGCCCAAAGTCGTCAAGCAAAAAGCAAAAGCAAAAGCAAAAGGATATCGCCATTATGGCGCCTACAATGCGTAGGGGTTAAGCGAGCGGATCGTCAAGCAACTATATATCCCGTTAGTCATATGCGATCTACAACAGGGCTCGGGTTTACTTACGGTGGGCTCTTGCTAAGATCCGTCTTGAGGATCACCGGTACTCTAGTCATCTCCGTCACATCTTGGATGTAGTCGCCACCTTCTTCCCTCAGAGCAAATAGCTTGAGGTACTTCTCCTTATTCGTCAGACGGGTCTCTACAGCTTCCGCCATAGGCACCTTCGAGTCCGACCTGGTGCGGTGAAGGACACCCGGGTTAGATGAGGATCGAGTTGGCGATCCTGGCACGCTCTGAGTAGGGCGCTCGGCCAATGAGGCACCGGCCATAGCCTCCGTAATATCGGAAGCATTGTCGTCATCGTCTTCGAATAACGCATCAACGTCATCTGTTGATCTGGTACCTGTCTCGGTTTGCTTCCGTGTTGCTTCCTCTCGCTCCTTCTTGACCCTCTCGGCCTCCTCTGCCTGTCGGGCAGCTGCCATGGCATTCGAGATTCGTTGCGAACCCGCCTTAGGTCTCTCATCTTCCGGTACGTAGGCTGAACTGGGAACACCTTTCTCCCAGTAAAGCTCCAAGACCCTCTTCTCCTTCCTGAACTCAGCCTTCTTCAGCGGCAACTGGTCGCAGTGCACACGCTTCTCGAAGCCCCATTCGGGAATTAGAACGTCGAAGGCAGATTCGTAAACGCAGATAACAATGCCTTCGCTAATCAGGTCACCATTAACCTCCTGGCGTTTCTTGTCCATGATTCTACAGGACTCGATGTGAATGCTTTGTTCTTGAGCGTTCTGTGCCGACTCCTTCTTGGTGTTACAAGATTCAATCGTCTTCACCAGATTCTCGATATCGTCGTTATATTCAACCTTGCCCTCCGAAATGACAGCCTCCAGTTGGCGGTGAACAATGATGTCAGCGTATCGCCTCGTGGGGGCTGTGAAGTGGGTGTAAAGAGGTAGGTTCAGAGCATAATGGGGCCAAAGTAGCTTGTTAGTCTTGCCAGTTATATAGTATTTGGCGTGTTGCATCGTTTTCAGTAGTAGGGTCTCCATGCCCTTGCGGATGTCGGGATCGTCAACCTTGAAGAGGCTGTTCTGGAGCGTACCGCTGCTGGTGGTATCGATGTCGTATCCAAGCGCCCGCATACGCTCAGCGAAGGTCTGCAGCCTACGAGCGTTTGGTGGTGATTCGCGCCTAAGCAACGCTTTTTCGGGGAGGCCCTGTGCGAGCTTGTGAGCGACAGATGAGTTAACTTTGTGCAAAAGCTCTTCAACTAGTTCAGTGCCAGCTGTCGCATCGAAGATGTTGTGCTGGATAGGGATGTTCTCGTCATCCAACTGATGGAGCAATCGAAGAGGAGCCATTGGCTCACCCTCGGAGCCCAAGCGTGCCTCTCGGAATTTCTGTGCGACGGCCTTGAGATGATTGTTAGAAGCATTCTTTTTAATGGAATTAGAGAATGACTTACATTAAGAATTTGGACATCCTTAACCTGGACAACAGGGTGGCTGAAGCCGGCTTGATTAGATAAAGCATCGTCAAGTTCCTTTAGAGTCAGTGTAGCGTTGCTCTTGATAATACTCTTGCCGATCCAAGTGTCGCCCTCCGCAACCACGCCAGTGTGCGCGTTAACACGGAAAACAACACTAATAGTGAGTCGGTCTTCATTTGGAAGGAGAGTGCCGAGCTCCGACGCAATTCGGGGAGGAAGTAAAGCACATGTTCGGTTCACAAGATGAACGGCAGTACCGCGCTTCTTCGCTTCCCGATCAACGAGCGAGTTAGGCTTGACGAAATGAGTGACATCAGCTACATGGATACCGATCTCGATCTTTCCATCAGACTCGGTCTTGACATGAACTGCATTGCCGAGTTCCCCGGTGCCGGCAAGGTCGAGGGTGAATGTCTTCTCCTCACGGAAGTCTCGGCGAGCACTGATAGAAGCCTCGTCCTCCTTAGCGAGAGACCAATCCTGAAGACCAACGCTTCGCAGGACGGCTTCCGAAAACTCGTCGGATGAGAAATTGTTATCACGTAGAAGAGCATCGGTCTCAACCTTCAAATCACCCATCTTGCCGAGTTGCTCGACAAGGGTACCGAAGGGGTGCAGAGACGTAATAGGCCAGCGCTTTATACAAGCAACAAATATACGATCAGCATATTCTTGATGTTTCTCCACGAAGTCACGTGGTGCCTGTTCGGTGGGAATGGCAATGAGAGGGACACGCTTATCGGTAGGTTTGAACCAGACGATCTTGGGTTTATCCTGCTGGCGGCTGTCGTGAGATCGGCCACCATCGCGAGCAGCCCGCTCCGCTTCCTGCTTCTCCTTGGTAGCCTGGCTGCTGGGGCGCAATAAGCCAAGCGTACCCGAAAACATCTGGCCAGCAACACGTTCAATGACAGCCACGATGTGGCCGGCATAAAGAGGCTTCGATTCATCGTTAATCTCCTCTTCTTCAACGAGAAGGAGGCTCTGTCCCTCCACTTCCACGTCATCATTCTTTTTCTGTGTAGGCCTCTGTCGGAGACTACCACGTCTACGGATTCCTCCTTCGCCGTTGGTTGCCTCTTCCCCGTTGCCGTTGTGAGATTGAGCATTGCCATTGGTAGATCCGGATCGTGTGTCAGTGATGTCCTTCCTCTTCTTTTTCTCTTCCTTCTCGCGCTTTTGCGACCATACCTCATCTACATCAAGGAGCTCAACCGCGACGAGATCGCCCTCCAACGCTCGGTTGCGATCTTTGCTACCGCAAATGAAGATATCTGCATCTAGAAGGCCATCTGAAGTAGCCACGTACGCATCGCTACGATTCTTTTTATTTACTCGGAGAATACCAGATACGAGCTGCCCGTCACCAAGCAGCGCGGGCAAGGTAGCTTGGGGAAGATAGGGCGTGAAAAGTGTCTTTCTCTGCTGCTGCTGAGACTGTTGGCCACTGAGCTGCGGCGCATGCTGGCTCCCTTGAAGACCAACAAGATGCTGGCCGTTCATCTGAGCAGCTTGAAGAGCTTGGAGCTGATTCAACTGCATAGGATTTAGCTGTTGGCCAGGGTACATCTGCATTATTGGCATCTGGCCATTAAATTGCATAAGTTGAGCCTGGTTAGGATACTGGAAGGCTCCAATGTTCGAGATAGACTGCTGGCTCACCGAGCCGCGGTTGCGATGGCCAGGCTGGAAACCCTGCTGGCCTTGACCAGCCTGCTCCTGACCTTGGTTTTGACCCTGCTGGTTACGCCAATTGCCTTCGAAATTGCGGGAAGAAGTTCGAGCATGGCCGCCTGCGGCGCTGCCACGGCGACCAAAATCACCGGACTCGTTGGTGTTGAGATGCATTGCTCCACCGCGAGCACCCCCTCTGCCGATTGCCATGCTCTGGCTTCGTCCGTGTGCGCCGCGTCCGCCACGAACGGATGTGCCCTGTGCTATAGGGGTATCCGCGGAGACGGATTTGGGTTCCTCAGCAGGGGAGCTCTCGGAGGGTCCCGCAGCCGGGAACTGGAAACCCGAAGTTGTCCTTTTCTGCTGAGCAATCTCAGCTGCCTTCTTGGCATCAGCCAGGGCTAAAGAATGTCTTCTCTGGTGACCGGAGCCGCCGCCTCGCCCTCCCCGAGGGGCGTTCTCCCGATTCTGCTGACCAGACGAGTTATCAAATTGCCCAAAGGCGGACCCGGAAGCTCCAGTTGAAGGAGCCGGGGGTGGTCCCATTCCCATGTTAGGGAGGGCCGATTGGTTACGGCGGTGTGACATGGGCTGACTCGGCGGTCCCATGGGAACATTCTGTTGCTGTGGAAGCTGGTTGGGAAATTGGAAAGCCGTCTGCGGCGACATATTGGCCATAGTGGGCTGTAGGGGGTTGAAAGAACCGCCCGGACCCAACTGACCCGGCGGCATCATTCCCATATTCATGTACTGGTGTGTGGCTTGAATTTGCTGTTGCTGCTGCTGCAACAACTCGATCTGCTGCTGAATAGCAAGTTGCTCCACTAAAGACAAAGCAAAGGCGGTTAGCTTCGAGAGCGACAAAAAACAATAAATCCGGTAACAGATGACAGCAATAAAGGGAGCTTGGTGATAAGGACATTCCAACTTACTTCCAGGGGTTGCGAACATGCTCATCAGCGGGGTAAGTTCAGACGGACTCCTACGATGGGCGATGTGAAGGCGACGGCCAGTAGGTCCGGGAACGCCCCCCGTTTGAGGAGCAGGTGGTTGTTGCTCCATATCGGGCTACGGTTTAGCAGGTAAGTTGCACGTCGTGTGCGAACAAAGCCAAAGATGGTTGGCACGATGACACAATGATGGGATGACGGGATAATTGGATGGACCCTTTAGGCGATAGCCAGTGTTGTTGGTTGTGGATCGAAGCTTTGAGATGCTTTCGAATGCTGGTGATGCTTGTGGTGCTTGTGGGTTGATAAAAACTTGGTAGTTGGATTTTTTTGGTATGGTGATTGCGTGGACTTTTGCGACTAACAAAAGGAGGGTAAATGAGAGGATTGAACGAGGCTGCGATGCTTGCTGTGTATGTGTGAATCCCAAGAGAAGGAATGTGTGAAAAGTGCTGAGAGAGGGTGAATAATGTGATGGGAAGTGGGAAAGATAAGGGAGAGGAGAGACAGGACGAAGAGGGTTGTGGTGATGGAGATGGAAGTTTGGGAAGCTTTTGGAGGCACTGGGCTTTCTTGGGAAGATCACTGCTTGGATAACGGGTACGGGGAAGAGGATTGTGAGGTCAGGACCTTCAAAGCACGGTGCACACCCAGACACCCAAAGGTACATCCCAAAGCGAGGACGGGCAATATGGGGCAAAGGGCTTGGCGGGGCCTATGTGGGTCAGGCTTTCGACTAGGCTGGGGTCGGCCTGATTGGTCGGAAACTTCATGATGTGGTAAGAGGTACGAAGACGGTAGGCACGCCCCCCTGTCATCTTTCTAGGGTCGGTGCTAGACTGCTAGCAACTTTAGCAGGCTTAGCAGGTTTAGTACGTTAGGTGGCACTAGCACAATTGAAGGTTGTAACCCCAAGCTGCCTGTGCTCGAGCTCTGAGCTATGTTCCTTACGACGCAATGTTTTACGGTTGCCGGGCTGCAAATATGGCTGGACCTCTAGTGCTAAGGTGGCTACGTATACATATAGGTACCTCACTATACATTTCTATATACGATTATACATCTGTAAGATCTCTGACGAATGTCAGAATACGGGTACCAGACTTTTGTATGGTACATAGGCATGTACTTTTCTATTTAGGTATAGATGCGCAAAATCGTATGGATTACATAAAACAAGTTGAGTCGATAGGTGGCCTTTTTAAGTTTCCAATCAGCTTTTTGAGTGCATCAAGTGGTTCAAATGTTTATGGAAGACACATGTGCAGTACCTACCTGCCGGTACTAGGTATGTACGTATTTCAGCTGGGGAAACAGCCAAATTTCAGTGGCAGTTACCTTAGTTTCAATGCATGGGGCTATAAAGAGGGCAACAACAAACGAGTTTGTTCGAAACGAATTGCCATAAATAAAGGTACTTACCTACCTAGTACGCTGTCGTATCGGGGGCGGCAGTGTCCTTGCCGGGAGCCAGGAGCCTTCCTTCAACCACGAATTAAGTAACTAATGATTATCGGATTCCCTTGAGGAAGTTGATACCATTCCACTTATTCCGATTGCATTCACCCTTCGGAGTGGATGTACGACACCAATAGGTAGTAAGCCAAAGGAGAGAAGTTAGGGTTCGCGGAGGGGCCATGGCAAGCTTTGCACGTTTAACTATTTCAACAATTATTTCGTATTGGTATATCGTCGATTTTATTTTTGATCTGGTGATATCAGAAATATCAGTACATATTTCCAAGGTTAGGTCTTTATAAGTTGGTTTTCGTCGAACTGATAACAGGGACATCCCGAACACAAGCCAACTTAAATTAATTGGATGCATATTGCCATGAATCTAAAGAGTAGACAACCTCCACTTATTAGTATACTAAGATGCTCACAAGCACAAGTCTGACGACGGGATGACATTGGAACTCCACAGGATCTCATAGTTATCCGTCTACTGCCAGCTAGGATGACCTGTCTACCTAAGCATATGTAGGCACTAAATATGACGCCGTAAAAGCCGAACGGATGGAATCTATTGTTGGGAGGCTAATGTGGATACCAGAGTTAGCTACCGCAGTGCATAAAATATCTGGGCAGCTGCTGGGCAGACAAGAAGGGAAGATCCAACAAGAGATAATCGTTTCTCCATGGTTATGGCCGCCAAACATGGATAGATTCTGGTATGTTAGAAATATGAACAAACATCAAGCTATCACAAGCAGTAGAGACAGCCAAGTAGCATTGTATGAACACATTAACAAAAAACTATAGCAAACAAGTGCTGATAAGTTTCTTATGGTTTATACGTTTATGTGTTTATAAATAATTAACGTGAATATTTTAACAGATATTTCCTTGATATATTGGGGATCATTCGATATCTTTAAAGAATTTGTCGTCTCAAGTTGTGAAGCAACCTATCCTCTATCTAACAACTTTGGAACTTTGATTCCACCAATTTGTGACAAGGCACACTAGCCACTACGAGGTACCTGCGTAACCTTTCAGGAACCTAAACGCCACACTCCCTACTCCGCCGCATTGGTAAAAACCCACTAAAAATAACATTGAAAGCTATCTCGGCCAATCCTTTTTTCCAGATGCATTGTCCCGGCAGGTGCCAGTGCAGTGCAGGTCCCTTTTCCCAGCTTCCTATCGATAACTTGAATTGATTTGATTCATTATCCATTCACGCACCACGCCCTTGATCACTACTCTCGACTTCGCCCTTAACGTTCACCTAGTACCTTTCAAGGTCTTCCGTTATCGCCTCCACAAGAGATACACTCATTTACCTTCACTTACCTACTACAAAACGAATCTCGCAAATTAAGCGATATTCGAAGTAGCGCTGCTCGCTGCTCAATCTTCACGCAACACACTCGTTATTTTTCACACCACAACCCGTACGATATACACGGTTCACAATGCAGTAGTCGTATAAATCTACTGGATACAATGGCTGGTTCTTCTCCCACACCTCGGAGATCGCGTCAATGGTCAAGTCCTGACCGCCGCAGTATATCGAGCCTTCTCACCGAAAGTCGCAATTCACCCCTGAGCCACCAAGATGCTCTTGCTGCGGCACAAGCTGAACACGACCGCGTCCGCGAGGCTGCTATCAGGGTATACCAAGATTATGAGTTACAACAGGAACGGCGAAGATTGTTAGAGCAGCAAGAACGGGTAGTGCAGCAGCAAAAGCAGGAAGAGGAACGGATTCGGACCGAAGAACGACTAAGAGCCGAAGAAGAGCGGCTGAGGGAGCTGAAGCTAAAGACAGTCCCGAAACTTCCACCCGAACCTCCGGCTCCCATTGCAGAAGTTAACGGGTCTATCACTTCCCCAAAACCAACCCAGCCTACTTCAGCTGGAACAACATTAGAAGCGACAACAGTTTCTCCAAAGGCAAACCTATTTGGCCTTCCGCAGCCATCTTTGACCAACGGGTTGAATGGACATACCAATGGCTCGAGCAACGCGAAGCCCGTGCAACCAACAATACAATCACTCTTATCGCAGCCGTTGAGCCAACCGAAAGTCACACCCCAAGCACAAGCACAACCTTCAACTACTCCGTCGCCATTCTCACAGCCGATTAAGACCGCACCTACTCAACAAAATGGATTCCCTACCTCAGCCTCCGCCAAGCCCTCTACGGGTATTACTATGGATCGGTACATTGAAATACATCAGAACTTGAAGAAATTACGAGAATCACTGTCGCAACAGGCGAAGTCAAATCCTGCTCTGAAGCAACGGATGGGAGATATGCGGCGGGAATTGAGGAAGAACATGGGCCAACTAGTTGGTACGAAGGGTGGAAACAGAAAACAGGTTTGTCTCCCTTATGACTTCTCAGATTTTTAGCTAACTTTGGAATAGAACGAAGCTATTCAGGCTCTTCTAGACGAAGCAATCAGCGGTGCTGTGCCAAGCCAACTAGTCGACCCGTCCGATTACATTACAGACAAGAGAGAACCAGTGCAAGGCGCCTTGCACAACGAACCACAGCTCCCTTCCTTATTCCTCTACTTACTCAACCACTTCGCCAAGGCCGTCATCAACCAATTCATCAACGAATGCGGTGCACAGCCCAAGACGGCCGATCCTATCGGAGTCACAGTAGCAATCATCTTCTCGAAGGATGTCTACTTGTGGCGTGGAAAGACGTTGATCGATATACTGATGGCAAAGTTCCGAGTGGTCTGCCCTGTCTTATTCGGTTATTATGGGAACGAAAAGACGGGACAAGGTCGCCTCCGCCTGGGTTGGAAGAACTCTCCCGCTGGCTTTATTCCCGAGCAACAGCACAGCGATCGGATGAAAGGTCTGGGGGCTGGTTATGCCTCAATTGCGTTGAGAAACTTCGGGAAGACGAAGAGCACGAATCCGTGGCCTCCTACGAATTATTGGACTGCTATGGCGAAGATAGTAAACACGCCACCGGCCGACATCTCAGAGACGCAATTCGTGGTTCTAAGAGCCATGATCGAGGCTAGCGAGGAGAAGTTTATTCACTTCTACGGGAATGCAGGTATAGCTGCATTGAGGAAAGCTTTAGTCGAGTTCCCTAACAAAGCGGTGAACAAGACGCCAGGTGCTTCAGGATTACAAGTGCTCGCACAAATCTTGAAGAGGGATATTGGACTAGAGCTCTAAGCTTCTAGCCCTAGCACTAGGATATGGACGGTCTGGATCTGGGTATAGAAGGCATTCGCCTGACTTTTCTACGGCGTTGGGTGGAAACTAATGCGTAAAGTGATTTGGCATTAGACGGAGTCTAGAACGGTTCAGATAGGTACTGCGTCTTCTGGCGTCTTTGAATATACCCTAGCCAAGGTGGTCAAGAAGCACGATATCGCTTTACTACCGACGCTATACTGGATCTGTACAAAAAAATTGCAGTTGACCTTCGCCAGTGAACCTTTTGCCTTGCTGGTAGTGCCTCCGTGCCAAAAACTCCTCATAATATCAAAAGTAGTACCAATAATATAATCAAAACCATGATGAGCAACGCGATACAGCAGCCGCTATACCGGTCCTCGTTCTTCCGCATCACGTATCCCAGCTTCTGCATGCCGGTCTGCAAGCGCCCGCCGACGCGGTCCGCCAGCGTGTCCACGTGTTCCAGCATCTCGACCTGCTCCTCGAGCTCGCGCCCCATGTCGTCGGCCTGGCGCCGCAGATTCCCCACCGTCACGAACACCCCGTCCAGCTGCTCGTCCTGGTCCCGCATCATCTGCACCTGCTGGCGGTGCTCGAACTCGGCGTAATTATCGTCGTCGCCGCCATCGCCCGCCGTCGCCCCGTCGTCGATCGCGAACGCGCTAGGCGGCGGTAAGTCGCCTTCCGCAGCTGCCTTCGCCGCGCGCGCCGCCGCGGACCCCTTTCCCCCTCCTCCCGCCCCTCCGCCTGGTAACGTGTGGGCGGCGGTTTTGCTAAGCTCCTCGCGCATGTCCTCGACCTCGCCCCCGACTTCTTGTACTAATCGCTTGCGCCGCGTCACCTCGTGGGCGGAGAGGCCGTAGAGCGCCGGGTCGGACTCCGCGGCCTGCACGGACTCGACCAGGTCCGCGAGGTCCTCGGCCAGCGCCTCGAGCGCGTGCTCGAGGTCGCCGCGCGCGGACGCGAGCTCCGGCGACGAGGAGCTGTGGGTTAGGCTGCGGATCCGCAGGTACGAGGCGAAGAGCGGTCGCACCGTTTGCATTTGAGCGAGGACATCTCTGGATTAGGGCGGAAGCTTGTGTTAGTTGTGTTTAGTTGAAAGGGGGGTGGTGATGGGGAAGGCAGCTTGCGTACTGTTGGACTTGGAGGAAGGGGTCCTCTTCGTTGGTTGAGGACATCATCCTGGAGGCTTCAAGATGCGCCTATGCGTCTATGGCTACATCTGCACTTCGTGAAGAGTTTGGATTGGAATGGTTTTATGTAAGTCGATGTTATTATGAGGTTTACGAGCAAACGCGCGGCTTAGGCGAATGACGTGGTTGTACATTTTTGGTTCGACGGGAGAATTTCGGCAGCGGCCGAACAACTACCGTCCGAGCTTTGGGAAATAGCCCCCCTGGATTAAGAAAAAAATATCTAGAAAGACCTACCAAGGCATAAAATATTATGTTTACTAAAGTACTTAGATCTTCATTTTCTCGAGGACATGTTTCGTTGAGATTTAAACTTACTTTCATTCTTCATAAACGTTCATTCATAAAATTGCCAGGTACCAATATGGGGCCGATCAAGCCTTTGCCATACCCAGATTGTTGGGATAGTACGGAAGCATATGTCGAACAGCTCCTGAAGTTTGCAACAACGTCACACACTTTTCAGGTATTGTGTGGAGGCGTACATATCTTAGATTTCTTCACAAATGAGCCTGGGCTTTTTCAGGGAATCATACCAAAAGATTGGCAACCTTATATCCTACAATGCGAACCTATGAGGTTTCTGGATCTTCTCATGAGAGATGACTTGGACAAAATCCAAGACCCTCAGCCACCCGAAAGTTTGCTGAAATATATTAAAGATATACGGAGGTTTTCGTTGGCACGCGAGTTTTCCTCGAAGGAGAAGCTTCCTAAGCTGACGCGCCTGGTGTCGGTCGGGATGAAACCGAAGAAAGTGCACGAAGTGAGCAACTTCGCAAAGTACGTGGACACACTTGCCAGTAATATTTCCACCGAATATCAAAGAGAGGTTACGCATTTCGTTGATTTCGGAAGCGGCCAGAATTATCTAGGAAGAGCGTTAGCGAGCTCTCCTTATAACAAGCAGATTGTAGCAGTGGAAGGTCGAGAGCACAATATAGTGGGCGCAAAGGAGCTTGATATGCGCGCAGGAATCTCCGAGAAGCGAAGAGTTATCCGGAACAAGAAACTGTGGATGCAGAAGCTCAATGGTACAACCCCCGAAGACCAATTAGAATTACAAGGGGCTTCTGATCCCGCCAAAGATCTAGGCGGGTACGTACCTGATTTTAGACCTCGAAGTGAGGTTGGAACGATATACGTGCCCGAAGAGGGAAAAGGCTTCATAAGATACATTGAAGGGAGACTAGAATCAGGAGATCTGACAGATGTTATCAACCAACTTGAACGGGAGCCCCTTGCCGTGGAGAAAGGACGGGGCGATCCTAGCCTGATGGCTATTTCTATTCATTCCTGTGGCAACCTGTCACACCATGGTATACGGTCTTTAATTCTCAACCCGAGAGTCCAAGCTATTGCTATCGTCGGCTGCTGCTACAACCTGATGACGGAAAAGCTAGGGCCTCCTACATACAAAACTCCATATATGAGGCCAAGTCTTCAGGCTCTTAACGGCCGGGTGGTAAGGGAATCTGAGAGACGTGACCCACATGGGTTCCCGATGAGTGATCGCCTCTGCAACTACAACGGTGTTGGACTTCGGCTTAATATTACGGCTCGGATGATGGCATGTCAGGCACCGCAAAATTGGACCGAAGCTGAGAGTGATGCCTTCTTCACAAGACACTTCTATCGCGCCGTTCTACAAAAAATGTTTCTTGATAGAGGTGTCATCACCAAGGTTTATCACAACGACGAACTCGCGGATGATGGCAATCCGCCGCAGAGCCCGTTCAACATGAGTACCAACCCGGTCATTATCGGCTCTCTCCGGAAGTCATGTTATAAGACATTCGGGTCATACGTGAGAGGGGCGATTAATAAGCTGACTACAAATTCGGAGTATCACGAATACTGCGACATAATTAGTGAGAAAATGATTGACGTCACGGATGAGGAAATTGCGAGATATGAGGAGTCGTACGGTCCGCGCAAGCGGGAACTCAGTGCCATCTGGAGCCTCATGGCTTTTAGTGCTATGGTTACCGAATCCCTAATAGTGACCGACAGGTGGCTGTTTCTCCGGCAACATCCAAACCTAGTACAAGATAGCTGGGTAGAGACAGTATTCGATTATCGCGAAAGTCCTCGGAACCTGGTTGTGGTTGGAGTCAAACGCCCAATCTCTTGAGTCGATTAGGCACTGATGCTGTGACGTCTGCCTTCACCGAGTCGTGACAACGCAGCACAAGACGAGAACAATCCGAATGGATTCAACTGTCGTCAGAATCCGGGGTCTTGCAGATCCCGCGTCAACTGAACCAGTTGCCTCTTGTCAGCCCCGCAAAGGTTTGTTTTCTGGGTAGTTCAGAGGTCGCCTTCCGCGGTAGCCTGGCGATCTGGGACGATAATTGGGCGTTCATTACGGAATAGAGCCTATGTCATGCATGAACCTGCATAGTGGGCCGCGGCAAAATTGTCTATCTTCAGTTTTGCATCGATCAGTCAAACCTGTCCAAGAAGGTAGAAGTTTGTCTTAATACGAAGCAACATTGAACGAATGCATCCTACCGAGAAGTCCTAATCGATTTCCCGCCGTCCTTCACACGAAGGAGGATCTAGGTAGCCCCGACTCAACTAAAGCTTCCAACAGCTAACCGAACACATGCTTACTATTGGAGACCCTAGCTCTCGATGACGGCCTAATGCTACACATAACCCCACGCTTACCTGAAGATGTTGAGATGCAATTAATTATACCGAACGCTACATCTTCAAGGTAGCCTTCATGGTCGGTTAGAAATGGAAATTTTTCTCTCACGCTAAGGATATATTTGATTGTCCCGAAAAGGAACTTCTCTAGCGAAGATAATTGGTGGCGCATGAGAGATGATCTGTACGAAATTTAATGCGGTCTAGTTTTCATCACTCATGACGACACCGGTGGCTAGTTTCATCTAGATCCTGTCAACCCAAATGGAAGTTATTTGGGTTGCCAGCCTCAAAAACGAAAATCCCCGTGGCCCGAAAATAAACTGATTCTGGGTCTGACAATTGACTGGCGCAACTGTAAGCACGATATTTCGCGATTGATTCCGTATGGCACGGCAACGGTAGGAATATGAGTGGATATATGTGGGATGAAGAATACGTTCGTGGGGTTTTCGCACTTTAGACTAATATCATGGGTCGAAGTCGTACGGAGACATGGTTACACTCGGCTCTGAATCGAGAACCCCAGACTCGGATCGAACCAGTCTCTAGTCGAAGGGGGGACGGGAGCGAAGCTAATTGAAAGTTCAATTTGCGGTCGAAGAGCGAGGCACCTATTCGAACTTCGAAGACGGCATCTCTAGTCGAATTTTCGACATCACATCACGCAAGTTATCGCGATTGAGGTGATCAATCACAAAATTATGCCAATATCACCTAAGTGTTTCTTCCAATCGCAGTCGCGTTACGCCAACCTTAGACAAATGGCGTTACCATGTTACGTGTATGTATGTAGTGGACACGGGAAACGGCTACGGTGACAAGCAAGACAAATATCAAATGAAACTCTCGGCAGCAGCTCGAGATAGGAAAATGCGGGGCAGCAAGGGGTTCCTCAAGGGTTACCTTATCCCCAGCATCTCATCGAGAGAACGGGCGGCTGCACCGACAACACATGCATCGAGGTGAATCTTCCCGAGCTCAGGTACCAATGGACGGCCGTCAGTAACGCTCGTACGGCCAAGCACAATTACATATATCCTACGACTCATTATCTATCCTCTATCCTATCTAGAGTCGCACTTCAGATAATGCACTCACCTGCATAGCATATATCGTCGCCTGGGTACCTACCAAGTCGATCACATATGTCGTGTTACGAGTCATCAGCTAACTTAGTCTGCGCAAGTAGATTGCCTCGCTCCACAAGTACTTACTTACCTAGGTACGCCTGGGTGAACGGGAGACGAGGCGAAGGCCCCTCTACAAGGACAGACATCATCATGCAGCAGGGTCGAGAACTCCTTGCAGGTAATCCAGGCAAGAATACATCTCCCGGTAATCCAAGAGCCAAGCTCCAAGCTCCAAGCTCCAAAGAACCCCCCACGCTGGCCAGCGTTGCAAAGTTGCACCCTTATAAAGAGTGGTCCTGCAAGACTCTCCCAAATTCACCTAGCTTGTTACCCCCAAGACGTCGACCACGCGCCCGAGAAGCTGATGCGGTATGGCGCAGTATGTAGATGATATGTCGAGAGTGGCTGCATTACCTAGATGTCGCTCGGCCCCCTTCTGCACCCCTCTGCACCCCTCTGCAGCTAGCGGCTTTCCCTTTTAGGGCAAATGGAGGGCAGGATGGCGTGCATACGCGCATATACTATGTAGGATGTTAGTTCGTGCCCAGGAACATCCAGCCAGGTTCGCGAAGCTAAGTCGTAGTGTAGGAGACTACTACGCAGTATGCCATCCAACAAAACACATAAATAAGGTTTGGTGCCCCCTTTTCGCCATTCACCTCACCGGTCGACGTCGGTCTGCTACATGACAACCAGTCGTCGAGGGTCGCATCTCAGAAAGACCCCTTACCTACGGAGATCTACCTCGGGTTGTTTGCAGCTGCATCTACCTTGCATCCGCGGCGATAGCCAAAGCGACTACGGCGCAATATCCATAGTCGCGTTCCCCCATACGCCCCTGGTTCCGGAGGCCGCGACGGGCGTCGATCCCTGTGGGATTCTGGCATCCAAGGGTTCGCCAATGGTGCCATGTCACGCTATCTAGACTATCCAGACGACCGAACTGAAGTTGAAGCGTTAAAAAGAGGCCCTCTCGAGGGCTTCTATCCGTCTGTCAACCAACAAGACAGCTCAGAGCTAGTCCACTACGAGATCTAGTGCTAGTGTCACAGTGTGTCTCCAGGACTAGTAGCCCTATCGCGGCGCCTATCTCTCGAAACAAGCCCTTTTTTTCTTCTCTTTATCTTTGCCTCCACCTTAGGGTTGAAGTCTATCTATTTTACATTGTTTCTTTATTTATATTTCCCCCCTCTTCCTTTCTTCGCCTCCATCGTCTGTTCTCGTCCTATTATACCATAAAGTTCTTTGTTGGGGCCTAAGCCGAGAGAAACCCGGAACTCCAGTCAAGAAGAGAGGCGATTTCGCCAATCACAGCTCTGCCCGGGTCTCCGTTACTCCGTCCGTGCGTTTTAAGGGTCCTGCGTCCCCGATCTTCGGGGTCGAAAGCTCTGGCCATCAAGTCGTGATCTACGGCGTCACAGATACGACACACTCACATTCTCATAATGAATGCTCAGATATCATTTCTCGTAAGCTTCCCTTACTTCGAACTTCAATTTTATTACTCCAAGCCCTTCTCCGCCGCATAAAAGTGACCATCGTCGTTGCAATTATCTTTGAGGTCGAGTTACGAAAGGTAGATCCATGTGTAACGCAAACCAAGCAAGACTGTCCGCTCATATTCTGGTACAACCTCGCCAACGCAGGCGACAAACGAGTCGCGAAAGTTTAGTTACTGTACTGACTCATATCACTCTAGGATGGGACGTTCCGCCTGATACACATCCCCTTACAATTATACCCGAACTTTCTTCAGCCTATACTACAGGTCCTTCTACCCCAAGGCGGGGATGATTCTCTCGCACCTGATGCTGAAGGCCTTAGCATTGACAATAAACATGGGTTTCTCAACATAAGCATAACGCCTGTCGAATGTTCAGTAGTGTGTCACAGTAATTGGGCCAAAAATGTCTTCGAGCCGGTCATTAAGCGTCTTCCCCCAAACCTCTCGAAGACGGTTACGATCTCGAAGGACACTTATCTAATCCTCTCGGTGATAAGTGCTGGAATGGATGCGGGAAGTCGAGTTATGGACTTGACTTGCCCTCTCGCGCTAGCAGGTGTACCTATCTTTTTTATAACGACCTACTACTCGGACTTCATCCTGGTACCCAGTAAGGATCGGCAAACTGTTGTTCAGGTGCTCCTCGCCCGAAATTTCGAGTTTGACCAGGATGAGTCGGCCTACGTATCGCCTAGCGCGATGTCTCATGTTCGTGGCAGGAGTCAGAGCAGCGATCCTCCATCAACGCCACCACCATCTAACGTAGCAGAACTGCAAGTGCGGACTTTTGAATTATTAAAGAAACGAAACGTCGTCCCGTATATAAGTCCTTATCTCCGCTTAGTACAATGTTCCGGAAGGGATCCTTCGCAGATGGTGGATTACAGTCGACGACCATCTTTGAATCGGCACATGAGCGGCAATGGGCATCGGAGGAGTTGGCTCGATAATGTCGATACGAAATTATATACCAGCCTTATCTCTGTATTGGCCAAGCAACCTCGGTTTCTTTCGATTACCCTAGCTCAAGAGGACCCTCCGTCGTTATTATTGGATAGAGAATATCTCGGTGTTTTTGGCGACTCTCTCGTGGGCGACACGGAAGGCGATCTTGTGCCAATTTTCCTCGATCTCGTGAACCTCCCTCTTGAGGCCACCGGTATCGTTTCTGGAGTCGCGGGAAAGCTCATCCAAGAAATGGGAATGGACGATACAGGCGTCAGCAGCGAGCTCTCATACCTCTCGACAGCACAGGCTGGCGCTGTTATTTTATCATGCGAACAGTCTATGAAGGCACTCGAGGTATTAAAGCCTTTGCTGTCTAAGGAGCAATGAAGGCTTTAATAAGGATAAAACTGTGTAGGATATTGGCACACCATGATACCAAGGGGCGGAGTTGGATGCAAGCAGTCTACGAGTACGAAATTACGACGGGACGACATGATGCTTTTCCTCACTCGCACAAAAATATCACGGCATATTAGAATAAGCGGTTGGCATTGGCAAGCATCGCGAGGTCTCAGTTGACAATTTGGCTTTGAAATATTCCCACCTCTTTTTTTTGTGTCACACTATCTGGATTCCCCTCGGCGTTCTTGGATGGCGGATAACAGAAGGAGCATAATAAGGTCGGGCAAGTACATCAAAGGTTGCGCTACTACGTATGAGGCAAGGGAAAAAACGAGCAGAGATAAATTGTAGGCCACCTGGAATCACGGGACAGATGGCGGGTCTAATTGGATTGCATGAAAAGATAGGCGTTGCATCTAATTGTATCGGAGGTGTTTTGAGACATTCTCTGTTGAATACGCCTTTTCTGCGATGTTGTTGGTAATTTACATCGGCTGAGAAGTTGCCGATGTGAAGCTAATGAGCTCCTTGGCCGTTAACTGTGCGGCTGATATCTGGCGATACTCTCTTGGAAGGGGACATAAGATTAACCGGGTAGAAACTCAACTCTAACTCAGACGCCCTGCTTTTCATGATTTACCGGGTTAGAACATGTTACAGCGCAGATATTCTAATGCTAGTGGACCCTGCATATTCCATGGCGATGGGATAAGAAACCTGGATTTCGTCATTGTCATCATTGATGTCATACCCACGCCGCCGCATGAACTTATTCTGACCAGGTGTCTGACTACGTTATTACTATACTATATTATACACTAGACTAACACAGAGATCCGGTGACCGGCGGGGCCTGCTTCGCTTCAGATCCGCTACCCGTCTGATGTGTCCGCTAGCTCCAACTCCGATTGGACTGTGCCAGGTTCGAGTACGCAATAGAATTTAGACAAAGGAATACGGAGATAAGTCACATATTTGGTGGCTGTTTAACTAGGTACCTATCACCTATGCGGCTATCTACGGATCTCGGAATTACGCTTCGATTGCTTTTTGTAAATTGGTAATCTTTACCTTTTGTATGTGTAACGGCTTGATGTGATGTGAACCTTTTATGGCTATCGACCATATTCGAACGAAATCGGGAATCACACGTCTGAAACGACTTTTTCGTAAGCTAACTACTGCAAGCTTGGGTAGAATAGGCCCGAGACGTTCAAAGATGCGGATACCCTCGCTCATTACGATCGCGGCGTTAGCCGTCCGAGGGGGGAGTGGTGGTGGTGGTGGTAGTGGTGCTGGGTTCCTTGATCCCGAAGGTGGGTCTCAGAAGGTGTTGCTACGTCCTGATATGAGAGGAAATATACCGGACGAGCTAGATCTAAATGGTGTAATCGCCAGCGTTAGGGAAGACGCGCAGAGTCCGGTGTCGTGCGCGGTGTGCGAAGTAAGAGCCCGTAATTGGGGTGTGTTTTTATATTTGCAATATATACTGACTTTTAAACAGACGGTCCTGCTTCAACTCAAGCTTGCGGCGTTAAGAGGCGATGGGTTCTTTGTGGATGTCACAACGGAGCTCTGTAAACGGGCCGGCGTATGGACTCCCCCCTTTTCACCAAGGCTTCCTTGTTACCCCTAGGAGGCTAATATTGCTCAGATCGAAGACGACGATGTATGCGAGGGCGCTGTGGCCCTAGAAGGGCCTGTCATCGCGCACGCTCTGCGCGGGATGAAGATAGGATCCAAGACGTCGCGCTTAGCTTGTATCGCGCTCATGGGACTGTGTCCGTACCCCGAGATTGAACCTCATGACATCTCGTTCCCGTCGCCGAAGCCGAAGACTAGGCGACCGCCGCCTAGCAGCCTGAAACCGCTGCAAGTGGTGCATTTCTCGGATATTCATGTCGACCCGCTGTATGTCGTCGGCGCTGAGGCGAATTGCTCGAAGCCGATTTGTTGCAGGTGAGGTGACCCCTGAGTTTGGATTTGCGTGTATGTACCTTGCGTTAAAGGGGTTGAGGCAATGTCAGTCTATATTGCGTTCAGCCCTCCCTTTTTATCTATAATCTCATCTCACGAAAATTTCCTATTTAATATTTACTCTAGATATAATCCCACCTCGAAAGATTTTCATACCTAACATTTCCTAGAGAAAATGCCCTCGACGACTTTCCAGGTCATAAACAGGCCAGCCCGCACGGCGAGCACGCATGCGACGCCCCCATTAGCCTGGAGGAGAGCATGTACGCGGCGATCAACGCCATCGCGCCAGACGCGGCCTTTGCCATCTTCACCGGAGACATCGTCGACCACGCCATCTGGCGTACCTCGCGAGCGTACAACTCGCGCGTCATACATGACACCTATGCCCGTATGGCGAACGCCGGACTGCATGTATACGCGACGGCCGGGAACCACGAAGTTTCACCCGCAAACGCGTTTCCGCCTACAGAGAGCAGCGCCGAGGATGAAGTTAGCGACGGCACGAGCTGGGTCTACGAGTTGCTGGCGGAAGTCTGGACGAAGTGGATCGGGCCCCGGGGTGCGGACACGACGAGAGACTTCGGGGCGTACTCCGTTCGGCATCCTAGCCGTGTGGAAGACGACGGGGCGGGCGTGGGCGTGGGCGGGCTAAGGGTTATTTCGGTGAATACGAATTTGTATTACGACCAGAACTACCGCATGTACGAGGACCCGATGGAGAAGGATCCGAGCGCGCAGCTTGAGTGGCTTGTACGTGAGCTGGATGCGGCGGAGAGGGCGGGCGAGAGGGCGTATGTTGTGGGACACATGCCGATGGGGAATAGGGATGCATTTCGGGATGCGTCGAATTATTTTGATCAGATTGTTAGAAGGTATGAGGGTGTTATTGCGGCTATGTTCTTCGGTGAGTTGCCCTTTCTGCACCGTCCCCCCTTTTCTGGAATTTCTGAACGAGTCTTGGTACTTGACTTAGGAAAGGGGGAGCTATGGGGAATTAAACTGACGGAAGAAACAGGCCACACTCACTATGACGAATTCCAGCTCTCATATGCAGATTACGGTGATAGATCACACATGAACGCACTCGTCACATCGTACATCGCGCCGTCGATGACGCCGATGTCAGGGCACCCGGCCTTTCGTGTGTACGATGTAGACCCGGTCACTTTCGCCGTCCTCGATGCTACGACGTATATCGCTAACATGAGCGATCCCGAATTCCCGTCCTCCGGGCCGAAATGGACGAAATACTACTCGATGAAAGAGACGTACGGACCATTAGCAGGGAAGGGGTCAGACTTAAGTAGCGAGCAGGAGCTAACGCCTGCATTCTGGCACAACGTAACTGAGGCTCTCGAGAAGAACGAGACGGCGTTCGAGGAGTATTTCGGGAGGAGGTCCCGGAGATGGGGGGTGGGGATTTGCAATGGGGAGTGCAGGAGCACGGAGATATGCAAGTTGAGGGCCGGGAGGGCGCAGGAGAATTGCGTGCCTCCCGGGTTGAGGATCGGTAGCGTTACTGAGATGAAGAATGGCCGCAAAGTACTTGAAGAGGAGGAGGAGTGTGGGGGTTCGGTTATACGTGATACGCTGGGGAGTATAGCTGTAGATGAGAATACGTTGAGAGACTTTAAGGAGGTAGTAGCTGAGAGAGGGATTCTGTATACTTGACTCCGTAAGAACTTACATATCCTCGCAATTCTTTCGGTATAGCAGATGCATGGTGTGAAATGATCTAGCTGTTTAGTCTAGATGCTGGCCTTCTCCAATTAGTGTTCAAAAATTGTCCTTTGCGTCGATGAGTTAAGGGTATATCTAACTACAAAATTTTCATATTGTAACCATAAACGAAGACGTAACTACAAAGCTAGTAGTATTCATCCTAAAGCTCTATAAAGCTTTCCTGTTCAGAGCTAAAATGTAACTGAGTTCAGAGCTCCCTGTTCATGGGTGACATTATCCAATAGTCTCTCCTAATTCTCTTTAGGACACTATTTGTCCCCGCGGCCGTAGAAAAGGCCAATCGGTATATTATATATTGACCTATACGTCATAGCAGCTATAGTGCTGCTCTCCAATCACACCTACATCTATGCAATTCTTGGTAGCCAATATATTCTAATATATTCCTAGCTGCCGGTAGTTAATGTGGAAACAGTATCCCATTGGCCCATCTTATCCATCGTAATTCAAAAGAAATAAAGCAGGAAGGGAAATGGAGTGTACATTGAACAGAGTCGACGATTTGAGTCTAACCGTGTAATACCACGATAAGAGAACTGGCCAAGCGGATGCTGAAACGGAGCTATTACAGGAATGAGGGGATTTCAAGGGAGGTTGGTACTTGTACTTGTACCGTTCCTAATACCTGGAACGCTTTGGTAATCTCTCGTACCGGTGACTCGTAATCAACATCATCTCCCGGATGCAACATGCGTATTGATTACTTTATTACTTTCTCAGCAGCAAAGCGACTCCTTAGAAATATATCGGACCTGGCCCTCGACGACCTAGTCGAATATAGCTTCATATAGAGATACAGTTCACGCTATTCAACTACACGTTATTGCTGCATGCTCGGGTTGCGACCGACGCTGCGGGCCCGGCCTTCGCTAGTGGACCTAATCCGACGGGGAAACCACGGCCAAAGTCCTAACTCGAGCCCAAGTTCAAGCCGGCCGGGTACACCTGCACAATCTGCGTCACCTGGCACTGGCAGCGCTTTCTTTACCAACGGTAGCACTGATAAGGCCGCTAAAGCCACAGAGTTGATAGCTGAAGCTTCTAGCCAACCGCTACCCCCCAGCCCGTTACTATTACCAGCTACTAACGATACAGCCACACCTGCGACTAGCTCCACAATCGTCACAAATACAACTACAACCACCACCGCAATAACCACTCCTTCACCTTCGACGTCAAGCTCCTCACCTAGAGCTGAACCTTTACCTGTGCTTGCATTACCTGTCCCAACAATTTCCATAGCTGAGGAGCCGCCCGTAACCCCCAAACAAACTCCCAAAATGGCTCCGGTAAGCTTCATCCACTGCCTATTCGTCAATCTTTCCGTAAAGCCTGGAACAAAAGAAACAGCTTGTTTTGGTTCTGTCTCACTGCCTTGCAACTCTGGTGTCTAATGCGTTTGGTAAATATAGTCAGCGAAAGCCACGAACGGCGACAAAGATGGGCTCAACAGCGGTAGGTAACCCTGCTATCGTATAGCTTGCCATCTATTTGGAGCTAATCAAGCATGATCTGTATAGGCAAGATTTACTCCGTATCCGGGTTCGTAAACGTCGCAATACCTCTCCCTGTAGCTTCGAGCTGGTAAACTAATAAATGCTTGGAATAGACCCGTCGTGGTAGCCGAGGACATGATTGGAGTTGCCATGTACGAGCTTGTAAGAGTCGGCCACGATAACCTAGTCGGTGAAGTCATTAGGATCAACGGTGACCAAGCCACCATTCAAGTCTACGAAGAGACCGGTGCGTCGTCTCTCCAATACCCATAACATTAAATAAGGAGAGAAGGAAATAAGAGCTAATAATAAAGTATAGCTGGTATAACCGTAGGCGACCCCGTTCAGCGTACCGGCAAACCTCTCTCCGTCGAGCTTGGTCCCGGTCTATTACACAACATCTACGATGGAATCCAGCGACCTCTCGAGAAGATCTCCCAACAGTCCCAGAGTATCTACATCCCGCGTGGTATCGCGGCTCCCGCCCTCGACCGAACCAAGAAGTGGGAGTTCACTCCTACCCTCAAGGTTGGCGACCACATCTCCGGCGGCGACGTGTGGGGAACCGTCTTCGAGAACTCGTTCATCAAGGTTCACAAGATCCTGCTGCCTCCGCGAGCAAGGGGAACTATCACCAAAATCGCCGGAAAGGGCGAGTACACCGTCGACGAGAAGATCCTCGAGGTCGAGTTCAACGGCAACAAGACCGAGTACGGCATGATGCAGACTTGGCCTGTCCGTGTTCCACGACCGACGACCGAGAAGCTTTCTGCCAGCAACCCCTTCATTGTCGGTCAGCGAGTCCTCGACGCTCTTTTCCCCAGTGTCCAGGGCGGTACGGTGGCTATCCCTGGTGCTTTCGGATGTGGAAAAACCGTCATTTCGCAATCAGTTTCCAAGTTTTCAAACAGCGACGTGATTGTCTACGTGGGCGTATGTATTACTGAGAGCCTTTTTTTTTTCCTTTTGGTTGGTATCTTGGGAGTGAAAACTTCCTAGTTGAGTTAACTAAGGGGTTGTGGCTCCCGGGACATGCTTAAAACTCTAGAAATTCTTCTCTAAAGGAAATTATACTGACTTCTGTGATTATAGTGTGGAGAGCGAGGAAACGAGATGGCTGAAGTCTTGAAGGATTTCCCCGAGCTGTCCATTGATGTCGAGGGCCGCAAGGAACCCATCATGAAGCGAACTACTTTGATCGCCAATACCTCTAACATGCCTGTCGCTGCTCGAGAGGCTTCAATCTACACTGGAATTACCGTAGCCGAATATTTCCGTGACCAGGGAATGGACGTGGCCATGATGGCTGATTCCTCATCTCGATGGGCCGAAGCTCTGCGTGAAATTTCCGGCCGTCTCGGTGAAATGCCTGCTGATCAGGGTTTCCCCGCCTACCTCAGTGCCAAGCTGGCCAGTTTCTACGAACGTGCAGGCAAGACGAGCTGCCTTGGCTCACCCGAGCGTGAGGGCAGTGTCAGTATCGTCGGTGCCGTCAGTCCCCCCGGTGGTGACTTCTCAGACCCCGTCACCAGCTCTACGCTAGGTATTGTGCAAGTGTTCTGGGGTCTCGACAAGAGGCTGGCACAGCGGAAGCATTTCCCTTCTATCAACACGTCCGTGTCATATAGCAAGTATACCAACACCTTGGATAAATGGTACGAGAAAGACTACCCCGAGTTCCCACGGCTGCGCGACCGCATCAAGCAGCTCCTATCCGACTCGGAAGAGCTGGACCAGGTTGTGCAGCTGGTAGGAAAGTCAGCGCTGTCGGACCCGGACAAGATCACGCTGGACATGGCGACGCTGCTGAAGGAGGACTTCCTCCAGCAGAACGGATACTCGGACTACGACCAGTTCTGCCCGATCTGGAAGACGGAGTGGATGATGAAGCTCATGGTCGGCTTCCACGACGAGGCGCAGAAGGCCATCGCCCAGGGCCAGAGCTGGGCCAAGGTCCGCGAGGCCACGAGCGACCTCCAGGCCCAGCTCCGACAGCTCAAGTTCGAGCTACCGAGCGAAGGGGAGGAGGTCATTGGCAAGAAGGTATGGTCTTTTTTATTCCACTCACTTGAGGAGAGTAGTGAATACTAACTCAATATTAGTACGAGAGCATCCAGCAGACCATGTTGGATAAGTTCGCCGCAGTCATGGACGAGTAAGGGTTATTTTTGAATCTTTTACCCTACCTATCTTACCCTAAAAGCTTAAACGGGGGTCTGTACATAAGACGAAATGCGGTGGAATGGAAAGGGGGATGATGAGAAGAAATGAGCATGCTCGAACCGACGAAATGAAACAGTATCTGTGTTTGGGGTAGTGTAGTGTTATGAATTAGTACAATTGCATCTTTAAGTTTGCGCCTTTTTTTTTCGTCGTGAAGTAACTTGAGTTTCTATCGGTATACACTTGTCTCGATGCTTGAGCTAGGTAGTTGCCTGAAGAATTACATAGGTAGGTATACAATACAAATTGAAGCATCACATCCATGAAAATTTATCTTTCGAACACTGATCTTACACCCCCACTCTACATAATACAACATAGATCGGTATACCGGGTTAGATATTTAAGGCACACAAGAAGAACTCTAGCAATATAAGTAGGTAAACTTTGCCCTTAGAATGGTGTGTTTTATTCAGCACGATCGCTCATGCCCACGGATGTTTCATAGCCTCTTTTCCACGTCCCGTTAGCCACGCGGACCCTCAACCCCCCCTTTGCCCCGTAACTAACTTAAATTCGTTCCCTTACACGCAAAAAAACTCCGTCCAACAATGGTGTACAAGAAAACCGCCCGAGTTCCAACGAGGCGGTCGTGTGTTTTTTTAATCTGATACAAGCAAGGAATGAATGGGTTTTTTCTTCATGGCTATGCCAGTATGGCTGTGGCTCTGGTTGGTAGTATCTCTTTCGTAAATTCACGGGCGTAGAAACGCAGGGGCTTAGGTTATCGTAGGTGATGGGAACAGACCGGAAAAACTAATCGTTGAAAATCGGTGCTCGATGATTTAAGAGTCGACAGTCCCGCCACTTGACAGGATGCCCGGGCACTCAAAATGGGTCTTCCCTGTCCATTTCTGTTCATACCCCTTTTCTTCGACCAGATATTGTAATAGAAGGTTTACACGCGGATCAGCGGTTCCTCTGCAGCAGGTGGCCGTTCATTGTCCCTCTCACCCTCCGCTGCCTGCTCATGACCCCCTGATTCGTTGTTGCTAGCAGCCGGTTCGCTGCTCTCGGCACTCTGCTCTGCATTTGCCGAACGTTCTTGTCTTTCTCGCTCTTCGGTAGCAGCTGCCTCTGCCTCTGCCTCACGCCGTCTTCGCTCAGCTCGCGCTTCCGCCTCCATCTGCGCGATGTGTCTCTCGGCTACCCCTGGTGCGATACTAGCGAGGAACAGTATGCCGGCACGCTCCAGTCTCCTGACCTGATCCATCAACCAATTCGCGTTGGCATCTCGTCGCCGCTGCACTAGTCTAGCCGCAGTATCCGCGGGATCGAGTTCCCCTTGCTGTCCAGCATTTGCTGCAGCGTCGCCGTTCCCGCCTCTACCGTGCGCCTGTGCATCTCGCTGGTGGCCATCAGCAAGAGGTATCAAGTTCTCCAGATGCCGGCGGACAGGAACCCAAAATTGGTCGGCGAAGGGATTCAGGAGTCCCATATTTACAAGGAAGAGCGTGATCGCGATAGAAACGACAGTAATCCAACGAGACCAACCAGAAGTAGGCGAGGTAAACCACCATATGAAGAGACCTAAACGAATAATCATCCATATGTGAGGCCAGAGTTGTGCTATTCTAATCGCCTGTACCTGCGGATTATCCGCGCGGGCAACGGCGTGCCCTATTTGAGGCTGAGGTAAGTGCTGATGCTGGTTCTGAGGTGGTTGAGGTAAGCCGTGCTGTGCCTGGGCTGGTTGGGGCGGCTGAGGACTATGGCCTGCTTGAGGATTGGTTGCGTTAACTCGTCCAGCTTGGGGGAATGGTGGCTGGATAGTTGGTGTTGGTATCATGTACTGAGGGTTTAAGTGATTATAATGAGTGGGGAATATGGGAAGTGGTCTCTGGCCAACTGGTAGGCCCATAGGTTGATATGTGGTTCGGACCTGAGGGCTGTAGTATGCCTCTCCGCTGTTGTTGAATAAAAGAGCGCGCGGTCCCGTCGGGGAAGACAGAATGTATACTTCTGGTGTACCTTGAGACGGCAGTGTTTGTGCTTGGTTTGTTGGCGGACTTCGCGTTCGTCCAGCTGCTCTAAGTGGATCAGGAGTAGCCGTGCCACTACCCGCTCGAGACGCAATCAGTGGTGTTGTAACTCCAGGGGGGATGGGGTGGTGAGCCTGACTAGCGGCAAGGTTGGCCAAGGAAGAGTTGCTAGCGTTTCTACGCATGGCATCGGTCATAGCTCTAGTAGCTGATCCGGCATCCGCGGACCGGAAAATACTTTGAACTTCATTGTTGGATAGTTGACTCCCATTAGGATTGGGGCGCGATAGTACGCTCGTGTCGGGTGCTGGGAATGGCGATCCTGTTCTTCCCGGTCGCTGTAGCGGATTTACGAAAGTCTCGTTGTAAGTGACGCGCCATTGTAAACCATTGGGTCCGACTCCTTCACGAACCGTTGTACGGGTGCCATCTGGCTGGAACGGCGAAGCAGTCCTTCCAGGCGTATTAGTCCCGGGTGTTCCCCTCAGGTTAGTAGGAGGTATGCCCTGCGCGCCCTGCGTGCCCTGCATAGTCGGTCGCCGATTCTGATTAAGACGAGCCGTGTACTCATCCAGACTTCTCATCCACTGGCTGTATTGATCTGGCGTAAGGTGAGCAGGGGGGTTAACCGGCTGGAAGGTGGCGGTTGGACCCAGGTGAAAGCCAGGGTAATTAAGCAATCCGATTCGGGCGTGTGGTTGGGCTTGGAAAGGACTTGCGTGGTGATTCTGGTGCGGGTGAAATTGGGGAGGGATATGAGTTCCGGTCGTCGGCGGCTGGTTTGAGGTGGTCTGATGAGGAGCGTTCGGCGTAGACGTTGTTCGACCATCGGAAAGATCTCGTAGAACTAGATGCAGCGACTGGGGTTCTGAAGAGCGAAGCTATATTTTACAAAAAAGTAGTTAGACGATAATGTCCTTTAATTTGTGGAGTACCATGTATTCGCCAAGGAAACATACTGCTTCTTGTCCAAAGACTTCGATCATTGTCTCAGCATCCCGACCCAGTAGGCGACCTCGATGGATAAGGCGCTGAGCCTCGTCGGGGGGTCTTGTGATAACAACATTTCGAATTCGCTCTTTTAACTGTTTGACGGTGGCATCCTGTGGTAGTCCCTGGACCACGAAGGGTTGTGGTATGCCGATAGATGGCGATATGATTTGTAATGTGAATGTTGCTGGCTCGGCCCCAGCTGTAGTAGCTGCGCCAGCTACTTCGGACGCCATCGTGAACTACGGTTACTGTGGAATCTCCTCTAAGAAAGGCGCGTTTTAAGGGGATATGTGCGCAGGCAGTAAGTTCTAAAAAAGCGTTGCGCATTCACCTAAGTAGGTTCAATACTCTCAAGTGAGAATAGAAACCATGTCAGGCAGGCGTGGGGAGCATCATCAAGGATTACCCGCAAGAGACACGTTTCCACGTTTCTTGCATGTGCCTAGGCTCGGAAAGGACTATTAGGAGACGATAAGAAATTAATTAAATTAATCAAGACATGAAGTTAATAGAGGAGCGGAGGAAGGTTAAGGTAGGTAAAGGAGGGAAGATATCGTTTGGTCGTCGACACCTGGAGAGTTGCATATTAGTTGAAACGGAATATTCGAAAGTTGTCAATGCAAGCTGTCCATGTCATATTTGCTTACCTAATTCCCCAACTATTCTAGCAGGTACCTTCTGTACCCTTGTAAAGTTTCCATTTACTTTTTCCAAAAAGGAATAACGCCCACGTTGCCAGGTTACGTATCGGTACGTATCGCTCAGTATCTACTCCACCTTAAACTCTGCCAACCTCTACCGCCCTAAAATTGAGCTGAAAAGAGAATAGGCCATAGCTCTTTTGACTTTCAGCTCCACTAACACTGCGTCATTGAGGGTCAAACTGAAGGTGCAGTAGCTACACTATGCAATATGTAGGTCTATCAGAGATCTCGAATGATTTCAATCCTTAAAGTCTAAACTCCTCCAATTAAAACCATAGTTTATACAGAATTGAATGACCCCTTTTCTTCTATTGACAGCTATTAAGTATTAAACGAATGCCATTATCCTTAATTCAGTACCATCTTTCCTATATGCGCCGACTTAAGACTAAGCTATCTTAGCGTCGAGGTTTCTTCAAAATCCAAATGACATTATTCTAAGATTTTAAACCAGAACGTAAGACATGTCAATGGCAAGTCTAAGTTCGGCCACGATCCGAGGGTATTCGCCCGCATCGATGCGCCCCCTATCGTCATGTATGCTACGACAGACATACACTGCTGCGACACGACGATCAGCGAGACAATTCGTCGCTACTCCGAAACGATGCTTCCATCGATCGTCACATAAATATCAGAATAATGAGAGCTTCGGTTCAAGGTTACGGACTGCGCTGAAAGATACGAAAGTAAGGTGGTATCCTATACCCGTAGGCTTGGGAATTGGTTTTCTCGGTCTCGTACAGTTCTACAAGACCCAAGCTCGTGAGAAGGAAAGACTCGACAGGGAGGCTGCCAATGAGGATGGCATCCGCCCCAAAAAGCGGCCCCGAATACGACCAGATGCTCCATGGTATGTGCTCGACGCATGGTGGATCACCAGACTCGTCATTGCTACAATGGCTGACCCGCTCTCCTTAGGCAAGTACAAGTAATGTCAACACTACCGCTAAAGGCTATGTCAAGACTATGGGGGAAGTTCAACGAGCTCACTATCCCGTATTACCTTCGGGTCCCGGGCTTCAAGCTTTACTCCTTTATCTTCGGGGTGAATCTGGATGAGGTCTCCGAGCCAGATCTTCACGTGTACCCGAATCTTGCATCCTTCTTCTACCGGACCTTGAAACCCGGCGTCCGACCCCTAGACCCCAATCCGGATGCTTTGCTGTCACCATCAGATGGGCGTGTGCTCCAATTTGGTAAGATCGAAGGTAACGAAATCGAGCAGGTGAAGGGCATGACGTATACCATAGATGCGCTATTGGGCAAACACACGCCCACACCTAGCGTGTCTGGCGTGAAACTAGACACAGACGACCAGACGACCACACGGTCGCCAAAGCGCGGCGACGAAGAACTCGTCTCTTCAGACGAGGAATTCGCACGAGTAAACGGCATATCCTACACCTTACCCAACCTCCTTTCCGGCCCCGACGACGGCCACGAGACCAAGCGTCTCGACGACCAAGCCGCCACTCCCTCCAGCCCCGGCGCCGTCTCCGAAGTCCGCGCGGACCTCGCCCTCGGCGAAAAGCCATGGTACGCGCTGGTTTCCCCGGACAACCGCACCGCGCTCTTCTACGCAGTCGTGTACCTCGCGCCGGGAGACTACCACCGCTTCCACTCTCCCGCGAACTGGGTCGTCGAGCGCCGGCGCCACTTCGCCGGGGAGCTGTACTCGGTATCGCCGTACCTGCAGCGCACGCTCCCCGGGCTCTTCACCCTGAACGAGCGCGTGGTCCTGCTCGGGCGCTGGCGTTGGGGTTTCTTCAGCTTCGTGCCCGTGGGCGCGACGAACGTGGGCTCTATCACCGTCAACTTCGACCGCGAGCTGCGCACCAACTCCCTTCTCACCGACACCGCGGCCGATCGCGCGGCCGAAGAGGCTTCCGCCCGTGGCGAGCCATACAGTGGGTTTTCGGAGGCGGCGTATGGTGCGGCGAGCCGCGTGTTGGGAGGCCACGCGCTGAGGCGCGGCGACGAGATGGGCGGGTTTAAGCTTGGAAGTACTATCGTGCTCGTGTTCGAGGCCCCGGTTGCCGAACATCCAGGCGCGAAGGGCGGGTTCGTCTGGGCTGTGGAGAAGGGGCAGAGGGTTAAGATGGGACAGGCTTTGGGATATGTCAAGGAGTAGGAGTAGTAGAGGGGAAAAGGAGGAATGTATATATGCCATTCAACATAACTGCTGGCAAAAAAAGGAAAGCCCTTGTCTTCTCGAAAAAGAGAGATTAGTTAATGATAAAATCTTCGTAAAGAAGTATTAAATCTATACTTGTCAATACTTATCAACACCCGTCTTCCTCCTAGGTAGCTGTAAGTATGCTTCTACAGTCTCTAGTCAAACCTACGTAGAATACCTATGTACGTAATCCAAGATACCCCAGACCAAGAGGAACAAGGCAGTCCGTAAAAGAACTTTTCCTAAAAGCTGCTTGCTACTAGACAGACGGGAGTTAGTCCAGATGATCCAAATCAGTCCATCCACCCCAACCTCTTAAAAAAAGACCCTGGATTTTTGACCCCAAAAAGAATAGAAATTGATGCTAAGTACAGATGTTGGAAGAGGAATAGGTACTGTAAGCAGATACTCCCTCTTGCCGGAAGTTGCCCAGCTCTTTGACATCTCGCACTTTGCAACAAGCTCACGGTCCTCAACAACATCTCTCTCCTCGTCAGTAATAAACCACTTTCGGCGACAACTCAACTGATCCACTCCATAGTACCAACTGCTCGTCTCCAGCGATCAAACCCTTGGGTTAGACAAACTCGACAACTCCATAACAGTACTAACATCTCGTTTCAGTCTCGGCGACATCTCACTTCATGACAAAGGGTACATGGAATACTCATCACCATCGTCTCGTTCGTTAATTAGGAATACTCAAAGGTTCATAGAAGAAGAGAAGACAAGACAAGAGAAGAGAAGAGAAAGAGGAAAAAGTTGCGTGTGAAAAAAAAGAACACCCCGCGAAGAAGAAACAGGTCTATGAAGAATCGATCGCATTATCGTTTGCAAAGTAAAAAAAAGAAGAACCGCGTTGTCATCTCATTGCCCTGTTTCCTTCCTCTAGACGCCGCAAAAAGAGTCAAAAGCTTTTTTTTGTTTCAACTCGTCAAGTCCTGATGACAAATGACAACAGGTTGACAAAATCCGTACATGTGGGAGTTATCACGCCTCCTGAAACTTTCCATCTCACCCTCCTTGCACTCGCCTCGTCGACGTGCGTCTCAAAGGATAGTCCACCTCTCTTATTTCTCCAGATGTATTCTCTTGCAACGATAATCACTTTTGTTGGGGTCTCTTATTCGTAAGAGCAGGCGTAATTCCAGAGACACGTAAGCCAAACTCTCTGCCTATTCCCGTTCGCTATAGACGGTAGGCGAATTTGAATGATGAAAGAGTGCCGCCAAGTATGTACTGGAAAAGAAAATACCTGGCACCTGAGATGTACCCCACATCCCAGGGATCGGCCAAGCCAATTTGTCACCTACGGGTCCGAATATAACCGCAAAACTCACTTTCCTAAGTCCACCCTCATCGGTTTCGATCGGAACATGGATCATGCCCACAATAATAACATGATCGATGCCGAGCGTTATGGGAATTAGGCTGAAGGAGTTGCAGTTCGATGGTTGCTGAAAATAATGGGCAGTGAAAATGTATGGTGTAAATCGAAATGGAATTTTGGAGGTTTGTGTAAACCAGCTCATCATCACTACAAGGTCTATCGCCAGAGAATCCTAGTATCACCGGAACGCGATTCGTCGAAATGTTCCTAAGGAGAAGAAAACAAAATCATCGGCTTCTTGCAGATCCCGTCGAACCTTGTCGTTCGTGGGTATTCGGACGGCGATTACCTCGATCGGCATCCTGTAGCTTCAGTGAATCCAGCCTTTTTTGGTTGTCCTCCGTAACCGTGTCAGCCTCGTCAACTCGTGGCAATATGTTCACCTTCGTGGTCGGGTGACCGTTTCCAGACGTGCCGTTCGACTTCCTCTTGTTCGCTTGATCCGTAATGGCAGCCCACTTCTTCTCGCGAAGAGCTTCTCTCGCAGCAGCGTTGTTTTGCTGCTCCGTATACTCGTGCGAGCAGTCGTCGAAAAGCTGCGGGTTGATCTCCATAAATAGCTTCATCGCATTGTACACCATTCCGTGGATAGTCCTATTTTGTCTTGTTAGATCCAAGAACTAATCCCTCCTTCAAATTGCTTACCTATTCCAGTGTCCTTTAGAATTCTCGTACAGCGGCGCAAACATAATGGGTAGGATGATCTCGACATTGTCGCTTACGAGGTTACAGAAATACTCGTTGTTCCAGAAGTATAGAGCTCGCTCCGCAACTTGGAAATGCGGGCTTGCGACCGATTTTGCAAGCTGGTGGAACAGGGGCTCCTGAACCTTGGCGAACTCGGCAGGATCCATCACCTCGAAAATGTCTTCTACCTCGTTGAGGTACATAACTTCCTTCGTGCTATTTACCTTAGGCCAATATCGAAGAAGGCCAAGCACAACATCCTCAGTCAGGGACGCATCCTTTTCTAAGAATTGAACGATGCAGTACGCCAGTTGGGGATGGTACATGCTAAGACTCTTAACTTTGTGGAGTGGTAGCAACACTCTGGTTAGAAATAGCTTGTGCTCCTCCTTGAGGGGAAGAGCAAATCCATTAATAATAGATCCTAAAATTTCCAGAAGTTCGGCCACGCCGTTGAACCTCTCAGTCTCGTAGGTGAACTGGAAAAAGACGTTGTTGATCGAACGTCTTATGAAAGAACGAAGGTTGAGGAATTTTCCGTAAATTCGATGCAGAGTCGTCTTGAGGAAGTCTCTCTCGCGGGGATCCTCCGAGTCAAAAAGCTCCAGGAGCTGGAGCACGAAGCTATGGTCGATGTAAGCCTTGGCGATGTTGGTGTTGAAGTCTTGACTCTCGATGAATCTCAAAAAGAACTCGTAGACGACCTGGATATGAGGCCAGGCGACTTCAAGAACAGGTTCGTCTTCCTCAGGATCGAATGCCTCGCCTTGGGGGTTCATTGGTGGAGGGATCGGGCGGAACAAGTTCTTGGAGAACATTTCCACAACGCGGGGGTACATGGGTTCCGTGATAACCTGGCGGTTGTTGGCTACGTAATCAAGTAGCTCGTGTAGAGCTAGACGCTTGACTTCCTTGGACTTCATGTCGGCACTAGCATCATTAAAGTCAAAGATGACGTTGCACTGATCAATCTTCTGCATAAAAAGTTCCTGTCGACGGTTGGGTGATACTTCGTGGAAGCCTGGAAGCTTCTCCAGCTCTCGGTGCGTCGATATATCGAATCGCGACGAGTTCTGTCTTCGAGGTGTTCGGAGACCCTCGGGGACGTCCTTCGGTGTCTGGTGGAGACGATCAAACATCAACGACTTCTGGCCAGCCTTAGGTGGTGCGAGGTCGTGGGGCATTGTCTCGGCTGCGCCAGGAGGTGGAATGTGCTAAAGAAAGCGAGATTAGTAAAAAGTTTCGATTTTGTTAGTAGGAGAGTAACATACTGGAGCACTAGGGCTAATAACCACAGTAGGCGGGAGAGTACCGCCGTGTCGAGAAGGAGTAGCAGCGCCATTTGGTGATTGCTGAGATGCCGCGTTGCCAAATCTATCGGGGGCGGCACCTTGACCGGGTGCCTGACCAGCCTGGGCTTGCAAAGCAGGGTTGCTATGATCACCGCCGTGTGTTGCAGCATTGTTAGGGGGAAGAGGTTTATTTCTAATGTCGTTCAAAGTCGATGTGGACGAAGAGGGAGTCAATACAGGCGACTGGTTCTCCCGGGAACCGCTGGAGGAGGGCGAAGCTGTTCCATCCTTAGCATCCTTATTTTTCTTGGAGGATTTGCTATCGCCCTTCCCTCGCGAGAGCTATTGAACGATGGTTAGTTGGCATGGTATGCTAAAGGTTTGTCTACGTAGAGAAGAGCCAACTGTAACCAAAGGGCAAACATACGGCTCGGCTGAAGCGCTTCATCTTGTAGGTCACAACCCCTACTGATAGTGGGGTGGGGACGCCCGACTCTCTCTACTTTCTCTCTTTAAGGGATTCGTATAGGAAATTGAAGTGGTGTTAATGCGGATAGACGCGTCGCTGTGGTGGATTCCGAAAAATCCAAAATATGTAACGTAATTCGGTATCGGGCCTGGGAAAGGTTGCGTGATCGAAGAGAAGAGTTATGATGTGAATTTCACCGTCTGTTTGAGGCGAGGGAAGAATCAAAATGATAGAAGGGTCCCAAGATTTAGGCGTAAGGAGGTGGGCGGCGGCGCGGCTACGGCTGTCGCATAAGGTGGGTAGGTAACTAGACTTGTGACGGTCAAGGATAGAACATTAATAGCAATAACTTCATGTAAGATGGCTCAAATTGAGCCTCTTAGCTTGAAGGGCACGAGTTATTTGTCGATGTTCAGTGTCGGACACCTCAGATATGAAGTTTGAGTTGTCGTTGTGGAAGGTGGAGAAAGCGGCCTACTAGAAGTACTGTAGGCCCGTTGGCTCTAGGGAGTTTAGGGACTCTAGGGACTCTGGTGATCTTCCAGGGCTAAGGGGACGGCATATGTAGGTGGTATGTGCTATCATATGTGCGATATGTACATATGTAGGTACGTAGCTTCGTAGCTTCGTACCTACCTCCAGATTTCAATCTTGGCCTACCGTCTGCTCTACACAGCAGACACAGCAGGAAGCGGCGGTACGGAACGGGTATCCCAGCAACAACGGGATTGGGATTCTATGTACATAACCAATAATAATAGGTAACCCTGATATAAGGAGGAATTTTGACTTAAGTAAACAATGGTTTTCAAGTCATTTCGGAGAATTGGTCAATTCAGGAATTCATAGCAACTATCTAAGCGTCGTGAAGTTTCTTAACGGTAAATAACGTGCCTATGTACCTAAGACGCTTCCCTCTTTTTGCGCATGGGCTCGTGTGTTATGCATTCATGGTATGTTTTTTGTGCAAGGGTTCGGTCGCTGCCAGCTGGCGGGATGGATCTAGGTATGGTTTAGCCCGAGTTTGTTGCATAATAGATTTGTGCTAGTGGGCCTTGGTGGGCCTAGTGGTGCAGAGCCGCGTCGAATCAGATATTAGTTCGGCGGGGCAGGGTGTCCTCATGGAAGTCTCGTGAGCTAAAGGACATGTTCCCTGCAGCTACAACATGCTTTTTGGCGCAAATAATTCTTTAAATCCATATCAGCAATTACTACATATGTATTTTAACAGGTAATCCTTACCTTGACTTGTGTACCTTACATATTGGACTATCAAACAAAAAGAAGACAACATCCCGAGTATATGAACAGATGTGAATTATGTCAATCAAATTCCATCCAATACGTTTGACGACAGGTGCCACCCTGACACGAAGTTTGGATAAGTGGCGCAATGGGTACCTAGGTACGTACCAGGAATGTGCCGGTAGCAAAGGAAATTGCGACACTCAGAGAAACATCAATATATACTTCGTACATACTAGTAGTATGTACCTACATAAAATACCCAACACAGTATATGATAATCACAACTTTTACTGTCCTTCTTCTAACTTTACTTGTGTGCCATCTAATTGGGTTTTGCTCATAGGCTGAATTCTTTTCTCTAAGATTTGTCGCACTATGTTTTATACTGTATTCGCATTTCAACACCAACGTTTTAGAGACCTCGTCAAGCTTTCAAGAAAGCAACCAGAATGAATATACCTGATATGACAAACCATTGTGCGACTTCATTATAGTCAATCAAGAAGCACTTGCGTCATATACTCAGAGTTCAAATCGTCAGATTTATCCTGATTCTGTACGCTTGTCTCATACTATCAATCATAGGGTTACAGTTCCAACCATATCGCCACAGGGATCTGTATAAGTGCAATACGAAGATCGTGGGCTTCTCGGAAGTTGCAGCACGGTCTTTGTCCTCACTGCAGATCAGAAAACAGATTTCTGGAGTTGTCCACGATACACACCCCAAGATTACATTAGCCATCAGCCAACGTAATGGAATTGGAATATCAATATGTTGCTGATGGCCAATACGATGTCGACGACTCGGAAGGCGCCCCTATATTAGATGTGCCTCAGAGGAAAATAGTTGCCATAGAGCATCCCTGCGTCCTGATAAATCTTGACAAAGGGCTCGATACATTCGGAGTGGATCCAGACTTTCAAAAGGTACCTACATATACCCCTATTTTTGCCATCAACTCATTAGTAAAGTTCTCAACTTACCAATTATGATAGCTTCTTGTCGACACGCCGGAGCCTACTTCGGTGCCTTTGTGGTTTAGACCTGATAATCCTACATCAAAGCCTATTGTGTCGCATCATGCGGCCACCAACAACATCCTCCTCAAGATAACTGTCCCCAAGCGGACAGGTAGGAAAAGGAAGCGGGGAAGCAATGGCCCATTCATCGGTGACGTTGATGTCACAAATGGGACAGCCGCTACCGCTACAGCTGATGAAGTGAGTTCTGTGAGCCGGCGTGATCGACCTAAGTCTATCCTCCGAAAGATGCAAGATAATCTCGATTACTACGAGATAGAAGCCGTTGGGAAGGTCGAGGATACTCACAGGTATCGAGGCCTATCTGACTTTCAATTTGCCAACGTCCCATCTTCGTTCTTGACGAAGACGGCAGAGAACCTGCTTCCAATGAAAGGTAAATAACCAGAAAATTTTGCTATCTCCTGCTATAGTTGCTAACTGTTACTTTAAGTTTCAAAACTACGAGAAATCAAGTTTGCTCCTGGTGTAATATCGGATCCTGGACAAGAGATCGTGCCCCCGCCACATTTCACAGACCGGATTATTGGATTTAACTACAACTATGAGCAGAATCCTAACACCAAAGTGGAAGGAGATGAGATGGGAAATCAGAAATTAATCAACATCCAAGGCAGGAAGAAGCACTCTTACGGTTATTTTATCAACCATAATACATATCCCGTACCTCAGAAACCGCGGCGAGAGCCAAATATGGTTATACCGGGATCATTAATGAGGCAGCTTCATGCCTTGATGGAAGAAAGGCCTATATGGACGCGCCGTGCCATTCTTAACCGTGTGACAGGCAACTATACCGATTCAGCTATGAGAATAGCCCTCCAGCTTGTTGGGTATCAGTTCAGGGGCGGACCATGGCGAGATGCCTTTGTCAAATATGGCATGGACCCTCGTCCTGATCCCAAGAACCGAGTTTACCAAACGCTCGCCTTCAAGTTGGAGAGAAATATAATCGGCACAAAGAAGGTGCCGTGGGAGGTCGTCAGGAAAGGCCAAATCAAAAAGCATCATAGGGAGAATCGGAAAAGTCACATTTGGGATGGGGAAGACTACTCGACTGATGGGAAATTCTGGCAGGTTTGCGATATCACCGATCCATTTGTCCGCAATATGCTTGACCAAGCTCCCTTGAGGACTGAGTGTGACATTGAATCGGGATGGTACTTCAAGAGTGCTTGGGTGAAAATTAAAATGATCATGAAGGTTAAGATGATTGCTATCAAGAGGGGTCGAATGGGTTCGGATGACGATCATCCGCAAAAGCCTGGCTTCCTATACAATTCCTTTCTTGCCGAGAGGCTACGACAGTGGCCTGATAAGACTGAGAAGCCATTGGGTTTGACTCTCGAGCCATTTTTACGCCCGATCGCAGATGTGGATACTACAAGAATTCCACGCAAACGCCGGCCTCCACAGCTGAAGCAAATTCCCGGGTCTACTGCAGCAGGCACGCCATCAAGCACTGGGGGCGATAATTTAAACGATAGAGGCCTAGATGGAAACAGCGACGATGAAGAAGAGGCAATACAGGAGAATCCATGGGAAGTTGATGACCTAATTTATGATCTTGAAGATGACGACGGGGATATTGATGGGGATGTGGAAGAGTATGATGGCTATTCCGACGACGACGATGATGACGAAGAGGAAGGTGAGGATTATTTAAAGGGATACGGATATGAAACTGAGCAGGATGAGTATGATGAGGATGACGATGTTGCTATGAACGATCACCCAACGGAAGATACCTATGATGACTAGGTAGATAGTCGTTGACTGCTGTACTAGGATACCGGTCAATGCAAGGGACCCAAGATACCTGTAATCATCATGCGTGCCACTCAACATGGTTGTGTGTTCCGTGCATATCAATTATCTCGCCCACAATAGCCTGCCATTTACTGAAACGATTCTGTGTTATTAACAATGAACCTCTTCCAAATATTCGGTGGATTATTCAGCACACCACGAACCTCGGCATGTTTTGCGGGGAGGCCGAGTTATGTTACAGCGCTATGCTACGTTAGAACAGCTCCGAGGTCCTAAGACATCATTATCGATAGTGCTTCAATGATTCAAAGACACTTCATCTATTGTCTGCCAGCCATTCTAAACTTACCATAACAAACAATTGAATCGAATCGACTTAGTTTGACTTGATTTGCGTTCTGTTGCGTTGAATAAAGCCTCCAAGCGCTCTTGTAGCTTACTCCACCATTCGTTAATTACCTAGCTCGAAAGTATAAGCCATGGCCGACGAAACAGCTCTCCACGACTTTCCCTCGCTCTTCTCCCTCAAGGGGAAGGTCGCCGTCGTGACTGGCGGCTCGCGAGGCCTAGGTTTGAATGCGGCTTCAGCGTGAGTTTTACCTTCCTTACCAGTCACTTAGAATACGTATCTACGGCATATAGTTCATTTCTCTCAAAACCACGAAATTCGTTCCCAGCATCTTATTTCCATGCACTCTACTCTACCTACCGTCTAGCAACATGCCATAAGCTGACCCAACCCCCCCGATACCACAGCTTCCTCCAAGCCGGCTGCGCCAAAGTATTCATAACCTCGCGCAAAGCCGCCGCCTGCGAAAAGGCCGTGGCGCAACTAAACCAGCTGCCGAACCGGCAGCCCGGCGCCCTCGCGATCTCCGTCCCAGCCGACAGCAGCACGCTGTCCGGCATCGAGTCCCTCGTCACGCAAGTCGCGAAACACACGCCCCACGTCGACATCCTCTTCGCGAACGCGGGCGCGACCTGGGGCGAGCGCTTCGACACGCACCCGGACGCCGCCTTCCAGAAGGTCATGGATCTGAACGTGAAGTCCATCTTCCTCACCGTCCAGAAATTCGCGCCTCTCTTGCAAAAGCGGGCCACCCTCGAAGACCCCAGCCGCGTCATCATCACCGCGAGCACGGCCGGCCTGGGCGTCGGACACCTCGGCCAGCAGGCCACCTTCGGGTACAGCGCGAGCAAGGCCGCCGCTATACACCTGGGCCGCAATTTGGCGGTCGAGCTGGGGCCCAGACATATCCTGGTCAACTCCATCTGTCCCGGCTTCTTCCCGACGAAGATGGCGAATGGCTTGATCGAGTTGTCCGGTGGTGCTGAACTGCACGCCTCGTTAAACCCGGCGAAGCGGTTGGGGAGGCCGGAGGATATTGCCGGCGTGGTTGTTTATCTCGCGAGCAGGGCAGGCGCGCATGTCAACGGCGCGGCTATAGAGATCGATGGTGGCGCCCTATGGAACAGTGGTGGTTTATTGCTAGCCGGGGTGGACTCTAAGCTATGATTTGTACACTATATTAATAGGCCCAGGGAGTTAAGTGAGGAAATTTGTAGGAATAATATTATGGATGCTAATGTGGTCTCATCTTATTGTACCTTTGTTCAATGCTAAAACCTAGACGTAGCTTCGTTCTTTTCCCATGCAATATGTAGATGGTATCATTATAAATGCGAGCTCAGACTCCAGACGCAATGCCCTATCAAATCCATCTAATAAGTTTGTTCTGAGATGTGGTTTACATATCAGCTTTGACTGACCTCAGATACATCGTTGGGCTTTCGCGCAACCCAATGGCTGGCTTTGTAGAATGTCTGCAGCATGCTCTCGGCGTCCTGCACATAAGGCGCGAACAGGCCCGCTTCTCGCTTTTCTACGATGAAGCCCATTCGTTCTACCAATGCGACGACTTCGTCATCAGTAAGCTCGAAACTTCCGGGATCCGCTATGCCCAAGGAGTTGTTTTCATCGTAGTCGCCATCTCCGTCGTAGCCATGGTGGCTAGGAACGTGGTTCTCCCAGTGCCATAGTAGAGGTCCAACATTGATAAGGACTCCCCCAGGTTTCAAACAATGGCGGATAACCTCAAGGTAACGGATCAGATTCGGCGCCGTGTCTAGGAAAAAGACAGCGGTTACGGCATCATATGTATCCTTATGACTTTCGTCCCCGTATAGGCAGAGAAAGTCAGCAGCACACATCTGCATGGATCCGGTTGCCTGAGCGTTTGCAAGTGTGGTCTGAGGGTGAATATCTGGGATCTTATAGGACCTGAACTGTTTCTCACGGCTCTGATGATTAGAGAAGGAGTGTATCCATGGGAATATGGTATGCTGGCCAGCTCTTTCCGTAGAATTGAGAATATACGACGATGCCAGCAGTTGGTGGTATGAGATCTCGTTGCCTTCAGTCAGGTAGCCCTTCAAGCAGAGATCAAAAACCAAGCGCCCCAGTCCAGCACCAGGAACTAGTATTTTCATGGGCAGTCGGTCAGGATATTTAGTCTTCTCAGCGTCCAATGCACGAAATATTGGGCCATAGCAGGCGTCACGCTCAACAGCACCTTCCTCAGACCAGTCACGGTAAAACTGTCGGATAGTGCTCCTAGCCTTATCCAGATCATTGTACTTGGCAATGCCAGACCAATCTTCGGGCATGACGAGTTCATTTTCCGCAGTAGCGTTTATCATACCGAAGGATCGCAACCCAACCTTAACGATAATACGGGCTAACTCTGCATTGCTCTCAATGGCGTCGTCCACTCGATTCAACACATCCAAATATGAGAATGGTGGCTGACTGAGTAACTGCCAGTGAGCTTGGGGGAGAGCATAGAAGGCCTGTCTGCGCAGATGTGTACAATTCAGATGGGCCGTTTTCGCATATTGGCTGTAGTAGATTCGTCAGCATTTGCAACGATCTGGAAGGGGGCTGCGGGTGAGCGACTTATAGGAAAGGTGTTTGATGCCTACTGGAAGCAAAATCGCGCCCCCTCTCTCAGACGCAAGATGGATGTGCTTGACTGAACGACACAACAACCTAATGATATACTAACCTAAATGAATCGAGTGCTTGGAATACAACTCTGATTTCCTCCGGGTCCTCGATATTTTCTTCTACGCCATTCCACTGGGAATCTTCATAAGCCTGGTTTGCCGACTCCATTATGACGGTGAGCCGGCTTCAAAGAAGGATAAGAAGAAGAGGGAAGAAGTGAAATTGGAAACCAAATTATGAGATCTTGTAGTCTTGGATAATCGTCACCCCAAATCTCGAGGCCCGGTTATGATGATGGTGGGGTGAATATCTCCGGACTGAGGGGCACGCGATTTAAAGTAATTCTACTAGCCCCAGCACATCTTAATAGAATTCTAAAAAGACGGGTTCGTTAGTCTCATAAAGATGAGCGTAACGATCCGTATGGATGAATGAATGTATTCAGGCCAATCTAGTGTGTGATAAATGAGATTGGGGGAGTTGAACGGGTTCTTCGACATCCGCGGCCTGGTACCTATAAGATCATTTGAAGGTTTAAAGTTAATCGCTAAGATTGTCCGGAGCGCCGCTACCCCAGGTATTTTCCAATGCCAATCCAGGATGTAGCTTCCGTCTCAGGTATCTAGTAATACGTAATGATGTTAGATATTAGGTACATATTCAGGTAGGTGGTGGTCGGGCTTTCCCAGCTGTCTGCAACGAATGTGGGGTATCGCTTCTGTACAACCAAACAAGCTCAACTTCACATTCACAATTTATAACACAGCTTTAAGGCAACATCGAATCTAGACACATACCCAGTAATCTATCAAAGCTGCACGTTAGATAACCCTGCAAGAATTCTCAAAATACCTACTCTGAATTTCCGGAGATTCTTCAGGAGATCCACGGTATTTGGGCTAGTTTGTAGGAATACTCATTCATATGATAAATCGTCCAGTGAATCAACTAGACACCAGCCTCACCAACGCTCATATCACCAGAATATATGCATAATGGAAGTAGTTATCGATGAGCCGATACAGCTTTCGTTCCCTTTGCCACGGTCTTTAGACACGAAGGTTCACCTACGATTGACCATCAAATCTAAGGTTATTCTATTATTTGTCACAACAGTGGCTGCGGATGAACAAGACAATGCGGCTCCAATGGGATCTTTCGTCTATGCATTACCTGACGTATGTTCCCCGATGGCCTATCTTAGATGAACAACTGACCGATATACCCATTCATAGAAATATAACCCAACTCAGCCACTTTCAACAACAATCTATTCCGTGGAGCCAACGATAGAGTTCACAACGCGGCTGGCTAAAATATTGGCTAAGAGGACACAAATGCCTATCTATGTTGGCAATTCCATCAGCTTCGCCAACACTGGATTGGGTGGAACAGTGGAGGAAGAGATGGAGGCTTTGAAAAGAATCGTCGAAGTCTCATTCGAAAACCTCCAGAGTGTCATTAAGCCGCCTGACCCTTTACCAAACGGAACCAGCACTTCATAGTACCATATCTTCGAGAAGATACCGGCGCAGCCACCCCTGCGCTAATAATCGGACTTTTACAGACGGAAGCGCTTATGCTCTTTGACTTACACGAGATACGCAAACCTGAATATTTGGGAGACTGGCAACCCATGTGAAGAAAGGGATCCGACATTTCCCTTGGAGCATGATCTTATAGATTTCGAGGCAGCGCAACCACTTGGCTATTTGTTTTCATGAACAGAGATAACGGATATCTTTCTTCATATCTAGAGATACCTGCCCTTCACTATATTGATGCATTAAGCATGGGTAGATGGATTCTATAGTGTCGAAGGAGGGAGGAACTTGACTATGAGCATTGAGATGGCTGAATAGACCATATATTCGTCTAATTCATCTGGTGTAGGTGGCCACCTAGTTACTACGGGTCATACAGGGACGTCATGAAAAAATATCCTCGAAGTAAATCTAGTCGATTAATACATCAGCCGTCGATGTCTTTTTTTCGGAACGTACATTCGAGCCCCTTATTCTTAGTACCTTGACATATCCTATGTGGCGGCTGAGGACCATCAAGTACAAACTTCATCTAATCGAAACATCCCGGTTCTAAGCGCTTATTTGGTGGTTGTGCCATGATTGAATCGTTATAACGGTAGTTTGACCTGTATCGACTCGGCAGCTCGGGTGGTTATCTGCATATGTTTGAACCCTTGATCCTCTCCCAATACATGTGCAACCCAACCATCTCAGGTCTATGACATCTAGGGTTTAGGCAAGGCGCCGCCTAGAGCTGGCGGATCAAATAACCTCCTGTGCAGATCCCCGAGTTACACAACATCCGCCATCAAAGTGGCTTGAAGAATTGTCACAAACTTATAGCGCTTGGTCATTTCGTCGTCGCCCCGTATCTGGCTCGCTGGTGGAACATGCATACTTGGCAGCAAAAATGAATCCCGTGATACTGGGGGGCTCTACTATGGAACTATTTCCTGATACTGGTAAACTGGTGAGGTCGATTGCGGGGCGATGTCTTACAAAAGGATCGTTTGGTTTCGTTGCGGTGTTCCCTAATTATTGGCCACTCTTTCCACCTAGATGTCTCGAAGAAAGATATGGAGGATAGTTGTCATCTTGCCAATTTGCAATCTTCTACATGGGGTCGTTGTTGATACAAAACAAGCCCCCTTTACTGACCGTACCCTTTGTCCTGCATCCACACTGTTCCCAGGGGTTGTCTTTAGAGGCTGTTTGACTCAGTATCACGCGGGTATTGGTGCTGGTTTCACAGAGAGTTATTGTGCGTGGCAGCTTAACAGCTACTATAGCCTTCATACGTATGCATATTTCGTATTCTGGTCCGACTTGGCGCCTTGCAGGTTACGACAAAGATACTGGGTAGAGGGTTAAAAGTTAGTTTAGGTTCGATTCCTATTAGGCCTGTTGGTGCCTTCCTTTTATTCCTTCTATCTGGTGATTTCGTCCAGGTGGTGCAGTGGTAAGTGCGTCGCTTTTAAGCATCGACCATGTGGTTCGATCCCATGTTGTGCGGTTTGAATCTCTTTTAAGAGTGCCGCCGGGGGCGTCACTTCCCTGCCCTGGTCTAGATACTGGGTAGAGGGTTAAAAGTTAGTTTAGGTTCGATTCCTATTAGGCCTGTTGGTGCCTTCCTTTTATCCCTTTTATCTGACAAATAGTGCTAACAGTACACAAAGGCCTGGGCTACTTGGATAGATCCCGGCCCTAGCCTAAGGGTCTATTTCACATGTTGCTTGTGGAAGCCTCTGATTTTTTTCAATTCTTTTTTTTTGGAGGAACAGGTTCGAGTCCCTGGTTCTAAGCCTGTTAAAAGTTGGTCGGCTTTAGGCTTCCCTGTTTGAGCATCCGGTATCCGTTTTATATAATACCTAGCTTCATTGGCAATGTCGACAGTGTCCTAGACCAGTTACCTCCCTATCTCAGCAGTTATATCGACTATCATTATAAATATGATAGGTAATGCTAGACTAGGTAAATTGAACCGCTTTTCAGGGGATGTTCAATTGACCTATACTTTGGTCTATTTTAAGGCACGATAGAACGAGTTCAAGATGGAAGGGAATCTATCTGTATGTAGTTACATGAACATGCCTACCGTCTTGGCATGCATTATACAAATATTCGTGTACCTAGATACCTGTATATGCACGTGAAGATACACATTACGGAGTTAACAATATCGCGTCTTCGTAGTCTTAGTTTTTACCTACATATTACTAGGTTCAATTGTGCGCTAAAAATATTCTGATATGTTGGTTTTCACAAGACGGCTCTTTCCAGCGAGGGTTAACATATCCAACGAGCGTATCGATATGGTCGATTATGCGCTAGGTGTCTAGTATGCACATAGCGTACTTGCCTTATGGATACCACTAAACGTCAGAGGGCCCTCCCATACGCCCACTCTGAGCACATGTACCTACTACCCGCGCCTCGCACTTCTTAAAAGAGCTAGGAAAACGTAAAAAACAACCATCAGACTGCCATCAGACACACCCCCACCATTGAACTTTTTCTAAAGAGGATTCCTAAACCCTTCAATCAGGGACCAGGCTCAGTAACCGGAACGGGCAGAACGGGTCACGGTCTCCCCTCGCAAACCACCACCAGAAAAAAAGGCCAAGTTTGATCTTAACAGGTCATTTGCCGCCTTTCTGTATCATTCTGTATCGTCGCGATAATCTGATTAAGAGAACTAACTGTCGAAGTAAAAAGACGAAAAGAAATCTAGAAAAAGAAGACGACGACGGTACCATATAACAGATAACTAATAAGGAAGACGATCAACATATACCTTACCATACCTCTTTAACTAGTCTTTTTTTACCGATTTTCCCTCCAACTTACCATTACCACACTTAACCGCATTGTTTTCAACACCAGCTAGTCCATCTTTTTTACCTTAGGACCCCACCATCTCCAGAACCGATGTTACTACTGACAATCAACTCTTGACCTCCTTCTCCCCTACTCACTCACTTACAAACTCTTCTTCCTCTCTTTCCCCCTAGAACTAAGTAATCTTCAAGCGCTTCATATTCGAATCCCAGATCCCCAAAAAGCGCACATCCCCAGTACCAAACTGCCCCGCCGCCCACCATGGCGTGGCAACCATCACCCGAGTCCTTGAGCACGCTCGCTGCTTGTCTCAAGGACTCTCTCAGCGGCTTCGATAAAGCTGCGCAGAAACAAGCTGAGATTGTAAGACATCCTTTAAATTACTATCCTATTTCATATGAATAGGCGACAGCTGTAGCTTGCCTTGCCTATAGTTCCAGTGACTCAACTAACATAAGCTCTTCTCTGTTTAGATGCTAACTCAAGCGAAATCGAATCCCGATATAAACAATTATCTTGTGTATCTATTCTCCAGCCAAGAGCCCCCTAATGGTCTACAATGTTCAGCTGAAGACTATTTTCTCATTCGATCGTCGGCCGCCATTATGCTGAAGAACAACATCAAGCCGGGCCCCAAACGAATTTCCGACGATAGTTTCGCCCTGATTAAGATGGGGATCCCTATGTGTTTGCAAGATAAGAATTCTCAGATTCGCAACTATGCAGGAGTGATCGCAACCGAGGTCATTCGCCGAGGTGGAATTATGAGCTGGCCTGAGTTGTTACCGGAACTCTTGAAGATGATTGGCAACGAGACTGGCCAATTCACAAATGAGGCGCAAGAGGGTGCTATGGCGGCTATGGCCAAGATCTGCGAAGACAACACCAAAATGTTAGAGCGCGAACTAAACGGTGAACGTCCTTTGAACTTCATCCTTCCGAAGTTGATACAGGCTACTAAGAGTCCGTTGCCCAAGGTCCGCGCTCATGCCTTGACCGCTATCAACGTTTTCACGGCTCGCAAGTCTCAGGCTATGCTTAACTCCATCGATGATTTGCTCCAGCACCTATTCGCCTTGGCATCGGACAGCAACAACGACGTGAGAAGACAGGTTTGTAGAGCATTTGCCCAACTTGTAGAGTCTCGCCCAGACAAGATCCAGCCTCATCTCCCTGACCTTGTCGATTACATCATCACTCAGCAACAAAGTGATGACGAGGATCTGGCCACTGACGCAGCCGAGTTCTGGCTTACGGTTGGAGAGCATGAGCATCTATGGCATTCGTTGAGCCCGTACATCGGCAAGATCATCCCGGTTCTCCTCGAATGCATGGTATATAGTTCAGAGGATATTGCTCTTCTGGGTGGCGCATCCGATGACGAAGACGAGGAAGACCTGGAAAAGGATATCAAGCCCCAGTTTGCAAAGAAGTCGCAGACGCGACAGGCCAAAGGAGATGGTTCTGCGGATGCCGCCCAAAACGGAAACGCGTATGAGAAGTTAGCTAGTATGGATGATGACCTTGAGGAAGGCGAGATTGATGACTTTGAAGACGGCGATGACGCCAATCCGGATGAACGATGGACTCTACGAAAGTGTTCTGCGGCTGCACTAGATGTGTTCGCTCGCGACTTCAGAGACCCGGTCTTCGAATCTATTCTGCCCTATCTTACTAAGAATTTGAGGCACAATGATTGGCCATACCGGGAGGCTGCGGTACTTGCGTTGGGTGCTGTGGCAGAAGGTTGTATTAATGTTGTCACGCCTCATCTACCTCAATTGGTGCCTTATCTCATCTCCCTTTTGAACGACACTGAGCCTGTGGTCCGTCAAATCACATGTTGGACATTGGGACGCTATTCTTCCTGGGCCGCGGAGTTGACGGATCCTGCCCAGAAGCAGGCTTTCTTCGAGCCGATGATGGAAGGTATTCTGACAAAGATGTTGGACAGCAACAAGAAGGTCCAAGAGGCTGGCGCATCAGCTTTTGCGAACCTCGAAGAGAAAGCAGGGAAGAGACTGGAGCCGTACAGCCTCCCTATCATTCAGCAGTACGTCAAGTGCTTCCAGAAGTTCAAGGATCGCAACATGTACATTCTCTATGACTGCGTCCAGACCTTGGCCGAACACATTGGTCCTGTCCTAGCCCGACCCGACCTCGTCAACGCACTGATGCCAGCTCTTATCGAGAGATGGAAGAAGGTCGACGATCAATCTCGGGAACTTTTCCCCTTGCTGGAGTGCTTGTCATATGTTGCGATGGCACTGAATGATGCATTTACCCCCTATGCGAAGCCCATATTTGCACGATGCGTCAATATTATCCACCAGAACTTGGAGGCATCTCTTGCCCTACAAAACAATCCATCGCTTGACACACCTGACAAGGATTTTCTGGTCACCAGCTTGGATCTTCTTAGTGCCATCATCCAGGCTCTCGATCCAGCAATGTCTGCCCAGCTCGTTCAAGAATCCCAACCCGCATTTTTCGAATTTCTTACCTTCTGCATGAAAGATCCTACAGACGAAGTCCGACAGTCCGCCTATGCGCTCCTCGGTGATTGTGCCAAGTACGTTTTTGAACAGTTGCAACCGTCGTTGCCGAATATTTTCCCCGCACTTTTAACACAGCTGGATCTGGACGGTGTACTTGATGAGGACATTGATAGCGGATTCGGAGCGGTCAACAATGCCTGCTGGTCCGCCGGAGAGATTGCTCTTCGACACAAGTCTAACATGGCCCCTTACGTGCCTGAGCTCTTCCAGAGCTTTCTCGCAATCGTCACTAACCCTGGTATTCCTAAGGGGGTCACCGAGAATGCCGCGATTGCTTTGGGTCGTCTTGGACTGGGTAATGGAGAACTCTTAGCTCCGGAGTTGGCCAACTTTGCCGAGGATTTCCTCACTTCGATGGATGAGGTTGATCCATCTGATGAGAAGGCGACCGCGTTCCGAGGCTTCACTGCTATTGTCGAAAAGAACCCTATGGCCATGGAGAAATCACTCCTACACTTCTTTACTTCAATTGCCAGATACAGAGACTTGAAGTTGCGCAGTGAGACTAAGAATGGTCTGCACGAGGATTTCCAGAAGGTGAGTAGTCGCATGGAAATATTTACAGTAAACAAACTAGGGAAAATTCTAATAATTATTTAGGCCATTAGTATATACCGTCAAATCATACCTCAGTTCGATCAGTTTTTCGGTCAGCTCTCGCCATCAGACCAGCAGACTTTACGAACAACTTACGCCTTTTGAGATGGATATCTCTGAAGACGAGTCATTGGGTTTTTTATTATACGCAAGATAATGAGTGGTTCCCTCAGGGGTTCCAGGAAAGATGGTTCCAACACCCAAGCCCTATATTGACTTGTCATCTCATGGTCCGAAGAAACTACGTCAGTTGAATTAGGCCAGCTACGTAACAAGCATTCAGCAGCTGGGGGGCTGCAGATCTAGCTCTGCATCGAGGTGTGCACTAAGTGATGGTGTTAGGAGTCAGCTCATTGCTTGACCTAGGTCTTTGCAGAAAAAAACTTGCAGGAAGGAAATAGGGTTGCGCACTTTAAGGCGTAGAACGTTAGTGGCGTTTAATGGGAAAAGGGGGCTCGTCGAACGACGAAGCCGCCTTGCGGGGGGTTGAACGGATGGCGCAACATATGTCGAAAACAGACTCGCCTGACAATTGGAATTGAGCTGCCTGCCCGCGCGCAACGCCAGGCAGCATTGCTACGTTCAAACCACCCACGCACCAAAGTAGATAGCAAGTAGATAGCATAGCAAATTTCCCCCGATCCAACGTTTTGAAGAACACCTACCTCGGCTTGAGCTATTTTATTGGCAAGGCCGAATAAAAAGGCGATACCGATACCATTGATACCTAGCTCAAATTAGATATCAAAGATATTTTGAACGGAATGAAGAGATGATAGAGAATTTGCGGCTTAAATTGCGAGCGTCAGCAAGATACCTAATCTTGCGTATCGCTCGGATGGCCGTATCTGTAATTACGTAGATATATCACATACTGTAGGTAGGCATTGATAGGTATACTCGCTTAGATGTGAAATCCTAAGATAGGTAGGTACGTAAATAGACACATATGTAGGTGTGGGCTACTGCGAATAAACGTGGCCATGCATTCAGACTATGTATGTAGGTATGTATACTAAACGCAACATGCATTTAGGTACGCAGGGAGTTCAGCCAGTTTATATTCCAGGCTACATGTACAAATGTGAGTATGTACCAACATATGTAGACATGTATGTATGCTTGAATACGAAAATCAGTGTACGTAGAATCGCTTACCTACCTTGTATACCTCGTCTACATAGGATTATGACTTGGCGGTGAAAAGAAAAGAAAAAAACCTCGAAAAAAAAATCTGTCTGGCCAAGAGAGGGGTGTGCTGCAGTTACGAACGATGATCTTTGGCGGTGGATGATTGACAGACGGGCTTAGAGATGTGCGATTTTCGAACCCCCCACTTGAAAAGGTGTCCCTTACATAGTACCTGCAGATGGGCTTATACATAGTGGAGGTCCTGACGACTAATAACATGAAGGATCGTAGGTATAGAAGTATTTCAATAGGCGAGAGAGCCGACGGAGGATCATTATGTAAGCTGGCAGAGGCGTAGATAGTAGGTAGAGTTAGGTTTACGGTCATTGGTCACTGCACTATGTATGTATTTAGATATCACAGATGCTGGAGCTTCGTATTAATTCGTAATATTGAGTAGAGTAGGTCGTTTAAATACCACATCTACCTTTTCCCGCCCAATCACCAACCACGCCCTCTATGATCCCAACCTCCGCGGTACCCCTGTCCACGGTAATCGCCCCTTCCGCCTCTGCCGTATTGCTGGAAACCGTTTCCTTGTTGCTGCGGTGGAAGTCCTCCGGGAGACATGGGAGACGGATGTGATGGCCAACTGCCCATCGCCATATTCTGAAGCCAGTTCGGCGGCATATTCGGCGGCATGTTCGGGGGTATGTTTGGAGGCATGCCGGCGACGGGAGGCGGAGGAGGTGGCGGTGGCCATTGTCCTTGGTAATTCTGTGGTGGGGGCGGAGGTGGTGGTACCATGAACTGACCTTGGTCCATGGGATGCGAGGGGAAGGACTGTGGGAACGGAGGCGCTGAGTGTTGATATGCTGGGTTTGGGTTCAGGTGCGGAGGTTGATTTGGAAAGCCGGACTGCGGTTTTCCGTTCGAGCCGGCGTAGTAAGGAGATTCGTACGATCGCGGAGGCGGTGGACTCCGTCCTTGAGATTGCGAGCGCGATCGGTTATACCTCCGATCCCTTGAGGGTGAACGTGATCTTGACCTGCTGTATGATCTTTGCCGGCGCCGTTCTCTGCTGTAGCTCCGCCGGGGGCTCCTACTCCTGTTCTCGCTGCGAGAGCTAGATACCCGCCGTCGCTTAAAAGCAGGTCGCGACGAACCGCGGGAGGAGCTTCGCGAGTCTGAACGTGATCGTGATATACTACGCCCGCGGTGGCCATTTCCAGAGCTGCTGGCTTTCTTGCGACGCTGCTTCATCTTCTCGCAGAAGGCGCGTGACCAGCCGTAATAGGTCTCTCCGTCGATTACATCGCCAGTGATCTCATCCAACACAACTCGTTGCCCTAACTGATCGATGTCTTCGGTGGATCGATCGATCTCGCGATGGTCCTTATTGTAGATACGGTCTACATCGGCAAGCAAATTCTGGACAGCTTTGATTAAGCTCTCCTCCGCAGGGCCCGCGGTAAGCTGCAGAGGCTTGATCATTTCTGGGTTCATTGGTCTCGTTGAATTGGGTTCAAGGACGGGTAGCCAGTTCGCTGCAGGTAAGTCGTACCATGATACAGACATATCACCATGCATGGCTGGCATGATGAAAGGGGCTTCTTTTGATGATTCCGCGCCCGAAGCCTGGACACCATCGATTGGCGCATCGCCCTTAGCAGCGGCATCTGGCGCATCCTTGATGGTTGTTCGAAGCTTCTGAATGAAGGGTTCTGGGAAGTGTCGCTTTTCACCCCAGAGGTCTACAAGGTCCGTTACTTTCTTGGTGTGCTTGGGGCAGTTTGGAAAGACTGCAGCGGTTCGAATAAGGTCTTGGATGACCGGTTCTAGCTTTTCTGCAAAGTCGGAATTGCGATCCCGAATGTGGACATGGTATAACACATCATTCAGAATGTAGAGTATATGGAGTCGCTTTCGTTTCGAGGAAGGCTCACGCGCTTGCCTGCTGGCGGCGATTTCCACGGGGTAGGACTTGGCCAAGGCCGTCAGATATTTCCCTAAGGCGGCGATCCTGGCAGAGGACCGGACCAGGTTCTTTAATATCCATTGCTTGCATTTCTATGTGTCGACCGTTTAGCTGTCGCACAAGATACCAAATTTCAAAAGATTGTGTTGCTCAAACCTGAACATTGGGTGGAGAGCATCGCGAGATGGTCGCGTCGAGTAGCTGAAGAAACTCGTCAATCTCGCCGCGGGAACATGATGTCGGATCTGGACGTAAAAGAACGGCGGAGAATGATACTTTGGCTATGGCTAGCTGTGGCGACGCCATTATTACAAGATGAGTATAGTTACAAGGTATCTAGAGCGCATGCTCTCGTGTTGGATGGTTGAGTGGTTAGATTGTGAATTTGATGTTCTTGGGAGAACCGTGATGGAATTCAAGGCGCCGACTTAATTGGTTCAATGTTGTATTTGGCCGGTCCCTGCAGCTTCCAAGGTCTTGTCAGCTGTCGGGCAGCAGCTTTCGGGTGGCGGATTAAATGCTCCCGTGTCTCCACTATTATACATGGAGCCAGCGATTCCTATGTGGGAAAAGATCAGCCGAGACATACGCCGATGGACATTTGAGGCCGTTTTGATGTCTTCACTTGTCATTTTGTATTCTTAACCACGAGTTCAACGTCAAATCTACCGACTATCTACACATGCACTATTATCTAGTAGATGCACCAGGGTCTCACCCGTGCTGGGGAATTTCGACGAGTGCTCAGGCACAAGATAACTTCTGCAATTACACTTGGCGCATACTAACACAAAAAACCTCATAGAATTACCATATCGACATCGACCTGACCACATCAAGAGATTATAGTTATTATAACAACGGCAATTTGGGAGTAGAGTGGTCTTTATCGTCTCGCCTTTTCGTTATCGTATTGTATACACGGAATTCATTATGGTCTCATAATAAACGTATAGACACTCCCTCCGCTACCAACGACGACTAAGAAAACCGATCGCCTTTCTTGCTTCTAAACGGCGTGCTGCTCTCGTACTTGCTCTTCTCTATCACTTGTTGTCCTTCCGTAGCGGGTGCATGCCTGGTCGGAGCTGGATCGCTGCTCGCTTCTTGACTTGGCGAACCGGCCGTATCAGTTCGAGCTGGGTGGCCATTGCTATTCAGAGAGCCACCCATCGTCGACGCAGATAGTGGCTGGCTAGGGACGTTGTTGGAATGCTCAAGAGAATCGATCATCTGCTTCTTTCGGCGGGCTTCCTCGAGGCGCGCGGCTCTATCGGCGTTGATGCTCTTCTTCGCAAAATAGTACGCTCCTCCGCCAGCTACACGTTGCTCGTGTCAGCAAAAACTCTCACCGACGTGAACGTCAGCGAGTACATACCAAGACAGAGGGTGCCCCAGCCCATCCTTTGCAATGGCATTAACAATTAACGGCATGATCCATTAGGTGACGTATCATTACGATCCACATACCAGAATGACTTGACCTAAGTGGGTAAGAGACGTTAGCTTCTTGCGCTCCTTAGATTCTCTGTTTCGCTCGCCAGATACCTACCGTGTTCATTTCGAAATCGGGTACGATGCGCGCGTGTCTATTTCTCGTGCTTGCTGCGATGACGTTGAAAAGTGCGAATGAGAATATTTAGGTCTGCAGGTTGGCGTGGGATTGTCCCAAGTTAAAAAATTACGTAGAATGGCAAATATCCATATAAGTGGTACGACTTTATGATCTATCAGCTCAAAATGGGAAAGAGTACAACCCTGCAAGCACTCCCGTCGCCCTAGCGCACCTACCTAACCTAGGCCTATGTTCGCTCTATTTAGGCCTATTCGCCTCTGTAACCAGCACCACCCTACAGGGGCTATGTGCTAAATATTCACGGCGGGCAGCTGCCGGGACGATTGAAGGATGTTGGGACAGGTACCCGGTACCGATAACCGGGGGCAAGCTGCTCAGTGTGGGCGGGATTGGACGCAACCAGCCGGCAGCTGTACATTGAATTTCTAGTGGGGTAAGGGACTCACGGTTTAAAATGTTCCAAGGTTCAATTCAAGGTTTTCAAGGGTTCAATGTTGGTTACGGCAGGTACTTAGCGATACGTGTACCGTTACGGAGACAGACATGGATCTCTCGCCTAGATGCCTAGTAACCTATGGAACATTACGTAGTGCGCCTGCGTATCGACTATGTACTTCCAGTACATAGTACTTCGTACTTTGAATTAGAATTTCCACCTCAAGCCAATACGGGAATATCTCTAATGCGCCTAAGATCTGCAATCTTACCTGCACAAGTACCCAGCAGCCAAGGTGGTCAACTAATCAAGTCAACTGGTGTTGGAGGGCTAGAGGTCTAGAGGTTTCGCATGACTGGAACCGACTCCAAAGAAGAACCCAAATTTAATTCCGCTCGTTACCTTTCAGCAAAAACCGAGTAACAGACCTAGACGAACTTTCTAATAATAATCTACCATTAACCTACGTATCACCGTATACACGTTACCTTTCCGACTACGAACTGCGCTCCTTCGTTATACGTGACGGTGTTACGATTTTAGGGAAAGCGGTTGTTGATGCTGGAATAGTAGACAAAGGAGAGGCGGAACATGATCACGATTGGCGGCCGAGGCATCCCATTGACACTCCCATTCACGGAATCTGATCTGACAACATCTTTCTTACCAACACGAAACCGTAGGATTTAAACTACCACCTGCTCTCGTCTTGGAGTTATTTTGGCCTCGATTCGATCAGGAACGACAAGACAACTACAAATATTTAGGGGTTAAGAGTTAGGGATCAAATTGTTTTGCTGGATGATCCCGAGAGAGCAACTCGTAGCTAGTGATGCCGTGGGAGCACGAGAGTCCCGGTATTCTGTAGTCTGATAGAGACTACCCCTCATCATCATGGAGTCCAACGGCCAAAATGCACCGGACGACTCGTCCCTGGTAAGATTATCCCTTCCCGTTCCTTTCTACGTATTCGTATACTGCCATAAGGGTACTGACTAAAGTAATAGAGACCAGTCTCGTCCCTGAGATCCCATTTCGAGAGCATGGGCAAGACCAAAGAGGGTGCCAAAGATGGTGTAAAAGATGGTCAAGCAGCTGTCAATGCCCCGCCTAGTAGAAATCAGTCACCGTCTCCGAAGCCTCCACCAATTCCAGACACCAGACCTAGCCGAAGCGTGAACGTGCCTCCTGAAAATGGAAGACCCAAGACCAGAGATTCCTTGATTGCTTCGAGTCGCCATTCCATCCAGATTGTAGCTCCGCCGGCGTTAAGTCCCAAACCTATCAAACCGCCTGCCGTCTTGATAGAACCACCTCAGTCACCACCGAAACCAAGACCGCTCTCCGTCTTACAAAATGACCAGAGTGCTCATCTCTTCCCCGAAGCCTCAAAATCTCCCAATACTCCAGTTGCTTCCTCGCCCCGGTCGTTTAAAATTCCTAGTCGACCGCATACGCCAGTGGTCGAAACCGGCCGATCTCCTAGGCTCATAGCCACAACCCAACCGCCGTCACCACCGCCTCCACGAAGGTCTGCTGAGCTAAAGAGGGAACGCGAGGCCAGGGCATCACCACCTATTCCGCCACCGATAAATCGTGCCGAGAAACCAGCCAATCGACTTTCTAGGCTAATGGAGAACGCATCTCAACTGGAATTGACACCTCAGGTCTCAGAGGCACGTTCTCCATTCAACAGTCCTCCAAGTAGCCCTGAGAATGAAGATCTTCCAGTGCTTCCATCACGGCCAGCGCGGCTACCGCCTCAAAATGCGATGCCAAGAACGAGTGCGGTACCAAAAGGCGTTGAATCCTCTTCTGTTCACCAAACAGTTGCAGCTATCCGCCGAGACAACGAGATCAATGGAAACACTCGGGCACCCATCTCACCTCGACTTATGGACGACCGACCGGCCCTTCCAGCTCGGCCACAGACTGTCACTGAGCCAGCGCATACCCGAATCCCAGCGAATGCTGCTGCGAAAGCACCACCTCGACCTCCAAGGCCTTCTGTAACGACTACAAGCGCAATTACGGATGGACCTGTGTCTCCACAGCCTAAACGTATTTCTTCGACACCAACCAGCCAACTTGCGCCTCCGACGTCTCGTACTCACGGGAGGTCTATGACAGTAGATCGACACTCCGAGAAGGTCCCGGCCGAGTTCCAAGATCCTAGCAGATCTTCTTATTCATCGGACCCGACTTCTACAGGCCAGGTAGAGATTGTATCTCAATATCCCGATCCAACCAAGATAAACCGCCGGCCACCCTTCATAAAACAGGGCGCTCATGAGATCCACACAAAGTATGATGCTAGGTTACTCGATGTCTGCGGACAATATGCTTGTACTACTGGCCATCTCACGCGAGTCTGGAACCTCCTTGACGGCGAACTTGTAGTGAGTTTCGCTCACGGAGAGGGAGTCAAAGGAACCGCAGTGGCATTCAGACCAGGAGCAAATGTGGACGAGGAGGGAATACGGATTTGGATTGGTAACAATATTGGCGAAATCATAGAAGCCGATGTTACATCTCATAACATAACCGAAACTAAACCGAATGCTCATGGCCGATATGAAATAGTCAAGATTTACAGGCATTACAATGAGATGTGGACTCTCGATGAAGGAGGAACACTGCACGTGTGGGGACCAGACAGCGACGCGGTACCGAATTTAGGCCTCAACCCCGATCAGACCTACAGACTGCCTAAAGGACATACATTTTCCATGGTGGTTGGCGATGACTTATGGCATGCTGCAGGCAAAGAAATCCGCATCTTTACGCCTACTACCGGTGGCCGAAATCAATTGCAGGTTCTAATGAGACCCCTGGTCGCGGAGGGAGCAGGCGACGTGACCTCTGGAACCCTCATGAAGTCGCAGCCGGGCAAAGTCTTCCTGGGTCATAACGACGGCAAAGTCAGCATCTATTCCCAGAAGGATTATGCATGTCTGAGCGTGCTCAATGTCAGCTCATACAAGATCAATTCCCTTGCGGGCATGGGAAATAATATATGGGCGGGCTTCAATTCTGGTAGGATCTGTGTATACGATATGACGAAGTCGCCCTGGGTCATCAAGAAGGAATGGCAGGCTCATGACAATCCGGTTATAAAAGTTATCGCTGATCCTTCAAGCTTCTATAGACTTGATCGGTCGCAAGTCATCACTCTCGGAGCAGACAATATGGTAAAAACCTGGGATGGGTTGCTGCAAGATGATTTTTTGGAAAACGAGATGAAGTCTCTCGATACGCAGTACTGCAAATTCGAGGACATCAAAGTTTTGGCGATGACGTGGAATGCCGGGGCCTCGACACCCAACAGCCTAAGATATTCCGAATCCGATGCTATATTCATACAGAATCTGTTGCAATCAAGCGATTCTCCAGATATAATTATTTTTGGATTCCAAGAACTGGTCGACCTAGAAGATAAAACGGCGACGGCGAAGCGATTTTTCAAACCGAAGAAGAAAGATGCGTCGGACCAGGAGAAGATGAGCCATCAATACCGAGACTGGAGGGATTTCCTCGTCAGGAGTCTCGACGATTATATGCCCGCCGATCACCTCTACCACCTACTGCAAACAGCAACTCTAGTGGGCCTTTTTACCTGCATATTCGTGAAGTCGACTCTCCGTGATCGCATACGGAATCTCAGCAATAGCGAGATCAAGCGTGGAATGGGAGGTTTACACGGAAACAAAGGTGCCATCATCGTGCGGTTTATGATAGACGACACTTCACTCTGTTTCATCAACTGCCATCTCGCGGCTGGCCAATCAGGAGCGAATCAACGACACAACGATATTGCGGCGATCATGGAAACGGCTCTCCTGCCTGTGGAACGCGATCCGAGCGTACGTGTCGACAGTTACGTAGGAGGGGGCGATGGAACGATGGTCCTTGACCATGAGCTATGCTTGCTTAACGGCGATCTCAATTATCGTATCGACACCATGTCACGGGATACGGTAGTCATCGCGGTGAAGCAAAATAACCTTGCTAAGCTTCTCGAGCGCGATCAGCTCCTAGTGGCTCGTCGAAGGAACCCGGCATTCAAGCTCCGAGCTTTTGACGAGATGCGTATCGAATTCCCGCCGACATACAAGTACGACGTAGGAACAGATAATTACGATACTAGCGAGAAGAAGCGGTCACCGGCTTGGTGCGATCGCCTCCTTCACCGAGGTTTTGGCAGAATACAGCAACTTGAATATAGGCGGCACGAGGTCAGGGTGTCAGACCACCGACCCGTAACCGGTCAGTTCAGGTTTACGATCAAGTCTATCTCGCCTAAGAAGCGGACGCTGGCTTGGGCAGACTGCCAACAGCGCTTCGAAAACCTCAAAGGGAAGGAGGCGAATGCGGATATGTAAGTGATCCATGCTTTCCAGGAATGCGTTGCTGAATAATCGTTAACATGTTCTAGGCTTTATTATCTCACGCATGTCATCGGCTACGATTCAGAAACGAGTAAACAGATACTACGCGATAGAGCTGGCAGATAAAACGGCGTGACCCAAATCCGCAATGGGTAGGATAGAAGCGGTTCGGTCTAACCCCGTACATATAGATGCCCAGCAAACAAGAGAAAGAAAAGGAGGTGCTCTCCCGGTCTCCAGGAGAGCGCGATATCGTCAGAGCAAGATAGAGAGCCTTAGCGACGGCTAATTGTGACGTGATATGACCAAATGTGGCACATCCGGCAAGGAAGACGGATTGTGTTATAATGCCTTGCAAGTTAGATGGTTGGGCCTATGAAGAGAGGCATTATCATAGTTCCAGAAGCGACGATGAAGCATTGTCATAGAGAATAAAAATAAGTAATGAGGTCGGTTGAGTCGGTTGGGTGCCGTACTGCCCGAATGGTGCTCGGTGAGGATCCCGTGTGATGTCGTGGTCGACGGGATCCAAAGGTGTAATCCGAGTTCCGTAATCGGAGTTGGTTTGATTGGCCCTTCCGATTCCGATTGTCTGAGGATTGCCGTAGGTACCTGTCTCATAACCGCTGACATCGATCGTATCCATCTCCCTTGTCGACCCAGACCCGAAGAGATAAGCCGCACACGCCGTCGAAGCTAGCAAAAGGTTTAAAAAAAAGATAGGTACTAGATTTGCACTTACCCAGCCACTTAACAGAAGAGAAAATTAAATACATATGGGGTAATCGATACTACGCATATTTTTTCTTCGTCTACTACGGTATTTCAATTTTTTAGTTCGAGACTCGTTGTGGAGTCGCTCCTTGTTCTAGCGAACCCGTTGAAGACTTTTTTTTTCTTTTCCATTACCCTTCTTTGACGTAAAAACGGCCTTGCGGGTCCCTGGCATCGGATCCCGATCTCTTCTTATCCTGGGGTACTAGTCTGCTAATATACCTGTTATAAATTGTTCATAATTGAGAAGGCCGGCTCCCTTATCTCTGTTTTGGTAAGAAGAGATTCGTTCGTGAGGGATATCGTATATAAATTGTGTTAAGATTCTTAGAATTAAGCGTGGATAACCTTTTTTGATACACCGTGGTATTACTGTTTGCGCGCTGGGAAGTCGAGGTCCGACAGGAACGCCAGGCGACAGCTCAACTTCCTAGTCCGGCTTCCGTCCGTCAATCGATAACTCAGGGCAGGCGCGAGTCAGACGTATCGGGGAAGAAAGTTGGGTTGAGTCTAAAAGCAGATTTACCCGAATCAACTTGTTCGGTACACCCAGGTGATAGCGAAGCAATACTACTACGAGGATATAATAAGGGGTAGGAGATTGAAGTAGCGAGGTTATTCCTTCTGGTCTGGGATTTCTCACGAGCTACGATGGGGGCCTTCACAGCCGTCGTGAACGGCGCTGCCGAATCTACGTACCCCGAATCGAGGGTGCTTATCATCATCACTGGAGGCACCATCTGCATGCAGCCTTCTGCCGGAGGTCTCGTGCCTGTTGATGGGTTCTTGGAAAATGCGATGGCGCCGCGGCCATCGTTTAATGACATGACCGAGAGAGGTATGTGAAGCCACTTTGGTACCTGTCACCTTAGAAAGGGGCTACATAATATAAGCCAGTCTACTGGGAAGATGGGATAGGAAGGTATGGAAAGTCACAGCTAACTCCGAAGCAGTCCCCTTAAGCGCTGTCAAAGATGGAAATAAAGTCACAATCAACAGCTTACGCACACCCCCGAGCTCATATTCAAGGCACATCCGATACGGCGCCCTTGAATTCTTACCGTTGCTCGATTCTTCTAGTATTAGCAGTTTTGGCTGGACTCAGATTGCGAGTACTATTAAGGCGAATTATCACTTATTCGACGGGTTTGTCGTGCTTCACGGAACCGACTCCCTATCCTACTCAGCTTCAGCTTTATCTTTCATGATGGTATGTTGGTAACATAAAGCACCTATTCGAATTATGCTGATCAACGGATAGGAAGACCTAGGAAAGCCGGTTGTCCTGACCGGTTCCCAAGCGTCCATATTCGCGCTTCAGTCAGACGCCGTCGACAACCTCCTCGGCTCCCTCATCATAGCCGGCACCTTCATAATCCCGGAGGTGTGCCTCTTCTTCCACCACACGCTCTTCCGCGGAAACCGCACCACCAAGGTCTCCGCGTCGTCCTTCGAAGCCTTCGCTAGCCCCAATTGCGAGCCCCTGGCCAAGGTCACCAGCCTCGGCGTCGACGTCAACTGGTCGCTCGTCAGGCGTCCGACCAAGATCGCCCAGTTCACCATCACCAGCTACCTGGACACCGCGCACGTGGCCTGCGTCCGCATCTTTCCCGGCATCAAGCCCGAGATGGTGGACTCGGTCCTAAGAGTTCCCGGCCTGCGCGGCCTGATCCTGGAGACTTTCGGCATGGGCAACGCGCCCGAGGGCGTCGACGGCAGCTTAACTAAAGTCATCGCGTCGGCGGTCGAGCGCGGCGTCGTGATCGTCAACGTCAGCCAGTGCACCAACGGCTTCGTCTCGCCGCTGTACGCGCCCGGGTTCGCGCTCGGCCGGGCCGGCGTCGTGTTCGGCCACGATTTAACGTCCGAGGCCGCGCTCACGAAGCTCTCGTACCTGCTCGCGCTGCCCGGGCTCACTAATGCTGATATAGCGGCACGCATGGGCCGCTCGCTGCGCGGCGAGCTTACGGAGCTCGCGACGCCTAGCTTCTCGCACCCGCCGTCCGTGTCGGGCGATACTAATAATAACGGCGGCCTCGACGCGGGCCGTCTAGGAAAACCCGAGCAAGCGTTCGCGGCGCTGGGGTACGCGATCGCGGCGGGCGACGCTCGGACCGTCGTCGAGATCCTCGACGAGGCGGACGAGGAGTGGCTGCTGCTCCAGAAGGCGGATTACACGGGGAACTCGGCGGTGCATCTCGCGGCCGTGGGGCCAGACCCCGAGGTCCTGAAGGAGTTGCTGGTTCGTGGGGCCAGCGTGCATGCAAGGAATAGGGCGAATCATACGCCGCTTTTCTTGGCGGGGCAGGTTGGTAATGAGGTTTGTGTTGGGTTGTTGGAGGAGGCGGGGGCGGTGCTTTGGGAGGAGGAGAAGGAGAAGGAGAAGGAGAAGGAGAAGGAAAAGGAAAGGGAAAAGGAAAAGGAAAAGGGGAGTGGGTTGGGGGTGTGATGTTGGTGGTGTAGTAGTGGTATAGTAGTAGTGTAGTGGTAGTGTGGTAGTAGTGTAGTGGTGGTGTAGTGGCAGTGTAGTGGTAATGTTGTGGTAGTGCTGTTGCTACTGCTGCTGTTTTATTGGTGTTGTTGTTGTTGTTGTGGTGGTGGTGGTGGTGGTGGTGGTGATGGTAGTGGTGGTGGTATATTGGTGCTGTTGTGGTGATCCTGTTGCTGTTCCGGTAGAATGGTGCTGGCTCCAGGCCGGGGCGTTCATCAAATAGGGGTGGGATAGATTGGTATTCTCGGGTTACACCTGGGCAGCGACTTAGACAACTGGTTGGAGCAGGGCTTTAGACAGACGTGGCATACATTTAATCGATTTACAATCCAGACTCATTATACGTTAATGATGTTTTGTCAAAGTTACGTGTCGTCGTCTTCTTAGGCACTCAATCGTTCTTTCTGTTTATTCTTAAACTGAAAGGCCCGAAACTTCGTTTACCGACGTGATTAGCATAAAACTTGACTTCTTATTCGCCACCTCTTTTAAGAGGGCGCGGTTAATCGAACATATTACCTCGAAACGGAGAGTGATCGTAGGGTCAAGTGAGACAGAGTTGATTAGTATTCGTTGGTGGATAATATTTTGGTTCCCCTGTATGGAAGCTGTGTTGTCGCTCTCCTTAGGCCGACATAAGAAAAATAGGAGTGGAAACACGAAAAAAAAGGGGTTGACTTCGATTCGTAGATCTCGCGGTTGGATATGAATGTGAATAGTTAGTAGCTTGCACAGAATAGCGAAGAAAAGCGCGCCCAGTCCGGTCAATACACTGATTTTGAGACGTTTCTCTGATTTCCGGCGGAGACGATACCGGGCCACAAACAAAACCACATGGCGTGTTGATCGAGGTAATGTCACTTTCTTGGTCGATAAAGGGTGAGTATCATGGATTTCCCAGAAGTTAACTTCTTTTCCTTGGAGGGAGGGCATCTTATCTAGGTAAATTGTTCGTCACGTAGATTTTCTGATGACGTCTAAAAATGAGGATGAGAAACAGAGGTAATAAAATACCTATATAGGTAGGTAAGGGCAACATGGCGTACACAGATGCAAACAACGAGCGTCGATATGATTATGCCTAGTGGGCAGTGATACATACGCTTCCCAACAATTTCCCAAATAATATTGATAAGTCCCTTTTAGAAGCCTCCTTGTCATTCTCCGGAGACCGTGGCTTAGGCATTCAGCCAATCTAGGCGTCTGAATATTTCCATAGAGGACTCTATTTCAATGACTCCTATGGAAATCTGTGTGGTTTTATTCCCGTCTCCGTCTGATTTGCTTTTATTCCTATTCCCGAGTTGATATGTCTTGTTGGCGTTGCCACTCGCCCGGCTTGCGTTACCGTTCCCTGCCTGCAAGGTGGCGTTGCAATGTCCTTCGGAACTTGACTCATTTCCCTCGGATCGTGAGTTCGCGGAATTAGGCCTATAACGTCGCTCAAAGAAGAATGCGGCGTTGATCATGTCGATTATATTGTCTGCTACTTGTTGATATCTTGGGTCTTCCTCGCTGTTGAACTTGCAGATATTCCTATGGTCAGCTTCCAGCCCTAGCTGTTTCTCGCGCGTTCCTGGCAAGCCAAGGACGGCGGAGCTCTGATCCACAATCTGAAGGCAACATTAGCTATTCCGACTGGACATATAGTAGACACCAGGGAGTACTTACGATACCCAAGTACCCAAGAGGCTGAGTCTCATAAAAGCTAAGGATCTGAAAATCTTCAAGAAGTTGGCGAAAATCATCCGTTACAGTATCAAGGAACAGGGAACCCTTCTTCAATGCGCCCATGAAAGTATTGTTAGGGTTTCCCGACATGGATCGGGCAATCTTTGCTACCACATCTCCCATTCCTGCATGATTCCCCCCCTTGTGTGGAGTGCCGAAGAAGGCAATGCCAAAGGTAGAGCGCCAGATCATTTCGTAAGTTTCGTCGGCTTTGGAAAGGACTAGAGCCTAATAGAAGGTAGTTAGTTAGAGAAGAATGAACCAATATCCACAGTTCCCTGCATTGAGGGCATCTCCTACCCTCTTCACTAAGATGCCACCTAGGCTGTGGCATATGAAAATTAAGGGACGGTCAGGGTCCTCCTTCTTTCTATTAGCGGCTGAAGTATAAAAGGTCCATGACAGGGCACGCGTACAGTCCTGTGCCTGTAGAGTTGATTCAGAAGGTTCTCGGCCTGTTCCCTCACACCCGCAGCAGCAGTTTGAAATGCCACGTTCGCATTGTATCCAAAGAGCATTATTCTTGCACCACGTGCCCGCTTCGGGAGGAAATCTCGGAGCCACAGTCTGTCCCCGCTCGTCCATGTGGCTTCTGCATGTGATTCTTTGTCGAGTGGATTGAGACCATGAACAGCGACGATACTGCTTCTATATTAGCTAGCTTCCAGAACTAAAGATTTGACTAAACATACTCTACGGCTGGATCTGATGGATTGGCAAGGACGTCAAGAAAGTTCCTCGAGCTGTTGCTTGTTCGCTTTTTTGCAATTACTGCACGACGCCAGGATGTCATTTTAGGGGTAATGGGTAGTATGATGTTCCATGAAGATATTTCCACAGTAAAACCAACACTACTAAAGAAAAACTAAAGAAAAACCAAAGAAAACTACGGGACCCGGGATCATGGGTTGATATATGCCTTCATTTTCGCCCCCCGTATGAATCCACCGAACCAACGTGCATACATATTACTGGTGGTGGCGGAAGGTAATATATTCTAAGCCAAGGTCTCAGCAGGGCCAGTTTATGGTAAGAGATGACTCGTTACTGGCGACTTGACTATCCAGTGGCCGGATCGACGTTTTAATCGAAGCACAATCAAATTTCAGCGCTGTTATTTTATTCATAATAAATGATAATTGTAAGTAAACTGCCGTTAATAAATTGAAAATCGTTCTATATTTGAGTCGAGGCACTTTATTTCCTAACATAGCGGTTTGGCGATAAGCTCATTAATGACATTGCCGGTATTTATCTACCTAAGCCCCGGGGTCTTTCAAAATTTGCCTGACGGCTACGGTACCAGGTAAGTAAGTACCTATGCATCGAGATAAGGGGGGTTGGAGGGGAGGGTGGATGGCAGATCACGTACACATACCTCAGTTTCCTAGCCTGCCTGCTTTGCATTCTGCAGGGTATCTCGATTATCACACGTATTGTACCAATAAGCTGTTCGTAACCTGATGAGCCTCGATGAGACGGAATGGCAGACTATCCGGCATATATAGTAGCTTTACTGCCTCGATGGTATGTCAGTTGCCTGAATCAATGGTCCGCGACCTTCACGGGTCTTCCGTTCTTCTTCTCATAGGTAGTGTAAAATATATTAATACCCACCTGTGTGTCGCTACGTTCACAACAGAGACGCCGTAAATCTATTAACACCACGTACTTTTCTCTCACTCGCCAAGTATCGTCAGACCTAGTTTCAGTCATTGGAGAATATTACCGGCACATCACGTCCATTTTCCAAACCACATAAGTGCTTATCATGGGTCAGTCTGACTATCAGGCACTACCAGTAGACTCGCAGTCTTCGCCCACCCCACCCGGCTTGCCCGGTCATGACAACAACAACCAGTTGGTCCACCATGGACACAGTCATGACGACGATCGGTCGGCCCACTACAGACACAACGCGATAAGAAATGGCGTCGCCGATGACATCGTGCCTAACCGGAACTATGGCAGCTCTGCTCGTAACACGGGCAATAAGAATAAGATCGGTCAAGTTGGGAGAGGACATCTCGGTACAAACGAAGGCGACGAGAACAATATTACTCAGCTTTCGGACCGGCTTTCGAACCAGCACTCGAACCAATTCCCCACCCTCGTCATGATTTTGGTTGCACTAGGACTCGCACTAGGACTCGCACTCTCGTTCTCGCGGTTGTGGTCGTAGTTATTCAGCACATAAATGACTCGACGGAATCTCATCGCCTTAACTCCTAGCTGTCTTCACCAAGTACTATGTTTGTATGGAGGGTTATTGGACGGATTTCGACAGCTCATACAGTATTAATTCGTTGATGATAGTTTTCCTGCTGCTATTAGGCGGGTGGGCATTCCTTTCTCGAGTCGAATCTTCCGCCAACCTGTCACGATACAGAACTAGCAGGTGGGAAGACTAAGACACTATTGTACAAGTAGCTCTTAGATTATATGGTCGTGGCCTTGCCATTTCATGTCATTTTTCCATTGGATCCAACCATCTTTTAGTTTTCTCTTGTATAATTCGTCAATGAAATCCAATTAGTTATTAAATAGCCTAAAGCACCTAAGGGCCTAACTAGGTATTCCTGAAATCGCTCCTACCTGTCACTTCTCCGTTTCCCCTTTGAATATTGATTCCCAAAGCTTCTTGAGCATGCTTATCCATTTATTACACCCGCTTCCTTTGGTTTCCGACTCTTCCCTGTCGGAACCATGTCGATTGGAGGGGATTCGGCTTTCATCAGTGACCTGGTAAAACCCATTGCGATTACCTTCAATTTCAGTCTTGTTTTTGTCCCCATTTTGACCTACTCGATTTCCGTTTCCTTCAAAGATATGACATCTGTTATCTGAGACCTGCTGAAATATTCCATTCTGATTTCCCTTAACCCTGCTGTTCTGCCCATTGCCCTTTTGGTGGCTTGCATTGGAATCCCCCTCGTTGCGGCTCTCGTGGCCGCTCCCTTCCTGATGCACCAGGTTACGTCTACCTTGATTATTCGCAACATGACCATGGTTCTCATTATTTAAAACTCGATTCAAAAATTTATCTATGGCCGCTTTCGCAAAGTTGAAGAATTCTGGCGAAGGTTCTTCTAGCTCAGGTTCTTCTAGCTCAGGTTCTTCTAGCTCAGGTTCTTCTAGCTCAGGTTCTTCTAGCTCAGGTTCTTCTAGCATAGGTTCTTCTGACATTTCATTGGTTTCCAGTTTTAGCTAGTATGGATGGTCTAGCCTGCAGGTATTTGGAAAGATCTGAGTGTCCGAGGTAGCTTCTTTTCCAAGGAAAAATAAGCTGGGTTGCATTAGTCAAGATCTCAGACAGTATTTGAGACTCTTCTTACCAGTTTTAGATGATTCATTAGTGATTTCCCGTTGGAATGTTTACTTTCTTTACTTTGACTTATGAAATTTCATGACGAGACTGTGTTATATCTTGACCTAGGTAGCGAGAGCTAGGACAACGCAAAGTCATGGCTGCTAACTAGAGGGTGTGAGCTTGCCAGGGGAACTTAGTTCTAGCTGGTACATATTAGCCAATTCGAGTCTGCCTTGTACATAGTAGTAGCTTCGGTCAATACCCACCTAGGCACCCAGATCGGTAAAATATGAGGCTTAATTTCGGTTGGACCGTGGTGAGAAGCCTGACGACTAGGTAGGTAACTACGTATGCATGGCTCTCTAAGTAAGTTTGATAATTAAGCTCACCAGAATTAGCACTTCAGTTGCTTTCTTACCTAGTGATTATCGGTATGCATGCCATCTTCCTCATCACGCCTTTCAACTTAAAAGGGTGTTCCATATTGCTAGGCTGAGCAATGATGTAAGTATGACTTGCGGTTCCCATCCATTGATTAACATACATGAAAGCCAAGAAATCCATTGATTGATGGCAATATGTAGTGACTTAAGTATACTACGAGTGTTATTAGTCGAAAAATTTACCCCTTTCCCGGGGTGGTATTCATTATTATGGAGCAATAAACAGGGGTAACGGATTATATAAACTAAAAAGTCACCACAAAGAACACGTCCTTTATCAAATTATAAATAACATTCATCGCCAGTCCTTTTCTTCAAAATCTTCTTATACATTATTATGAAATAGCTATGCTGTCGAGAAAGGATACATTTGAGCGGCACATGATTATCAGACCATGCTGCCGTTGCCGCTGCTGTTTCACTGAGCTTCGGCAGTAGGAGAAGCGTAGGTAACGTAAGCGAAAGGACGTCAGCTTGTAGACTCACCTCATGATTGTCCATTTTCTTGGCGTAGGTCCATGGAGGCAACGCCACCCATATTGTGCATGACATGCAAGAGGGGGACGATTTACGAATGTCAAGGGTCTCTGCAGTAGAAACAGCGGAAAGGTAGTTAATCTGCAGTATAATGGCAACCTTAACCTGTTCGCCTTAGATATCTTGAGTGTGGGTGGCGAGGATGAGCGGGTTTGCTCCTGGAAAGGCATAACATACTCGACAGCTGTATAATGCCCGCAGCTAGCACCATAATGTACATAATCTTATCTGCTTTGGAACAACCGGCGAGCCTGCCGCATTTACCTGTCCCTCGAGATTAAGATAACGACCAAAGGCCCCACTCCCTGGTATGATTGGAGAGAGTTAAAACAATACAACCTTCGCCCCTGTCAGGAGCCTCGCATATGAGAGCTAGTTGCCTAAGAGGATCCGGGATCGGTGTCTGTGAAGAGACCGCAATTTTCCTAGGTGGTTGTACAAGGACCGGTTGGCAGATTGGCCCCAAGGCGCAAGACAAAAAGAAGGTCTATGCATGTATCTCTTTGGTTGGCATAAGACTACAGTCTCCACAAAACCGGTAACTGTACATCGGCAATAGCGCAGGCCCTTAAAGCCTGTGGGCGTTGAGGCTCTCACAGTGATCTTCAGAGGCGTCTAACCAACTAGAAGTAAGATTTTGTGGAACTCAGGGGTTGCAGGAAGTACAGTTACTAATCGTGGTGAAGCTGTAGTCTTATGCCAACCAAAGAGATACCGTGTTCCCTCGCAGGGAGTAGTTTAGAGCTCCTTGCCCGAGGACGTCGATATCTCCTGGTCTTTTAGTTCCACCTCGTGACAACTATTCCAACCCAGTAAACACAAATCGATTTGCTGCAGACGGGACTTAGAATGGATTGACAACTTAGAAGTTGAATTTCTCTCCTGAAATTGTATTTGAGCTTCTCTTCCCCTAGCCCCTGCATTTATATCTGTCCGTACACTTGCCTTGTTCCCCGTATTCAGTCGAATAACGCATAAACATCTCAAAACCCACTTCTTGTAATGATTCACTACAAAGGCTCACTGCGCCAGAGTTCCTTAACACGTGCCTGGGTGGCAGTGGTGATGAAGCTGATCGGACTTGGATTTACGTACCTAAGCAGCCGCAAGCTTCGTAGTTTTCTCCGTAGAGATTTGACCGAGTACCAAGTGAGAGCCTAGTTTGGCTTTCAATGCTATTTGGGGGCGTTGGGGGGAGGGTGACATTGATATTTCTTGACTTGCGGGGCTAGGTGGCCTGAAGGCCCATAGGGTGTGATATCGGGATATTGTTAACACAGTAGATCTGCTTTGCATAGAGAAAGAGCGAATTAATTCTTGAAGCTCTGAGCTCTGTCTATGAGACGAGCCAAGGGGAAGAAACAGTGTCGTCGTGACCACGGGGCGTACACTTAAGCTTCATCATACCCCCTGGCAGGAGAATCAATTGGAGGGGCCCTCTTTCTTACATCAAAATCCAACCCATGGCTCATTTTGGATGTCGTTTACTGTTTCTTCGGATTACCTGTCAGTAATGACGCATACCTAATCATCCTACACTACCTAGGTACTCACTATTAATAACTGCCGATTAATTTCTGCGCTGGATTGCGTCCGGCACTTCACTGTGCTTTCCCGCTTTCTACATTTTCGCCGGAGTAGTCGATAAAAAGTGATCAGAATCGTTATTGTCACCTCTCGCCCTCCATTATAATAAACACACCTCATAAAACTGTGACTAAGTTAAGTATCATGACCATTATAAACCACCAACACAAGCAGAAATACGCCAATCGACCATCTGTTCCTAATTTACAAGTGAATCTGTTCAAGCTTCTGAGAGACGCCATTAGCGTTGTCTGATCGATCTGGAATAACCTCCCACGCCTTCGGAAATCCCGCGCTGCGAACCCAGCGTGGCCCGTTAGCTTCAACGGAATCAACTACGAGATGCCTAACTTTGGTCCACAAATCACCTTTGATCTTAACCCAGTCCTTGTCGTCGTACTTCTCGCTCACGGTCTGGCCTAAGACCACGGCGCGGTATAGTTTGATCGCGTGTCCATCCTCCTCGAGGTTGTGGATGCGGGGCACCAGCTCTGCTAAGGGGTTAACATATTATCGAAAGTGACTCCTTGATATGAGTTTACATACCGTTTACTGAACCTGGTTTGTTATCCTTCGGAGTATATGAGGCGATGTTGTCCAACGAAAGTGGGGGGCAACCTCTCGCTGCGTACTGAACTAGGTCCATCCGTATCTTCCATTCAAGAAGTCTCACTTTGCTTTCCGTTGGAATCCAGTCTTGGCTGTTGATAGCTACGAATATTGGACAAATGTTGATATGATGCCTTTTTCCCGTAAGTAGATGTCTCCTTGTCTACGGTGGATACACTCACATGAGGAAAAAATCGAACTTGGGCTCCTTGTTGGGATAGAATGCGGCAGAAGTGCCTTCATATATTGCCGTGTGGTACATCTCGGCCGTCTTCTCGTCTAGCTCTTCTGGCTTGACTCTCACCTTACTCGCTATCTCGATAATTTCGTCCCATGCCCTGGCAAAGACCCCATCTCGAAGCTTCTCTCCGTCCTCAAACTTCGCAGATGTAGCAAGTTTCTTATTTGACTTTACCTCCTCAAGAAGACTTGCGATGGTAGGCATGGAATCCGGTTTTGATTTAGAAGCATCCTCGGCAGTAATTAGAAATTTCCTCAAGTCATCGTCATGGACGGCTGCTTGCGCTAGAGCCATGGCAACTATAGCCGGTTGTTTCCACTCTACGCCGTACATGAGTTGGATTATTGGATGAAGGGCTCCTTATCGAATGTCAGAATTGGATTTTTCTTTCCATCTATTGTTACTTGGGAACCTACCAGCGAGCATTCGAATGAGCATGTCTTCGCTTTTCTCATCACCCCCGAACAAGTATTCACTCAATACTGCTTCCCAGCCCAGCTTGTCGATCTCTCCCTGGAAAAAGGCAAGGAAGTCGGGGTAATATCTTCATAGGACGTTAGTGATTGAGTTAACAACATTGAAGGTTCCAAATACAAGCATAAACTCCAGAAACATTTATAGTATGCCTGTCTTTGGTAGCTAAGGTTGACTTACTGTTCTTTACCAACACGCTTCTTCGCCGTCTCCCAATTTTGAAGTTCTTCGACGACATCCTGGTGAAGCTTCATGGTTGGTCGTTGGTACGAAGCATTTACATCATAGGCCTTCTTTAGGTGCTCAGGCCTAGCACCCGTGCCATACAGAGATAACAGGTGATGGCTTATACTAGACAGTAGGTTAGGTTAGGGAGTGATCTCGTGACTCCCAAGGTCTGTAATAGAAGCTTACTGGTCATGGTATCCATCATTGTTGAAATACACGTGATGTTTCTAAGTCAAGTTAAAACTTGCTCAAAGACTCCTAAGTTGAAGAATCTGCCTACCTCAAGGTCTTGCTGCAACAATTCGGTAGCTACTTGCGCCGAAGACTGGTCCTGGTTGATTTTCCAGAGCCCGGTATTCTCTGGTGTAATTTGGATGGTGTGTGAAGTCGCCATGGTTGCTAACTCTCTATGGGTCAAGAGCTTGTTGGATCTTGGGCTGCTTCGTAAAAGTCGCGTACGAATGGTGATATGACTCTTAAATGCTTGATTCATTATTATATCCTCTTATATGGACATTTGGAGATGATGCCAAGCCTCTCATTCATTCTGTCTCGGCCTCCGAACCTGGACCCGATGCTTACAAATTATTGGTATCTAGTCGGAGAGAATGCGGAGAATGATGAGCGTGTTAATGTCCGAGGGACGTAAAAACTACCTAGGTGGTAATTACATCGTCGCGCACTACTAGGGCAGAGCCAGAGTGCGAGAATGCGGAGAAGTATGGCCTGAATGGTTGATTAAGGGGTGATGATGACAGCGTAGTATGCGAATTGTGACGGTTTCGCGATATCTCAGGGGGCATCCTTCGAGTGAAGTTCGCTCTACAACTCTACGCTAATAGTTGGTCATATGGACGCACACAACGATTAATCAGTTAGTTCGACTAATACATCCTATTTTATAGGTATCTAAGATATAATCAGTCGTAGATGCTTATTATATCAGGAAAGTTACCAGAACTTAGGTACCTGGATATTGGTAAATGATGGCGTATGACATCATCAACTTGATCTTTGTATCTCACCTTAACTAATACTAGTGATATGCAATATATTCACTTAATACATTTACTTACTAAAAGGGTCTTTACTTATCTAAGCAGGTGCCACAACTGACGTCTCCAAGCAATTTCAAGGCGCATATTAACCTTCCTTTATATATCAGGCTGCCAATGTGCCTACTACTAGACTCATCGCTATGTACTCGTAGAGAAAAGTAGTGATTGGGACCTTATATTCATCAATTAGTCTTCCTATTGCCTTATCCATTTCACTGGAATTCGCGTGGCGGTGATCTCGGGGGTGAACCATTGTAATGAATGTCTGGGGTGGTTTGAGAGTTTTGGTTGCGCAAGAAGATCCGTACCGTGGAACTCCCTTAGTAGATACTTGCTATGGACCCATTATAAATCTTTAATAAAATTTAGTTCAGTAAGTTGTGCTAGTTGAAGAGACCTCTAAACTACGAAAACCACCGTATCGCCACTATGAGAACTCCATAAACCATACGTAATGCATCTTAAACTCGTGTGAAGAGCCAATTAGTAACTATCTATCTTGAAAAGTACCTAAGTTTTGTTAAAGGGACCTCTTTCAATTTACTAAGGTAGCAAAGAGGGGAATACATCCAATAATATTATGTCTAGAAATTCTCACGACTTGGAAAAGAGAACAATAATTAGGCTTAACTCGTTCCTTCATCCCAAGGCTCTTTGATATTTAGAATAAGTACTATGTGCTCCACTGCGTAGTTAAGAACTTATGCTTCGTAGTAACCGGTCTATTTGCGACTTTTCCCATATCTCGTTGTGATGGTTTCACTGGAATCCATCACCAAAGTTTCAATAGGGGTAACCCTTTTCAATCCTATCATACGACATGTCACGTTAAATAAATGGAAGGCATAAGAATAGGACTGTTCTATGATGCCGTGTTCGTTTGCATTGCTCATTAAGAGAGACGTAATTGATGAGCATGATTTGCCAACAGTGTTAACTACCCCTAAATGAGCAATCCGACCAAGATTTATTTTTAACAAAAGAGGCGATGACATATAAAATCCTAAGGGATACATTGACTTTAGTGTCTAGTTGCTAAAGCCATGCATAGAGATATTTCTCACCAAACATAAATAGAGGTTACGGTACCTAGGGATACTTAGGAGGACGACTGTGGTTCAAACTTGCCTACCTATATTTCATTTTCTTTTTAACAGGTTCCCTCTCGTGCATAGTCGATGAACGCCATGCAATAAAAACAAGAAATCTATAGACCAACAAAGTGAAGTAGCCAAACCAGCATATCAGGGTGCCTACCACTCTTTTGTTTAACCCATTTCTTCGGTTATCCCATTACACAATAATCATTGTTCACATACACAATATACGTTATAAGTGAAGAACAAAGTAAGAAGCACCAACTGTGAATATAAATCACGAACGTCTTTTATACGCGCGAAACTTTTGAAAGGGTTGTTCTTTCTGAAGCTTCAGCAGATGCCTAGGAGTTTCGTTTACGTTCAGGCAAGTCCGACTATCGACGTGACTTCCCATTTATCAGTCGCATCCTTCTCCGTTCCGCCCCTTCTACGATAAAATTTTCCCGCCGTAGCGACCCTTCAACTCTAAGTCACCCGTTCTTTATTTCCTCTCCTAACATATTCTCATACCTCACCCAACCCAAGTTTGCAAGGTTCCTTAACAAGCTAGCGACATGGTAAGTCTGTTTCCCCTGAAAGTATTTCCCAAATTCTCTCTCTAACTCTCACAGTCACCACATACAAAGTACTTTCTTTAAGATCGTCAAGACATCACCCGGGCGTTTTGTTCTCCTGACGGCAAAAGAAACCCCACTACATCATATGAAGGAGTGGGACGGCGGTTGAGACAGCAGTAGCCACGACCAGGAAGAACACGGACGCTCCTTTCATCAATCTCCCTAGGTAGTCATCATGGTATCTCCCAGTAAGAGGAAGGCGCGTGTCAGCCCCCAGCTATTCGAGTACGTCTTCGCCGACCCCCTCGCCAAGGCCGAGGCCGAGCTCAACGGGGGAGCAAGACCGAACAAGAGCAAGAAGCTCCAGTCTCGCAATGGCGTAGAATGGGTCGACGAGCTGAAGACGACCACCAAGCAGGCCGAGGAGAAAGAAATGGCGCCGGAGGAGAAGGAGGTATTTCTGGTTCGGGATCCCGAAGAAGGCCGAAGACAGGGACGGGGAAAAGGAGGCCGGCCTCGGGCCACATGTGACCGTGGCCGCGCTGGAACAACCCAGAGTCCCCAAGGATCAGAGGAGCCGGTCGCAGATGACCGTCTTCCTTACGGGTTCCCCGAGGAAGGCAAAGCCAACCGACAGATCTCGGAGCAGTCGGATCTCGTAAGCCGTCATTATGGGAATACCACGTAAAGTCATAATACTTACCATCCGTATTAGTATTCTATGACATAAATGAGGAAGATGGCTCTCTACCAACCGAGCAAGCACTCGGCTTGACGACGCAACATAGTAAGTCCAACTAAGAAAAACATTTTCACCCTAGCAAATTCCCTAAACAGAGGACCATACAGATTTCTCTGTCGCTGAGGACAAAGACCACGTGAGCCTCACGTACTAAAGAATTATGCAAAGTTGCAACAATGCAGTACCTATCTCGGCGGCGGCTTGTAACGATGGTTACCCCGAATGAGTAAACAAAGCCAGGACCGAAGAACCCTGTGTCATTACGCTTGATCTGGCTTCTAACCGCACAACGGGTGCATAGTACTAATCACACGTGTCTTGTAACAGAGGAAAGAACTTGGTGTATTCATAAAGCAAGCTCAAGTTGCCCGACCCTGGGGTCATCAGCATCTAGCTCCACGATTTTATGCATAGGGACAAGTCCGTAGGCAGTTCTGAAACTGCTTTGCTCAATGAAGAGACGCCTAAACTCGCCCTAAAAAACCCTTGTTTAATCGCCATGGATACATTTCTGCATGTACGCCTTCCGCAATGCTTCGTCCTCATTAACGATACTGCATTAAGACGTTTCCATTGACTTCCTAGCCCCTGATTGTTTCCCCATTGCCTTGCCCCACTGCGTGTTTTGGAACCACCTGTAAGTATGTCTAGGGGAATAGGCAAAACTGCCGTAGAAAGCCAATAATCACTTAATACAAAAGGCACAGCTCAGCCAGAGGTTGCCGGTCATTAGTCGAGATCGTCGATGGATTCATATCTTCGCTGCGCGACCGGAAACCCCGAGGAACTCCGGGAGTTCATAGGAGCGAATGTATCCGAAGAATTAGCTACGTATGTAGAAGCTTACTTTAGGAACATTTCTCCTCCATTTCGTGTCGTTCTCGTACGGTCCAGATGGTCTAACCCAAGCATGACGTCGTCTTCTATCGTACCTCCCTCATCGAAAAGTACATCGTCTGTCTCATGTTAGCTATGCTACGTAGAAAACGTATTTTCCATTTCTCACCGTCGTTGATATAAGCCGGCTTCTGGAACTTTCGCACTATCGCGAACTTGATCTTTTCAAAGGCCTTGCCCTTGATACCTGTTCGATTCTCTAGTCGCTTCTTCGTCTCCGAGAACAGCTCGCCCTGAACTGATGTTAGCTTCGTGTCTTGTTGTGACATTTAGTATCACTCATACTTCTTTGAGAAGGAACTTGAATGGAATCCCATGTACGCGACTAGGGTCATTCTGGAAATGGATAACCTTGATGAGATCGTTTTCGTGGGCATCCGCCTCTTCGTCTGGAATCCGCTCGGCGATAACATCTGCGTAGTCGTTTATGCTGATAACCGGATAGTTAGGTCCTAGGTCTCGGAAATACTTGTGATGATGAATCTCGTAGACCCTAATTCGACCTCCTTCACTCTCATCTTTCAGTTGCGCTTTCTTTACAAACGCCTGGATGAGATCTTCAATATGTCCTTGCTTATTCACCAAGACGTCGAAAGTTTCCTAAATTTGTGAGCATGTACTCTACGTGGAATGTTTGAGAGAACTTACTGCTTTTGTGATGCCTTCACTCAACCATGTCACCTTGACGCTCTTCTTGGTGTCAAGCTCTGCAAGGCTCATATCCAAGACCTCAAAGAATAATGAGTTGGGTTTGGTTTGCATGCTTTGCTGGGTATATCCGTTCGGGTTGAGTATTAAGCCAAGCGTTTGGTTGGCCGCCCTTCTTACTGCTGTCCTGGGGCTGCCTGTCGAAGCATTGGCTGTGAAGAAGCGGAGATGGGTGGGGTCAACTCCTAACTGCTCACCGACCCTCTCGGAAAGTTGATCGTAGCTAATCTTTGTGCTGAGGGTAAGGATAAAGCTTTGGTAATTGGCCTTTTCACAGCGAGGATGAGGATCGAAGCGAACTTCCTTTTTGTTGCAGAGAAAGTCGTAGAATGATTTGGCGTCGTCGTATCGATCCCATCGCCGCGTAGTCTCTTCGGAGTTCTTATCTCCTAGACGGGGAAGCTTCCCTAGTATTTCAGCCGACTTTCTCTCGAGGACTTTCTGGAAACATATGATGTCGCCATCCTGTAATTCGGCGGCTTTCAAGGACTGCTTCGCCTTAAGAGCCTCGATCATAGCCGGCTTTATTTCTTCCCACATTGCTAGTTGTTCTCCTGAAGGCAGTTTGTCACCCCAACCCATTTTCTTTGCGATCACGGGGACTAACTCCTCGACCTTTTTCTCCTTGCTGACGTAGATATGGCCTACACCTTCGAGAACCTGCCTTTCAGCGTCGAAATGCTTCAAGAAGAGAAGGATTAAGTCATTTTTGACAATGACACCGTTGGCATTGCTTTGATAAGTAGGCCAAATAGCTTCCCCGTTAGCATCGACCTCCTCCGCAACTTCAGCCCATACTCTCAACGCATAATCCCTAGTCGTGGTAGACATACGGGCGTAGGTTTCTTCTATCGTAGGTCTCAAGTCCATGATCGGTTGGTCAGGCCGAGTCGTCTTGTTCTGACGATTTACCATAATCCACAAGCGCACCCTCTTAGGGTCTTGGCCCAAGTCCTGGGCAATTATCGCAACTAGTTCCTCGATGGTTGTTTGCTTCTTGGTACGGTAGAACTTAGGGGCCGCCGGATCCTCGCTAGGGTTAGCGTCGAAGTTCGTAAGATCAGTCGACCCATGGTGCTTGAATGTTTCTTCCGTAATGACCTTAACAGGAAGGTATAGGTGCTGCTCCTCACGTTCTCTGCGCTTCGCTTCTCGTGCAGCTGCTTCTTCATCCAGTCGTTTCTCTGCGTATATCTAATTAGTTCGAGTCCCGAGTCATGTCACTAGGAAACTCACGAAGATGTGGAGGGCAGTCTTCTTTTTGTACGGGAGTCAAGACTTGATCTAGACGAGACTCTCGGATGTACACCAACATGTACGCGCTCATCTGGCGCATAATCGGTGTCTTCTTTTGAAGACCTGCGCGAGATTGTACGAGCGAAGCAGGATACTCGCCGCCGAAGTTGTCCTCCAACGTTTCTCTCATAGTCGCTTTCGTGACCTTATCATCATCGAATTTGTAAAACCAGCCATCTTTGTTAGGCTTGAGATATGCATAGTAATGACCAGCGTTAAGGTCTCCACTGTGCACGAGGACACCATGCAACTTGTAGGTCCACGGCTCAGACTTATCCGCGTCCTGATCAAGATAGGGCGTTAGGTCTAGAACCTCGGGAAATTCGAAACGATCGTTGATCTTCATCATCGTATCGCGTTGGATATCATACTCGAACCTCTTCAAGTGTAGGTGCAGGACCTCAGGGAAACTCTTGAAGATCACGCCCTTACGAGCATCCTGATACTTGAACTCATCGCCCGCCCAATACTTGTTATCGCCATCAAGTGTCTCTTGTTGAATATAGTCCTTAAAGCTACCCTCAAGATTTGGAATCCCTCGAACATTGAGTTGGATATCCCAAAAATCTTCAACTCGGCTGGACTCGTACTCGACGTCAATACAGGAAACATACGTTTTGACCTTACCACTCAGCATGCGCGGAAGGGCGTCCTCGGCTGCAGTGCCCTTCATCCGCTCCTCCATACGTTCGATTAGCTTGCGCGACAACTCCTGTACATCTTGCTGCTCGAAGATATGACGCGTATCCCAACCAAAAGACTTTGTGAGCTCGTTGGTGCCTACAGCACTATTTGATATTTGGAGCTGATAAAACAGTCTCTGGAGGGTATAGGCGCTGTTAGTTATGCTCTCATCTTCAGCAGTCGGGATTTCGTAAACGGCCTATAATATGTAAGTTATCTTTCATTTCAAATAATTCGTTTGTAAGAAATTCGTTATACTGACTTTTCGGAAGGCATTGGTAAAGAATAATGATTGTAGTAGGGAGTTAAGGTAGCATGTGGCACCCTGGTTCTTGAGGCCGACATAACCGGTCTCTTTCTTGGAATCATAGTTGTTGAAGTTGTGCCACAACACGCCGGTCTCATCTTCTACTATACGAACGTATGCAGTAATATTGACTGAGTCGTTTTCAACCAGTGGCCGACCTGAGTTGTCCCATCCCTGTTGGAACATCTTTCTCAGCTCCAGGAACCGCGTGAAACCCCAGTCGCTTTCTTCTTTGGTAAAACGGTGGTGAGCCGTATGATGGTAGAAGAGAGATGGGTCATTAATATTCCACATGACCAAACCGAACTGCACGCAACAGCTCCAGTCTTCGGGTATGCTGTTTGTATCTTGGAAGCCATGTTCAAGATATATTGAGGATTGGTCAACATTATTTCCAAATGGGAAGAGAAGAATTCGCCTGTTCGACCAGTTAGAAAATCCGCCCTTGGAGGTTTGAAGATTTTATATTGCTTGCCATGGAAATCCTCCAGCCTCGAATATGGGACCATGCTCTTTCTTGGATAAGGCTCTCCAATTTTCTACAGTCCATGTGTTGACGACATCTTCTAGAACCTTGGGCTCATCTAGGAGAGGAGGGAGGACTATCTCCTTCATAGCCTCATCTAATTTAAAGTCTTTGTTAATACAAGTTTTTTATAAGGCAGTCCATTTATATCATAGAAGTTCGCACGTACGATCGGTAGCTAGGATGACATTCTCGAGGTTCTCGGCATCGGCATCTAGCTGTTCTGGATTGATTTCGGCTATCTGGTCCTTCTCAGTAAGGGCCGGTTGGACGACCATTTCATCTTGCGTGTCGACCATCATGTCATTCGGCGAGTGGATTTCGGAATCGTAGCTCTAACAGAGTATAAGCATGAGTATATGAGTACGAGCACGACTATGATATTGGCAACTACTTCTAGAAACGAGGGGCAAAGAAGTTTGCAATAAATAGGTTTGGATTAATGCTCGTAACCATGGAAATTGGCAGAAGTCGAAAAGCTCAAGAAGCTGGACGGTAGAATCTTGGATAGGTGGACGGGTAGTCGGATAGAGAGGATACGAATAGGGAAAGGTTGGAACAATGAAGAAGGATGATTATCGCGTGGCGTCTTCTTTGGCAGAGCCGAATTCGAGTTGTGAAAAGATGCTATCGAGTGAATGTAAAATAGAGATACCTACCATGATTGCTTGTGGGTGTTTAGACAATATCTAAGTCGTCTCGGCCGGCGACTTCCAAAATCAATGCCAGATGGTCCTCCCAAACCGAAGAGCGAAAAAAAAAGTGTGGTCGAGAGTTCCAACTGCACTCGGCGGGGCAGGGAAAAGGTGGCGTGAAAGGAAACTGCGTAATGAGAGATAGCTCTCTGCCAGCAGTTGTGGCAAGGACAATCGAGAGCTTCAAGACAGTGTCACTGTAAATACGCGACTAGGCGCAATATTGACGAATGAAGTGGGAAATGTTGAATGGAAAAGAGAAAAACGGAGGTAAAGCTTTAGGAATTGCTTCATTGACAAGGTCGGCAGCACTAGGTGGGCATAGAAAGTGGGCTGTGACACATTGAGTCGGGTCCATACGTGTACATGTAGAGGCGTACCTGCTTAGATTGTAGTCAAGCCTAAGAACCTAGGAAGTTTAGGAACATCGAAGCTTGGAAGCCTGGGAAAGCCTAGAGGGCGGGATTAAGAGGCGCAGCTATGGGGGATGGCTGCTACCGCACTAACACCAATCTTCTTAAGGCTGGAGACTTGTGCCTTCTTAAGAGGAAGAACCTTACTACGTCCAATGCGGAGGAGACTTTTCGGAACGTACTTGCTTAAGTACAGTATACTTTGAGTATAATCTTATTTCCGTGAAGAACCCATCACAAGCATACACAGTGAAAAGTACACCAACTTGGAAAAATACATAAGTTGCTGACATAACGTAACCATGTAACCTTGGAAGTCTTGACCTTATGTGCCTTAGGTGTTAAGATGGCCCCACAAATCTCCAATTACCAATGACGTTGTTACGAAAACTGAATATTTGGTCCGAGACACCGAGTGCAAGTTTCTAGAGTTTCCTCGGTTCAAATGTTTCTTCAACAGGTGAGTGTGTCTAAGTAGGGTTACAAATTGTAAGACAAGACGATCCCATCTATATGGTATCTGTGCCCTAAAGTCGTGAAGGATGTGGTAAGTTAGGTGTATTCATCCTTGAGTTAAGCTCTAAGCTCTTCGTCTATTCGTCCATTATCTTTGAATCAATCCCAAACGCACATGCAAGAACCTAATATTTTAATAAGATGATCTACACACAACCTAACATAGCCGAACCCCTCGAAATTTCGTAACACACTTTTCTATGTATATACATATTTTACTAAAGTAATCATGTCGCCTGACGCTATCACATTTTTCACCCTTTGTATAACAAGAGCCACAAACAAAGTCGAAAAACAAAGACAATTCGCCCCAACCACACAGTAATAACATCCAATGTTGACTAATTTTTGTGAGCGAATACCTTGGAAATTCTAGACTCAATAAAAGAAGTCAAGGTTATGGGAGGATCCCGCCTACCGTATCTATTATTAAGCCCGCTCATACCCATGCCAATTGGAGAATGTGGGGTATATCACCCTGCAAGCAGTACACTAAGCAGCAGGTCCGACTCATTACATCGTCACAACCAGAGAAAGAATTGCCTTCAATAAGCACCTTACCACTTCCCTCCTCTACACTGCATTTAGCGAAACCGGAACATGTGCTCCCCCTGACTCTATTCTACGTAAGGGCAAGTCCCGATTTAAACTCGAACTCAAAACTACCATATATTCTCTTTAGGAGCAAGGCTTTGCTCGCAATTTTATATCCCGTCTTCCCACTTTAATTTTTCCGTATTGTTTTTCACTTTGGCATGGAATCATCGGCATGTTACCAATCGCGGTGCAAAATGCCACCAAGACCTTCCGGTTGACTGCCCGCACTCGAGCTTCGATAGACCAGGCTCGGGCGCTCGTAAGGCCGCCACAAGTTGCCTCGAGCCTCGTGAACAACGAATACGCAAGCTTTGGTAGAGCTAGTAGACGGTGGACGCACTCAGCAAAATGGAGGCCGGTACAGGTTTTGGATGAGTATGGTGGCCCAATCAGCTCTGCACCTTTCCGCCAGGTCTCGTGACTGACAGTAGCTCCCTTATGCGTATCTAGATGGGTAGTCAAAGAAGCTCGACCGATCAGCCTGCGACAATTGATGGTCTTTGGCCGGTCGCTGACCGAGGCGCGGTTGATCAGCTCTGCGAACTATGTCCGGACCGAGCTGCCTACGAGAATCGCCCATAGAATTCGCGATATGCAACGCCTTCCCTACGTAGTCGTGACGAACCCGCACATTAGCGATGTGTACGAGCTCTATTATACTGCTTTTGACTCATTCCGGCGCATTAAGGAGATCAAGACGCTCGAGGATAATGAGCGCCTATGTAAGGAAATAGCTAAGATGCTTCGCGCCCACTTAACTGTGATTCCGAAGCTGGCTATGGGTATACTTGAATGTAGTGGGTTGATGCCCGCCGCCGAGCTCGACCATTTCATGAATACCATCCTACGCTCTGTAAGTGATGAGTCACAGGAATCTGAAAAGCGTAGAATTATGACTAATTCCCAGTCCGCAATATAGCGAATATCCCGTAGAGTCATCGCAGAGCAGCACCTAGCTCTAACAGAGACCTTCAACGCGGCCTGGTTCTCTCCCGGAGCTAAGCTCTCCGAGTCCGAATTCATCGGCGAGGTATTCATTAAGTGTATAGCTAAGGACGTGATCGAACACTGCGCCAAAGCCGTGCAGGAGCTTGCCCGCTCTGACAACGGCCCCAACACCAAAATCCCCGAGATCAAGGTTAATGGGCACCTCGACGCATCCTTCCCCTACATCCTCAGCCACCTCGAGTACATCATCGGCGAACTCCTACGCAACTCCGTCGAAGCTGTCATCGAAAAGCACCAACAAAGCCGAAATCCGGCCTCTGATCCCCCTCCCATCGAAGTCACCGTCTGTGAGGCCCAGCAGCACGTTATCATCCGGATATCTGATCAAGGGGGCGGTATTCCGCGCGACACCCTTCCGTACCTGTGGTCCTTCGGCAAGGGACCCCGGAAGAACCAGCGCCTCGAGAACCTTGGCCAGGTCCCGTTAATGGCCGCCACGCTACAGGAGCTCAAGGTAAACGACGGCAAGTTGGCCGTGCTGCAGAGCAACGAGCATACGAACCTGCACGACAGTTCGCTGCACTCGCTGTCTACGCGCCCGCCTAACCTTCGTCTCGGCATGGGGCTGCCGTTGAGTCGGGTCTACGCCGAATATTGGGCAGGAAGCTTGGAACTTCATAGCCTAGAAGGGTATGGCGTGGATGCCTTTCTACAAATTTCGAAACTGGGAAACAAGAACGAGCAACTGGCTACTAGAGCAGCGATGGACGCTGTGTAGATACATGCACAATACCAGTTGGTCTATCATACGTGGATTAGATAACCGCGTCCGTAAATACGGTGACCTAAGTAGGATAGTACCTAGTCTAATGACTGGCACTCTTAATTAGCTGGGAACGATTGTCAATTAATGTAATTTCAAGAGTGAAGCGAATGAAGAATCTTTCTGGTTTGTTACTGGTATCATAGAAACTCGCGATTACATCGTAAACTAAACCTAACTGATCTGGGGGAGAAACGGAGGCGCAATCGACCTCCAAAAAGGAGAATATTTTGATGTCGCAGGTTAAACCCACCCACACACGCTCGCCTATCAAAACCCGCAAGCCTTTGCCATGAACAATATCATCGGCACTTGTCAATTCACCTCTCGACGCAACAACACACAACTCATACGTAATTAAGCTTGTAAGCATATCCACCCATCATCAACGTCCCATTGCCTGTTTAGAATCGGAGACCGTCGAGTCTAGCAAAAGAGTTTTTGCCTCAACACGAAACACGACTCAACTCAACTCCGTACACACCCGTCTCAGATGGGAAAAAGCGTTAACTAGCACTAGCCGAACCAAAACTTTCTAGTTGCCGAATATGGTAAAAAGTGTTCTAGCGATTCTAGCGACGACCGCTGCGAGCAACGCTGCCCTGCATTTGCTCCAATTCGTTCTCGAGCTGCTTGATCTGAGCGTGGGTCTGCTCGAGATCCTTGTTGAGGCGATCGCGCTCGGCAATGAGCTTCTGCTCCCATTGTCGGAATCGTTGTTCCTCGATCTTGACCTGCTCGGTGAAGCGCTTGCGAAGAGCCTCTTCCTCCTCCTTGTACTTGGGGTTATCGAGCTTGCGGGGACGAGCCTCGCCGAACTTCCGGGTCTCCATCTGTTGAGCACGGTACGCCTCGTAATGTAACTCCTCGGTCGTGTGGATGAGGTCAAGCATGTGAGTGCGGATTAAGATCGAGCGCAGCTTCTTGAAATCGCAGTGGTCCTCGTTCTCGACCTCGGCAACACCCCAGGAGTACTGGCGGCCCTTGACGATACGTCCATCGCCGGTCTTGACGTCCTTCTCAGAGCCAATAACAGCGAATGGCATAGCGGCCATAAGGCTACGCGCGTGCTGGGCAGCAGCTTCGTCATCCTCCTCAACCGGGGGCTGGTAGATCTTGATGCTCTGGGCCTCAATGACGGCACGGATCTACATACTTATTAGTCAGGTGAGTAATGTGGGATTGGAGTAAGTGGTACATACCTTAGCCTTGAATTTGGCAAGATCAACAGGGCTCAAGGTATCAGCCTTGGCGATGACGGGAATCAGGTTAACTCTGGAGCAGAGTCTCTTCATAACCTCAATATCTAGAGGCTTAAGGGTGTGGCCGGTTGGTCTGATGAAGTACAAGCAGGCGTGGACACGAAGATCAATCTTATCATTTCGGCGGGGTTGTTGCTCCTGAAGCATGTAGGACTCGTGCTGGTCATCCAAGAACTCGATGATAGGCATCCACGAATCTCGGTTGTTCACGTAGTCTCCAAAGCCTGGAGTGTCAATAACGGTCAGGCGTACTATAGATATTAAATACAAGAGTTAGTAAGTAATAGCTTAGATAAAAGAGATAATGAAGCTTGAGGACGGGTTCAGTCATTACCCTTGAAGAACTTCTCCTCCAGCTCAGCCTTGGTAATCTCAATCTCGACGGTCTTGTCAACCTGCTTCTGGTGTCGTCGCTTGTGGTCGGCATAGTTCTTGATGGTAGTGGAAAAGAGGGTGTTGATGAAGGTGGTCTTGCCCAATCCCGATTCACCAGCAACCTTACATTTGACGTCAGCTATATATAATCTACAATTCAAGAAGGTATAAACTACAGTACCATGATAGTAAAAGCAGCACCTCGCTTAGCAACGATCTTGTGTCGCTGGTTGGGCAGATTGGCAATGCCAATTGGCGACGCGCTTTCGGCGGTGGCAGGAGGCATGTTGGCGGTGATGATTAAAGGGTGTCGATAGCTATTAAGTTACGGAACAGAATAGACAGAGATGTATAGAGATGAACCCAAGAAACGAGTTCAATTCTATTCTCGGAGTTATGATGAGAATTGTCGGTCTGATGTTTCTTTTTCAGAATATGGGCCGACGTTGATGTTGACAGACGAAGAGTCGGGATCGGGCTTCTTCAGGGGAAAGTAATTGCTGGTCAAGGTCAAGCAAATTTCCTTTAACCTTTTACCTTTTAGCACAAAACCAACCTCAACGTGCAGGGCAACCGAAAAGGGACCAGGATTAAATTACTTGTCAGTGGCCCCTTACCCCATTCTGTTCTGCCATTTCCCTGTAGTACCTCGTGTGGTTCGAGCGTCGAAGCCTTGACCGCCTACCACAGCCAATCAGGTTTTGAGCCGGTAAAGGCAGTAGCACACCTCCACTAATAAACAGCGTCTCAAATTGATTGGCTGCAAACTTTGGCTTCTTATCGTAGCTTCCCTGAGGAATTGTTATCTTATCACTGATAACAAAGACGAAAAAAAGTTACATGCAGCCGACAAGTCTGGCGCATACAAGACTCAATTCTCTAATGAATAAAAGTGTCTACATAATCGCTATGCCGTGACAATGAAGACAGACTTTAAAGTGAGTTTCTTCGTCAATCTTGCAGCATTGAAACAACAACTAACTATTGGATGTTAGTTTTCCAATCTTCTTGGAACCGTCTACTGCCAGGGCAATCTATTGTATAGCCCTGATGGAACATGCTTATTCTCACCGGTAGGAAACCGAGTTACGGTTTTCAATCTCGTGGAGTAAGTCGCGCTACACTTAACCCTAGCTGGGAATACATGGTTTCTAACGAATTGACCTCTCATAGTAACAAATCATACACTCTTCCCTTTGCGCATAGAAAGAATATCTCGAGAATTGGCTTGACGCCGCGGGGTAATCTTCTGCTCTCTGTTGACGAAGATGGACACGCAATCCTAACCAATGTCCCACGACGAATATCCATATACCACTTTTCCTTCCGATCCCCGGTCACGGCCCTCTCTTTCTCTCCATCCGGACGCCACTTTGCCGTGGGACTAGGTCGAAAGACGGAAGTATGGCAGGTCCCATCAACCCCAGACTCCAATTCGGAGGGAGAACTGGAATTTGCACCTTTCGTTCGACATCACACACATATGGGGCATTTTGACGATGTCCATCATATCGAGTGGTCAAGAGATTCACGCTTCTTCTTGACTGCATCGAAAGACCTTACAGCCCGGATATGGAGTTTGGATATTGAGGAAGGATTTACCCCAACAGTCCTGTCAGGCCACAAGCAGGCTGTTATTGGAGCTTGGTTTTCAAAGGATCAAGAAACAATATACACTGTTAGCAAAGATGGCGCCGTCTTTGATTGGCAGTATACGAGGCATCCAAATGCGCCGCCACCGGACGAGGACGAAGGCATGGATGTTGATGGAGACGAGCGTTGGAGAATCGTCGAAAAGCACTATTTTATGCAGAGCAATGCTAATGTTAGATGTGCTGCTTTCCATCCCGAGTCCAACCTATTAGTTGCTGGCTTTTCTAATGGGATATTCGGGTTATACGAAATGCCCGATTTCAACTCTATCCACACCCTTAGCATATCACAGAACGAAATTGACTTTGTTACGATAAATAAGAGCGGAGAGTGGTTAGCCTTTGGGGCCTCTAAGCTAGGCCAGCTGCTTGTCTGGGAATGGCAATCCGAATCTTACATCTTAAAACAGCAAGGTCACTTCGACTCGATGAACTCTTTAGTTTACTCTCCCGACGGAAAGCGCATCATCACCACAGCCGACGACGGAAAAATCAAAGTCTGGGACGTTGATTCTGGGTTCTGCATAGTCACATTTACCGAACACACGAGTGGCGTAACTGCATGCGAGTTCGCGAAGAAGGGGAATGTTCTTTTTACCTCAAGCTTGGATGGTTCTATACGAGCATGGGACCTTATTCGATATCGAAACTTCCGAACATTCACTGCACCGAGCCGACTCTCCTTTTCCTGCATGGCAGTTGATCCCAGTGGTGAGGTGGTGGCTGCAGGATCTCTAGACTCATTCGATGTCCACATTTGGTCTGTGCAAACTGGTCAATTGCTCGACCAATTAGCTGGCCACGAAGGCCCCGTTTGCTCGTTAGCGTTCTCGCCGAACGGCAGTACCCTATTCAGTGGTAGTTGGGATCGGACAGCCAGGATGTGGTCCATATTCAGTCGCACACAGACCAGTGAACCTCTACAATTACAAGCAGATGTTCTAGACATCGCTGTCCGACCAGACTCCGCACAGCTTGCAATATCTACTTTAGATGGTCAGCTATCATTTTGGTCGGTCTCTGATGCTGAGCAAGTATCGGGTCTTGATGGGCGACGAGATGTATCGGGAGGCCGGAAGGTTACTGATCGCAGGACCGCCGCCAATGTAGCTGGCACCAAGAGTTTCAACACTATACGATATAGCACAGACGGCAGTTGCCTTTTGGCGGCAGGAAACAGCAAATATATTTGCCTCTATTCCGTCAGCACGATGGTTCTCTTGAAAAAGTTTACTGTTAGCGTCAACCTTTCCCTATCAGGAACGCAGGAGTTTTTAAACAGTAAGCTACTCACGGAGGCGGGACCGGAAGGATTACTCGATGACGAGGCCGACCTTTCAGATCGTGAGGCTCGGAAGGATAAGTTATTACCTGGTTCCAAGAGAGGCGGCGATCCATCTGCCAGAAAGAAGTTGCCTGAGGTAAAAGTGACGAGCGTTGGCTTCTCGCCCGCTGGCACTGCATTCTGTGCCGCATCAACGGAAGGTCTTCTCATATACAGCGTGGATAACGAACTCCAATTCGACCCATTCGATCTCAATATGGAAATTACGCCAGCTTCAACTCTTGCCGTTCTTGAAAACGAAAAGGACTATCTCAAGGCTTTAGTCATGGCATTCCGCCTCAATGAAGCACGATTGATTAAGAGGGTCTTTCAATCGGTACCATATACGGATATCCCATTGGTGGTGGAGCAATTTCCCACGGTATACGTCTCAAGGCTTCTACGATTCGTCGCAGCCCAGACCGAAGAATCGCCTCACATCGAATTTTGTCTCTTATGGATCAAGTCCTTAGTAGATAAACACGGATCTTGGCTCGCAGCAAATCGTAGTAAAGTGGATGTTGAGCTCCGAGTTGTTGCAAGAGCAGTTACGAGAATGCGAAACGAGATCAAGCGATTGGCGGATGAGAACGTATACATGGTCGACTATTTACTCGGACAGGCTAACAACAAACGTTTGGACACCAACGGCCAGAAATTGGTCACGGGTGAAGGCGATATCCATGTGAAGACGTTGGAGTCGGGCGAAGCGATGAGCTTGGAGGATACAATGCAGTCCGAGGCAGAGTCTGAGGCCGGGTGGGTCGGTCTAGAATGATGAAATCACACCAAGGCCACCGAGTTTCGAGGTCCAAATACGCAATGCGGTTACGGGCGCGGGACTCATTTCTCGCCAAATGCGACCCCTTCGGACTCTGGAGGCAGCAGATGTTGGCCCTAATCTTTGGTCAAGTTGAGGGGTTGCCTTCGAGATAGAGAGATAGCCTCATTGCGAGCCCCTTAGTGCAGCAAGTCGAGGTGTTAGTCGCTTACACAAACACAAGGAAAGTCAACAAATAATGTTAGTACTGTGAGAGGAGGTTTGTTCTTGCTCACCTGACCCTCTAGCCTATAAACTTACTCGGTTTTAGGAGGGTATTTGCTCGGCAATATTCCTCAATCGTCGCAATATAAACCGATACCACCTTATTTGCGATGCCTCATTCTCGTCTCGACCGATAGCGCTTGGTTTGCCGCCCAAGGCTCAATAAATCCACATTAGACGCATGTTGGTTGGCTCATCCATGCTACTGCAGATTTGGTGCTCGATCTAAGCTACGTGAAAGAGGAAGCAACCCTCTATGTCCTTTCAACTCAGGAGTCTCAGGCTGGACATGCCAAACTTATGTAGTCGGTACTTGTCATTAATTCGGGCCGGCTTGTGGATGTTGGGTTTTCGGACCGCAATGCATTAGATTGCCTCATATCCTCGGATTTGATACCGAGGAGTTGGGAGGCTCACTGTCTGTGGGTCTCCCTCGTGGGAGTTCAATGTCGCAATGTTGGATTAGATACGCAATGAAATCCTTCTGTTGTGCTGACGACTGAGGATGTAATTTTCAAAGTCTTGCAGATATTCTAAGAGACATACGTGGATGTATTTATACGCATGTGGAGTTATCCGGATTCTGACATACCTTGAAATTTAAACAGCTGGCTTTTTGTCCTTGTAACGGTGTTTTGGAGACTTCAAAGGGGGTGAATTGGCCCTTGGCCACACAGATGAGACTTCGTTCCTGATAACCTAAACCCATCCATATATTGTCAACTAAGGGCTTATAGACCCGCCTTTAGTAACTCTGTTGGCTCGAATCACTGACCTTACTCTTAGTGCCACATCCGGCATCGCTAGGCTAATGTCAGAATGCCAATAATATGAGGCTAGGATTGTCGGTATAGCTGCCTACCAAGCCACTTTGATTGGATATAAAAGCCGGACCTACATCTATGTAGTATGTATGATATGCATATAACGTTGTACGAGAAGTATAGTCACCGTCTGCATTTATAATATTCACACACACATTTGAAGCCTCAACGAAAACCATATATGCAGAAATCACAACGACTCCATGTGCTGTAACCTTTTTTCAGCTTCACTTTCTGGCCCATTTAATCACGAGGTACCATTCTAACTATATTTTCTAGCCATTTATAGCGAATATGTACTCCAATTCCATTACGCATAGATGACATATGTTGGAGAGTATACCAATCCAAACATAGCTACTTAGTAATATGATTCTATAAGCACAGTATGATCACTCCTTATATATGATCACGTTACTTAGCAAACTCACTGCCCAGATCACCTTTTCGCTCTGTTACATATAATTGAATCAAACAATCTCGTCTTTGGCTCGTTTCACCCCCGTGTAAGTGTTTGGGGTTATTTACAACTTGACACAGTGAAATCCGTTAACGGCGATTTTGGAACTTACACTTGGCTAGTTCTGTGGCGAGCAAAAACCTGCATATAAAGGCTAGGGGGAGCCAATGGCGACTCTTTGATATTGCCACCGGATAAGGGTCAACTAACGTACCTACTTACCTGCCTAGCCATGCACGTATGATACGCATGACTACCTATATTCTCGTGACAATTCTCTTCTCACGTCGTCGTAAGGCTGAAAAGAAGTCCTAATCCTTACCTTGCAAGCCAACCCTGCCTTAGCCCTTCTTATTATTCCTCATATAAATCCCTAGTTGATCCTATCATCTACCTTCAAAGTTCCAGCCTGCTCCCTGGAACCATCCATTATTGGTCCGCTCTTCAGAAACTGCAACTTTTTGACATCAGAGACGATGGATTACAGTGGCGTTCTCAATAACCTGCTTCCGAGCATAGGACTCAATATGTCGGATGCTGCCGGGAATGACACGACGGATAACACACCGCACGCAAAAGTGGTAGAGAGCATCCTCGGCCTCGTCGGACTCCGTGGCTTTGCTCCCATCTACGGGTTCATAGGCAGCAAGCTAGGCATCGAGCCGTCCTATATACTAACAGCTATTGGCGTTATCTGGGCGTTCAATAAGTTATTCCGCCAGATATATACATCCCTTTACAACATCGTGATCAGCCACTTTATGTGCAGTATCCACATCCTCAACAGCGATGACATCTACGCGCATCTCATGGAGTGGTTGGCTTCCCAGCCCCAGATCGTCAACTCAAGAGCCCTGATAGCCGAGACCGCAAGCAAGAGGGCTTGGGAGTTCGAGGACGCGTCAGATCTGGCAAGGGATAACACCGGACGCTATCTTAACTTCTCGAACCAAGAAGCTAGAGCTGTAAGCTTACCTATCTCTATCACGCCTATCCTGCCCTTGTACCTCGGTATCCGAATATCGTGCCATTGAGACTTCGCTAACATTCAAGTCAAAGCCACCACAGTACAGCCCGTCAATAGGTCTCCACGGCTTCTGGTGGAAGGGGCAATATTTCCGGCTTCAGCGCAAGCGGGAGTCCGTACTCGACGAGAACAGCCTCGGCCAAGTGTTAAAGGACCAGGAAGACATAGTGATCTCCTGTTTTTGGAGAAGTCCGGGTAAGCCTCTTCTCTTTCCCACCAATCACATTCCGACCCCTCCCCCTTTACTCCCTACCTACATACGACCTACTCCCACCTCACCACGTAACCCTAGGTACCTAAGCTGACAAGAAAACCCCCTTTCCCTCCCCGCAGAGCCTATCAAGCAGCTCCTCGCGCACGCCAAAGAGCAGTACTACCGCGACCACCAGGCGCGCACGATCGTCAAGCGTCCGAGCATGTACCACAACACGCGGCGGTACGCGGGCCGCTGCAGCTGGCACCAGGTCGCGAACCGGCCCGTGCGCGACATCCGCACCGTCGTGCTCGACGAGAAGCAGAAGCTGCAGGTCCTCGCCGACATCAACGAGTACCTGCACCCGGAGACGCCGCGCTGGTACGCGAACCGCGGCATCCCCCTGCGCCGGGGTTACCTCTTCCACGGCCCCCCCGGAACCGGGAAGACGTCGCTCTCCTTCGCGCTCGCCGGTATCTTCGGCCTCGACATCCACGTCATCTCCCTGCTCGAGCCGAGCCTGACCGAGGAGGACTTGAGCAGCCTGTTTGCCTCGCTGCCGCGCCGGTGTATCGTCTTGTTAGAAGGTAAAGTTTAAAAAGGCGCCCCTTTCCCTGCTTTTACCCACCTACCGCGTAACCCACTAACCCGCTCCCAGACATCGACACAGCCGGTCTCCGGCGCCCCGCCAGCAAAGACGACGAGCCCGCCCCCCCATCCACCACCTCCCCCTCCTCGTCCTCCTCCCGCGGCTCCAAGCCCGGCGGTAGGCACGCCAACGCCAACGCCGACGCCGAGCTCAAGGAAGGCTGGAAGATCAGCGACCTGGCAAAAGCGCTGAAGCAGGAAGGCGACGCGGACCGGAAGACGGGGATCTCTTTGTCGGGGCTCTTGAACGCGATCGACGGTGTGGCCTCGCACGAGGGGCGCGTGCTGATCATGACGACTAACACGCCTGAGCAGCTGGACGAGGCGCTAATCCGGCCGGGCCGTGTCGACCTGCAGGTCGCCTTCGCGAACGCGACGCAGGACCAGGCGCGCGAGCTGTTCATCCGCATGTACGAGGGCGCCTCCTCTCCTTCTACTACCTTGGCCAGCACGCCGGCACCGGGGATGGGGTTGGAGAAGGCCACGACAGGGAAGGCGATAAATGGCGACACAAAAGAGGCGAATGGTTTCGGTCCTAACGAGACCGGGGATCTAGACGTCCCCGTCGACGAGCTGCCCGCCATAGCCCAGGAATTCGGAAACAAGATCCCCGATAGCGAGTTCTCGCCCGCGCAGATCCAGGGGTACCTCCTCAAGCGCAAGAAGCACCCCCGCAAAGCTCTCGAAGAGGTGGATATGTGGGTCGAGGGGTTTCTTAAGCAGAAGGCGCTGAAGAGCAAGATCGTGCAGGTACAATAGAAGCTTGTTATGACGGATGAGGTATGAGATATGCCAGAAGAGTCATGGGAAAAAAACTCGGATTGAGGCTAGGCGTACTGAGAGATGAAAAATATTTGACCTATGCCGAATAAGCACGTCAGCATCATCTATGTCGGTAATGGTACGCTGGCGTTGGGCCTGTTCGACTTTGTGGCATTAGCCGGAGTTTGCGAGGTTCCGCCAGGTTTCGGTGTGTTAGCATTGCGTTAGATATTTAAGATTATGAATACATAATGAAACAAGGCGAACGGTATTCGTGATACAATTTTGGATTGATATGATCTACTAATATCATTAGTTGAAACCATTGTGAATACTTCCAAGGTAGTCCTATAACCTACCTAGTCAGTGGCTATAAACCAAAAAAGGGGTGTTGTAATGTCATTTATATTGTTAGATATCTGTGCACTATCGTGATCCTACGTTTCAATGCTAGGTCCCTTCTCCTCGATTCGCGCGATTAGATCATGCTGTGTCTGGAGATTCTGCGCCGAGCTAAGCGATCTCGCAATTGAGGTCTCGTTCTTTTCCACCACCATGCGTCTCAGGGCTTTCACTAAGAACCCCGCGACCAGGTCCACGCTCCAGGTATCTGGGATCACCGACAGGACATCTCCCACATCGAACCACCCACCGAACTTCTCTAATAGTAAGCCCGTTTGCTCCACGCGGTCGCTGACGTCCTCTAGTTCAAGGAATTCACCAAGCAAGGCGCGGAAGAGCCGTGCCTGCTGGTCTTGCGTTGGTGGTATGCTATCGCGACGCTTAGGCCCTTTGAGATTTTCTGGACTTGGGGGCGGTTGGTTTTGTTGAGCCTGGTAGATGGTATAGATACTAGCTCCGCCACGGAGGCAGTAAGACACGGCCGTATCGTAGTCTCCAAGCCGGTGAACTAATAGACGCAATGCGTTCTCGTGATTTCTTTCTCGGCCATCGAGGATTATTGTTTCAGGCACGAGAAGATCTTCATCTGTATTATTCAAACTTGCGATTCGGTCCCTAATAACTGCCAAGTCATAATTGTGGCTACCGCCTAGCAATTGCAAGAGTCGCAATCGGCTATGCCAGGCTTCGTCATCGGCAGGGGCGTTGTCCGTTAGGAACTGGCGGTACGTGGGTTTCGGGGGGTGTAAAGCGCGGTACGCCGTGTAAGTGGACTTCACCACCTCACGATGTTCAGGCGATGTTCGAAGGCGAGTGATTACAATGTCCAGATAGTACATGATCAACTCATTGACGTATACGGTGTGGCCTTTTCCGAATACGAGATACTCCAAATAGTATTTTACTGCATCCGGGGCCTCTTCCCTGAGAAGTTGGACTACTTGGCTCGGTTCGAACTTTGGAGCGCGGCCCTTATCCTCGGCAAAGATCTGAACACCAAGCTTTGGATTCCGGTTCGCAAGCCAAAGTCCATATTCTTGAACAAGTGCTTGGTTGCTGATTTTGGAGAGATACTCACGCACGCGCTGTTCGCCGTCAGTCAATTCTCCCCCATCGTCCCGTTCGCCTTCGATAATACGTTTCCATGTAGCCAAAACGTCTGCTACCATCTTGCGACTTTGGTAAAGCCTACTGAGTACATAAAGGCGATGATACGACTCGACCAAAGTCACTGCCCTATTAAAGCAGTCGACCCCTGTATCTACGAGCTCGTATAACTCTGCGCGAACAGACCTTGCTTTAGCTGGGCCAGGGTTTGAGTGCTGATCCAGTTCAAGGAGAACAGCAAGTAGGGCCGCATCGACGGTACGGAAAACCTCGTTCTCGTCTGGTATGCTACCAAAGCCCTTTTTACGTCGCCAGGCAGTCAGGAAACGCCTCAGGAAATGCAGGACTGGCTGTGATAAGGCGTCCATGGTCGAATTTTCCTTATCGAAGTCTCTGCCCGAGATGAATTCCTCGGCAGTAGACTTCACACCTCCGAAGATCCATATACCTCGTTTCGTCTCGATAACCTCATTGCGGACACCAGGTACAAGGGACAGAACCACTCGAGGATCAAGAAGGCTGTCTACTAAGATTTCTTCCATGGCTCGGAGTTCCGACTCCGAAAAGGGAGTATCCTCCGACTTAAGAAAGCTCGTGAGCAAGAGAATTCCTGCTCGTTGCCGTATGTAGCTAAAAGTTAAAAATTCTAGTTCTGACGTCGCATCTTGGCCACGGAAAGAATTTAGGATGGTGAACAAATTTTGTCGTGTGGAAGATACCTGGTCCGATGCCGTGACTGTTGCTTCTAGCTGTGCATCCAACCTCAAGATCAACGGATTTCGAACGGCCCACCATATGTTCTTCCCAGACCACACAGCTAAACGAGCTGTGGCTCCGGCAAGGCGACGAGCGAACTCTTGCTCTTCGGCGTTGCGTGTAGCTTGCCAGGAATCTGGGAAGAAGTCTTCACTTGAAGAATCGGTATCTCTTTCAAAGAGCTCCCTTTCTTTAGAAAGCCTCTCCATAGAAGATGCTGTTCGCGAGTCAACAGTTCGTAGTGACATGGTCGAAGTATCTAGGCCACCTGAGCCAAACGGCTTAAATCTTCGTCGGCACAATTTATCTACGATCTCGGAGAAGCTTGTGTCTTGAGTCCCACGTAAGGATCTTATCCCTATGCTTTGCTGAGAATTGACAACGGTGCCAACATTTGGTGGTTCAAGCCAGTGTTTTGCCACGTCACCTTCAGTAGCCGCGTCGGCATCCCAGCGTTGAATCTCTAAACCGTAATGGACGCCATCAGGAAAATCTCTTCCCATTGATGCAAGGACAAACCCCTCGTCTTCTGGGCCGAGTGAAGTTCGTGATGAAGAGATGTCTACAGACCCTCCATCGACGACAACCTCCTTAGGGTATCGATCAAACTCAATGGTAGGTCTGGTTGGATCTCCATCAAGGTTTACGAACATCCCAATGCCTGGCTCTAATGGACCTGTGCCTGTAACTAGGAGGAATTCTTCTGGTGTGGGGGATACGATCAGCGGTTTGAGAAAGCACGGCTGCGGTTTACTAGGTAGAGCCGGTCGGCTTGCTTGGCCCTTAGTTGTGCCATCTGGCGCTGAGTCATCAGGTGTCCTTTGACCTGCCTCCATTACGGGTGGAGTCGCCCCTCGGGATATAGGCTCATCATCCTCGCTAGCCCGATGTTCCTGCCTCCGGGTAGCGCCTGTGATGAAATCGCCTAGGCTAGTTCCTCGTTTATGAGCAGGGGGCTCAGGGCTCAGGGTCTGGGAACGAGACTGGGTGGAAGAATTGCTTCTTAGCAGCCCACCGGCACTTCCAGAAATATGTTGGGCCTGGCCAACGATATCGCCAGGTTCAGCCTCATCTAGAGACGAGATGGACATCAACGGGATCTTTAACTGCTGGTTGATTTCAAGCAGCGCATAGCTTCGCGAATCAGCTACACATGCGATCGAGTCCCTCCTCACGGATATCGTGCTTCCGGCAAAATCGATCTTCTTGATAGGACGAGCTCCATCGGCGATACTAACGACTTGAATCTTCCGGTTCAACGACAGCAGTATAGTAACACTAGCGGGTTCTCCTCGGTCATTGTTATCGACGCTCAGCTCATTAAGGTCTATACCGCCAACCCAGTTACAGTTCTTGACTTGTGTCGAACCGAAGACAGGGCTCAACTCCGGGAGCGAATAGAAAGTAACGGTCCAATTGCAAAGAATACAAGCCTTGCCGACGGTTGGCAGTAATAGAATTTGTTGAACGCCAGGTCGCGTAAAGTTCGACGTACTCGCAGATTCGGCAAAGGCAGGGCGCAATCGCGACGCGAGAATGAATGTCGCGGCGCTAGATTTGTCTCCAGGATCCGGGGGTATCTGGAAGAAGTGAAGAAGTTCGGAGTCGGATGTGCCTACATATAGATGGTCATCTTAAGAGACCGTTAGCTGTTGGTATAGACTCCTGAGGGCCTCGTGTGTCATGCGCACCTAGGTATTCAACACAATTGATCTTTATGTCGTCCCTGGTGCCATCTTCGGATAGCGGAACATCTTCGAATAGAGTACGAAGCACAAAAGGACCAACATCAAACTCCTTCAGCGATCGCTTGTCGCCTTGGGGATCGGAAGCCATAGCAAAGGCGGCAGCATCATAATAGGTCGGATTTTCTCATATTCGCGTCTCGTTATATATCACTAGGTTGTTATAAGTAGAAATATGTAAAAGTCAAGATAGACAATTCTAATCAGTCGATTATGGGGCTGAGATCTGTTAGAACTAGAAGCTGAGGTGGAGTTTCCTAATTGAGGTTGGGATTACGTAGGTCCACGGATACTGCGTCCTAGCAGGCTCCTAACGTAAAGTTGAACTTTAAATGTCCAAAACATGACTCTGATAGGCTGTAACCTTTCAGGGGTCTCAGGGACAACTACAGCGGATAGCGTGGTGTATTTAAGCTCTCAACCCACTGTAAAACCGAGTCACCAAGCTGGTGGATCCCTGCACATGCATTTACATGGCATTTAGCATTTCCAAGGTTGCGACGGAACGAACACGTTCAACTTCATAATTATTCTTTATTCAAAGTCCTACCGCCGACGCTTAACAGCCAACGACCAACGACCAACGTCGATCCCGTCCCGCCCCTTATCGATTCTACCCGTGTACTATACGAAACCCCCTATTAGCTTACATCTGATGATACGGTAGCTGTGGCAGCGACATCTGCCAAACCCAAAAGAAAAAGATGGCCAACGTGTCGAAGTCGCCCGAGGCCGCGCAACCATCAGCACCTCAACCTGCTGGTGATGGACAAGCAGAGAACTCCGGCCCAGATGGGACCAATCAGTTCCAACATGCTATTTCGGCATGGAGAAGTATGCGCTTATGCTACTCGCAATAGTTCTGTTGCCACACCCGGTACTAATTCTTGATAGACATCGATTTGGGTTCATTGATGTCGGCTCTCGACAACACTGCTTCAGACATTGTAGCTTTCCAACGAGATTCAACCGTCCAGCGAAAAGACCTGGCTCAGAAGACGAAAGATTTCCGAAAACTAGACGATGCGACCAAACTGACAGAAATCAAAGGCCTTCTAAAAGCATACCAGACATTCATCGATCTTCTCACCAATCATTCCAAATCCACCAATTCGGCATTTTTGCAGGTCTATTCCGCCCTCGAGAATGCACCGGACCCGTATCCTTTGCTTGAAGCTTCCGTCGACTCCATGCTTGTGGTTGAGGACACCCTACCTAAGCTTACTGAAGAAAACCAGCACCTACAGAACAATGTCGTCGAGCTTACATCGCAATTAGAAGAGACCGAGTCAAGACTGCAATCGGAGAGTGCTAGCCGAAAGCAGCTTGAAAATAATCTCGAGACTAAAGTCAAAGAAGTGGAGGCGTCGTGGACCGCAGTCGTAGACGAGAAGAAGGACAACTGGGAAGCGAAGGAAAAGGCATTGGAAGAGAAGATTGAAAGTCAAGATAGACTCATCAATGAAATTAAGGCTAGTTACGAGGTGAACCAGCGTCTAAAGGGATCCGAAGATGCGGATGACGAGGGTAGACATGGTCACGTTACGAACGCAGAGTTGGAAATGGTGAACTCTGACCTGGAGCGAACTAGTGCAAGGCTTGCGGAGGTCGAAGCTCGAAATGAACAACTACGCTTAGAACTCGCCCAATCTAAATCTCAAGTCCCGGCACAAGCACCTGTCCTAGAAGATGATCCTGGATATATTCGGATGAGATCAGAGAATTCGTCTCTCATCCGTAAGCTCGACTCGGCAAGAGTCGAGAAGGAAGGGTTCAAGAGGGATATCGACACAAAACTGCGAGGCTTGGAACGAGAGGTCGGTCTTTTGAAGGAGGAGCGCGATAGCCTGAAGGCGAAGGTTCAAAAGTGGAACGACTACGACGATATCAAGCAGGAACTTGAGGTTCTTAAGAGTATCGAATTCGCGACGGGTGATGACGACGACGTGTTAGCCGCTTCGGAGCCCAATGGCTCCGCCCAAAAAGGGAAGGGTGACACCCTAGAACAATTATTGTTGGCGAGGAATAAGAAGTTGAGCGACGAACTAACCATTTTACGGGTGTCTCATCAAGATCTGCAGAGTCGACTGGAGAACCTGCAAGAAGATATGTCCAGAACAAATGCAGATCTGGAGAGGTCACAGAACCTCAACGCGCAGCTGGAGAACGATCTAGCAAACCTTCAATCAGGAGCACAGAACGCGTTTCCCTCGGGAGCATCAGTGGCAGGTACTTACACAAGATACGCGCCGTCTATAGCACCTGGGAGGAGAGGCGGAAGAACTTCGCCGACTTCATCAATCATATCCGGTTTTGATCCCCGCGTGACTGGGGGCGAACCAATGGGTGGTGGCTCGGGTATCTTACCCATGATCACCGCTCAACGTGACCGCTTCAAAAAGCGAAATGCTCAGCTCGAAGGAGAGTTGTCAGAAAGTCATCGTACCGTTTCGCAGCTGCGGCAAGAGATCGCAGCCTTGCAGAAGGACAACCTTCAACTATACGAAAAGACACGGTACGTATCGACTTATAATCGGAATGGACCGTCCGCGTCGTCATCATCTGCGTATGCGTCGAACCCGAATCCGTCAGTAGTCGCCATGGGCGGTACGGGAAACCCTGGGATTGCGTTGGATCGGTATAAAAAGGCATACGAGTCCAATATTTCACCATTTGCGGCTTTTAGAGGACGTGAGTCAGCAAGAGCCTACAAACGAATGAGTCTTCCCGAGAGGATAGTCTACTCAGTAACCCGGATGGTGCTGGCTTCGAGAACGAGCAGGAATCTTTTTGCAGCTTACTGCGTCGCATTACATATCCTAGTATTTTTCTCGCTCTACTGGCTCGGCACGTCGGACGTCGATCAGCATTCGAGCAATCTCAGCAAGGGTGTAGCCGCTGCAGCAGCGGCAGGAGGGTTGGCCGGCGGCAATACCGGTGGGAGAGGGCAAGCTGCCAATCCTGGGAGTTGGCAAGAAGAGGGTTTCAACGGGCACTGATGATTACGTCCGCAGGGTTATACATCTATTGTACCAATACCGGCCGAGTTCTGTTTAATACGGCATGTGCCATGCAACTAATACTAGCCCATTAAGTTGAACATATTGCTCATATGTTTAAAGTATTTGGATATCAAACCACCGCGGCGTGTTTAGGTGTTCGGATTACATTCAATACTAATGTGGACGCAACCCAGGCTATATCGGCATCTAAGCAAGAAGGCTTAGAAGAAGCAGGCTTCTAGATGGTCACAAGCAAATATGCAGTAATAAATTAATCACGATGCCCACCATCGGAGCCAGAATGGTGCCCATCTTAAATAGAGGAACCTTCTTCATTTGTTCCATACCGTGAAAGGTGAAAAAAAGCCAAGGTCTAGAAATGTGGCCTCCCCGAGCCGCCGTGTTGGATATATGATGCACGCAATATGCAGACGGCCCGCCTGAGACAGCTCTAGCCTGTTGACGACTCTTTTCTGATTGGCTAATAGTATCTAGTCATGATGGCGAGTAATATCTATACTCGGTTACTCAGCGAATACCGGACTTGGCTACACAGGGGACTACGTAAGTGGTCTTGTTACTGCCTATTCTGGACCTTGTCCGGGGTTTAATGGGTTTTAATGCTCTGCTTGACGCTGGCGGGCTGGGCTACAAGAGCACGAATACGGTATTAATTTACTGGCGTACACAAATGTTCGACTCTCACCGTAGGCGAGACACCAATCATATGACGCGAACCGATGTCTTGACCGCGGCTGCAACCCACACCCGAGACTCGTATGTGGTACAGCAGACGGGAGGACGCCGGGAAGGCTTCGATGTATTGTTCGGCGAGACATAATGGTGGACATTCAATAGACCGTTAGTTACCTGCCTACACAAGTTGGCTTAATTATGTACATATGTACGGAGTTTTCGGCCGTCGGACGAGCGAGACGCCTTTCTCCTTTCAGCATCACCTGAGACGAGGCAACATCGATGATATGTAGGATATGTAATAAGAAGCTAATTTGCAAGAATATGTGCGTACGGTGGTATTGCATTCGATATAAATTTGCCCACATCCCGAGAGCCAGTCGGTGGCTGGAGAAGCCGGAAAGCTTGTATGCGCGGTGATTGGTGGATGCGTATAATCCGGGCTAATTGGCCCGAACGGGTATGATAGGGACCGGATTAAGCGAGAGGTCCCGAGGGCCTAATTTTGTTATTTTTGGGTGTTCGGGCGCGCTTGTTGCTATTTTGAGACGCTAACCGCCACATCGCATGCCTGCATGTGTATGTATATGCGGGGTCAAAATAATTAGCCCGGATTTGTTGCTTTCGAAATTAACCCACCTTCTCAACCTTGGAAGTGTGCTTTCGCGGGCTAATACCTTTTTACCCTTGTCCATTCATATTTGCTTTTTTTTTTCACCACATACCACTTTCAACCTTGCAACCAAGGCACGGAATACTACAGTAGGGACTCTACGTTGTATGATCTGATGGCGTCTGCAAGCAGCCGAGATCCCCTCCCAGCTTCTCAAAGTTTCTTTACCTATCTTCTGCAGCGGGTCTACCAATGACGCGCAAGTAAGCTGTCATCGACCAAGGCCTAGGTCGATCTTAAAGTTGCAGCGGAACGGCTTCCATCGTCAACCGGATATATGAAGTTCCTTGAATTAGGGCTTAGTAGCAGGGCCATTATTACGACAACATACATGATTCCATTAGCAGAGCATCAGAGTGACGAGGAGGGTCATTTTAGCATTGAAGCTATGCTAACAGCTCCGTGCTTCGCCTACCTTACTTTAGGTAATGCCTCGTCCAGCAATGCCATGCTGGCGTCAATAGGAATCTAGCAATGATTCCCATGACTTGGTAAGATGCCGTTGGTCATGTTACATGATGCCAAACTTCTACTCCCGAAGTGGGAGCCCATTGCAGATGTCATTGCGATTGCAGGGTTTAGAAGACCCTTACATCCGATACGCCTTGCAGCGAGCTACCGACCAACATCTCTACACGTGGCGTACTATGGCATACAAACAGTTTATTATGATCTCTCGTGTCTTTCCTATATCCAGCTATACAGAACACGACTATCTTCAACGCTGACGATGACTATCTGCTTAACTTGAATAGAATTGTAGTATCTTCAAACAACAAGCGTTTTGCCGCTACACCCCTCTTCATCTCTCATGGGCACACGAAGAAATATCAACCAAGCGTTGACCGGGTGGCCGAAGAAGAGGCGGCCGCTGGCGCTTGCAAGGTAGCTTCGCCAGCCAGTAAGATCGTCGTTTGCCGGCTATACACCCCTGCCAACGGGTCCTAGCTGCAGATCGCTTGGCTCTCCATACAGAGCCCCATGTTAAATCGATGGCAGGGGTTTTCGAAATATGGAATACTACCAACCTTGCGTCTAGTTCTCGCCGGCTCGCTCTTTTACCGCGGGACTCATAGGCAAAATGACCATTCTTCAGCTGCAGATGCTCGAACTTCTCGATGACACCCTTGTCTAGTCTTGCAGACTTCCCGGTGCAAATTTAGGACCCATTCAGGGTCCCACGTTATCGTGCCGCTGGACTGGGGTAGGGCGTAGCCAAGAAAATCCAAGCAGTTCAGAGGTAGGCTGGCGGCGTCTCTACATTTAATAACCCCATCTCATCCCGCTCCCGAAGATGTGTTCAACCACTGTATATACATCTTCAACTCTATCTTATATATATCTCTCTTCCGGGAGATCATTTCCTTTTACGTTTTCCTATTCTCTATCTCCTTTAGTGTTTCTTTTATTTCCTTGTCCATCTATAGTCTATCTATCTTCTGTATCTTGGGTCCGGGTTTTCTTTGGGTTTTCTATTTCTTATTAGTCTACATCTACGCACATAACGACCAAGACTACCTGAGAACTCAACAAAGAAACTACTTCGGTTCAACTTTGGACAATCGACAACATCTACTCCGCATACTTCTTCCGACTCACATCTACCAAAATGTATGCTTCGACATTACTGGTATCATTTCTCGGTGCTTCGACCGTCATCGCTGCTCCAACATGGCCATCATTCAACCGGGACGCCGCTAAGACAGACGGCCTCAATACCGTTTCCGAGTACTTCAACATGTTAGCCTCGAAAGTCGAAGTAGGGAAATACATGGCGGCGGCTCCGGTCTGTGATCTTTCGAAGGCTCAGATGGCAGCAGGTTTGTCACTCGTCTTACCAACAGCACTCTAAGCAATTTAATTAACACGATTCTCAGCTCCTACGCCACTGCCACCCCCATCCGCGGGTCTGACTCTGAAGCACGTGGCTATAGGCCGTGGGACGCAAAACTACACATGCGATACTACCAACGCCACGGCCGTCCCGACCGCCGTAGGAGCCGTTGCAACTCTTTTCAACGCTAGCTGTGTCGCCGCAACATATCCGGATCTTCTTCAGCTCCTGCCAAAGCTTGCATTGCAGTTCAACCTCACGACACAGGAGAACTCTCGCATGGGGCCGACCAACCTCATCATCTCGGGCCACCACTTCTTTGAAGACGCCACCACCCCGTTCTTCAACCTCGACACAAACCAGTACAACCTAGGCGAAGCCCCATGCACCAAGACCAATTCCACAAACGCACCGGACGATGCGCCTAAGGGTCAGCAAGGCGAGAAGGCCGTTGCATGGCTGAAACTGAAGACCGAGAGCGGCTCCACGGGCAACTTGCAAGAGGTCTACCGGATCAACACGGCGGGCGGTTCTCCCCCGGCGACCTGCCAAGGCCAGCCAGCCGCATTCGAGGTGCAATATTCCGCGCAGTAAGTTCCCGTTCTTAAGCATAGGCTCTATTGAATATCTTGCTAACATGTAACATAGATACTGGTTCTGGGAGGGTGAATCTCGATCATGAGTAACACTACCATCTCTAAACTTAGTAAAATTGTATAAACCGGAAAGTTAAAGGGGTACGGCAGTGCTTTGTAATAGGGAAGCGGACATGGGCGGTGTTTTCCGCCTGCGCGTATCAGTCATAAGACACGCGGCAGGCATTTATCAGCGGAGAACACAGCTCCGTCTTCCTCAGGGCGTTCGGGATGGGCACGATTCAGCGGGGATATCCAGTGTTACGATTCATACAATTTCTTCTTTTTAACTAGTAAACTACCTATTTCTATCTTGTTAATATATTTATAAACTACTTTTTTCATTGTATATTATTCACGTTATCTTAATGTGACATGGTGATGTCCCTCTTCGTGGTGCTGATGAGATATCATAATTGTCCTAATATCACGGTCTCTAATGAGGTAATCCCTAATCATTCGATACTGATAAGTGTGACGTCACTCGTGAAGTTTACTGCAATGGTGCTAAGCTATACTTGAAACATAAGGGTTAGACTCTTCTTTTGTTAGACTATAGTAGCTATCTACGGAAGTGTTTCCACCGAAAACGATATGTCACGATAGCTACTATAGCTATAGTTTCATAAACCACCATTCGCTATACTCGCCTTTTTGAGTGTAGGCATGTGTCAGGTCATACGGAAGGTGTCAAAGCCACGAGATCTATAGATTGAGTTGAAACGGGAGGCGCAGTCGTAGATTAGCGATTCTTGGCCCGGGCCCTGACCTGAGGGCGATCCGGGTCCCGGACCCGAAGGATTGGCGTGGGGAAGGAGCGGCGTAAGGATCTGGTTTCCATATCGAAGGGTTTGGGTTTGTTTCTCTCCTGAAACTTTGAAACGGATAGTATCGCAACCGGTGGTTGAGCCGGGGTCGTGCTCGGCCTGAGCGCGCATAGGTAATATGGGTAAAATACCTAGGTACCGGCGTGAGTTTTTATGTAAATCTTATAGTCCAATTAATATCTACTAATCTGATATCTACAGAACCGTCTTTTTAAATTACCAAAGCGATAGCTGTATTAGTGGATCTTCATTGTTGAGGCAGACACGAAGGCTATCGCAGCTCATGGACGAACTTGAAACGAAAGGGCCAAGCCCCATCGTGACATGTTTAATTCCTAGTACCTACCTATTCTTTGCCGATACACTAGAAGCATTTTAAATGCTACCAAGTTAAAAGATAGTGAACGGAGAATGATACCGTATGAATATTGTCTTTGGCGAATGATAGGGGTCGCCTTACGACTTACCTCAGCGAACCATGACCAGTTTAGATAGCATCACTGTGGGATATCTTATTCACGTGAGTCTATATATACACCCATAAATAGTAATATGTAATTAATATTTATAATGTAATAGAAACTGATTTTAAGTTTAGCAATTCAGTTAGTGGATATTGTGACGTTGAAATAGACTACAGGACCCTTAAGCTAGAAGGACCCCTATCTAGTACGAAGACTGCCGTCCTTCTCTTTAACTCTAATGAGATATCCGACGCAATTCTCATATGTGACAAACGTATTAATTTAGAATCGTTTCTCTACAAATTGATAGTTTAGGCCTCACAATCGAGCGAAAAGCCCCCTGACATCTCAAGGGCTATTTGCCTCCTAACCCTCCGAACGCTGCTTAGTTTGAACTTTTCATAAAACATGACGGCCAATGACATAATTACATAGTTTTGAAGCCTTTCTCAATGAGGCATGGTCGGGGACAACGTAAAGTTGCCTCAGGAGAATCCAATGCCGTGCCTTGTTCTAGTGCATATTAGCCGAGTATAATATAGGGGGGTAAAGGTGAGGGCGGATATAGGAATAGCGGCAGATCTATTGGTGCCCGTCTCGTGGAGAATCTGCCGACGATCAAGAAATACGACCCATGGTCCTTCTCCGTCAATTTAATCAATAGACCATTGACGGATTAGGTAATGTATACCAAGCTCCGAGAAATGGGGAAGCTTCCTCATACTTCCCCAGCTTCGAATGGGCTTTAATATATTTATGAAGCTGGAGGATTGGTTGCCAATTAGGCTAGTAAATTGGCTCTGGGCAAGCTTAGATATTCTGGTAGATGGATCTGCTCTATATAAATATCATGTATCCTTCAGTTCGTGACCTCACTGACGATCCTGCAACAGACAATTATCAAATCCTGAAATCTACCTAGGTACGCAGAACCAACGACAGAAACCAAAATGTTGGCAACTTCTTTCCTCATGCTCGCGTTCGCCGCGGCTGGCTTTGCCCAGGCCCCTGAAGGCTACCGTACTGTATATGTCACTTCGATGGTGGACCCCAAGTTCGTCTTGGTCCCCATGACAGCTACTAGCGGTAGCACCTTGGTAGTGTTCGTCTATAACCCCCCTAAATATCGAAAACACATGTTCTAACCTGTACTTTTCACGTTTGAAGTAAGACAGCTGCTCAGACACCCGAACAACAATGGTATATCACAAGTGGCAACACAAAGATCCAGCTAGCCGGCACTGAGCTGTGTCTAGATGCAGGCGAACAATGTAATTATTCAACGGAATCATATTACGGATCAGTCAGAACTAACGACATCAACAGCCAACTGGAAGGATATGGCCAACATCTACATTAAGGAGTGTTCTGACACGGCCGACTCTCAGAAGTGGGTAGCTATGGAAGACGGAAGAATCGCCCTTGAGTTGTCGAGCCCACGTAAGTCCCACGTATTCAAATCTATATTATTATTGTAGCTAACATGAAAAAAATAGAGGAATGCCTCGACCTCCAGTTCATGAGAGCCACAGAGAACAACCCGGTCGGTCTATACAGCTGCGCAGGATTAGGAAACACCGGTGCCGCAGACAAGGGCATCAACTGGCCGCTTACCGACGCCACTGACCCTTAAAATTATGGATCACCAACTACTTACTATTCAAGTGATGGGCACTTGAAAGGGTATTATCCAGAGCCAAGTGGATTAGGAAGCTTGCTTCTAGGGAATACGAGACCTAATTACACAAAAAACTATCATGCTCTTTTATAGTCACCATTCAAATCATGTTCCTGTCGTTGAACCAAGTAAATAAGGAGAAAGCCTAATTCTAAAAGTAGTTAGAAGACATCACATCAAGCTGTCACAATAAGAAGGTAGCTAAAGGGACTTGTTCATGCTCGCCGTAATTCCATTCGTATTCCTCAATGATGTGTGCTCTCGAGTTTACTATCCGCCAGACAAGCTAGAGCTAATAACTCACTTCCTAGGTAATCAAGGACATCACTAGTTTAATAACAGAGATATCCGACTATATAAACGTGCCTAGGTGATCTAAGGGGTACGTAGGTATGTTACATTCTATATAGCTCATTCACAGGCCTGGAATATCTACAAAATTTCTTACTCCTTTTATTAAACATGTTGATAGATTATAAACTTTATAAGGATTCAAGATATATTCGAGTTTCCAAGTCATCGTGCCTCGGTAGTCAGCACCGTTAACTTCAAGACGGTAGGAATCAGCAACGTTTCTCTAAACACCTAGATATCGGGCCAACACAATATTAACAGACAAGGTATTAGCAAACCACGATACGTAGTGTATAACACTAGATTGCTTACCATTGCCTAAACAGTATAAAGATCAGTCCGAGCACGAATCATAACTAAGACCTACCTAGTATAAAACCTCATCCCTTCCTTGCATGCTAGCCAGAATATCTTAATTTAATTCTCATCAGTTTGTACGTTAAAAAGCGCCTCCGTACGTCGCCTAGTTAGGTACCCAACCATATATAATATCAATACCACGCCTAGCCCAAGGAACCGTCTACGTATATACATTCTCATTGTTAACTAGGTAAGAAATCTGTTTGTTCCTGTCCTTAAAGTAAGCAATTCCCAGCTTCGCGGCACGGGAACCGGGATTAAGCGATCGCAAACCTTGCCTTACGCCGCCTGGGTACCGATCTTAAGAGACAGAAGAGGGAGAGGGAGAGGGGGTCCGAGAGCGTGAAACATCAAAGATCGCCCCCCTCTTCTTAGTTGCACAACACCTGGTGCCTTGCGGAATACATAGGATCTAACTTTAATTATCAGCTTGTTTGCGACCCCAATGCAGCCAGCGATGTGACGGCCACACCCGGAGGGGTCCCTCGGTACCCAGTCGCATCGAACGGACGGGGTGGGACAGTAAATGGACCAGGAACCGAGCCGAATGGAAATGATATACGCTAGGTATCTCCCTGTTCCATATGGGAGTTTTCCTCTAGGTTCCACTCTCGAGATCCATATCCAGAGCTCCTAAGTCGGAGCTTTATTACAAGGACATGTGTAGTTAGATGCTCGGTTAATGAGTATTCGTAAGAGGTACAATGATGACTTCGCGTTGAGCACATTCCGCGCCTGAAATCCGCAATAGCATTGTTACCGCCCGATACATTGTGTACCGTAATTCATAGCTCTAAGACGTAGTCTCTATCCCATGCCATCCACAAACAGGCAAGGCCGCCAAGAACACACTATGCTAGGTCTCCGCCGCCTCTGGCGCAAGACCTCACGATGGGGAAACCCCATTATCAAACCCATCTCCCAGCCCCTAACCCCTAACCTTCCATCTCCACGTCCCCACCGCCCCCTTTCTTCCTACCCTCAAGCCTCAGCCTCGTCTTCGCCTTCGCGTCCTCGACCCAGCGCGCATACGCCTCCTCGCCTCCCTCCCTCATCTTCGTCTCCACAACCCCCTTCAGCACCGCACCCGCGAACCCGACGAAATTGTGTCTCCGAAGCGCGTTCTCGAACTGCCAGTCGCGCCTCTTCCGCTCCTCCCGCGCCAGCGCCTCCGCGTCGCCCATCTCGCGCGCCGCGACGCGCCGGTCGCGCACCATCGCCAGGAGGTTGAACCGGATCTCCGAGAGGTCGTAGCGCGCGACGCGGCGCTGCAGGACCGCGCTGACCTTGGCGGGGAAGTCCTCCGCCGACGCGCACGCGCCGTGCGTGATCGGCGCCGGCTGCAGGCCGTCCAGCTCGTACAGCGTCCCGTTGATCGGCGTGTACGCGACGAAGTGGAACGCGTCCTCCGCCTCGCCCCCCTGCCGCTGCGTCTCGTCCACGAACGGGCTGCTCTTGGCGAAGCTGTTGTGCGCGTCGCGGATCAGCTCGCTGTTGCTCAGCGCCTCGCCCCTGAACTCCGGCGGCAGCGCCATCGTGAACTCTTTGAACTCCCTTAGCTTCTCGCCGATATCTACCTCGCTATCCTCTCTGTTCATCAGCATGCTTAGAAGCGCCTGCGTCCCGCACGCATTCTGTATCGTCTGCGCCGCGAACCACAAGTTCTCGGCGGCGTCGCGGTCGAAGGCACCGTCGAGCGGTTTGTCGGTCGACGTGTACGGTGTGTCCGTCGGATACTTGAAGAGAAAGATAACGCCGTAGACTGGGTAGAGCTCGGCTATCGCCTCCGGATCTAGCGTGAGCAGCTCTTCGAACTGCACATCCTGGACGCCCAGATTGTTGAGAAGAAACGTAAAGACACCCTATAGAAAATTGATTAGCCCTAAGAATATTAGTAGTAAGTAAGATAGGGATTTCACATACAGCATCCGACTCAACTATGAATAGTAGTTAGCAAGCCATACTCATGATCAGCAAACGGCCAACGAGGTCAACTCAACTGGTATTCCATCCGCCACTCATCTTTCAATTAAGCTTGCCCGGACAAGGCAAGGTGTTGGCTGTAGCTTGTATTATCTACGTAGCTTAGACAGATCCAGAGTTACTTAATCAAGGAAGAGAATAATGTAGAAGTGTGTCTAGGTAGGAAGTTTGTATTCGCATAAAATAGCCGAATGAAAAGTTGCTGTGATGTCAAGTTGCACAATAAAAGAGCTAGGTACCTTGTAGGTACGTACATCAGGTACACAATGATGCTTACGTGCCTGCGTACCGGAGCTGTTGTGGACCGTTGCGGGAGCTAAGGTCCGCATTTCTTGACGACCTGATAAGATAAGGCGGATAAACTACGGCGCTTGATGCTATTAGATTGGGTACTTGGGTACTTTATTCATTCGTCTTTTTCTCATCGGGGATGGGTTCGTGTTTTGAGTTATCTGAGCTATAGCAAAGGAGATCTGTTTTTACACTTAACCTTGAAGGAGGCTAGGTATATGCATCCCAAGAAGAGGAGCCTAGTCTTTCCACAGATCTCTCAAGAAACATTATGTGAATCATTTCGTTATCTACTGGCATTATCATTGCCAGTAAACTGACGTGATCTTTTCCTTCATTAGTGTTCTTCATCATCATTACCCCCCATACACAGAGAAAACACTTTTAGGAAGAAAATTGCCTAATATTGGCAAATTCGTGATCGGGGTCAACTTGCATTTGTTGCTTATTCCCTTGCTCTTTCAATCAAGAGAGGGCAGGTCGTGATCGCGAGGTCGAGGCTGTCCCTGAACTTGAGTCTGAGCCTGACCCTGGGGGTGGTGGTGAGCCTGGATAGGAGCCTGGGGTTGAGGGTAGGGTTGAGGCTGAACCTGAGGTTGAATGTGAGCCTGGGGGTACACGTGGCTGATGTGGCTGACGTGGGCGTTGGGGTGGCTTTGACTCTCCACAACGTGTACGTCCTTGTCTTCGGCCGAATTGCTTCGCGAAATGGAGTTAGTGGCGGCGTTCATGGCGCTATCATTGTCAACCAGTTCCACATCGTCCTTTGTGTCGTCCATGTGGAAGCGGGAGGGCAAAATCCGTCGCTGGATGCACCTCATCCATCCGGGGAGATCTCTCGATGCCATTCCCCAATCATAAACCTCTTTCTCGTGCCAGTTCGACGGGGTGACTCGGCCATTGGTAAGTCTCACGACAACCCAGATCATAGTGTTGAGGACGACATAGACCATCATTCCTCTATAAATACGATTAGCTCGTGCTAGTTTACTTGATAGGGGGAGACTCACGCGATAAGGCCGTAGGCGACGCTGTAGCTGAAAGGCATAAAGGCCAGCGTAACAAAGGACGGGACGGCGTCACCGATATACTGCCAATTGATGTTGATGACTTGACGGATCATCAAGCAGCCGACCTGGCAAAGTAGTATTAGTTATTTCCTCGTCCTCTCAAACTTTTAGATATGCTTACCAGAATCAAGGTCGATCCTGTGGCCCAAGGCGGAACAGAGGCCAGGATAGGGGCAAAGAAGAGACAGATTAGGAAGCAAACGCCGGCGGAAATAGCGGTCAGTCCAGTTCGACCTCCTTCTGCGATTCCTGCACCACTCTCGATGAAGGCGGTAGTGGGTGAACAACCAAAGAGAGAGCCGATCGAGATCATGAAGGCATCAGTGCAGTAAGCGATGGTTGAACGAGGAAAATCGCCATCATCTCTGACCACTCCACAGAACTTGGCCATCGAATATAGTGTTGCAGTACAGTCAATGATGTCAACGTAGAGAAAAGTAATGAGTGCTAGGGCGAACTGAGCACCATTGGCGCCGGAGAGGTTCCACTCGTTGACATTCAAGACAGACTCGATAGGATGGAATGCGATAACTTGCTTGAAGAATTGGAATCGCTCTTCACCAGCTTCCGTGTAAGGGAAGTAGGTAAATGGGGTATTACGGCTAAAAAGCGTCAGTCGATTCTTCCAGGTCCTTCACGAGTTCGAGAAATGTTCTACTCACGGCCAAGACATAATTGACACGATTCCAATACCGATGACGATGGCACTCTTGACTTTGAAAGCCATCAAGAACGCAACGAAGATGCCGCCAATGAAAATGCCGATCCACATCTGTCAGCAATTGTTAGCTGAAGGAACTCGATTTAGGGGGAAGATTTTCTTACACCGGGATTCTCCATGATGTGGCTAGCACATTCGCCCTTGGCGTCAAGATACTCGGCGGGACATCCACCAATTGCAAGGGGGGTAGAGAAACCTCCTGTGATGGCGCCAATACCTGCTGAATAGGACAATCCGATCTCTGTAAGGAACAGGCCAATTCCAACACCACACGCGGTCTTAATAGTAGCCGGTATCATGCGGACTAGCCACTGTCGCATTCCAGTCAGAGCCAGGAATATGAAGATGAAACCCTCCACGAAGATTGCAGTGAGGGCGATCCGATAAGGGACCTTGCCAGTACCATGCCAGCCGACAACCTGGTACGTGAAGTAGGCATTAAGGCCCATGCCTGGTCTTGAGGTATGTTAGAAGAAGGTTTATATAGACAAGAGTTTGGACGTACCCGAGAGCAACAGGCAGGTTTGTAAGGAAGCCGAAGAGGATACTGGCAAGGCCAGCAATAGCGGCAGTGGCCGTGATCAAATCGCGCTTCAGAACTACATGGGAAGTAATTAGCCTCGGTTCTTACCAAAGTCATCTCTTGTTCTAGGGGTCTAAGAAGCTTACCTGCTTGACAGTTGGCGTAATTAGGATCACCGGGGCAACCCGGCTCTGATCCGGGGGGACATTCGCATGTACCTCCAGAGTCCGCGAGAACAGCGGCCTGTTTTGGTTTATCAGATGAAATATCACAGGAGGATGGTGGAGTGTGTGGTACTTACATTGACTGCAACAATGTACGCCATAGTGGCAAAAGTGGTCAAGCCGGCGCGAATCTCCCGGAAGAAAGAGGAACCGCGGACGGTTTTGGGCTGATCATTGTTAGCAAAATAGTTGCTGGCATGTATGATCGAGAGTATTTATTGTCGTGGGTTACGAAGGCCGAATGAGTTCGCAGTATGGATGGAATACATCATATCAAGATCATTGTGTTGGGGACAAGGGGATGTATAGGAATCGGGTCATTGAAGGTAAAGACAGTCTAACTTACATGACCAGAGCCATCTAGGCGAAAGACGCGACCGAAAGTCGAGCTATTGATACGGTCCTCAATAGAGGCTAGCTTGTTCATCGACGAATCGACGAGTGCACCTAGATCAGGCATGGTGTCTGGCTCGGGTGACAAAAAATCACGTCGAATAAGGGGTGCACAGGGAAAGATTGGTAATTATTTCTTAAGGAGGGAAAATGAAACCGATACGGAAGACGGAATTTTTTAAGTCGGGGAAGAAGAAGATTTGTCAGTGAGTGATATGAATAAGGTCGGATAAAGTTGACAAGAGATCGGTCAACTAAGATGCAACTATATTCAACGAGTTTGTGGGAAACAAGACAAAGGCAAAGATAGGAAAAGCACCAGGTGGCGGTTAACCTCAGATGTCGGTGTGCGGGTGCAAGATTTCGGAGGACGAAATCAGAGGAAAAGTTGCACGGTGATGTGTCTGCCGAATCTGGAGGTGTGCCTTGCCCGGCTGGAAAAGAATGTTGTAAAGGAATGTTTCTTGTGGACGGGAGAAACGATACGGGAAAATGGATAATGAAAAGAGAGTTGGTGTGAGGGACGGGTGAGTCAAGAAGTGAAAAGGTTGAAGTAGGGTTGAAGGTAAGGGGACTAAGGGGACGGTTTAGCAAGTATCAAAAAGACCTCAAGGGCTAAAAATATTACCAAGTGCATGGTAGAAATTCTGTGGGGAGGAAACCGCGATATGAGGCGGCGAAGGACAGGTGCAGGTGTGAGTGCAGAGGCAGGTACCGAAGGTTAGGTTTGGGTGCTCCAGATATCAACCATGTCGTTGCTCGTCTAAAAAAGGTACGTACCTGGACCCGACAATTCCAATTGAATTTACTAGTAACTGGGATCATTCAGATGAACGGTTGGAGTAAAATCACCCTGGAAAGGGTGAAAGAAGTAAAGTTTCTACCGTTTGGTATTTTTTCGCTGTTCAACCCTTCTTTTCCAGTTCTCGTCCCTGGTGTTTCTACACAAGTCGTCACGCTATGAGGTTCGTCAGTGACCACCCCCACCAAAATATCCACCATACACACAGTCTACTACGCATGTACAAAACAATGGAAAATTGGCATGAACGCCTCTTCCCGGGGCCGTTCTCGGTAGTTTTGTAGAACTGCTACTAATGTTGATCACGCACCAGTAAAATTTAGTCATGTACTAACATCATATCAGCATTCAACGATTTTGTCTTCAATATCCACCTTGTCACCTTATCTTCTTAGACTTAAACTACCTAAACAACATATCCTCCACTGTATTTATTATCGTTCCGTTGTTCTATTACGCTATTTTGTTGGCAAGAGAGGGTATACGGGTTGCAAAATCAGGCATATCCTTGTTTAGTGGTAACACATAGCAACAAGGAGTTCCTTGGAAAGATAGGAAGATCACGTAGAACGCGCTGGGTCGACGTTCAAGTCACAGGGCCCTGCCAAGAACAAATATATAACCTACAGCTCAGCTGCAGAAATATATAGATTCCGGGTTTGAAAGATGCCGCAATTGCCAGGGTATACTTGTTACCGGATGCAAGCATCTCAACTGCAAGCACGCATATTATTATGCGCATTGCCGGCCCACCCCCCTTTTGATTCCTCTTGGGGACTTTCTCCTTATTTTAAGCCTCTTGATTACCCATCTAAGCATGTATATATATGAAGAGCTGCTGCTATAAAATGGCCTGCATTGGCGCGTGCATGTATCAACCTCACATGAATGTTGTGTATACCTCTCTGCTTGCTATAGTCGCCATTAGGCCCTACGCTCTTTTTCCTTCTCCGCCAACCTTGTCATTAACTAAGGCCCTCATATTTACACTAACACCGTATTGGTCAGCATGAGGTGATTGCTAACACGCGAGTCCTCTGAGGAGCTCGATTGACTTGTTCCACAAAGTGTAAACGAGTAATCGAACCCCTGAAAGGCCTCCTACGGGTCAGCAATGGGCTAGACAGTGGACAAGAACACGAGACATGCGGGAAAATTCGCCAATTACCGAGATGGACGGTAGCACATGCTACCTAGGTGTTATGCTACTGAGATACAGAGTGGGGATGCGAGTACGTCCATTCCATCATATATCTCCTGTATGAACCGGGATTGCATGTCGTACTCCCCCATGTAGGAGATTCTTCATTGCTAACCGATTCAACAGAAGCAGTGATAGTCAGCATGTAATAGTCAGCATAGTTCCTCTACGTCGAAGGTCCACGAACAAATCGGAAAGTCCTTAAGAATATGTGTAGCCGTTTCAATGATCTGAATGGTATTTCTTTAGATTGATGTAAACTGGAAGACATCATCTTGTAATTAGATCCAGCTATGCTGGGATGTTATGGTGTCGAGATATGCCTCCGGTTTCTACGTTCTTCAATGGCATAACATACTTCACAATATCAACCTGGGGGTAAAGCATCTTTAACTTTTGGAAGTCGTCACATTGGGCTTTCCTATTCGTTGATACCTCATACATAGGCTGGGTCACTTAGATACCTACTAGTTAAGTGGGGAAAATTATAAGATCTCTTCTACAAGAATCAACACGGGAATTTCCCTTTAATCGTAATCATCTGTTTTGGTCATATCTCCCGGAAGTAAATGAATACTTCTAATTTCACTTGGAATTAACCAGCTAGCACGCCGTATCTTGGTCTAATGCTGCGCTTCAAGGGAGTACGAGAACGGTAAAAAGACGTTACCTACTACAAGTTCTAGAGATATAATTTTCTCAGTCATCTCCCGCAGACCCTAGGTAGGTAGAGAAGGAGAGATGGAAAGAGACTCATCTAAACAAGTAATATGGAGAAGAAAGGGACGTAATATCGTTGAGACTGATAGTATGTAACAACGAGCAAGTCTAGCCTAATGTTGACTGTCCTATATCCATAGATACCTAGGTCACCATGTACTTAGTGCGTCTAGTTCAATATCTAGGTAGTAATTATTGCATGTAGCTGAGAGACAATACTTATCTAAAGATCTGGTCAATCAAGATGCTCGAAGCCTTCAAAATAGGGGCTTAGTTGGGATGGGGAAGGGTAGCATAGTTGTGCAGATTTGTAATTCTCCTCACGAATAATAAGCTATTAAAATTAAGAGCTACTCTTGAAAATTCGTCTTACCTAGTTTATTACTACAGCAGTCTAGTGCTCTGTCAAGCGGACTGCAGAAGACACAACTAGCAGAAATGCTGACGAAAAAAAACAATCTACCTGGATAATTGCGAAGCCTACCACGAATCTAAGGCTTCTATGTAAGATTATCATGAAATAGTGATAAGAGAAGGAGGGAGATATTATGATATGATATTGGTCTCGGATACTTTTGAATGTCTCACGTTTATCTAGACACAGCGTGCTCATTGGTAATTCTTGGATTTTCTCTGTTGTCCAACGAATAGTAGTCATATGAAAAGCTAGAAGGATTTCTAAAGACGTCAGCAGAGGACACCTAATTATCGTCACTGGTTCTAGACTCAGCCATCCTTACCTCCGCTTTCCCAAACCAGCATGCCATAGCGTTTATATGCGAGGATATCAGCCAATATGGATTACCTATGTAAAAGCAATTCAGCCCGAATGAAAGAGATACCTATAGTATAGAAACGCCATCAAATCACTAGGTAAAGCTCGGCCAATGAACCCATGTCGAAGTTACACAAGCTGACTTGGTTGGAACACTTTGTTTTCTAAACTATTGAAGCCCTTTCGAATGAACGACAGTCATGTGTACTAGATGAATCTAGAGCTGGCTGGTCTTCGACGACGCGATTAGATCACCATATCGCAGGGACTGGTATTTCAAAGGGTGAACTTTGAGGTATTCATGTCCTCTACAGGTGTAACGTGATCCTCTGTATCCTAGAAACACTATAATGCCCACGGAGAAGAGATGAGTACACTGTTGATCAAGGACGACGTGAAGTCACTTACCACCAGGCAAACATATGCATATTGTTTAATGTATCCACCTAAGTAAAGAGTGGAAGGTATCTTGAAATAGATCATTTCCAAGTTCGCGTGAAGGAGTGATAAGAATTGAGAGTCGACGGGAAGGTGCGTCCCTCGATCTCATTAGCGCACGTTCCCGTAGTTCGTCAATGATCTTTCGGAAAAGGGGGAAAGTACAAAGAATAATGTAAAGGTACATTAGGTAAGAAACTCAAAACAGGCCGAGATTTCGAACTCGGGTAGCATTGAATCTGTCTCACCACTCAAACTAAGTTTACAAGCTGCCTCGTATCGTTTGGGCGGCTGTTATCATCAACTCAAATTCTCACCCCTCCCCCTATCACCAACTTACAACTTGTCCACCTTATTCACAAACCCGTCTACTGCCTTCTGCATCCTTACTGCTATTCGATTCCTATCTCCGGCCTTCTCGTCGCAGTAACCCCCTCGATTCAAGCGCCGGGTGCGTGTGAATTGAGTGAGTGACGAAATACAGATTTATCGAACAGTACCTCCTTTGACAACAGCCAGCCGTTTTGCTGTAATCCCAACATTCAATAGAACAAAACCCCTGATTCGCCTATAATCTTAGTTTATGATATGGCATAGTTAGTAATTTGAAGAGTTGGCTTTTCCACAGATTCGACTCTATTCAATCTACATCTTAGCTATATCGTTCTTTCGCAAGACTCTATCTATCGAATCCAGCCTCATACGGCTGGATCAAGTGCGGAATATTTCAGAAGCAAGAAATCGGAACGGTCAATCAACCAACGGGAGGCAATATGTTCGACGTCCTTTGGACCGACCCCAATCGGGAACTTATGGGCGAGCGAATCATAAGAAAAGAGCAAGAAGCGAGGCTAAAGGAGAGGGATAAGAAGCAGAAGACAGAGAACAGTCGCCGATCTATTTCAACGGAGGGTTCAAATTCTAGTGATCGTGGTTTTGGGATCTTTACAGTTAGGAGCCGAAGGAAAACCCCGACACCGTCTAAAGCAAAGGATACAACTACGTCCCCTGCGCGTCTGGCCTCTAACACCAACAAGGTCAATCGAACGTCGGCATACTGTGCTAGGTCTCTATTACACCACCACGACGGGTCACAAGCTACAGTAAAGACCGGCGAGAAGGGTCACCATCCTGTCCAGTTCCCAGAAGTGGCTGATACCTCAAGCATATCATCTCCAGGTACGAAATTATCCTGGTTATAAACAATATATGCTAATTCTTGACGATACCAGATTCCACATCGTCAAAATGGACACATCGATCGGCTGCTAGTAACAGCACTGGGGCCGATGCCCCTATAGACGTTACGGAGACCACTCTAAAACCAGAATATCTAATTCAAACTCTAGGACCGTCGTCCTTTGTCACTAGAACTACCGAAGTCACCTTCTCACCTCGTGATCCGGAAACAGACCTTGACCAATTAGTTTCCGAAGTACACATCTCCGCTGATCGGTCCAAAGCCTCAACGCCCCCTTTAATGGACCATATGCCACGCCTACCAGAAAGAGTGTAAGACTTTGAACTTCGTGAAAAGCGGTTATAACTCATCCTAATGCTTTTTCTAGAAATCCCTTGGCATTTGATGACCCTGGTTCGACAGCGTCTTCCTCTCAATCACCTCGAACTCCACCCCCCGTTGAGCTTCGGAATAACGCCGCTATCTATACTCCAGGCTGGAACAGCAATGATAGATTAGTCAACCCGGACGCCTGGAAGCCTCCTCACGAATGGGACTGTTCCCCGACTAAGGAAAATGCGACCATGTCAGATGAAGAAAGGTTGCAATCCTCACCGGTGGGCGACGATTCAGACCAATGCATGTCTCCCAGTCTTGCAGCATTACAGCGCGAAGTCCGAATGATGGCTGCGGCTAGTCCAGAGCTTATGCTCGCCAACATCAAGTCAAGTATGGGCCATTCGTCAGACGCAACAGTTTACAAAGAGCTTGAGATGTCCAAGAAGAGATGGATGTTTTCTGCCCTACAAAAGGAAGGCTATATCCCCTTTTCGGAGCCCGCAGATAGTCGCCCAGTGAGCCCGGATTCGTCAAAATCTTCCAGATATCCTAGAATCCTCGCGCTATACGAAACTCAGGGTCTGTCCCTCTATGAATATCGACTATAGAATATTTGAGCTAATTGGCAATGTAAACTAGCATCTACGTCGTTCCTCGCAGCTCTACACCCACAAGCTTCGATCTCTCACCTTTCGCCAAAGCCAATATCTCCGAACCTATTTCCCAACGTCCAACCAATACTTGTGCCAGCAATCTCGGCATGCTCAGGGTCTCGACCGCTTGCGCCGCAACTGTACTCGACCGTAACATGTTTGCATATGCCGGCATTATTTCCTTCCAGCGAGATCCCACCGATGCTTCGCCATATTTACCGCTGTCTAGCAACCGGCGGTGCCCTGCACTTAACACTAATTGATCCTCAACCGGTCTCATCTTCGATGGGACCAAAATTACGACAATGGTTATTTGAGAAACTCTTGATACAGCTAGAAAAGCGATGTCGCACGACGTACCCAAGCGGCACATTTCCGGCCTGGTTGGCAGTCGCAAAACTCCGCGGGTTCGGGAGCACTATCACGACGGTGTCCGTGCGGGCTGTACATGAGTGTGCTTCTTCGATAGAAGACACGAAGAAGACAACAGCTGTAGAGAGCGAACTTCGATGCCTCATTGCGAGAATGCTGTGGCAAGAGATCTGGGGGAAATTTGTTCACGCAGATCGGTGGTGGTGGGAAGAGGAGGACATAGTTCAGGAATGCATTGAAAGGGGGACTTACTGGCAGTATTCACACATCGTCGCAGTCAAAAACAAGAGGCAGGCATCCTAAACTGTCTGGTGCTTTCTTGACGAAGATTTCGAGTCGATGCGGAGTAAGGAGTCTGAAGCATTTTCGTTTGGGAGGAATGGTTCATTTATAAGACGAAAAAAGCGTCAACTTGCATCAGCTCATGCCACAGGAGTTCTGGAACAAATCATTATATTCGCTAACGATGTTTCGTTCTATACCCCGCCGAATTCACCGGACGTTTTAGAGTATTTCTTAGGCAAAATCGCTACACTCCCTGGCACGACTCGGACTGCTCCCTCTCTTGCTCTTGTTGAAGCCTATTAGCTCGTTGGAAGATACCCGAATACAAGTCCTACCTACATCGACTTGACAACCATTTAATAATTATTCTAGCTATGCCATTTCGATTTCAGCAGACATGTGAGCGAGAAAAGCGGTTCATATTCATGCAGCAAATAACCAACCATACCTATATTTTATGCCAATTCTGGTAGTGGGTTGCATGACCAGACCCTTTTATTGGGACTAGGCGTCGGCGTCGTACGTATATCTAGCTTATTCCAATAGCTTATCTAGTAACTGCCGTCATGACCTCGTATCGTGGAAGTAGGGGGTAAATACAACGATATTATGTGAAAGATAGCAAACATGGGTATGTGCATCCTAGTCGCCGCCCCTACGTTTGAAGGATATGCACTCGCCCACCGAACTACGAGCCAGCCACCGAGGTTTGGGGACTGGGGGCTCGACTGAGATCTCGAGATCCGATGGTCGAGACTTTCCTGAGTTGCAAGGCCGATACTATGAGGCTATCCCGTCAGTACGGTTGTAACAGGCTTCTCTAGACTGCAGTCGTCTCCGGGGCTATATGAGAAGTTTGGCTGATCGTCATATATATGTAGGGACCGTCGTACGCGTTTTTTCATGTGTACCTGCATATCGAGGTCCTAGGGACAATGCACGGCGGATCTTTAATGGAGGCTTACGACTGCGGTTCGACGCAGATCGGCTCATTTTGTCCTCCGCCATCGCGAGGAGCTATTGCGTCTAACGATCTTAGCCAATGCTACGTCCCCGGAAAAAGATCTATGCTGGTTAGGTATAAAGCTTAACTGATACGATTAGCTGCCTATCCTGATGAAGCCACGGACCAAGCAATTAGTAATTCGGGCTCTGATGCTTAATTCTTTACCAAGCCCCTGAGTAGGTGGCCGTTGCGGCGTTTGCCGCGACCGCCTCCAATTACCCAAATCATAGTACCGAGCGAGGAGTCGTCGGGCTTCGTTAGTTCAAACAAATTTCCGTCTGCCTTTTTAGAGCCCGGCCCGCGTATTAGCTTCCGACGGAAAAGCGTTGCGCTTGCGTTGTTTGCTTTTTTTTCCCCAACGCTTTCACATGCCGTAATGGGTGCACAACATGCCATGTATGTACATATGTACATAGGTAGGCATGTACAACAAATCGAAATATCGACCGCATATCCGACCTATCATCTTACATAAAGACTGACTAGAGGCGAGAAGCGAGACACGGGGATCTTCAGAGACAGTATCCAGTCTCGTTACCGCACAGACAAACGCCATGGCGCGAGAAAAAAAGCTTTGGGCGCGCGCACCCCCCGGAGTCATAGCCTTATAAGGCGATTGATAGTCGTCATTCGGAAGTTCAGGGGAACTTGGAGCAGTTGGAGGTAGGTACCTACATAAGCTTTTATTTTTTCCTTTTGGTGGTTGTCATGTCTCTCCTTGCCGTTATTGCACAATTTCAATTACCGTTGGCCGCGCTAGCTGCGCCGCAGGAGGAGACGGGGAATGCTGGAATGGCGCACCAACGTTCTCGAAGCCGTTGCCGAACGTTGGCTGCCGTTGTCTCGGAAAAGCTTCTTTTAATCTTGGAAAAGTCTTAACTCTCTTAGTAGTGTAGGTAGGTAGGTAGTTGTTCTGCTGCTCTCTTTACCTTGGCAGCTTGGATATCAACGCATTATTAATCAGAATAAGGCTAGAACGCGACGACGATCCACGATATGATCCCACGGGTCCTTGGTGATCGACTTCGGGGGGGGGCCCTTGTTGATAATTACCGGCACATGCGAAGCAAAATCAAGCAGACATGCCGACGCGCAGGCAAGCAGGCAAGTAGGGCATGCAGACAGGCAGATAAACCATCACCGTGCCTTCGCAATTCAGGTTCCTACTGTACACTACGTACAAAGCGGCGAATAAAAAGTATCTTGGTTCGGCAAGCTTTGCCATTCGTTCCCCGGTTTCTCCTTATGCGGACGTGCCAAGGTCGAGGGCTTGCGAGATGGGGGACCGAGCAACCCCTCCGATCATTCCTCCATACGGGGGAAATAAAAACGGGCAGGGATTTTGCAGCAGTGCAGTAATTTTCTTCGTGAGACCCGAGGCCATGGTCCCAAGAGCTGCAACGCGGCGGCGCAAGCCATTATTTCTCCTCCCAACGCCACGGGGTAATTTTCCTATTGCTTTTTTCGGAAGACCTTCTCCCCTTTTTTGGACCTGTCTTATTATGTGATAATTATGTACTAATTTCGCCATTTTTGCTGACGAGCATAGACCTATATGTATATCTGACGTGATTGAAGATTTTTACGAACGAAACCACACAGATCTATGTAAACCCCTAACAGCTCAGCCACTTCCCGTCATTAGTGTCATTAGTGGTCTTAGATCAGGAACGAAGCAAGGCTGTTCTCCAATGACATTCGAACGCTTCAAGGTTAGGGGCTACTTGCCCTCTTCCCCGGTACTTAGTCCCCCGGCAAAAAGACGCTTACCTATTCAAGCCAGATAACCCAAATCCACGGCGTATGATTGGTTGCCACCCCCAGGACCATGAAACTAGAAAGAGGTAGGTCCAGACCTAACAGAATTCTACGAGCCCATACATAAACGCAGGTAGTATTGAATGTCGTCCTCGTAATGGAGGGCGGCGGATGTAACTACCGTTGGATTCGAAACTCCCTAGACGCGTTCTCTAAGGGACTTTATATCCCGCTAGTTTTATACCAGAAACTAGGTAAGCTTGCGAGCAGCGGCATTAGACTTAACTTGGTGTAGTGACTTGGTGTAGTGGAAAGACGGCAGCAATTTAAATAATACCAAACGTCAATAGTTGGATGCTGCTAATCTACCTCATCTTAACCCCGTATTGTACCTAGATACGCCACAAAACGAGTTAACACTTGGACGCTATAATGGATCAGCCTTATGAACGCTACTGTGGTAAAGTCCAACCTTGGCCCACCTCTCTCTACTATATCATAGCTTCCCATATTGCCATTTCTCAGGGTCAACATGCTTCCCTGGAACTGTCAACCAAAACATCATGAATGCTGGAAAGAAAACTCGCGTGGTGATCCGCATCCTACTGCAACGTAAAAGACCAGCCTCATTCAACTTCGTGCCCGACCTAACCGAACTTCGAGCGCAATAAATTTTTCCTTAGCCTTACCGGATGCATAATAGCGAAATACGTACTATGTAAGACCTAGGGGAAGCAAGCTACCCCAAATCTCAACTTCCCCCAAAGAAACATAAGTATGGCATACGTAATGAATAATGCGCTAGGCAAACTGAGGATAGTAAAAATGCACTCCAGATCACAGCGCTATGGTTGACCCCAGATTGTCTTTCGCCTTAGCGAACTTCCCCTTTTTACTGCACCTTCTGCTCCTATGTACTTGCATCAAGTAAGGAGTTGGGCAATATGGCGGATGCAAAGCCCGAATTCTCATTTTCCTCCCGAATCATTACGGCCCGCCTCGGCTGCAAAAGCGTTGGAACGGTAATGATATCCGAATGGCTACCAGACTAGCGGGATTTCACATGTACGTATTATATGTATGTGACTCGGTTCTCAAATGGGAAATGTTAGATTGGCCTCTCCGCGTTTCGGATAGTTAGCGGTGTCGAGGGGCAGGGTAGGGCCGACTAATCTGAGCAATCCCTTCGCTTTGCAATAACTGTATAGTATCTTGGCCTGTTTGGCCAAGCAGACAAACAACGAAACACGAGGACATCGAATCATTGAGATGCACGAGATAGATATTCTTCAATAAATATATCATTCGGTACACCAACCGACCAATCCAATTCGGTGATGACTGGGTATATGGCTAGTAAGATTTTAATACAACCGAAAGCTGCCTTTCAAATATGCCCAAGAAGTAGAATAAACAAGAATACACTTCGTAATACAACCTGTAATGCGCTCATAGCGTCTATCCCTTGGAATCATGGGCCGAATTAGACGTCCTGCCACTGTTGGCTAGCTCGGTCATGCTTTCGCTTTCGAGGTCTCGTCGTGGACTCCGACTCGGAAGCCTGAAGGCGAAATTATGCTTATCGTGGAACTCGCTCGGGTAACGATTCGGCTCGGGACGTTGACCGTTGATCCGATTCATAACATCGGCGAACGTAATCTTCACCGCCTCCCAACTGGTCGCTACGTAGATAAACATATTCCAGAAGCCCTGGAGCGGTAACACGATCGCACTCATGATCTCTAGGGACGCTTCTGTTTTATTCGTGTTGACAAGACTGTACACCCGATTGGCCGAAGACGGAATCCAGGTGACAAGGAGCGCCGTGAAAAAAAGGAGGGCACACTTGCTATAGGACCACGCGGCGTTATTGGCCTCGAAATTTGCCCTTCGCTTTTGAGACTTTGCCTGTGCCCGAGCAGTTGATGGAGTCGGTGGTATGTTACTCGTGGCAGGGCGTGTACCGCCGCCCCCTTGCTGTGACTGGTTGCCCTTTTTGTTATCAGACGAGATCATTACTGAGTACGCTGGCCTGGGTCTCTCAGTGAACCGACCGAGCGGAGCAAGGTCGATCCCATTTGTGCTGTCTTGGGCGGATTCGCTGGTGACGGTCACCTCGGTCGTCTTGACTGAGTAAGGGTCGTCCATGGTTATCGCCTCAGGGTCGTGAGCACTACTGCTGGCTCCGAATTGACGTAGTTGTTTCCGCTTCCTGTATATCTCTCCGCCTGTTCTGATATAGATGAACATAGTGAGTAAGATAACGACCCTACGTTAGGTTAGCATCATACGACTCAAGAGGCCTCGGTCCTGTGCTCTTACCAAACCGGCCCGTAGAAAGTAGCAATTCGAAAGATGTCGTAGTCAGAGCTGACCCAGCACCATAAAGTAGCGTTACCATACATCCTCCCAGACCTTTCACTCTTCACGAAGACATAAGCGAGCGCGGGTATGAATGGAATACCATAACATAGCAAGAGATAGTAAATTTCCATCTTCCGGAGCCTGGCGGCGTCAAACTTGTGGTAGAAAGTCAGGTATACATTGAACGCCATTGCCAGAGTCCATAGAGCATCTGCAGGTAGGAACCTTCATTGGGTGAGTAAAAGAGACGACGTTTTGACACAAGAGGTGGTGCTTACATCTGAATGAGGAATGCCTGAAATTGACATCCAAATGAGTCGACTTCTAACACATATCTCCTCGATAACAGCGACCCCACGTTTGTCATCAGGTTACCGAAGGAGGCGTAGAAGACTAGTCGGTTGATCGGCTTGTGAAATGCCTTCGAAAAAGTAAAAGTGAGGATGACGAAAAGGCATCCCAACATCGAGAACACGGAGCCAACTCGCTCAATGACGCTGATGGCGTTGAGCACTTCATCTGACAGATCGCTGCCCGCCATCTCTCACAATACCTAAGGAGTTCGGTACTTCAAAATCGAAAGGAGGTAGGGTATATTATCAGGATAATGAATGAATTGGCTAGTCGACAGGTACCGTAGCTTAATTTTAGCTCTCGATCAAAACCACTCGGATGGGTCCGCATATGTAGGTTTTGGTAATGTTATCGAATAATAGTCAGTCGAGTGACGAAAAGCGGATGGTTAGCCCGAACGGTGTTCGAGTCATTCGTTAATCGAGATAGTTGACATCATCCACGTAGACGGTATTGCCGCAAAACACAAAGTCCCTGAATATCGAAGAAGATAAGTGAGCCAGCTCGTCGAATAATTCATCGGCCACTACCAAGCTTTCAAGGGTCCACTTGTGCTGCGCGACATCAACGGCCAAGTCCTAGGAGAAGTTGAATCTTATAAATGAATCATTTACTCACACATACGGGCTCGTAATGCGCTTTGTTTCCCGGGGGGAGGATACTAGATATGCAGTTCCTAGCTACTAGTCAGGATGTCAACGAGTAGAGGAGCCCTGCATGTTCACCCATGTCAGGGTCCTGGCGCTCGACTCGAGCTGACTAGAATGGAAAAGGTACCAGTCTGTGAAAGGGTGACTGGAGTATGGAGGCCAATCAAATACCAATATGCGGAGTGAGAATAGTTTTGTGCCAGCACGGACATGATGAACAGGGATGGGAGGCCGCTAGAGAAACATCCATATGTGCAAGCATGTCATGTAAGAAGCCAGGGGGCGTATGCTTTGGCCTGTACCTAAGTATCGTGTAGGGTCATCGAGAGACGACATGCCATCTTGCCCATCTAGACTCTCTGCTCACTGTTGATCTGTCGACCTGGGACGACCAGACCTGTGGACCCTGTACCACACAGTATCCATGGATGTGGGCATAGGCTTAAAGTCATTAGTTTGAGCTTGACCCGAACTTGGCTCCAGCGTCGGGGTAAGTACCTAACCCCAGAGCATGTGGGATAATGGCCGAAACGCATCAAAGCCCTTAGTCTCTTTAGCCTCTTGAGACCACCTCCAAAGAGTGTTACCCCAGCTTGGCAGACATGGTAAATACGTCAAGTGACGGAGGTACGTAGTAAAGGAATCGATGAAGCTATTGTTGATAATTGCCTCTCGTCATCCGTCATCGACCACGGCTCACTAGAGTCAGATTACAATAACAATACTACTAAGTTCCATGTTGCTAGGTATGATGGCTGAATAGGTAATGATCCGGCGGTGGTAGGCGTAGCCAGGCAAGCCACATCGCTATATGGCTGCACCGATGCAGAAATTTGAACAATTGCTGAATAGGTCGGTCTGCTATTGGCAGCTGATGGTAGGTTATCCTTGGACGTGTAACCCAATCAAGACATATGACTGGCGAAACACTGAACGGGCAAATGCGTTTCAAACATTCTTTCCGTCACGAACCCTTTCTCATTTAGACAGTTATGTCGCGATCGCTGTGACAATGCAGAGAAGCCGCAGTGGTAACAGATTGTAAAGCCCTCCATTGGAGTAGTGAGAGGGTGATGAGTGGTATGGTGAGATAAATGTTGTGGAGTAATGAAGAGTGCTGACGCGAATATGTAATAAGGTGAGATGAAAAAGCTAAGAATGTGGTAAGAAAAGGCTTTAGTTAGCGACGCTAATACGCTAAGCATATTGATGTAAGCTGCAAATGTCAATATGATCCATTAGATGCATGTGGATTCATTTCATCGATCCTTCCTCCTAACTCCCTTATAACTTCCTTCTGAGGTCTGTTCCCAAAATACATAATTATTAAGTAATGCGGCACGTGCATCTGAGAAAGGGAATATTCTTTTACTTTTTGACACTAAAATGTCGTGAAGCTTCATCAGCATTAAAGATCTGTGCCAATCCCGTCAACCACGTTGTCGAAATCCCGACTTCTCCATGTGGCGTTCGCACGTCTTCCTATACCCTGCGCTGCCACTTACATACATACCGTTAGTAGGTACCTTGTACCTCTTGCCTCTTATCTCCGTCCTATCCCACGGTCACGCAAACACAACAAACCAAACTCATTCAGCTTCCTCCGTCACGTTAAGCTTCGAAGTTATATAGTCTTCACACCACAACTCACCAATTTAGAGTATTTCAGATCAGATCAGATCAAGCTTATTAAATGATCTACCAAATTCACTTCCCTCCACGGCTCAACTTACTCAGCACTCCATCATTGAAAGGAGGGAGACGTTACACCGCTTCGCAGCTATCTAATTGTCTGCTTCAAGCCCGTCAGCTTACATACCTCCCGGAGCTACCGTCTTTCTAACGATGGCTTCTCCGTCTTTTCTCTGCGAGCCACCGAGCTTCGTCTGGCTGGCTGTGTCTCGATAGGCGCTGAAATCGATGCCCTAACTAATCGTCGGTCACCGGTCACGGGTGTTTATCGGACAGATAAGTCTTGGCTGGCTACTTGAGTTTTGATAATGGCCATTATGCTCAAGCTCAATCAACCATTCCGAGGTCATTCCATAATAATGACACCCACCTAATCTCCTGCGAGCAACTGTTTCCAACGGGCGCAGCCAACCGGAGCATCAGCAAATGGCCGGCAATTACCCTTACAATGCATTACCGAACTGTCGTGGAACAATTTCTCCTGTCTCATGCACCATGCCATCGCAACGCTGCTGGATTAGCGCTCAAATTTTTTAAATTGCAAAACCAGATATTTGAATGTAGGTAGATTTATCGACTGATGTTGGTTACCTAGGTGTACATACCTAGGTAGGTATTGACAGGATTGGGGTTGCGTTTGGTCTACGGATTTCCCTGATCCAACACCGCTTCACCGTTCCGAGATCTTCCAAGATCTCCAGAAGAAAAGCAACATTCGGGGGAATAAATCATGCTTGCCTCATTTTCTGGACTCCGATGCTCAGAAACCCTGTACAGGAAATCATCTAAGGAACCATTTCTGAAGAGAAAGTTCCTGCTAACCCCTTACCGAGCATAACGCGCATCATTGTTCATTGCTACCTTACGCAGTAGCTTTGGTTTGGTTCCGAAACCAATGCTCCAATGGCTCTAATGGCCCCTCTTTTGGGGTCAGAGTCTGACGTGGGATCCGGGGAAGTAATCGAATGTTTTCGACGACCCAATTGCCTGCTGAGCAGGTATCTTTCAACTTCTCCAATGTCAAAGCGTACCTGGCTGGAGGTCTTTGCTCCCTATACCAAAACAGTATAAGGGCCGTATCGAGCACCGCAAATTTATCCCAAAGTCCCTACCCCCTACGCAAAGTCCCAACGACTGAAGTTTTATAGGAAGGTAAGGAAGCAACGGCAACGATATCCTACGTCGAAGTCGTGGAGAGAAGCAAGTTAATCACATTTTCGGGATCTTCCAGAGCCTCATGCCCTTCTAGAATCCACTTCGAATACCACGACAGTTAGATGAATCCTTCGTGTCTAGACCAATGTAACGCCAACCAACGACAATGGAATGGTTAAGCCTTACTCAAAATGGTATTTTCGTCTTAGCTAATATGTTCACAGGGGCAGATACCTACGGAGATTTCCTTCAAACACTCAATAGCGTGATGAAGATTGATAACTACAAGATGACCATGTCAAGAGCCATCATATTTAGGCATCTACATAGGCAAACTGTTTCGAGTAAATTTTTTTTCGTACTTTAGCTAGGTAGGAAGATGAAATCGAAGAAGTGAATAGGTAAATCACGAATATCAAATCCATTCATGCTCCTTGAAGTAGGCAATCGACGTGTTATATCAAAGCAATCGTTCCAACCCTAACTAAACAGAATATACCGACTATCTCAATGTTTCCTTCCGGAGCTAGGAAGATACTCCAATTCTTTCACCGACTTTATATTTATCAAGGTTGAAACTGGGTCTCACGAGAGATCATCGCGGAAGTTCACAAAGACCCACGGCTTTTAGAACCTGACACTTGTGTCAGCTGCTATTCGCGTGTTCAACTAAGATTCTTCCGTCCTTCACATCGATCATTGTCTCCTTCGTAGACTCTGAGAACAGTTGCATGATTGCCGACGAGTTCTCCCCGACTGCCTAGGGTTTCTTTGTAGAAAACCTTCAATAAGACGACCCAAATATCCTCGCCATAGAAACCTTCTAGATCCCGCCATCGCCACGAGATCAGACTCCGATGGGTAGTCTCCGTAGCCCACGGGAAAGCTCGTCACTTTATCTACGAGGAGTTCTTCCTTTGTTTTCTAGAACGTCCGGAGAAGTCTCATAACGCCAAAGTATTCATGGCAACCCCTTTCAGTTGCCAGAGTTAGCGAAGGTTTAAGATGGAGGAGTCTTCCTTCAACAGGTTCCAGGCTTCCTTCGGTCGACTGAAGCCCTAAGGTATCGATATATCTGTCCCAGTGCTTCCTTGGTGACACCTAGGAGTTTAGACATTAGTAAAGCTCAAACTAGTAGTTAAGCTGTGCGGAGAGTTTGCGGCCCTGGTAGAAGAATCATTGCACGTAATGTCGAGGAAGAGGAACAGAACTCGGCGCCCGAACGCTCATGCCAATAATCGAAGGGGACCGCGAACTGTAGGTTTCGATGGCGACCACCTCATGCAGGTCGACCCGCCCCTGACGAAAAACCGTAACCCGGCTAACAGGAGAGGAGGCAATAACAAATCTTTCCCAGCTCGCGGTCGAGGAGCACAGCCATACCACAATGGCAACAACCACGCCCCTGGCCCCCGTGGCGGTCAAGGGCAAAGGCATCACAACAACAACGCTTCCAACTCGAATCCGAATAAACGCAAGCACCGCAATAACAACCACAGCAACACCCCCAATACGCCCTCCGACTTATGCTCCGACATCGATATGCACCTCGGCACGCCGCCGCCGCCGCTCCCTTTCACCACATCGCCCTTCTCAGCCTCCTCGCCGCCATTCTCGCTAACTCATCACGCCAACTCCAACTCCAACACCCATTTCAACGGCGGAGGTGGAAGCGGTGGAACGAACAAACGGTTCTGCACAGAATGCAGTGCGGTGCGGCGCGCGAACCTGCGCTTCCGTAACTGGGCGGCGCGGGCTATCCGCGCGTGCGGCGAGCGCTTCCGCGAGTGGGCCGACGACGCGGGCGTCGGCTTCGAGAGCGCGGATGAGATGGACTGGCAGCCTGAGCCTGTTATTCGGGTTTTGTTCGTGCGGCCTCCTAGTCCTACTCCCGCTTCCGCTGCCGCTTCTTATCCCTTTGCACAGCCTTACGCTCAACCTTATACTGGGCAGCGTAAGCCTAGTTTCGGGACGCAGGCGCAAGGGCTGGAGGCGGAGCAGTATTTGGAACATCTGCGGCAGCAGAACGGGGTGAACGTATGGGAAGGAGGTGTAGGAAGTGTAAACAATGACCCCAAACCCGGGCCCTGGCCCTGGCCGCCGTTCAACTGGTACGAGAACCCCGCCGTGCCGACCTGGTCCGCGCGCGTGCCCTCGACGGGGCTCCCGGGCGTACCTACGACGATGGAAGACGTGCCGCTGCCCGACTGCAGCACCTTCCACACCAACCCTAACACCAATGCCCACATCAACAACATCTACGCCAAAACTAACGCGTACACCAACAACGCCAGCAGCATACCGGATCCAATGCCCGTCTCAGGCTTCGGCCTGCTCGGCGCAGGGTGCGCCGGCTGCGCGGCCGAGGAGCAGGAGTCGAGGTTAGGCTGCGCGTGGAGCGCCGCGGGTGAGCAGCCGTCCATCCCGGCGCGGGCGCCGCCGCAAGCGCCCGCCGTGACGAGCACGTGCGGGCCGGCGAGGGTTGGGGTCGGGGTCGGGGTGCCTTCCGCTCGGCCCCTAGGCGCGAACTTTGCTACGTACCGGAGTACCAGTCGGAAGACTTCGAGGGATTCGGATGGTCCTTATTGAGTAAGGGCTCCTGGGTAGCTAGCGGGGAGACGGGTAGATGTAGATGAAGGATTGTTGTGGGCGGGGGGAGGGGGATTTTGGGAAGATGAGTGTTCGCGTTTTGCCTCGAGATGCCACGGGTTGGAGGTTCAAGGTATGGGTGCTTGCTGTTAACCGGTCAAGTATGCATCATTTGCTCAATAGGAGAGGCTCACGCGGTATGTAGGAAGCAAACTGCTATTTCGCCCTTGGCTAAATTCAAGACTGGCAGGTTAGCACGATTCGAGGCAAATGAGTCTAGTAACTAGACCTTCCAAGATACTACGATGTGAACGAAATGCCATTAGCCATAAAGAATATTTTCTGTATCAGATAAAAATAGACAAACATGCAGAGCAGACCAAATTGCCTATGTGGTATTGACCAGATACTTGTCCCTAACGGAACTATACACAATCGAATTAGCAAGAAACCCACCCCCATAACGCCTAGTCGCCGTTGCCTGATGGGAATAACTCCTTCCCGTGAACCATGCGGATCGTGATCGTCATACCAAGACTCTCCTAACACAAGACAGGTTGCCTTCTAATCTGCAATGTGTTTGTTTACTTCGCCTCTTGGTACTGACCAATCACGATACAATGGTCTCGTTCGTAGGGTTCTGGAAGTATTTGTTAGTATCTAGTAGTTTAAAGAGGATATGCGATGTCATACCTAGTGTCAATTGCTCCTGGGGCTTAATACGCTCTGCTCTCAGCTTCTGGACTTCCTGCGCGAAGACTGCTTCCGGAGCAGCTGTGCTGTCAATGCAGTTTGCCTTAATAGAGATAACCACACCACCGCCAACTTTCAGGAACATGTGAGCGTTCAGGGCAACGATACGGGCTTGATCGGGCTGGGCGACGTCGGCAAAGATGCAGTCGACCATTGGTACAAGCATGCGGTACTTCATAGGATACCGAGCATCCTCGACAATAGGAATAACGTTCGTTCGGTTTTGAGCCATGTTAACCAAGTCTCGGCCAGATCGGTGGGAGAACTCGACGGCGTAGACGTTCCCGGTAGGACCAACGATGTCGGCAACATGAGAAACTGATGTTCCAGAAGCGGCACCCAAGTATAGAACCTTGGAGCCGGGCTTCATGTAAATGTTGTCAATACCTCCGATGATACCAGCCGCCAACTTGCTTCGGAAAGGATTCCAAATTCGGTATTCGACCTTGGTGGTGATAGGGGCACCATCCTCTCCTTTGGTAACAGTATCAGTGGAGACTCGCTTCTCGCCATAGACTTCGATACCAGGAGCGATGCTTCGGGTGAGCAAGTGATCTTCCTTGCCCCGCGAGACGAACACGCCCTCGTGACGGTGGGGTTCCTTAAGTAGGCCAATTAGCGAAATGTGAAAGAGAAAAGAGACGAACCGGTGCTTCACTTACGACAACGACCTTCGCACCGCCCTTTGCGCCGCCCCTTGCACCTCCCCGTCCACCACCTCGAGGAGCTCCACGTCCTCGGCCACCGGGACCACCACGGCCCCGATCACTAAAGCCACCTCGTCCGCCTCGTGCACCGCCTACAGATCAGATTAACACTCTGAATTATATATAGACAAGTTTTCTAGGTTGGACTCACCTCGAGGACCTCCGCGACCACCTCCTCGTCCACCGAAACCACCTCGTCCACCGAAACCACCTCGATCACCAAAGCCACCTCGGCCACCACCACCACGGCCACCGCCTCTACCTCCTCTCGGTGTGATTCCCATATTTGAATAGAATTGTTGTATGAGAATGAACTGGATAGGATCTGCGACGAGTTTTTATCGCGTCTATTGTCGCGTTCAGTATTTGGCGAGCGACAATTGGAAGAAATTTTCAAGTCAAGCGTTAAAGCTTTGGTAACAAAAATTTCCTTCCTCAAAGCTTCAGAAGAAAAAATTTTGGAGCTACCTTCTTCGTTATCCACTTGGAGTGCTTGGAGAAAGTAGCATGGCCCGAGCTCCCAAGGGCCGAAGATTCACCGTAAAAAAAAGTTCACGGAAAGCCATTATCGATAAGAAGGAACGTTTTAGCCAAGTGGGTCCTTTCTTTTCTGCTAAGACCCAGTACGTACCACACACAGGGTCGGTAAGCGAGGCCACAAGAACATTTTCCACAATTTGAACTTTCCCGAACTTGAACTTCGCGAAAATCTTCAATTCAACACCAACGTTATCGAGTCCATCTTCTATCTCAACGCCACACAGCAGTCACGATGGTATGTCCAAAATTCCTATGCGATTAATCACATTCGAACTCTCCTCAATTCCGCGACGGTTATGATATTTATTATGTTGTCCTACGACTCGAAATCAATCATATCGACGCATCCCGCATCATCCCGCATTTCACTACCAATGTCATAGATGGCCTAGAAGGCAATGGTAACTAATACCATATTCTCTACAGGTTCGATACGCTGCTACCGAGATCGACTCCGCTAAGTCGGCCCGCGCCCGCGGTGCCTATCTACGTGTTTCTTTCAAAAACACCCGAGAGACCGCCCAAGCTATTAACGGCTGGAAGTTGACCCGCGCTGTCAAGTTCCTGGAGAACGTGAAGGAGAAGACTGAGGCTGTCCCCATGCGACGATATGCTGGCAGTACTGGCCGAACCGCCCAAGGTACGAATGCTCTATACCAATATTTCTAGGATTGGCGGGGACGTTGGAAAACTATTGATAGAACTCAATTCTATGGTCACGAGGGTTGCGGTGGACAAGAGGGCTGACATATATGATGTGAACAGGCAAGCAATTCGGCGTCTCCAAGGCTCGATGGCCCGTAAAGTCTGCTGAGTTCCTGCTCGGTCTCCTTAAGAACGCTGAGTCGAACGCCGACGCCAAGGGCCTCGACACCAGCAACTTGATCGTCAAGCACATCCAGGTCAACCAGGCCCCTAAGCAGCGAAGACGAACTTACCGTGCGCACGGTCGTGTATGCCACCAATATTCCTAAGGTCGTAAAGGTGCGAATCCACTGACTAGTTGTACAGATCAACCCCTACATGTCGAACCCGTGCCACGTCGAGCTTATCCTGACCGAGGGCGAGGAGGTTGTTCAGAAGTCCGAGGCGGCTGTACGTGAGCCGGCACACTTGAGCTCCCGACAACGTGGTGCTCGTATCCGCCAGGCCATCACTGCCGCGTAGATTCTCTCGACATGGAGAACGGGGCAAGGATGTGACGATTTAATGGAGAAGGTTCGGGGTTTTTAGTGCTTTTCCTCCTGGTGTCAAGGCGGTCGTAAAGCATGGGTCAAGGTTTCTGGCATGCAAACTCGCGAATAAGACTTTCGTGATTCCCCAAATACCAAAAAGTTACTGAACAATCCTCGCCGGTGCTTCTTTCGTTTGTGATGAATGACGCTTTGTTCTAGATCTACGTCAACTGCCATGTAACTCCCTAACCCCCTTATTAGTGACACAGACGGAGGTGTCTTGATTGCAGGCCTACTTCCCACATATCATATCATGAACCATACTACTAGGTATCTTCCTTATATGCCGTCTATCGACTTACTCTCGCCCTATAAGGAGGTAGGGATTAGTCGAACTTACAATTCTGTCACAGTCATTAATGTCACGGGTTAGAATTTCTCATAAAGTTTCCATGGTACTCTTAATTAGGCCTATAGCCACTAAGGTACATCCCGTTGCAGCCTTATTTGCAAACGGGGAGAGCAAAGCATTAGCCTGTCCCATTGAGGCTCACCCGTGCCTCGTATTCCAGACTCCATATAGTGCATTCATGACCTCATTCTTATCCATTGCCAGGGGAACCTTCTCCTGCCACGTTTTCTCTGATAAGGAGAGGCAGCAGAGGTGCGCAACAACTGTGAATTTTTGGTGATCAAGGTAAGGAAAGCAACGTGTTGTAGTACAAGTTCAACGCGAATGCCTTCGATTGGTGTCATTGGTTGGAAAGTGTGTTCGTTGTTATATCAAATCAATTAGGGGAAGGGGTAAGAGCGAAGGAGCTAGGTATGACTAGCCCTTTGGAAAGACACTCCGTGGTTCTTTCTTTGCAAATATAAGATGGCAGCTGCCTTCTCAAAGCCCATACGCCGCCCGATGCACATGCGGTCGTGCAGAGAGGGAAACAGCAAGCCGAAAACGTACGCCGTAGTCAGTGAAAAGGAAAGTAAGGCCAGCACGAAGCGAAGATCAAATCCCGTGACCTTTCATACATAGGTCCATTGTGAGTGTTATCCGCGTAGCTCAGGGCCAGTTAGCCGTGATGCAGATACATGTAGGATCTCTCAAGATTGCCCAGCAGGATATTTAGACCAACTGTGTCATCGTAACCCTGCTCGAAGGGCAATGTGAAAATCTTGTAGTCAAGCTGTTCGTCATCATCCTCTGCCACAACGTCCGGGACGCGTTCGATCGTTCCGGAGTAGCGGCCGAGGCCAGGGAAGAGGGCGCCGTCACGCTTGGCGGCGTTGATCGTGGCTTCGTCGTAGACCCCGTCCCATCCCGTCTGGAATCCGTACACCCGCTTCATGGCCGCTTCTTCGGCCGGGTCGATCAAGTGGGCGATCTGGGCCAGATGTCGATCGGTGGAGACCTGGAGGAACTGTTCCATCGCTCGCAACTTCTTCTCGTTCTTCTGCAAAAGCGGGCGTAGGTCTGCGCCGCTCTCGTCCCTGGAGCGTCGAGGATGGTCGAATCGTCGGCTCGAGATGAAGCGCTCGTCGGGCACGGTGACGTACCCGCAGGACTTGAAGACGAGCCTCTGGATCTTGTAGCCCTTCTTGATTCGAAAGTTCGAAGATGGGTTTATCAGATTGTAGATGGCGTCTGAGATGGTCTGTACCGGTGCCAGGGCGTCTAGGATAGCGCTCCAAGACAAAAAGTGACCAGCTCGAATGGAGTACGCCGGTTCACCACTATTGCCATGATTTGCGGGAACATCGACTTGGAAGACATTTGGGTCGGCGTCTCGCATGGTGTCTCTAAGAATGGGAGGTCCACTAAGTGAGACCGTCTCCAGCTCAAGCGACTCGAGACCGTGCTCAGACATGGCGTCCATGACGCGGTAAAACACGTTGGGCGCAAACCAGCAATTCTTCAGAGATAGGTGGGTGATGTAAGGCAGGATGAGAAGATTCTCCTGTCTTGAATCTATCACCATTCGGTGCTGCTTGATGAAGGGCGCCGGTAGGATATGGCAATCCCTGTGCGCCAGTCCGGCGGCTAACTCGCCACCGCAATGCCACTCAAAGTGGAGGCGTTCGATATTCGGCCGTTTGCCGATGTACTTCTCCAGCAACTCGAAGACCTTAGGGATCGCATCCGTAGGATATACTTGTCTCGCACTCATGACGTACGGGCCTTCTGGCTGCACGCTTCTCCAGTCAGGAATGACGCCCAGAGCGACGTCCTTCACTTGCGGCAAAGAGTCCCAAAAGTCGTCGCGGCACAGGCTGTCGAGGTGGAAGCTCGGAATACGCGCAAGGTTCAACTTGGTCAAATTCGTAAATGCTGTGCTGTTGTCAAGCATCGTGAGTATGAAAGACTGGACCAAGGCGTTCTCTGCGGTCAAGTGCTGATTAATGTACCACATTTGGGATACAGTCAGCTGGTCAGGCTGCAAGCGGAACTTGTGGTTGAACGCCCTTGGACGAGTAACCTTACCCTGAAAGCGGCTCAGGGGGAGGGGAGCTCTAGCTCGGCGCTCGTATGTCAACTCCTTCAAGGTCATGCCTTCGAATTCAAGAAGCTTAGCAATCTTTCCCTGGATATCTGCGGGCTCAATCCCGGCGGCGGCTAACTTGCGTTCCATAACTTCCAGCTTGTACGGCTTGTCGTACATGATCTGGATAGAGGTGTCCTCGGTCATCTGAACTGCATTCTGCTTGCTGAATATTGGCAGTCTTCCCGGGGGTTGCAATGGGTTCACGTCGGGTCCTTGGAGATAACCCAAACCCCCAGCACAAGATAGCGCGAGCTCTTGAACATTGGTAGCCGCGCTCAAGAGACGAAAAACGCCCTGAAAATTCTCCAGTGCCGTCAACACTTTCTCTAAGGGTGTCTCGGGCTGAGTACGAGGCTTAACGGGCGACACAAATCGTCTGTAGGCTTTTCCATTACGAATCTCAATTTCCTCGAAGTCATGAACGTCCGGAGAGGCCAGCTCGGACTCGCCCAACTTAAGAGCGAGTCCCAGATGCTGTATGTGTGACGCGAAGGATCGGAAAAGATATGTCTTCATGACGCTCTCCGCCATGTCGAACGCAGAAGACATGCTGCTGAGGCCTGCATCTTTGGCAAATTTCATGCTCTGCTCCGGTCCAAAGCTGATAACCAGCTGTTTCATGAAATAACCTATGACCTTCGTGTTGAACTCTCGGTTAACGAGGCGCATTGCCCCAACATCCTTTCTATCCGGTAGGTAGGATGCGATTACCCAAAAAACCTCGGCAGGCACGCGTGCAGAGGGCCAGCCGGGGCCATCTAGTCAAGAAGTGTTAGTAAAAATATATCATCCGACAATATTAGTATATGGGGTGATAGCATCTTCGCCAGCAAATTATTATGAGCTCTTCTGAATACAAGCCCATCTGATCCAACAGAACTCTTCGTGTGGACCAGACGGACTTGTATTCAGTAGTAGTTTTGCAACTCAGGCTAAAACATTGTGCAGGGTGACATCACTCTCCTTCTTCATATGGGCATATGCCCTACATGAGGCACAAAAACTGAGGAAGACTACCGATGGTATAGAAATTCGGTACATAAACAGCAGTACATGGGAGGGGAAAGGAGGCAGTGGTATGATAAAATATGCCGTGCCTTTAAAGAGGCTACATGAGATATTGAGAAAATAGAACTTGCTTACCTGATGTAGATGAATGCTGTAATTCCATGATGCTGTTTGAAGTGAATGATTTTCCAGGCGATATTCTTCAAATGTTAGGTGAGTGCTGGTAGTTGTTGGATCCCCTCCTTGTTTGAGAAGCTCAAGGTCCTTACGTATTGTAATGTAGGTAGTTATGAGTTGCATGTGTTAAACACAGAACGAATGAAGAGGTTAAAAGAAGCACCAGAAAGTTAGATGAATGAGTGTGGTTGATGCTTGCGGTATGTCTGTAAAGTTGTGATCTGATCACTCGTAAGTTGTGGAAGAATGTGAAGCGTAAAGGATAGGAAATGAGAGATGAAAGGTTGAAAAGTTAAGAATTGGATCATGGATCATACAGTTCTTTAAATAAAAAACATCACAGAACTGCCCGGGTCTCTGAGAAGACGATAGTATATAGTGCTGACGACTTCACAGTTTCGTGCTCATTTGGGAACCCTCAAGCAAGATCCGGAAGCGAAGAGAAGGGGAGGACATGCTAATGTGCTTACCTAGGTTGAAAGCGCCCATCCACAGTCCTTTTCCATCTTTTCGTTGTCGATTTCTTCTTTTTAAAAGGTAGTACTCATAGTAGTTAGTTGAAATTCCAGGTTCTTGTGATAACCATCATCTATGAGTTTGGGTGGCAACTTGGTAAGTTCGAGGAAGAAGTTGGATGTAAAGAAGAAGAAAAAAAGGTTTCTGAGATAGATGTTTAGGTACAGAAAGGAAAGCACCACAAAACAAGAAATTGGGACGTTTGATAAGTATCCAGGTAGGTGGACTAGGAAGTAGGAAACGAAACCGAAGTCGAAGTTGAAGGCGAAGGCGAAAGGTCACTGGTAACATTGAAGTCGTATAGGTACTCTTTGACAATAAGAGTACCAATAAGCGTTAAGCTTGGTTATCATTGAAAGTAGGAGAGCACGGCATATAAACGAAACAAATTTGTATGTTCTCAATAGCACATATACATCATGGCTCTATATTGTATCTTGCTATAGCTCGAGCACCTAGATATAATCGTTAACCTCAACGTGGTGAATTCGAGGTTATAGCTTACTAACTTCACGATATCTATGGCTTTGACCATCCGAACTAGTTAAGAGTGAGATGTCAAGCGCACAGACAATGTCATGGCAGGTATCGGTGTGTCAGGTGGTCATCCAAGTGGACTTGTTCGGATCAGCTAGTAGCGGTTTGGGAGAACATCTGTGCTGTTGGTATCCAATAGAAACGACAGGTGATATTGAAGTATTTTCTACGTGCGGAATCCGGTGTTTAATATCTATACGGTCGATTCCATATGCGCTGAATAAACTATACAAGCGACTTGGCGTTGACACTGGAAACCCTTTTTCTTATATCCAGAGGCTGTAATAGGATGAAGCTTAGGTCGTCAGCTGGGAATAATGGTAATATATTCCGTAGCCTGTGTTCTCTGAGGCCATGGTCATGGCATAAAGATCAACTCCTTTTTGGTTGTCGTAAGGTGTAATTGTCAAGTACTTATGTATTTGGCGTTCTTTACCACCAGTTGAGGCCTCCTTGTGCGTAGTGAGATTGCCAAGAGTTTTGTCAACTGCCACAACTTTCTTCTCATTCCAGTTGAAGATCTGATTTAGTGATAAGAATGAGGTTGACGCAATGCCCTCCAGATTTATGAGAGTCCCGCTAATGGTATCGAGCCCCGGCACTTAGATGAGCACACATGCCCCTTGTTCAGGCAGTGGTGTCTTCGTGTATTGGCCTCAACAAAAGCCTAAGTGGACTGGTTATAAATGGCGAGACGCTATAGTATCCCCTTCAAAACCTATCTTAGATGAAATCAAGCTAGACAACATCTGACGTGAGAGAGAAAAGGGGGTGGCAACACCGGCAACTCACCGCACCACCGTCTTTTATTCATCGTCTAATTTTCCTATATAATCTTTCTGACATTGCTCCCAACTGTAGGTGTAGGCTGTTCCCGGCTGGTGATCATAACGAGCACTGACGCGTATTAGCGGAAATATATGTGTTACTGCAGAATTCATGTAGGATTTTAACGGTATAGTATGTAACAGGCACTGCTGCCATCGAAGCCACGAAAACACCAAGCATCCATTCGGAAAGTTAACTATCGGCAAGGCACGCCTGCATATAGGGGCTCCCGTTGTTCGGGCAAGCCGGACGTTGCTGCACCTGCCAAACCCGCCTCCCACTCTGGCCGGGCGTAGCAAAAAATCGCTAGTCAACTTGGCCCTCTCTGGGGGTTGGCTGTCTGCCGAGGCAAAGATTCCCGGCGCCCGCGAACCTCTTGCAGCTCGGGACGGCCAACGAGCATTCCCGAGCGCGCGTACCTTGCAGGAACCGCTTGTTGATGAAACCTCAACCAGCTCTAGCCTGGGTTTGGGTAGTTTAGAGCGTTTTTTTTTTTTTTTTGCGGTATCGTATAACCTTTTGGGAACCAACCTCCCATATCGTATGGCCTGTCCTTTTTTCCCCCACACACCGTGGTGAGGCGCGACGTCGCGGCCCAAACACACCTGAGCTAGGTACGTGCCGGCAACAGACAACCACTTGTATGGCCCAAGTTAAGCCCTTTTTGACATTTTCCCAATCACGAATTTCTCGAAAAGCCGAATTTTCCGATTCGACCGCCCGCTAATCATTTTCTTGCATCTTCTTGCATCTGTCGTACAGGCCGAAAGGGGGGAGAAGGGGGGGAGGGGGCGTGGAGTTATCGGCTACCTTAGCTACATTTGCCCTTTTCGCCTGAGATATACACGTGTGGACTAGTAAAGAGGTAGCGGACAACATATTGTACATGTCTTAGATTTTAGTCCCGGTCGCAACCCTCCACTAGGGTATGCAGGCTCGGGGTTCCGTTAGGCGAAATGGACGTATTGTGTCCCGCCGCGACCCTCCTGGAGAGGAGTCATCCCGGGCCTAGGACCAGGTGACCTATATCTAGCAGGAGCTCAAGCGGGATTGGAGGAATATAATGGGGTATATTAATCCTGCGGGGCTTGGCATTGCCGTTCGGGAGCTATGGCTTGACACGCTTGACACGCTTGACACGGAGCTGTTTGCGAAAAGAGTCGGGCTGCAGTACTGTCCTTTCGAAGAGGCGGCGGACTGGGCGGATTAGGCAGGCTTATTATGGTAGACCGGCTGACCGACCACCTAGACCACCTTAGGTATAGTAGGACGGAATAGGAGTCTCGCCCTCAGCCACGGACATTATAGCATTTTGACGTCTCTCAATCTGCTTGCTCGCCCTCCACGCCAATAGACTCCTTTTTCATTTGCCGGACTTGACCTAGGAAATTGATGTTAATGCGACTGCTGTAGTGTGCAACGTGGAGCATTGCATATTAAAATTCGAAGTATCCCTTGGAAAAAGATACAAGGTTTGCTACCTACATATGTATGAATCGGTAAACGACGTGATTGTGTCCTCGTAATACATTATTTCCTGTCCCCCGCATCTGAACAATTGGTGGAGGGGAAAATAATTAGTGGAATACCTTACCCAAGCGGCTCGACTCCGGCCGATACATTGCTAACAATGAACTATAACAACTCTATACCTGGGCAGGTTAGCTTACGTAGCACATTAGGTGCCCTATCCGAGTGGGACGGCCCGCCAGGCTAGTTTATTTTAGTTTAGTCAAGTATCACAAGCTTAACGGACCTACATTGTGTAGTACATATGTATGTCTAGGTATAGTGTTAGTAGATGATTCATCCATGGATGTGTTTAGGGGAGGAAGGTAGATAAATGTTTGTATTGTAAAGCTTGAAAACTCGACACGCTAGGTGGATAATCGTCTCATCTGGAAAGGGCGAAGTTCCTGATGACTGACGACTACCTTGTTCCGAGCGATATTGGTCTGGACCCAGGAGCTTTGGGGTATAACCGAACGCCATCGAAGTTGTACAGCCAGATTCTTCCCGCAAACTAGCATCGATAGAGACAAAACAGTAAACCAGCCTCAACCATTCCCATCCAATGACTAAAACTCCATAATGATATCAAATCGCAAATGGGGTATATGAGTCCGTAAATCAATCTCTCCTAACACGGTTCGCTGCCTTTTTGCGTTCCGTGAAACCAAGATCCGGCCTGATCGAACCTTGAAATAACAAAGCTAACACAGCCAAGAATAGCCACTGGAGGCTATATACAAAATACAAGAATGCGGTGTAGCCAAAAAATAAATAACAACAATGTTCTAACTCCAGGCTTCTTCAATATCCCAGAGTCTCATATGATCTAACTGATGAGAGTCGGAATAGCATCTCGAAGGTAGATCCGGTCTTGGATTGATCGAGGCTGAGCTGCGATCTTCGTAAACCCCTTCAAACTGAGCGGGTGGTAGATTGGCAGCTTGGTCTTTCCACCACAAATGAAGGACGTCTTGTTGCCATCTGTCAACATTGAGGACTTTAAGACGGGAATGAAAGGTGGACCACAGGAGCTCAGCTTCCATGGACGATAAATGAAGTTTGTGAAGTAGCCAACGGTTGATGTATCCCCTCTTGTCCCCACCCCGATCCCCGGCCTCCTTGAGGAGCGAATGAATGTTAACTTCACGAGCTGCATTTTCGATATGCTTCTGACGAGTTGGTAAATGCTGGGGGAGCGATATGGCTTGTCGGAGTGACTGTTGGGCAGTCTGGGGGAACTCCTCAAGAAGGTATGTGGGATTAGATAATAGCTTCGGAAACATAGGATGTGCTAGCGTCTTGGATTGCCCCTTGGAAGGTCTATCAAATAATTCATCTCCTAGGCGAATCTCGTCTGAATACACGGGATTAAATCCAAACCCTTCTTGCTGAAAGGGGGTGTTTTTGGGCATGACCCGTTTCTCGCGACACTCATTCTCCAATCGCACGGCTTCTTTGGTGTAACGATCAATGTCAAAAAGGGCTCTCTGCTCCAAGTTGTCGTAGTCTTGTAGCATCTCTATGTCGTCTTGCGACATGACCCCTAATCGCTTGAGTTCGAGGGCTCGTTTCTTCCCGGCTTCACCATAACTTTCTAATAGTTCGATACTATCAGGGGACAACAAATGAGACTTGCCTGCACTCAGGGCTTTCCTCTTCATTTGGGTGTTCACCAAGAGCTCCCTGGCTAACTGGATGTTTCGAGATGCCTCTCGAAGTCCTTCAAATAGGGGATGGATATCTTCCGGGCGATCACCAGTAATTCCTCGTAGCATTGAATTATCCGAAACCTGAGAACAATTATCATCATCGGATTCATCGTCGGGTGCAGTGCTATCTATGACCGCGGCAGCGGTATAGAATCTTTGTTCTTCCAATTCCAGCTCAACCTCGCCATGTTGCAGTTCATCCAGCATATCGTCAAAGCGTTGTTCCGCCTCCTGGCATCTAAGTTGGGCATCTCGCATATCCTTAAAGAACTTATCTAGTCCCGGGTTATCCGGGAGGAGACCCTGCACGGCAGTCATGAACGCGAGTGTAGCGTCATCTTTGACATGACGCATCTCTTGGACTTGAGTCCGTTTTAGCTGTACACCGTTAAATATTTCGCGTAGGTTAGTTCTCCGGTCTCTAAGTCTAGAGAAATGAGTGGTTAGTCGCTGGAAGCTACGAGAAACGCGACTAGACGCGTCGTCCTGGTCGCTATCCTCATCGTTGTCAAAGCTGACTAATCCGGACTGGTCATCATCGTCGCTCACTTCACTTTCCGCATCAAAACCTTTCCAGACATGCGGTCTGAACCCGAGTTCTCTATTGGTAGGGGCGCCTTTCGGCCCCGATATCATCTCGTCGATGCCATGTGGTATTGGCCGCGTCTGCCGACTTGGGGGTACGTGAAGAGTATTTGGCAAGCTGTGGGGTTCTGACGGGTGCTGGGCTCGGAGGGCATTAGAAATAAGCGACTCTCTTTGAGTCTGGGAAGATAGCGGCGGTGACTTCACGCGTCGAAAGCGAGCAGATGGTGATTGAGACTTGCTTGGAATTTGCGGGCGATGAGTTAAACTAGTCCTCTCAACAGCAGAAATGGTTGCAGCCAACTTCTGTGGAAGACTCTTGGATATACTAGAAGAGGAGTTTACGGATGGGAGAACTGGGGGGAAATGCGGTCGGCGAGCGATACGGGCGTGAGAGGTGTCAGATGTAACGGAAGAGTCGTCGTCTTCGGAGTCGGACCAGCCCTCGGATCCGGTCGTTAACGTACGGGATAATTCCAAAGGGATATCCTCAGTAGACATAATGGAAGCTCGACTACTAGATTCGGTGGAAGGACCGTATACGTCATGATGGCGGGCATGGTCGGAAGGGGGAGATCTGAAGCTTTCGGGAAGAGCCAAAGAATTATTTCTGGCCAGATTTACACAACGACGATCGACTGTAGTAGCCATTCAGGATGTGTTATTCGGCAACTCCGCAACCGCATCTTAGATAGGGAAATGGGGGACGAAGTCGATAGTTTTTTAATAAGAAGAAGAAAACAAGGCTGGTGCTATTTTTCTATTCTACCTAAGGTACCTAGGTAGGTAAGGACAGATATTGATATGATAGGTAAGCAGGTGACGCGGAGGTGATGCGAGACGATGTTTTGATGCAGATGAATTCTCTATGGCCAGGGCAAAGAAAATGCACCAAGACTCGAGGTAAGTTACACAGAACTTCACCCCGGCTGCCCTGTACAGCCTGCACCTTCGCTGTAACTAAACGGTACCCACGCTTTATTTTGGGTAAGGTTTGGGGTGGACTAAGGGACAAGGGGGAGACCTAGGGGGTAATTGTAAGCACGTGGCGCCTGATCGGAAACTTACTGTACCTTATCCTAGTAAAAAGGGCACCTCCTACCAAACCTACCAGGACCTACGAAGCAGGAAGCATCTCCCGAGCCCCGTGGCCCCCGGCCTCGGTGAGATCCACTTTCAAAAGATTAAAGTAATACCCCAAAGTGATCAATGTCTTTGTTTCTTACAATATATTCCGTACGTTGAGTGGATTCCCTATATTAGTGTCCTCACACACCCTACATACACAGATTATGTATATATGTAAAGAAATATATTCTTGTCTGGTGTGGATTAGCTTCGAACTTGTGCACTAATAGAGCACTTCGGAAGTCCCTACAGGCTACAGCTTCGAGAATCGTGGGCGACTCTTTGGTGTTCGGATGTGGCCTCAATAGTCAGCCCGAAGACGCCTTTGGATCGCCCAAGGCAGAGGACTCCCACGTCCGGCAATCAGCTTTGGTTGCTCACACACCTCCCAATGCTTGCAACCTCGCAACAAGTACAGGCGATGATCAATACATTCATAAGAGCCTCATCTTGTCATCGCACATGCATCTGGCCGAATCCTCGCGTACCATCCTCCGGTCCTCGCACCCCTCACGACGTCCGCGTCCGTGGGGTGTGTGGTTTAGAATATGGAGAAGGGATCCGTCGGTGCATACGGGCGCATGTGGGCTGCATTCGCTACATCGTTAGCTAGGCCATTTGCGGCTGTTACAAGCCTACGCTGGCCTACGCCGGCCTACAAAACCCTACGAAACCCTACAACGTACTATGCAGTAGTCTTAGTGGACATCATAAGCCCTCGCCAAGTGGCTGCCGCTTGATGGACCACGATTGATCTTCTGTTCCCTTTTGTCGGGTTGCAGAGGTTTAGAGCTGCCTCCCCCTTGTTCCCCCTTGTCCAAAAGCAAAATGGGACCCTTGAAGGACCCAGACTCTCTCTCTCACTCACACGCTCTACCTGTTTTCTCTCGACGGCAAAGTAACGAGAGGAAAACTCGAGAGTGAGGATAATGGGAGACGAGAGAGGTGGGCCGAGTCTTCAGGGGGGAGTGAGTATTAGAATTTTTTTACTCAAAAAAGTTGATAAGAACGCACCACACCCCCTCTCTACATTTTCAACCATGCCATTTCCAACCTTAGTAGTATCTTTTTCGAAATATTATTATTATTCCAAGGTGGTTCATGTCGCTTTCCGTGGCGACAGCATGTCTCGCTTCTCTTCTGCGCTTCCGTCCATGATCATTGACCGCTAATTCAGCCTTTCCGCCTTTGTTGCCTCTTTTCTCCGGCTTCGCCCGTGCCATCGGGTCTCTTCCTCGACCAAATTTCACTTTGAAGCACTCCTCTCTTATCTGGGAATCCTGGGGAGTTGGGGAGAATCTCGTCCGTCAGCTATACCAACGCCGAGGTTGCAGCCATTACCATCCTCTCCGCTGATTGGCTGTCTAACTCGAGCCTACATGATAGTCTCTTCCTACCTCTTACCTAGGCCTTCAACTTCCAATTCTACCTAGCTCTCTAGCTCACCCACGATCCCTGACCAGCTCGTCTTCCCATTCCCACATTATCGGACGCCATTTGATTTCTCGCGAGATCACTGCATATCTTTTTGCCGCGAACTCATTAGGGCCAATGATCTTTTATCCACTACATCACGAGGCATAAAGAGTGACTTCGAGCCGTCAAATTAGATAGATTGCTTGCGCCCCCAGGAACGTTTTGGCCCGCGTTGGCGTAGTGTGCAGCGAACTTGTCCCACACTCTTGGCCGTTCCGAAGTCTTCTGGAGTAGGGCCGTCCTTATGACAGCTTAGGAATATCTTTAAAGACGAGGGGAACACATTCGGGACAGAGCCGCATAACTGATTTAAGGCTCGGTCCGCTTCAGTTCTATTTGCTTACCTCACTTTGCTTTTGCTTGTGAATGCTGCTGTTTTCTACGGCCTAAACTCCCTGCAAGTTTCCTTGCCTGCTGGTATTCCTAATGAGAAAGATGGTTACAAGATGTCACGATGCACAAATCGAAACATAAGCAAAAGTCATCGGCGCGCCCTTGGAGCGAACCCAAGTGGCACGACCAATATCAGCAATGGTACATAGAACGAGTAGGTCGGAATGGTACGTTACTTAATACTCCGCAAATTCCGGCTGGCTCATGCTGACTAGCCGTTTATCAGGGACCATAGAATATGACTGGATTGCTCCAAGTTCCTCCAATGCTCCCGATCAGAGTGTCCCGCGGTCCGATCATGCCATTGATGGTTTAACGGAGCAAGTCCAGAACATAAATATCAGCCAAGATGCCTATGACTCGGGTCAATTCAACGATTATGGAGGCCACCATGCCGCCGCTGTTGATCATGCTAGCTATACGCATGATGCTCATCAATCCCAGGATCCGGGCTATCTTGACCATACGCAGCCACAACAACAACACCACGACAAGGGGAAAGGAAAATCGCTGGGTTACGAACACGCTGATCCATACGGCAATCCATCATTCGGTAACTCCTTAACTGGTGCCGAGGGCGAGTTACAAATGGCAGCAAATTATGGGCAAGGATCACATCCCCAATGTGAGATATAGCAGCTACTGGTCAGCTTGAACTGGACTAATTATTTTAGATCCTAGCTCCGATTACACGAATGTCGAGACTACCGCAGCTAGATCATCAGCACATGTCGTGGAGCCCCATGTGAACGATTATGGGCCTGGGGAAAATCCCTCTGTTGACGCCGAGTATGAAGAAGCCGTCCGTAGGAGTCGTGACGAGTACTATGGGGCCCAACAGGTTGGCGAGTCATCATCGTATACAACGTCTTTAACAGATGCAGGCACGTCTTCGTCTTGGCCCTCTACCGTTACCGTTGATCCTAACGCATACGAGCTGAGTAAGTGCCTCAACGATCTTCTGCTACCCCAATCATACTGATGCTTTTAAAAAGATCCACCATTGACGAATGGAGATGATGTTCCAACGCCTCGCGGTGGCTCGCCAGTTCTTGGAGGTCCAATTCCGGCGGCACCGGCGTATCCTAACTACATCCAAGGGACTCCAGGAGAGGAGGAAGTGCTAGATAATCGTAAGTAATACCTTTACCCTTCCAAACTTCCGTAATTTACTGAGGAATAGGTAGGATACAGGGTAGAGCACTCACAAAGGTTCCAACCAGGAGAGGTAGGTAGCGTCGATTGTCTATACGTTTAGCTAGATCGTCAAATGCTGACTTAGTCAACTAGGTGTTCAAGATACTGTGGTCAGAGCCTCTCGGTCAGGTCGGACAAATCGGACCTGACGACCCAATCTCCGATGTCACCAAAAGGAGAACTGCGGCCGGTAGCAAATTTTACATTGGGTTTCGCCGCTTTATCATAGTGACCACAGATGAGAGCCACCACAGCACATGCGTGTAAGTGGGCCACTCACTATATTCTTCTTGTACCGATTTTAATTATAAGTATAGGCCTATCTTGACGTACGATCGAAGAGGGTGTCTGAAGAAAGGTGTGAGACCTAATAAGCATGGCATTATCTACATGGCTGGTCACAAGCCTAGGCCTCTCAAGAATGAACCCGAACTCGGATTTGCCCCGGTTGCTCTACAGGTTTATGCTGAGGGCGAAACACTCGCCAAAGAATCCAGGGTTAACTACTCCAAATTAGTCACTATCGAGCACAACGTCAAAGTATTTTTCATCGGTTCGATCGCCCAGGACGATTTCGATAATGTCCGCTACGCGGTTAACGAATGCTGGAACAAAAAATTGCACCGTTCATCAAGAAAGTCAAGGAGATAGGCCATCCTTGCCCCAATAAAAATCCGGCCTACATGTCACACACGTTCTTCTACGGCCGAAGGCCATCCATGGATGGTGTCAAAAGACTCCCACCCTATATATATATATACGTTTTAAAACTTCTACCCCATGGCTATACTCCCTGTCACTAGCGGTTATTAGCCGAGAGACTGGGTAGTATATTATCCTTCTCAACAAATCACGTTTTATTTCTAATGACGTACCGTTGCCCCTACATCCCTAAGCGGCCTTAGCACGTTATAGAACCTGGAAAACAGCACAACAGGTACGCAAGAACCGACCAGCATCGAGGGTTAGCATCTTACTTCAGGTTTGGATATGCGAAAACCACGTTAGGTTCGGAGCAGAATAAGGCATACAATCTGATATACAGGACGGCAACCAAAAAACAAAAGGACGAGAATGACGCACGAATTTTACCGATTATAACGATGCTACGACTACCTATATCTTACACGAAGAGCTGAGAATTAAATCGAGACACGATCTTTGATTACTTATCCAGGCCTGCTTTCCACTTTCCTTTTTGGTTTCGGCGTCAATCATTTAACTAAGCAGCTTATATGGACCATACTCCTTACTGTCCTATTTTCTCATCATCTGGTAATCTATATAGCATCCCGACAAAAATACAACACACGATTCTACTCTTCATTGTTCTAAAACCATGTCCACATAACATCACCACCGCGTAGCTCAATTCGTGATTCGTTGCTCGTTGTGATTCTTAATATTTGCCAATATTCCCTCCTCTTCTCGAGGCAGGAGATCTTACACCAAATATCACTCAAACAATACCGAAGTCATCTAATAGAGTAGCCTTGATTTGCCTCGTAGGCCATTTTACATACATGTGTTTCGTATCGTCCATCCGTCCGCCCATGCGTGCTAGTATTCGTTTCGTTTCTCTCAAAGCAAAAAGCAACAAACAAGCAAAGCAGGCCGACCGTATCCATGGACCCCATAGACGTTAAGACGAGAAGAGAGAGAAAAGCAAATCGTTGACGAGGACCCGTTCCGTTCCTCTTCGCCCATCACATCATCCCTTCGTACGTGAAGTCCATCCGTATTAAGCGAGAAATTAGGAAAAAGGGGGTATAGTATGAGGCGGGAGGATGAAAAACGGCCTCGAAGCCGCGACCTTTTCCGTCCCATCCCAGCACATACACACACCCCTTCCCTACCAATAGCTAAGGAGTCAATTGGGCCCCCTTAATCCGGTCCCCCCAAACTTCCTACTCATTCCCCCTACCTCATTGACCACTTAAATCCCCCTTTTACTCCCTCCGATGGCGCTGCGACCGCTTCTTCCTCTTCTCGTCCGCGTAGTCCCTAACATCCGTGCCCGTCACACTGCTCCCAACGCCGCTAGCGCTACTACTCCCGGCAACCGTGCTGGGCGAGATACCCGGGATGACGTGGTGATACGATTTAGTCCCCACATCGCTCTCGGTGCCGACCTCGCTGGCCCAGCCGCCCGGCGGAGGAGGGAGGAATCTGCTGCCGCTGTTCTCGCCCACGGCGCTCTCGCCTTCCTCCTGGATAGTACTAGCCTGCACCGACGAGGAGACGGCGCTAGCCGCGACATGCGGCGCGGCCCTCGCGCGCTGGAAACTGAAATCGCGCTTGACCCCTGCGCCGCCGCCGCTACTCCCCGCCTTACGCTGCTCCTCCCGTAAACGTCTAGCCTCGCGTCGCTCCTCGCGCTCCGCGTTGCGGTCCGCCGTGCTGTACACCTTCCTAATCCCTCCTCCCGCGGCACGCTGCTGGTTCTTAACTTCCTTCATCTCGGACTTGGTGGGCGTGTTCGTGGGCGTGCTCTGGCGGTTACTCAGCAGCTCGCTGCCGGCCGTCGTCGAGTCGTCCCGGTTCGTGCTGCCGTCCCACTGGCTGCTCTCGGCCTCCTTGTTGATGCCGCCCACGCGCGCCGCCTTCTCGTGCCGGTACGCGCGCAGCTGGTCCTTGGCCGCGGCTTCGGCCTCCTCGTCCACCAGCACGCCGTCCTCGCCCACGCGGCGCCCGGACTTCTCGCGGTTGCGCCGGTCCTTCTTCTTCTCGCGCTCGCGCTCCTTGCGCTCTCGCTTCTGGCGCCGACGTTCTCGGCCCGTTACGTCCGAGGCGCCGCCCGTGATGCCCGTTAGCGTGCTGCCCGTGTCGCCCGTGTCGCCCGTCATCTGCGTCAGCCCGCCCGTGTACTCGGTCGCGCCGTCGTCCACGTCCTTGTATACGGACCCGCCGCCGAGCTGGGTGCTGGGCGTGGCGCCGGACAGGATCGTGCCGTTCGGGCCCTTGCGGCGCAGCACCGTCGACTTGTAGTCCTCCCAGTCGTTCTCTTTGAAGTAGAATCCCCCGTTCTTAGCCCAGAAGAAAAACCAGATGCCGGCGCAGACGAAGGCGGCGCCGATCAAGCCAAAGAGTACGAACACGAAGGTGTTGTTGATGTTCTTGGGGCTGACGACGCCCTTGTGCGGGTCCACCTTGGTCGTGGTCGTGGTGGAGGAGACGTCGTCGCGGCTGAGAAGGATGGAGTGCGCGACGAAGGGGCCGGCTTCTCGCAGGGCTTCGGTCGTTGGGGCTAGGGCGCTGGAGGAGCGGCCGGCGATGTGGTGGGCTGCATCGCGGGCTGCGGTGATGAGGTTGCGGGCGTGTGCTTCGAGGTTAGGGAGTACGGGTGCCATGTTGATGGCGTATTACAATGTCGTTGTAATTGTAGGTTCGTCTGGAATGGAAATGAGATTGCTAAAGTTAAACTTTAAGACTGGGCTGGTATTTCGCTGGAATACCCAGCCAAGCGGCCGTTGGATAAAACGTTGAATCAATCTCACTCCTCCTCTCAATCCGGAGTGCACGAGATGGAGATTGGAATTGATGCAGTCGATATTGGTAGGTGCTTCGATGATGCACCTTGGGAATGTTACGATGTAAACCGAGATTTGTTTTGATTGAGATGGAAAGAGGAAAGTAATGATCTGTTTGTTGCAGCGAGCCGGTTGTCTGGTGGTTTCTATGGGTCACGGTGTGGCATTGGAAAATTGTGGCTGGGGGTGGTTGGGAAAGTTGGGAAAAGTTGGCAAATGATGTCAAAAGTCAACAAGCTGAAATTGACCCGGCAACCTGAATAGCCCCACTACAACGGTATCTGGTATCGATAACAGATAACGGGTACCCGATAACCGATAAAACGACCTTAACGAGGTACCGAGGTACACACTTTAATGCGTCTGAAAGAGGAAAGAGGGTATTAGTGGGGCTTCCATTTTTTAGGTTCGTAAGCTTCCCGTCTCGACCGTTGCGGGTCTCCAAAATGGCCATCTCATCAAACACATCTAGCCCCCTTTTCTCTAACTTGGCACTTCAGTTTAAGTTTAGTGTTAAGTGACAGGTGAGGCTTGCAACGTTTCCATCTTACCGCAACTACCAAGTACAGAAATGTGAGGCGATTTAGACCGAGCCATTGGTGAACCACATTGCCGATTGCTTCATCAGTCAATGTGCGTAGGCTCCTTAGCGCCCAGCCTAAGCAGGAACCAGAGACGATCAACTCGTAATGGCTTATTAGATTAAAGGATTTCCTTCATGCGAAGCCCTTCGATATCCCGATCGTTTCCGTACTTAGTATGTGCAGAATCTACGATACACTCTGTTCAAACCCAATCGGTATGACTAGCCGCTTTGCAAGAATTAGCGAATGGGCTGCTTACCGCTGGCTCTGTTGTCCACTCTCGCTATTAGGCAATAATAAGTCAGCATGGGATGACACTACGTGCGTAGTAGACAGAAAGAGAGATATTCTTGTTTCATATCCAACCCACCCCCTGACCAAGGAAGCTATGTAGTATGTACAGACACAATTAATACCCCAACCGCCAAAATCCTTCTATTACCACCGGCCTGGATAAATGTACCGACAGCTCGGAACCAGCGGAAATTCAGCCCTTTGGCGAGGACACGAAGCTTGCTTGGGCTGCGGTAACGATAGGTAATAAATAGCTTTCCTTCGCCTATGATGGGGTCTAAAATACCCTCGCCTACATAAACAGATCATACGGAGTTCGGTTACGGCATATTCAGAGCACCGTTTTGAAAAGTACATAGATATAAGTAGCATGCATGACGATATCAACTCCAGAATCTCCATACCCACCTCCGGGTAGAATCCCCCAATATTCCTTCATAAGCACTTATAAGCACTTAACTTGCCTATAAAGCGGTAGTCTATCGTCTCCTAAGCCGTAGGATACCTAGATAGGTAAGAGCGTGGAAGGGCTACGGATGTCCACGAGATATCCAAAACCCCGGATCGACAGCCCGGACTAAGGCAAGCGATGAAACAAGGCAAGCCCCGATCCTCACAAAAATGGTTCATCCAACGGGAACATCAGTGGATAAAAGTATGTAGGAGTCTGAAGATAATCAGCCGTGAGTCGGTCAACGTCTTGTAGTAGAAAATATCGCGCTACAAGCTGCCGGATCCGACAAGGTGCCATTTCGATATTGTCTGACAAAGACATGTACGTACATACATACACACATACATACATATACATACCGATGTACATACGCCCAGGCCATGTGTTGTCGAAGTGGCGAGAAACGTCCAGTTAGTAAGTTTCATAAGAGACGCGGAAAGACGTGGCACGATCTACGTGGGGAAGCTGGGATACCCTGCCTGCTTGCCGGCCTGCATTCCGCGGCAGAAAGGCCAGAGGGCCTCGAGATGAGAACGATGGGCTGATCGAGGACATGAGCTCGTCCTCCCTTGCAGCAAATTATGTCGTCAGAAATACCTACTTCGCTGCTTGGATAGTTTATAGTAGCAAGACATATCTAATACAGACCCATTATTCACCAGTGATAATCACAACATTTGATACAATTCCTTGATTTTCAAAAAGGGGATATCATGATCCGATTAGATACTACGTACATGGTTGTCCACATAGGTAGGATACGTATCTATCTATAGATACATGATAGACAGACGCTTCGACCAAAGAAAAATCCAGATGCTATCCAAAAAATGCCGTGCCATCATGACGAATTCCTCCGCGTGTTGGCCTTCCACCAGTCACACCCCAAGCCAGGCGAGCTTTAGCATGAATACTAAGGCGGATCGACCGTCCATAGTTCCCTCCGTGCCAAACCTCCAAGCAATAGTAGACCAGTCCAACTAATTAAGGTACAAACAAATTCCCCGAGCACTCGAGTCTACTATCCAATCGAAATAACTCCGTACCGAAGGAGGACGGTAAAAAAAAAAAAAAGGTGTCTCCTCCCTTTGCGTGCGAAAAAAGTGTGAACATCCCGCTGCCAACAGAAGTGCGAACTTCATTTGCCGAGCAGATTAGATTCTATCAGTCCAAACTCTTACGCCATGTGAATGCGAATTGACTCGGCTTCGAAGCGCTCAAAGGGTATCGCACAATAGCATGGCACGGCCAATTCGTGTGTAGAAAAGAATAAGACAAAAATAGAACATCGTTCCCCCCCTTATTCCCTAATTGGGTCGAGAGGATCAAGGTTCGTGCCAGATTAGAACGTAAGCCAACACGCGCTCGATGGGACCGTCCACACAGCCACCTACACACCATCCCTCCAAATGTCCCAAGTCCGTAACCCGACCATCGATCATGTATCCTCATCCACTCGTATCTTCGTATACATTGTTGAAATTCCACCAACCACGGAGAATCTGGCAGGGAAGGGAACATGCGTGAGTCCCCGTCCTGTGAACCCTTTTTCTGATCCATTTTGGGGTATCCATTTTGGCCTCTTTTTCGATAACGAAACATTCAGACCACCAAAGGGGTGGGACGCTAGGATATAACAAGATGAAAAGACGCAAAGCAGTATGACATGCTAAAACATTCGAAAGCGTAAATGACAAATCGCTACCCAGTAAATCAAAACAGAAATGGTAAGAAATCGTCGAGATATTCCAAGTTGAGGAATCAGCAGTCGAAATAACTCTCGTCGTCTTCTTCATCGTAGTACCCCATATACGGTGCATGTGGTGGAGGATCGTAGTGATCATCGTAATCATCGTAATGCGGGTAATCAGAAGGGCTCCGGGGGTACAAGGGCGGCCCCGTAGAGCGTGTGCGGGAGTATGATCCGGTCCTAGTTCGTCTCTCTGACCGATCTGCTCGGCTTTTTCGTTCGCTTCGCTCATCGCTGTAGTTAGAAGGAGCCGCGTGATCGCTACCTCCAGCACGAGAAGTTCCATTACCACGGCCGATATTCATGTTACCACCATCCTTGCAATGGATCTTGGTGTTTCCAACCTCGATGACGGCACCCATCGGGAGCTTAATGGTAATATCATCGTCTCCACCACTGCCGGATCTTGTGGTCCGAGTTGTGGCCGACTGCTTGTAATCGCTCTCGTCACGGCTCGCACTGCTGCGGGTCGAACGGCTGCTACCTCCATTCTTCACACGCCGGAGTGCCTCGGCCGTCAGAGGTGGAGCATTTCCTCCGCTCACGTCTTCCTGATACCGAGATGCGTCGCGCACCTTTTCCTCGAAGTTATAGAACGAGTTTCGTCGACCACGGCCTGCTGGCTCAATCTCGTAATTGCCGACATCATAGAGCGATTCAGTGTCGTAATTCTGCCTCGGTCGGGAAGGGAGAGCACCAGTACCATATTCCACCTCACGCCGAGCCACGGCTTTATACATGGAAGGGTCGGCGGCCCGTAAGTCGCCTTCTGTGAATCCAACGGACTTTCTCCTCGAAGCTGTGTGCGAGGGTGGAGCTGTGTGCGAAGATGGTGTGGGGCGAATCACTAATCGGTTCGGCTGCGTAGACGCTGGCCGAGGAGGTGGTGGCATCCGGTGTCTGTCGTCGTGATCCTTACTAGCCTTCCTCGCAGTCGAAGCTCTCCGCGTAAGTGCCTTCTCTTTCACTGGCTCGTAGTCGAGCGCCTTGGGAGGCGGTTGGAACCCCATAGCCGATTGTGGTCGTCCGAATCGCGAAGCCAAGTCCCTGTTAGGAGGAAACGGCTCTCCATATGATGAAGGAGAGGGAATGGGTTGGTGAACTAGTGCATGTCCCATTGAAGGGGGAGGGGGAGGCCCTCCCATCCAGTAGGGCTGCGGCGGAGGAAAGGACGGAGGAGGAAGTTGTGTGGGTGGCGGCGGTTGGTGAGCATATGCTGATGTCGAAAGAGGAGGGCGTTGGCCATAATATGTCTCGGGCCTGGTGCGAGCGCGAGGCCTGGCGGGTATAGATGAGACGGGCTGTTGCGGATGTATTCCGTAATAAGACGACTCTTCGGATAATCGAGATGCAGGCCCTGGTGCTGTCTTGCGGGAACGGGGAACAGGACGCTGCTGGTTAACGAGAGGATCCTCTCGTCGCTTCTTGTCTCCCTTCATCTTAAGTTTTGAAAGTCGTCTCGTGAGTTCAATTGAGTCGTCGGAGTCTGATAGTGAGGAGACGATGGGAGATTTGGGTTCTTTGAAATCTTTATATTCTTTCGAGTCTCGACGATTTGAATCCTTTCGTGATCTGCTAGTGTTGGGCTTCTCTTTAGAAGGACTGCTGTGTGCGGTGGAGCGTGCGTATTGAGGTTCGCCAATAAGGTTACCCTCGTCGTCTTCCTCCTCGAAGTATGCAACAGAAGGTGCTGACCTCTTCGCCATGCCGGAGGGCGAGGGCTTATGTGCCTGATAAGTGAATCCAGTCACTGGATCAGGAAGGGCGGAGCTGTCCTGGTACCCAACGAAGTGGGTTTCCAAATGCGTGAATGCGTGGCAGATGTGTGTCCTACTACCTGTACAGTGCTGATAGTGTGGACAGCCTAGTAATGTTCGAGGAGTCAGAAAGGGAAAAAGCAATACTATGTATGTAGGTAGGATGTAGGATCCAATGTAGGCAAAGGTAAGGAGACTAGATTGTATGGGTTGTATGGGCTGTATGGATTTGTATGGGGCCAGCAGCAGGAGACCCAGTCTCTCACCCAAGTTTGGTCAAGTGGGGATCCGCGCGAACAGACGTTTGTGGGCGAGACTTGTAGCGTCAGAAAGTCGGGATGATGGATTCGATCAGGTAATAATTGACTTGAGGGGAGCCTCGTTGGAAAATCAATAGAAAAAGTATGAAAAGTTTGGTCTTCAACTGAGATGTGCAGTTTTCAAGGCACTGCAAAATGTTCCGCAGTAGAAGAAGAAAAGGATCAAAGGGCCAGGCCGAGAATAGATAGATATGAAGATGTGGATGTGGATGTCTGTCGACTTTCGACTTTGCTTCCTTCTTTTCTTGTTCCTGTATATTTGTTTTTATTTTTTTCCTCTTCCCTTATTCCTTAATGCCATTCATTAATATTTTTTTATGATTGGGGGTTGAAGAAGCGTCGGGGATGTTGCATAGGGTAGGAAACGGAAAGGAAGGGTGTTGCCGGGTTGATAGAGGAAGACTCGCAGGTACTTAAGGGGCGGCTTCCTCTTGTCAACGTGTTGTACCTCCAACCCTGAGGATGTATCTGTATGTAAGGTAACCACTGGCTACCCTGTCTCTCCTGCACCCGCTCCAGTCATTCGCTGTAAGTGTACTGTCCTGTACATCCCATACAATACATACGTGTACGTATTATACTGTCGCACAATTCAAGTACATACCACTAAGTACCTATCCGAATGTACGTTGAGGTCGGCAGGTGGATAGCTGCAGATATATATGTACGTATGTGTATGTACGTATGTAGGTATGCATATGGATGTTAAGTGTTGAAAAAGAGAGCAAAGCCGCAAACTAACCTGACCGAAGTACCGACTTCAATAGATCATATGTTGAACGTTGTTGTGACGGTTAATACGTAACTGCGGTAACCAGCTGGTGGTAACAGACGGCAAGTGGGAAGAGGGACGAATGGTATGTTATTTAAGCCGCTGTATGTTACTTGGCTGCTTGGTGGTTGTAAGGTGGCACCGAACGTAGGATTGAGAATTTGCGGATAGGTGATCGAACAGGGAATACCGTTGTCTCCTCGAGCAACGAGCAACGACTAAATGAGGGGTTACCCGGCTGGGATGCCTCTATCGATTAGGTACGTGATGGTAAATAATCGATAGGCAGATTTTGGGGAATAAACTTTTAAGTTTAGTTTTTTAGTTCTTTTTTTTTTTCCGTCTTATGGTACGTAGGTACCTAGAGGTTCACTCCAAGTTCTTTTCCCTTTCCCAAAACCCACACTGCAATTCTTAATTTTTCCCTCAAGTGCTTGCAGACAATGGTAGGGAAGATGATAAAAATAGTATCGACGAATTAAAGCTCACGATGCGTTTCCCGGGTTATTGATTTGACTAGGAGAAAGAAGAACGTCTAAGCGGGTACGGAGTTTAGATGCTTCAAGGCTGTGGAAGTTGAAATTTTCAGCGTTTCCACGGATCCAGCAAAAGGAAGAGATGGTAACGGTACCCAACGGTGGGTCACGCATCCGCGTCACAGGCAGGCAAGCTCCAGGTGTAAAAATCTCTCTTAATCGAGCATGTTCCTGAACGATAATGGCCTATCGAGATATCCGCCTCATCAAATCGCTGGTCACCGTTCGCCCCGTTCGCCCACTATTTATTATTACTATAATAAATAAACGGCTTCCAAGGCAAGGCGAACCCTGTCGAACTTTTCGGCGTTACTCTCTTCTCTCTGTATTTCTTCGAAAATGAAGAAAAAAACGGCTAGTGGCTTAGATCGATTGGCTATGGCCAACGCTGCGAATTCGTTGGTCCTGGGGCGTAGATCTTAGTATTCCACGATAGCGTTTTGTTGGATACCGATGTCCCCAAGTCAACTGACAACTGGTTCGGTGGCGACGTTATGGGCGCTGGGGCGTAAGTGGCAGAGCGGGCGCGAGATATGATAGAGAATCCGTGCAGAGGGGGGAAGATTATGTCCCGTCTGCAGAGACAAAAAGAGCAACCGATGAAGGAAGATCCGCTAACAAAAATTGAGACGCAGTGCTGTTAATCTGTCTAATCATGTATCGGCTTTAATGCCCGATTACATCTTCTTGTCCTTGGGTACCAATAAGGCGCGCCGGGAAATAAGAAATATCTCTCAATGGGCAAACCGTGTCCAAATTGGGTTATATTCTCGCTGGTGGCTTTCATTACTACGCTCGTCCGTGATTCTTTCAAGCAGGCTTAGAAATAAAACCAACGAACGGGAATGGATCGAATTGGGAGAGATCTCTAGGACGGCGAGTAATGATGATGATGACGATGGCGTCCATTTTCTGCTTGTCGAGGAATGCTATTTGCTAGCAGGCAGACGGCAAAGTTGCAGGCAAAAGCGGACGCCAACGCACCATCTTTTACATCTCGTGCCATTCACTAGCTCTAATGGATTGGGATATCAAAAATTATGGACGCCATTGGGCTGCTCCGGTAAGGGTCTGCAGGATGCATGCATAAGTTCAGAGCGGCGTCGTTCTCTCATAGGACTAATCGGGATTAGACGATAGCATTGTTTCCATCGTCCACGACGCGGGGAACCATCGTCTACCTTCTGTCTCAAGATACTATGCAGGCGTTCGGTATCCCTCACATCGCTGTCGCCTAGTCCTCTCTAGGCTCCGAATGTGTACATCCTTTTGATGTGACATTGCCGAATCAAGATATGTAAGATTACACCATTCGGCATAGGATTTTCGAACTTCTAGGGCTAGGTGGATTTCTTACCCGGTGATTTTCGCCAAAGGAATCGGCCGTCTCCCGGGATCCGAGATTCTTATCACCGAGTAGCTCCCGCTTTTGCGTCGTACTACGCTTTTGATGTATACTTATATAATATGTATATTTTACAAAGGGCATGTATGAGGAGAGAAACTAATATATATGGCGATCGTATATCTAGCGATTAACGCTTTCCGTGTGATTGGAGGTATACGTCTTTTCTTCGAGCGTAGGTCGGTTAACCTTGGCAGGCGAGGATAAAAGCTGCAGCGTCACTTGATGTCTCACTGATATCTCTCATCATCTTATTAAACGACCTCAGATTGATGGGCGATAAGTTCGCTAATACATACATATCAACTGCCACTCCAGGTATCGCGAGAATGGACAGTCTCGGGACGATACGGTTCTTCGGTAGTGAACACCGTTCAATGAGGACGACGATCTTTTTCAAATCTAAGCTTGGAAGGGGGCGAAAAATTTCATGTCTGTTCAGTGTATGCAGGTTGATTGGTTCTGAATAGGCCTGGGAGATATTCTGGACCTCCCTCTTTGCGAATCTATCCTGCCTGGGGACCGTGCCAGCGATGCATGTCATCCACCCAGACCAAACCCTATCTGTACATACAAATGTGTACTATGAAGGCTAATCTTTCATGTTTCTTCTTGTATTCCTATACTCCGCGAGCGTATCCGCTGGTCGCCAACGATTTTCCGCTATAGACGATTTTAATCATGGATTCTTGGTTATTACCTACCTACATATGAGCAAATTCGGATTATTCTAGAAACTCGACATTGATTAGTAGCAAGGACACCATTTATACATACTAACTTAGGTATATAGCGTTGAAATATATCGTGTTATCATAGCGTGACGAGGCCATCACGCAGCACACTACATGGATATGAGTCACTCCAAGGCTCCGCTGTAGGAGCCGTGGCTCGCTCGGCTCGGTTCTGAAGGACACGGAGGAGGTACATAGCCGCATACATACATGGAACAAAGCATTGATGCAAAGTACAAGGTTCTGGATGCAGCACGACAACCCTCTATCACTTATACGGATAGATGCGTGATCCTCCCATGGGTAGTAGTTGTCAGTTACGAGCTAGGCAGAGCTAGATACTAGGTAGTCGAAGACTTTAAACTGCCACACCTAAGCAAATGAGAATGAGAATGTGGCAAGCGTGGTACAATGCAAACGTGAGGCTCACATACACGACAGCACACCACTAGGAGAAACGCATACCTCTACTGAAGCTGATAATGTAAGCCTGTCGGCAAGCACAGCACAGCAGTCTTTCGGTGTAAAACTGGAATGCCATTCGTCGCCAAGTCGAATACAATTGATTCTGTGGACCAGCAAAATTCCCACGAACAAATCCAAATTGACCACCCAGTGGGTCTCCCCTTGGCAATTGGACGAATGCTATTGGATTTCTTTACTCAACTGAGACATCACCATGAAGTTCACCGCTTTTTTTTTATTAAGGACCTCACGTCACTGCTCAAGAATATGAAGCAGGGCAACGCCACTGAAGTAGGTATTTTAAGTTACCATCATATTTTCCGATACGCCGGAAGAGCACTGCCCATTGAAGCTGTTGAGAGAGTCGGCATGCTTCGTCTTCCAGACGAGCCTTAAGAAGACGGACACATGTCAGCCATGTTGTACAATTGTCCGCCACGCCTCAGCGTCGAATAGCCAATTCCGATTGCTATCCATGGGTTTCGAATATAACATCTCAACGTACTACTGGGTACGAGGCTCTCATTCCAGGAACCAAAGTTCCGGATAGGATTCATAGGCCCTTCCGCCACCAGCTTCGGATCAGCTTATAAGCTTTTCTCTCTGAGCCGACACCATGTGCGATTTCAACATCATTCTGGCTGGGCGATGAGAACACAACAGTACACCAAAGCAAGATCGAATCTTATCTCAGATAGGTGATGCCGGTTGAAGGTACCGACATAGTCGGTCTAATTGGTATCTGAGAGTTGTCGACGAAGATGGACGAACAAGGTGATATAGAGCGAGAAGTCAAAGTCTACCCGAACACTCAGTCAGTCACACGAATTCACAAAGGTCGAATCGATCATGTCTGAATGCCGAGCCATCGGGTTTCAATGACCACGCTTGAAACCAAATGGATGCCAACAGCGATGTGTATATTCGTCGACATCACTAACTTCGAGTAGGTAGTCGATATGAGATTAGTGGAGGATATTGCGAAACGATTCCAGGCAGGTAACTTATCTAGCGAGACCCTAAATCACGATGGAATAATCATTGCGCACCATCCTTCGTTCTATTCGACGAGGAGTCAAATACGAAGCATCCCGGCTGCAACTCAATCCTTAATAAGAAATTGACTTGCACTATGGTTAACCACTGAAAGATGCCTTTTATTCCCCCCCAATGGAGTCTTGATGCTCGAGCTAAATGTATAGCTCTGTAGTGGCTATCCGAGAAAATTGTCTTCGGTCGTTGGAACCACTAACCAGAAGGATGGGAGCACGATGAAGAGACAGCTTACTGAGTCAGAGAGTCAGCTCCCTCTGCATATTCTTACCTTGAGAGAATGTAGTTGTCCATTTCTTGATGAACAGTTTCCACGGCGTCTATTCGGCTCAACGCCCCATCTCGTTCATTGGTTGGGTCGTCGTGGTAGAATCTTGCTAGGTGTCCCCAAGTAAGCTCGTCGCTTAGCTCATACTGTCCGATTAATGGAACCGATGAGAATTTTCCTCAAATCTCATCTCACTTTCGGGTCTGGCCCAAATCTCCGACCAGCCTTAGGCAGTAATTTCCCACAAAGGAGTACGACCGGCCTATCTCCATACTGTCGTATAGGCGTAGTTAAGTTGCCCGACAATGTCCACTTTCCCTAGAGCTATGCTGTCATCAGAGGTTACCGTGGACAGCCTCCGCTGCCGCAACGAGCGAATGCAACTTAGACACACTTGACCAGATTTTCTTATGGTTGCGGCCTCGTAATCATCAATGAGATAGATGCCCAACTATTTCTAAATGACGCACTGTTTTGAATCCACCTTGCCTTGAACTGGGGATGACCGACCAGGGAGGAGAAGTTGGATTTTGACTCAACTCACGAAGAGAAAGCCCAGGGGGTCTTTTGACTAAGATTCTCCACGTCAGAGCGAGCTCAACGACACATCGGTCATCTCGGAGGGAAGGTAGCGGCCGTGTAGGGTATAACATGCGTTATTTTGATGAGTATGGCATTTCAATGAAGTACCGTAACATACTGTCGCAAATGGCCTCTTCGATACATCCTGTCTTCCCTGTTCAAGTAGATATCACTTGCTAGGGTGTTGGTTGGTCTCCATCGACAAGACCTGAATTTACCTGACAATGGATCCTATTGCCTACTGCTCAACCTTTCAGGATTTAAACGTAAGAAAAGGTCAACAACGTGGCAATAAGAACAGGTTTTTTCGTCGTATAGTAGAATGAAGTATAAGACTATACTTCTGAAGTCGATGCCCAAAGAACGACGAGAATTAAAATAGAATCTAAGTTGACTTTAGATTATAAGTACACGTGACATTACTTCGTAGAGTTGTCGGGTATCTGAGCCACAACCCTGGTAGCCACAAGCCCTATTTGTCGGCCTAACAGCCCCTAGCCACCAGCCTAGCTTAGCTGCTTTTCTAGCTGTAACCTTGGAAGATTAGCAACCTTCTTTCAGCCCTACCACATTTGCGCTTAAGGGAATCGAGATCTTAAAAGTCAATCACCAGTCATGCCGACCCTACGGTAATTTGGACTCGAATCCGTTCCCTGTATAACATGCATATTCAAGGGATGATCCTCAGGGACGCATTAGCTTCAATTACTACTAATAGATCTCCCTCCAGAATATCGAATTATCTAGATTGAGTTCCTATCTCCCTTCGCCAAAATGCAACTCGACTCTCTCTGTTGAATTCTGTCAGAAAATTAATTCCTCTTGCGCCTTTGGCCCTCGATAATGGGCTCGGTGACATCACTATATTCATGAACAGTGGTTCTACTCCATCCATGGGATCACATGGGCAAATGCCAAAGACATCTGTATTAAACCCAGATCTAGCGCAACATCATGGACATCATGGACACCCTGGCATTGGCAGAGGCGAGCTTAGACCACACTAAAACTAGAATAGTCCTGTTGATAGCTACATCTCTAATTGGAGCTGTCAAAAGATCCAGCTATAGTGTATCATCGACTACCAACTATCGATTATCTCGAAAACAGGTAAAGAAACCCATCTCCCAATGTTGCTACTCTTCACAATGTGAGGGACGGGAGATGACCATCAATGGCTTCCATCAGCACGGACCAGAGTCGCATTGAATTCATTTTCAGATGCAGGCATGGTTATGTTTTGCGACTTGACTACTACCACAATCAAGACATGGCCCCTCCAGTTGATAAGTCTCCCGTCATCTGACACAATTCAACACTCGCAGAACACCAACGCTATTTCGTGTTCGGCGCGCTGGTGCTACCCCAAACCAAGAATCAGCCACTTCCCTTCACAGAGGAGATCCCTTGACTATTTTTTAAAAATCACATACAGTGCTCCCGGTATCTAGGGAATGGCGTATCACAGCCTCGTAACTAATCACGTTCGAGGATAGCTTCTCCGAGGATGGCGTTGAGGGCGAGCTCTTCCTTACAGCGCTAATTTCAGCTTTAGCCCGACTACAATATATACTCGTGGGCCAAAGATAGCTATGTACCTAGGTGGGTAGGTAGCAGTTATGATCGCCGCCCCGGAATCGTGGGGTGCATTGTCACATAATCTGGTTTATCACGAACCAACAGTTCGCCAAGTTAACGACTTCGACATCGTGCAAACCCGTGTTCGTTGGCTGTGCCGCAGTCGAACTTCATGCAAGGTACGATGCATACGTATTGGCCGATCCGAGGGCGAGTCAATCCGGTCAAGCTTCAGCATTATCAAATCACAAGAAGACCCACGAGCCTCAAGACGTCGCAATCACAGAGGGGTGTTTCGGGTCGTAAATTGCATACAGCATTGTCAGATGCCTATCTGGCCGAGGAGGCATTTGGTGCTAGTGGGCTCGATGTCTTAGAAACCCGGCTTATGCTCTATCAGCTTGGGTGACCCCCACTCACATAACCAGCCTTTAAATCAATCTGCACACCACTACTGACGCGTGATGCTCTTTATGGAAACCAGCTTGGAGGTGATCATAGTCTGAGCCTTCTACGGCTTAGCCCTTGGATGGCTCATTGCAATTTGGAAGAGAGCGTCTCCGCTCACGAGCTCCATCAAGGTTCCTAAGAGCTACCTTTCCAGCTGGGTCCCCCCAGGCATGACCACCACCTTCGCTTGCCTAACCGATCCACAAGGCAACCTTCTAATCCGACCGGTGACTAACATCTATCATTACTGCACACCTTCTGCCTAGTGGCAGTATATATATTACGGCTTTGCCGCCCTTGCCATTTTCTGTCCTTTAGTGTTCTTTCTGTATTTCACGATCTGTCACTTTTTCTCTTCTGAGGTGGTTGGCCGGCTTCATATGCTCACCTCTAGGATAATCAGTGTCTGAGCCGGCTTGAGCCCGGCAACGTTCGTTGAGAACATAAGGCTTTCTCTTTAGTTTCCTTTAAGTTGTCAACGTAATTTCCTGAGAATGATCGCGCCGTGAGATCCGATCTTTATCTCTTAAACCCTTTCATTCTTCAACCACACGACCCCTAATTATTACTACTATGCCTTTGTTACCGACTAATACTCCCACCCGGGGACAGCCGGAGCCGACTTGGCCGCCGAGCCCGAGTCGTCTCCCCCCGTCGTTGGAAGACGATACAAATTATGATACCAACTCAACAGATGAGGATGAACTTGACGCCCACTGGACTCAAGAGAATCCCATGATGTATTTCCTCACGCCGCCAACCCCAAAGGACGAGGAACTCGAATTTGATTTCGAGTTTGACGCCGGGATTGAAGACTCAAGTCGGCCCAGAGAGATCATCCGAACTGTTTCCCCATCCACTCTCGATGGTCTCAGAAAATACAAGCCCAAGGATAAATTGGCAGATTGTGCTGTCTTGGATGACGATGACGATGATAGTGATGACGACGAGGATTATATCCGATTCCATCCTCACGGTCATACGTCTCTACCATTTGGATTTGAAAAGTTCTTTGACCAGACGAGACCTACTTCTACCATAACATCTCAAACTACAGAGGCTTTACTATCACCCGCCTCATTCCACGTCGGATCACCAAATGGGCGTCCATCGAGGCGCTTCGCACCACCGCGGCGATCTCTTCGAGGAAGATCGACCAGTCAATCGCTTCAACGACGCCATTCATGGCGTGAGCCAAGCCCCGATGTATACTCCATCGAGGAGGAGCCGGAAAAGGAGACGATGAGCGAAATGGGTTTGAGCGTCGAAGACCTTATCGACGGCCACGAAGGAAAGACGCTACCAATAGACATACCGGCTGCAAAGCCAAGGAAGAAGGTCAGGTTCGTGTTACCGGTTAAGGATTGATACAAGCATATTTCCTTCGAATCTACATCGTCCCCCGAGGGGGCAAATCAGCACACGAGCATTCAAGCATATTAACGGCGTTGTGGGTTTTTTTGTTGCATTTGCTTCATTTTCATTACAATCATGGTTGGTTGCATATCTACGGTGTTGGGCATATCTAGCATTTGCATTTCGGACTATCTGGGCTTTACTAGGCTAGGGGGAGGGTTGCTTAGGGATGGAAGCTCATGAGGAGGTTCAAGCAGATAACAAACAAACTCTACCTAATTTACCTACATGCTATTCAATATTTGCCTTCCTTTCTTCGTGCGAACAGATTCATAAGACCGTCAGTCAGGTTTTAGCTGCATGGTAATAATCGTGAGCACGAAAATCAAGGATCTCCTCATCTTGCTTACGCATGCTGCAACGTAAATCAGCGCCGATCACGTAGCATTCGACCACCCTCAGGATTTGACATACATACCTACTCGTCAATTATCTCATCACTATCACGTCTCGCTGACGGCATGTGAGAAGTACCAAGCAAGGCGCAGAAGCACACGTACGTACGTTCTCGCCTTCCATCCCGCGTCTTCATCTATTCAGATGTTACCTAGAAGTCGGTATCTAATCGTATCATCCATCCAATTAAACCCGTGAACTGCCCGAGCCGGCCGGACGCGCCTTTCCTCTCTTCTCGGATCGTGCCTAGCCCGCGAGGGAAAAAACCAAAAAAGAAAAGGGTGTGGGATATTCTAAATCGTCTAGGTTAGAGGCCCAGTTTAGCGAGTTCGCCTCCCTGGAGGCTGTGCTCCTCCAGCCCAGCCCTACGCTTACTTATTCCCCGACGCACGTACATATGCAGCGTCGCAAAGAGATAGAGAGGGAGGGGGGTGTTCGTTTCCCAACGTCACACGACGCCGGGCCCGCGTAATGCAAGCGTATGTAAGAACCACGATTTTCCCATCGAGGGATACCGGTCGTCAGCACGTTGCCACGGTTTTAGACATGTCGAGTTCCCAAAGCGGATGAAAGGAGCGGCGGTAAGCCAATAATGCGAGCTTCGAGAGACGAGGACGGGTATAAAATGGTCGGATATAAGGATGGTCCTAGATGACTTGACCGCTCATCCTGTATTGGGGGGTTAGGGGGGGCATGGGCATTGGGATTCTGCACGTGGGTTGCGTGTGTTTATTTCGGACGACCCGGGCTACTGGGTCGCTAGGCTCGTTTACGTGAGCGGAGGGGGTGAGCACTAATCGTGAGGACTTATATAAGATGGGCGTGGGATGCTGGGAAAGCTCTTCTCGATTTGTGTAATCGGCTCCGAATCGCCGCACGAGAATGACTGATAGGTTATTCTGTGTTGACGTTAGTGTTGTTGGCTCGTCGCTAAGATCTGACTTCATATCGGGTGAGTGGGTTTTTATCATGATTCCTCAGTTCACGATATCTTGGGAGGATTTGATTACAAAAACATATTAGTTGGTATTTGCGGCGTAAGCGACGCTTAAGAGTATCTTCTATCTGCTTTTTCTCCCTTGCGTTAAAAGGATGATATTTACAGATACGCTCAAGCGCTCACTTTCTTTTCGACTCGTATAAACGCCCTATTGAGACGTTACTTCCACAGCTAGTAACTTCGATAATAAGAAGAATCTAAAACGAATCCAAATATAGTACCACCTCTTTGCAGTTAGGATTGTGTTATATAGCAAGTACCAATGTCACCCAAATTCCTTGACAACTTTATTCTAGCCCCCTTTTGAGACCGCTGAGAACGACATGATAACTCTGCTAACATGATTCCGCATCTTTCTTAAGGACTTACCTATCTTCCCCTGAGACATACAAGAGAGCTTAGGCCTTATGTTGACTTGGTATTATCTAAGTGCTATGCCATTGTACCATTATTAGGTATATTGCCCCTATCTAATATCCACTTTAATAGCCCCTTTAAAGGGAGAAGCCATCACCTTTTCTCCAACAACCTTGAAAGTTAAGAATAAGATTGAACGCTGATCTAATTATGCCTACCTAGTTCAAGTATGAATAGGTAGGTGAAAATCACTCGGGAGAGGCATAGAGTCACGTATCCATTTACTAACGTACATAATTTGACTTACACAGTATGAGAAAGAACCTTCAAGATGACGAGATGAAAATGGTTACGTTGTTTCTACCCTGTTAAAAGCCTAGGTTATGTAGGTTCACTCCTGAAATATGAATTTCTAATACTCCATGGAAGTTTCTGGACCCTATGCTATAGCTGCCAGCTAGCCAAACACCCTTTGAGTATAGTTACATGTAGGTACTACCTAGCGTCGTGAATTCGCAGCGGTCTCCATTACTGCTAAGGACTACAGGATCCTAGGACTCTTCTAAGATTCCACGTATGTTGTCCTATGGCGAGACCTTAGATATAGCTACCCTAAGGACAGGTTTCGTCGACTCGATAGGGTCGAAGGATGGCTGCTGGGGCTTCATCCCCAGGTACTCTATATTATCGTGGTCACTTTTTGAACTGAAGGCTCGGCCACAAGAGCGACAGTAGTGGCAACGCTTTTAATAAACAACTCGAGAAAGCTAGCTCCTAAAATCCCGCCCCTTGTGAGCTTGAAAAGTGTTGGCGCTGCGAGGCCACTAAAAAGACGCGAACGGAACGGAAAATAGGACTTCACTCTCTAGGGACGGTAAGATAGGCACTCACCATCCAGACAGAAGAGGTAGAGAAGAATTCCACGGCAGATCCAGAGACGAAAGAGATGAGCGTGGCCCCCGAGAACAAGCTCGAGACCAAGACTGTGCCGCCTGTTGAAGTGCATGGGCGTATGAAGACATGTACTCCCTCAACTATATGAGTCTGCTCAGACATATCGCTGTGAACATATTCGTCATGAATAACGTGATATGCTAGAAAGACATGCTTTTTCCAACCGAGACTGGGTAAGGAACTTATACTTATTTCATTTATCTATAGGTAGTTACATATCAATTAGAAAAAATAGAGGTGAGTTCCGAGTATGTTGACGAAGAGAGGTGTAAGTCGCAGCACTGCCATAAGAGTGCTTGGAATCACATCTATTAGTTCTAATTTTTATACGATATAACATAGAAGGAGGATATATCCCTGCTTCCGAACCCTAGGGACTGAGGCTTCCCTTGAAATATTGCTAGATCCTAGTATGCGATATAAGCGAAACTGGATTGGGTCTAAGCTGACGGGAAAAGAATTTAGTGGCTTTTTGTGTAGCATTGAATTTGATGGGACGTCGATAGAACAAGACAGTTTTCGTATAGTGATCTTCCTCATCCTTTATGGAACATATATTCTTACGCAACTCTACCTTTCGAAAAGGATTAGACGAGATCACTGATCTTCGAAGTTTCAGGTGACTTTCTAGACAGCAGCTAGCTGGCTGGCGGGATAGTGGTAACACATACCCCCTCAGTTAACCTTTCGATGAAGATTGATGACACTCTAAGCCATACGTGGTGGCGAAAAAGCAAGCCCGACAGCAAAATGTGGCTTAAGAGAACTGTGTCGTCTTCCGAAACTTGAGGCCCATGACGAGCATATTGCGTTGCGAGGTCATATCAAGAGCTAGGCATAGGCTATCACGGAAGGCCCGGATCCCGGATGGTTTTAATGAACGTTTTTATTTTATTTTCTAACCAAGAAAAAAGAGCCCATGCGCTAGCATCCCGCTACGAACATGTCGCCTTGCCTCGTTCCGGGAAGCCTATAGGCGCGACGATCTGTATCGTGCAAGCTTTCGCGTTATCGGTGCACTGTTCGGACGCGTCAGCGATAGCTCGTTTATTTGATATGCCGTGATATCCGCGGGAGAACCGGCAAGTACGGTAGTTTAGTTTAAGTTGGGGTACGGGTTTAACTTACGGGTGCTTTCGACGAGCAGGAGGCTTGCTCCGAATTGTCTACGTTTGCATAGCACACGTTGGTCGCCACGTTGCAGCCCTATGACTTTTTGTCAGCAGAGAGAAAAAAAAGAAGAAAATGTGTGAGATTGTTCGTCTTGGCGCCAACGCGAGAAAGATACGGGAAATACGGGAGAGGGAACTTACTCCGACTATGTCCACCACGGCGCTGTAGACAAGACCTAGAAATATCGCGACGACGATGAATAACTGCATGGCGGCGCGTAGTATAAAATTTCTTTTTTTTCTCTTTTCTTCTTTTTTTTTAACCGAATTTAAAGGACGAGAGTGTCGAAGAAATGACTCCGCGTTCAGACCGCAAGACGATTTTGGGGGGATCTTGGGCTTAATATGTAATACCAATGGTACGAGGCGCAGCTGTGCTTACCACTCCGCCCCCATCGCGAGGAAGAGGAGGATGGATCCTCTAGGCCTGGGCACCATACATATAGCCTAACCAGGCAGATATAATGTCCCTTCTAATCTAAAAATAGGTGGCGTTCAGGCAGGTCGCCCTATGGATAGACATGTACGGAGTTTAGTCCTACGGCATGCAAGCAATTAATCCTATGACTTCAGTCTGTGTATGCCGTGAAACATTGTGCCACCAACTTCATGATTTGGGGCGGTTTGAAAAGAAAATTGGTGTTAGATATTACACGTCTGAAGTCTGCAGACGACCGATCCTGCTCAGATCCTATGGAGGTATGAGATTGTCCAACGTCGGACACGGCATGTCGTGTCGTGTGTCGAGGTAACAAACGGCCAACGTATCATAGACAGCCCACATCCGACACAGGTGAACACCAATGGCTGATAAAAGTAGAGGCTAAGCGGCAGATGCTCACGTACCAGTATCTCTTGGACGCGCTAGAGAACTCGGCAGCTATCGTCCAATGTCAGAGCTCTGTATAGGCAATTTTAATAGTTCGTATTGCCCAAGATCAAAACCTCTACCTAGTTCCCATTAGTACGGCCACGCATTTAGAGCCCGTCTAGGATACGTTATTTCCGTGGATTAGTATATGTAACAATGGCTAGGTAATTTCATTCCAGGTAACATGCCTCGCTTTTTCCACCGTCCAACGTACGCTGGCGTTTATTCATCCCTCACGTCTGAAGCAGAGCTCATAACCATAATCGCCGATGCCTAGGATACTCAGCGAACATGACCGATATGGAGGAATTGTTCCTAATCACTCATATTTAATAATCCTCATCATACCAGATACGCATACCATTCAAGTATCTTTTAGGGACATGAAGTTCCAACGCCACCAACGCCTTGCCCCTGATGCAATTTCCCCTTTGTCAATACAGAGCCGGGGATGTGGCTCAAAAAAATAACCACCTGGTTTTATTCATCCTCTGCCTCCTCCGCGTCCTCCACCGTCACAGCTTTCGCCTTACCCTTTGCGTCGCTACCCGCTGCCGGTTCTTGTTCGTCGCCCGAGGTCTGGCGTTGAGGAACCTCTGATATCGAGGGCTCCTCCGTTCTGGCCTCAGGCTCGTTGACAGTTGGTGGATTGTTAACCCCGCCATTCGCAAAGAGCTGTGCACGGCCGCCCCAGTTAGGCATCACAGGCGTTGGCGCGGCCACTTCTGGCGTTTCTCTCTGCGTTTGGGATGTGGTCTGGCTGGGGCCGTCTTCTGGAAATCCACTAGGGGCCCCAAAATTCCTAGCATTAGGCTCGCCAGCTCTGGAACTTGACGAACGAGGAATCCCAGTAGCGCTACCAGTCACGGTATTCCCATTCGTCATATCTGCTGACTGTGACTGTTGGCCATTGGAGTCAACCTGTTGAACAGATTGCTGAGGAGCTTGCGATGGTTGGCCGTCAAGGCGTTGAAGAGGTAATAAGGACCATCCCGGAGGAATGACGACCCCTTCAGGCAAATCTGGGCTACCTGCAGGGACAGATGCAGAGTAAGGGACGCCTCCATGCCTGACCATAGTTGGCGTTGACACGCGAGGAGGAAAATTTGGAAACTGGGGTATTTGCGTCATAGGTTGAAGCTGTTGTGGTTGAAATGACTGCAAGTGTTGGAATGGTGGTAGGGTTTGTTGCGGCAAAGGCGGTTGGTAGGGGCCAAGATGAACGTTAGCACCTGGCTGTCCCAGTTGGGCGATCGGCGCAGGCTGAGGTTCTTGTTGGGTCTGGCGGAGGCGGCTTAACTCTGCCGTCAGAGCATATAGAGTCTGTAATTCGACCTGGCTCGCCTGTAACGCCTGCATCTCCTGTTGAATTCGTTGCGATATGTCTAGAAGCTGTGCTTGGATCTCCACAATGCCACCGTTGTTACCTAGGTGAGTAGTGCCAGGAGGGGGCGCTTGGGCTGGCACCGCTGGTACTGCAGGGGCGTTGGGGGCGTCAAGAGGAAGACGTAGCCGTTGAGCCATCTCATGGATATTCTGGGCATTGCCCTGAGCAAATCCCAATCGAATGGGGCCAAACTGAAATACTCTCATGTTGCCGGCCCCACGCGCCTGCGCAGGTTGACCGCCATTAGCAGCTCTATTGCCTGGTGCCTGTTGACCTGGAGCATTGGGCTGGCCGCCAGGATTCGCACCTGGAGCAGCAGCACCACCGTTAGACGCGGTCCCTTCGATAGTAACCGGGCGTCGGCAGGTTGGGCACACTTGTTGCCTTTCTAACCAACTCCTGAGACATCCAAAATGCAAAATATGACCGCAGGGCAGTCGTTTTGGACGAAAGCGTTCTACGGCGCCCACGGCGGATGGATCCCATGGTCGCATATCTTCTCTGCAAATAATACACGTGTCCTCGCGTGCCAACTCCTCCGCAGTAGCATCGGGATAATTGTTCATGCCTCGCAAGGCTTTGCGATACTGCATTAGAGCACTGAGGCGCTTAACAAACGATCGTGCTGTCAAGAAGAGATCGCGCATGATGTGAATAGGTAGACCGTAAAACATCATCAAGATGGCGAAGAATGCGGAATATATACCGAGCTTGACGAAGTCTAGACGTGCGTTAGACAAGAACTATGCGGCAGTGAAACATCCACTTACCAGTAAATAGGTCCAGGCTTAACACCCACTGCCCCTTAGATTCCCATCCTTGTACTTCAATATCTGTTTCGTCGATATCCGCTTCCTCGGGTGGTAGCTCTTCTTGCGCCGCAGCTTCGGCCTCTGCGGCGTCACCGGATTCGCGGCGTCTCATGATCTCAGCACGTTGTTCTCGGACCTGCCTAATCCGTTCTTCTAGTCTCTGGCGAGTCTGCTTCTTGACTATATCGGCTTCAACCAGCGACAGGATATATCGGAAAGCGGTGCGGAACGAGCACGTAGCCAAAATCGCGAACTCGAACAAGAACATAACCATCATATTAGGCCGAGCTTGCTGAATGACGGCATTCACAGTGTAGGTAAATAACCAGGTATCGTAGACGACGCTAAGCAGGAGAGATATGCTGAGTCTCGTATGGAAGAGTCGCGGATTGGCGGGGGGTTGCTGTTCCAGGACCTCGACGCGGCCTTCGCCAATCCACTCCCAGACTTTTCCGGTGACCAAAGCAGTAAACATAACTAGGAACCAAGCTCCAACTTCTTCGCGGAAGATAGTCATCGCAAGACAAGTCTCGGTCACGGCAAACCAGGCCTTCTCGTACAGTTGTTCGGTCTCGACAGGTCGGAGGGGTCCATAACATAATCGCTGAAGGCCCCAGACGAAGGAGCCATAGACTAATAAAACCAGATTTATAAGGATCTATGACAAAATAGCCAAAGTCAGTAACTCGGCACGAGAGCAAGGTCGGCGACAGGCTTAGGAGGGGAATCGTACCATGAGACTAAGATTATTTTGCGATAAGTAGACCATGGCGGAATAGAAGTTGGCACGTTGGTTGAAGGCATAAGCGACGACGCCGGCCGCCAGGGCCGTTGAAGACTGCGCATTGATGTTAGCGATGGCATTACCTTGAGGCCGCGGTGGCTAAGACAAAGACTACATCTACATGTCAATAGTTCGATAGAATATATAAAGAGCTCACTTACCCCTGCGTACCAAAGAAGTCGCATCGTGGCAGTTCTGGGTGATAATTAGGAAACGTAGAGAAAGATTGAAATTTCTTAAAAATTTCTTGGAAGATGCTAGGTGCCCATCATCCCGACATAGGAAGAAGGTGGTTTGTGGTTTGTTGGCGGATGGGTAGACAGTTGGAAGGTTTGTAACTTCAAAGAGCTGGCGGCGGATCGTTAATGCCACCTATTGGAGTTCCAACTTACAATTAAGCGTGCATTTAGCTAAGAGCTACAAAGCTACTTCGATGGATATGACGCGATCTGGGCGATTTTGCTAGATTTGATTGGTCGGGCGGATTATTCGGCTCCGCCCGGACCGACGGCGTTACCCAGTATTACCTGCCGCAGGAAGTAACAGCTTCCATTTCATCCGATTTATCAGACTAACGTTCCATCAAAGTCTCCGAGCTAACTTTGTCTTAATCATCACTCCTTGAGACGACCTAACATTACCTACTTCCACTCATAGGTTAGTAATCTTCATCCTCATCTCCATTTTCACTCCCGGTATATCCTAGTATGAATATCTTGATCCGCCCCTTTCCTCTTGAATTTCACTGCCACATTTAGCGCCCTTGCTCCTCAGCAGCTGTTCAATTTCGACTTTCTCGCGTTCGATGACCAAGTCTAAAGGCGTCTTAAATGTGTCGCTCACCGGTGACACCTCAGCTCTGGCCTCTAAAAGCAACTTAACGCACTCGATATGTCCATTTGCCGCCGCCCAATGGAGAGGCGCCCAGAAAAAGTCCGTAGTCATTGAAGGGTTTACCCCTTGGCTAAGAAGAAATCGCACCTCGTTGGTATTCCCACAAGCTGCCGCCTTGTAAAGCATGTTGTCCCCATCTGGGCCCTGGGTATTCACGTCTGCTCCGTGTTGAATCAGTAGTTTCGACACTAGAATCACAGTTGTCAGAACTCGTACGCGATAACGCTTAATAAGAAACATAGGAGCCATGAGAGGAACACTTACTATCCATGTCCTTATTCAAAATAGCTAGTACCCACGGGGTATCTCCTTTCAGATCTTTGGCATTTACATTCGCCTTCTTTTCCAGCAAGAACTTGACTAGTTTGGTTTTTCGTCGTGCGACAGCGCGGTGTAGTGGTGTACGGAAATCATAGTCGCGAGAATCAACATCGACTCCTCCCTCCACTAAAAGCTTCACTCCATCGATCTCTTTACGCTCCACGGCCAGGAACAGAGCTAAGTTAACGAGCAATGAATGGTAGCCCCGGGTTTCCTCACTTTTGCATAGAGTTACTTGTTTTGTCTCGATTAGGCTCTTCATAGTCGCTATATCATTCTTGAAGGCCGCTGTCACCAATTTCAAGTAATTTCGCTTCTTATATTCACCAGGAGGTAGAACCGCCTCACTGTATGTCCTCGCCACCCGTCTCGCCCGCGATGTATGGGAAGTCTGAGCCGAGACAAGCCCAGTCGCTCCGTTTTCGGCTGGCAAGTCTACGAAGGTGATTGACCTCCTTTTTGCAGTGAATGGTGCCGGTTCGGTCGAAGTATGACTTCGAGCTGTTTGTAGTGTTCTTTCCAAACGACTCAGTTCTTTAGGCCACCTTCGGGTCAGTCTCGCCCATCCCTTTTGGCATTTTCTCGCAACTTGAGCTGAGTAATACAGTGCCTTAGTGGCGCTGAAGCGCCACAACCAGATAAGGAATTCGACTATGAAATTCCCTCCTTGGCCACGGATCAGGAGAGCTTCTTTGAGGATACGGCGTACCACGGCGCCAGCTGAAGAGTTTGATTGAGCAGCAATGAGCAGCAGCTGACATCCTTCAGTCGAAAAGAGATCCAGCGTTGCACCAGCTTCAAGAATCACGAGAGCCGTGTCGATGTGACATGCTGCGAGAGCGATAGAAAGCGGGGTGCAGCCATCAAAGTCCTTTACATAGATTAGAGATGAATCCGAGAGAAGTTTCTTTACTAGATGTGGAACGCCGAGGTGAGCGGCAAGGTGGAGAGAAGTCACCTCTCGACCTGCTGGCTCCTCCGAGTTAGCCGTTTCGACATTAGGGGAAATAGAGCGTGCCCTAGAATTGACACATGGTTGGGTCATTAAAGGGTCATGCTCACTGCCATCACTAGGCAAAGACGAGTTATCTATATCGAGTTCAGGTTCAAGATCACCGTCAAGGTCAGACTCCCACTCCAACTCGGACTCAAACCTGAACTCAGACTCAGACTCGGCCCTGAAGAAAGAAAACATTCCTTGTAATAAGGCTTGAGGTGGGTACGACTCCGCCTCGTTCAGCAGTCGTTCATAGAATTTGCGCTTGGGTCTCTCTTCGAGGATAGTGGCGGTCTTGTTCAAGGCATCGTTTGCAGCAACGAGGTTTACGTCCGACATGGCTCGAAGGTGGTGGCCCAGGTACTTTGCAGCATATTCAACCAATGGATATATTCGGAGTTTGGTTGTGAATGTAAGTTTCTCTGGTGTCCTTCTGTTTCCGAGATGTTTGGTGGACTTGCCGCTCTGTATCATAAACATCTCTCTATCATCATACATCTCTGGTGACCATCCATGCAGGTCAGTAGCATAGGACATATTATTGACAGTGTCGTCAGGCTGTTCAAGCTCAGGGATACACAGGTAAGCAGCACAGACGCGAGAGATAGTGGTGTCAAAGTTGGCGAAGCGTTCGTCCGTTTGTTTCAACCCTTGCATGAACTCAGCCGCGGTATTGTGTACAAATTGGAGAAAGTTTTTCTCCACTATGACCATCCCACAGCAAAACGCCGTAATGTCGTCGGAGAGAGGTTGCTTTTCCGGCTTGAAGAAGCCGTCTTTCAGATCTACGGCGAGGGCATGCCGTAGTTCATCCACGGTTAAAGGACGCTGAGCGTACGTGATCCACGCCAGTGTACTAATCGCTATCTCCTGACGCAGTAGCGTTTGTTTGCCGATTCGATCCATCATGTCCTGGTACTTGTCTGTGAGATTGTTGTTAAAACTAGCGAGTTTAGTCCGAACATCGAAGAGAGTGATCACGTCGTCGGTTTCGAGAGATTCCATGTGCAATTTGACAAGGAGGAACCTATAGATCTATCAGTTAGTGATCTGTCTTTCCCTAGGTACAGACACATTCCGAAGCAAAAAGGGAGATACTCACATCCCCCCTGACTGCTCGATTATGATACTTAGGATCTCCTGTCTAAGCTCCGAACTCAAATCGCAGAACCTTTTCAGACGAGAATTAGTATTGATGCAGTAATTCACATAGTCTCGGATATCGTTTTGGTTTGCCGAAATGTTTATGCGGCTGAAGCCCTCCAAGCCTTTGTCGAGATCTCCAATGAACCTGGAAGTCATGAGCAAAGCAAGGCAGTTACCCAACTCCATGAGCCGCCCAAGAAACCGCTCACGGTCTGAGGAAGAGCACTCATCCCATGCGTCTACTACAAGATACAATTTATGGTCGGTCGCCATGTCCCTTATGAGCTGCACAAGGGTGTCCGCCCTAATCGTTGTCTTACTTCCTGAGTGCTCGCTCCACTTGTGCCGAATTTTAGTGGGGATCTCATTCTCATCGTCAAGAAACTGGCGTAAGATACAGCCGAGGAGTAGCTCGCAGGGGTATGGATGACCTCGATGCATATAGAGAAACGCAGTTCTAGATGTGCCATCATCAGGCATAAGTCCCCGGGGAGCTTTACTCATTTTGTATTGGATCCTCGAACTTCCCAAGGCCGTCAGTACTAAAAAAAACACTACAATTGCTTCATACTTACACCAAAAAAGTCTTACCGGCACCCGCTAGAGTACTGCGTTAATAGACACGCCCGTTGAAGGATTTCTAGGGATGACTTACGTGGACCAGTACCCCAGAGTCTTTTTTCTTTCATGGAAAGCCAGTCTTTAAACACCTCTGACTCCAAAAACCTATTTCTAGCCTCTGGATGAGCTCGCTTGTTATCTTGGCTTCGAACGGGAGACTTCATAGCCTCTAGGGCATCCTGGGGGCAAAGCCAGTTTAGGATATCCGATCGGATCTTCGTAAGATCTCGAGTGGACTCATGGTAGTTATGAACTTGATCGCTAGGGTTAGTTCCTTTTGTCTCACTAATAGTACCTGGGCACCAATATAGGTAGTTCACTGACCATTCTGTGTTCCTATAAATGACGACATTAGCATCTCCAGTTGGTATTGCTGTAACTAGCTAGGTCAGAAGCTCACCGATGAGCGTGCTTTGGTGAACTGCCCCTGCCAAGACCCCGCTGTTTTCCTCGAGGCATCCTGCAGAGAGGTTCCCACTAACAGATTGGCGAATCATTCTCTCGGGTTATTAGAATACCTCGTCGAGTATCTTGCCTCGTGTTAGTTACTGAAATCCGAAGAGGAGGCTTCCTTGTCCACGGCACTAGAAAAGGGGGTATAGCAAAATGCCTAGGTATTCTAACAGAAGAACACTCTATTCAAAGAGGCACCGACAGGTTTAATACTTATTGGTGCTAGTGAATGGCCACGAGTTGCTTGGGTAAGGCAATCTCAAAGGAGACTCCAAGGCTCCTTACCTGAGTAGGTAGGTAGGTGTGCTGGAAATGGTGTTCTCCCATCTCTACCTACCTTTCGTGGGGGCCAAATTTCAGCCGCAATACCTCCAATAGATGCGGCGTTTCTTCTTTCCAAGTAGAGTTATATATGCTGGCAATCCTCATTGAATGACATTTGTCTAGGGAAGTAGATACCGAAACGTAAGCCAATAGTTATGTTGAAGGCGGGGAGGACATAAAAAGGACAATGTTATCCGATGCATGAAATTCTTAACGGAGGGTGGCTAGCTGGGATATGCAGGCAGTGTAGCAACGAGTGCGTTGACCAGGCTCGGAAATCGAATCAATTGGATGCTGCTCGGAGCCTCGCAGGATACTTGACTGCTTAGGAAGGGTTATAAGGGACAGGGAGATGTAGGAGATTTCTTCAAACGGATAGAATCCTTCACCAGATATCTAATCACTACTTTTACACGGTCACCAATACAGACTTTTCTCCAATATCTCGTTGCGATCCGACTATCCGACGTAAATCTATAACGGATATGAGTTCTATGATGGAGGACCCTTGTGGACTTGGGAAGCCTGTAACAGATCCCAAGGACGCAAAAGTCGAGTAAGATACCCTTGTTTTATCATACAAGCTCGGAAATAGATGGCCTAACTCTCGTGTTTATCATTGCAGCATTGTCTTTGTTCATGGCCTCAACGGCAACAGGATCACGACTTGGACATCTAATCCTAGCGACGAAAACCCAGACCCTGTTTTCTGGCCTAAAGATCTGCTTCCTTCTAAATGTCCCAATGCTCGAATTTTCTCGTACGGCTATAACGCCTCGATTGCCCATTTCTATCCCCTCTTCGGACCAAAGAATGTGCCCCCAACGATGAGCATTGGTAATCATTCATCGGCTCTACTAGATGACTTAGTTGGCGTCAGGAGCCGGACAGATAGTGTGAGGTTCACTTTTCTAGGCATTCCTGAACCACCCTAAGATGATTTTACTGTCAAGTGTATGCACACTAACAAGCATGATCTCGTAGAAAGACCGGCCTCTCATCTTCGTAGCCCATAGCCTTGGCGGTCTTGTCTGCGCTGATGCAGTTTCCAAGCAACTAGGGGTCGACAATGCCAAGAAAGACCTGGTAGCCAAAGTATGCGGGATGATCTTCCTCGGGACACCGTTTGCTGGCTCCAAGCAAGCGAGGTGGGCAGAGATAGCAATTAAGCTAATGTCTACCATCTCGAATACCAATGAGAACTTGGTCAAAGACTTAGAAGAGAGATCCAAGACTCTAGCTGAGATCAACAGCAACTTCACCCAGCTAGTTAAAGCACGAGATCGAACGCCCCACTGGATCGAGATTGCCTGCTACTTTGAGGGACTGCCGACGATTGGGAAAAGGAAGGGCTCAGCATTCATAGTAGACAAGGATTCGGCCACTCTACCGGGCATCGCACCCGTCTCCATCGAAAAGAATCATGTCAACATGCCCAAATTTGACGGAGAATACAGACCGGGGTTCATTAGCATCTCAGACAAGCTGTCTAGGTGGATCCAGGATCTTGATCGAAAAGATGATGAAGACAAACAGAAGGTTCGTCAGAAGTATATATTCTATAACGTGACTCAGTAATGGAATTGGATGGGAGGCTAACCATTCTATCCCTAGGCTGGTGGCATAAATATTGGCTCGACTAATTACCATGCCCCTATTACTAGGAACGATGGTGTTGTTGCCGCGACGATTTTTAGTACCCAAAAAGACGGCTTGAGGGTGACTGGGACTAAAAAAGTTGGTTCTCCTCCTTCATACCTATAATTCATCCTCGTGTGATGTATACCTATGTGTGGAAATTTATTAACCGTCATACAGACAGTCTACTACGGAAGTCAAAAGAACCGGTCTCGTTCGGACCAAAGCGAGAGTGACAATGAAGATTGAGGTTGTTAGAGGGCTGGTCTAATAGAAGGTCTAGTGGTTAGAGGTTTAGTCGTATTGGAGTTCGATCTATAGGAGACTTTTGATGGTTAGTCCCGTGATAGTTCCCGCATGTACGTCGCGGTCTTCGACAATCGAAATTCACAACTCTTTACACGACACCATCGTTTCCCTAGGTAGCTATTGGGTCTGTGTTATGCTAAAGATGGCCGTTGAGGGTTAGGTATGTCGCCAACGAAGGGTCCATTCACAATATATTCAGTTTAATATCTGCTACAAGAGCTATGTGACGATCCCAAAAGGTGTCATAGCCATTCTCTGTGGGACAGTCCCCTTAAATCTTTACTGCTCGTAATAAAATTGTAACTTTTGGGTCTAGAGAATTCCAAGCTAGAAGTGGAGGCTGTCGAAGAGCCAGTCGTAAGAAGTCTGGGTTGAGGAAGGGCTAGTCGGATCAGAATTCCATTCGTCATAGGCGCGCTCCATCGAGAGGAGTGGGCTTGATAGTAACTTGGTAGTTCTGAGACAATGTAGATTGGAGGTATCAAATCTTCAAGGATGTTAGCCCACAATAGCTATAAAGGTTAAGAAATTTCGACATTACTCGTCGAAGAAAATTGTATATTGGCGGCCGGTTCTGAGGAAGTGGGTGACCCCTGGATCCTCTTTTCAGTAGTTTATTGTAGGCGATTCCTTCTAACAAGTATAAAGATTGACAGGTAAACATCAAAAGGAATCACGGAAATCTTGCCCCAAGTAAACTCTAATGATACGAACATAGCTAATTAGATACTGGCCGTCTATGTCTCTATCGCAAGCATCAGTATGCCCATAAATGAGAGGATCCTGGATATAAGCCTACTAGCTTAGCCCTATAGTGAGCTTATAGCCGTAGCTGCATCATGTACGGGTAGCGCCAAAAAGTTCTACGCGATTCAGACGCTGCAGCCTCCCCTTTAGTCTAGCAAGCAAAGAGGTGGATCCTATAGAACATCACGCAAGCTGTCATTTAGGAACCCAGGGTTGTAAAACTAACTACGGCAATGTTGCTTGGTTGTATGGTTACTAGATAAACTCATCGCGAGAGGATTGTGTACGGGGACATAGTCATTGGACTAGACATGCCATAAGTTGCTCCCCTATGCACAATGGAAGAGGCCTCACAAACTAATGATGGATTGTGGATCCGACCATATCCACGACCAACACATCCCTTTGGCTCTAGCTCTCGATGGTTCGACCAGTAACATACCGTAACCGGTATTGTATTGATCGGGTAACAGGAAGCGCTCTCGACTATCCAGGCAGGCTACGTCAAATAGCTCAACATGATTGACCTGGATAACCCAACCTCGAAATTACAAATTGACGTCGTCGTGTCGTCGGAGTTTAAAGCAATAGCCTACATAGCCATAATTCACGCCAACTAAAAGTCACTATATTCTGCAAGGGAACCCCGTATCTGATGGTGCTTCCCACAGCCCCTAGACCCTAGACCCTTAAACATACCGAAAGGGGCTCACCAACGTCGCCCGATAGGACTCTAAGTCGGATACCCCCGAAAGCTTAGCTGGGCGGTCCTAGGTAATTCGATGCTCATTCTCGTCGTCTAAGTATTATCTAGTTGCTCTACAATCCACCCTTAGCGAAAATAGTTAGACTGCAAAAGTTTGCCACACAGTATAGAGATATAGGCATGTAGTTATTCAGAGCAACCTCTTCATCGCGGCATCCTCGCGTCGGAGAAAAAAAAAAGAATCTACATACGCTATCCCCTCACGAGTAACGTGAATACGAGACCGTCTGACCTCCTACATCGGAATACGGCACGCCACGCCGCGGGCGCGTTACACACGCGAAAGCCCCGTCGACGTGAAGTCGTATATAGCGCGTAAGGAACACCGAACGCTAGTAATATATATCGTCGTTGTATTAAGCATGTCCTCGAAGGAGCGGGCCTGCGTCTTGGTAGATTACGTAGACGTCTAGCTAGCTAGCATCCCGCTGTCTGAGGTATCGCACGTATGTGTCGACCGAACGGGCTTACGGGCCCACGGTCAACGCTTCTGGTCATATTGTCGTGATGTACAAATTGAAACAGGGTTGAGTCAGATAGCTACTACATACCACATACAGCACATCTTACTTGGTAGGTCATTCAGGTCATTGATGAAGAAAAAAAGAGGAGAGAGAGACAAAAAAACAAGCTTAATTTCCGACGGGGAAGGGAGTTTCCCTCCCCGTCGAGATAGATTCAGACACTGTCTAAGATAGATGCGAGGCATGGCGTAGCAATACAGTTCATGTCATGTAGAAGCACTGCGACGTAATGCTACACCACGTCGGTCACCCCTCGTAGTAGGGGCAAGCGGTCTAGGCGATGACATCGCGCATATACCTACTACCTAACGACCGGCTCGCCGGTCACGTCCGCAGCGAAAAAGCGCAGTGTCGCATGCAGCCGGGTAGGTTAGCCAAGCCAGCGCGCAAGCGGTAAGAAACGCAGTAAGAACATCGGTCTAGAGTTTCTTGAATTCGACTCGTCGAGAGAGGCCAGAAGCGAACGCTTTTTTTCCCCACGACTGCTGTTCACCCGGGGAGCGGCTCATGTCGGGCGAAGCAAAATTCCAGTCAGCATGGTCACATGGTCTGCTCGAAGGACCCGCGGAATGCTACTATTACTTGGAGCCCGACGGACGAAAGAGGTCTTGATTAGCAATGATTGCAAGCGTAGCAAAGCGTAAGGGAAAATATTGAGGCTCTTTGAGGGTCGGCAAAGAAAGCCCAGGCGCCAACTTTGGTATAGAGACCTGTCAACCTGAAAGCTGCCTAGGTAGCTACGCATGTCTCCCCAGTCTCTACCCTAGATAGGCATGTATCTCGGATGGGGCCTTGCTCATTGCAAGGAGCCGCGCGCATGGCATCCCCGACTATCTGCAAGACATCGAGCATGCCCCGGGTTGGCTGAAGGGGTGTGGCGATCTCCCGGATGATATTGATGCCGTGAACGGTATAATTACAAGAAAATGAGGTCGGCGATATCATATTACATAGCGTACGTACGTGGACCCAAAAGTTCCACCAGGTCTGAGTGTACGGTTCCACGAATGAGGACGCGGCGCCCAGGTATAACCGTCAAATCGACGGCGGCCCCAACTCGGTTGTTATTGTTGACAGTGCTGCTGAACTGGGCTCCGTCTTGGTCCATCTCGATTATTATGCGTCGCCCGCGCAGAGGCGGTACGGGATATAGTGGGATAGAAAGGTTGTGTAGAGGAATAAAATGCGTTATAGCGGAGCGCGGGGCGGTGAGGTGTGGAGCGATCCGGTAAAGATCGTCACGCAATGCGACCCTGAGGGCTGCTGAAAAGCTGCAGCCAAGCGTTGATCTCGCTTCTGCATGTAGAAACCAATTCACGTCACGACCGGAGAGGGAGAGGGGGAGAAGCCAGGGCAGTGGGGAGGGGATGAGGGACCTTTACTGGACTAAAATGAAATCTGACGAAATTATTCGGATTATCGGCGGAAGGTGATGACCCTGCCACTTGAGGCTCAACAACACGTGTTACGGGGGGCCGCCGGTCGACTCTAATCACCCTCTGATCCGAGATGGTGATGGGTCCACGGTGATGGTTGGAGGATATACGGGTCAAAGTCAGACTGGACTCCCCCCTGAAACGCCCTTGGCGAGTGTTTTCAGTATCATGCCATGATATCGAAGCAAATACCTGTAGGTCATCGTAGCGTGGAGCGAAATCTACTTGGTTATCGAGTGTATCGCCACGACATAGCGTGGACGGATTGAGGTGTGGGGGGACTTTTTTTAGTGACCTCGGCGCTGCTTTCATGACCGATATTACTGGAAGCTACCCTGTTCTGCCTGTTCTGCCTGGTGTCGGGGCCTAATTTGTGAGGGATACAACAACTCCTCTCTCTATTCTACCGAGCTCCACGTCAGCCACGCCGCATATGATCCTCAACCACGAACACAGTAGGTTAGACGCGGGAGTAGATCTTGCTTCGGCGATCTATATTTCTGACTGTTAAGGTCGACGGGATGTTGCATCATAAGCTAATATCGAATAAAGACAAGATTGTACATACAGTGTGGAGGTTTAGGAAAGAGGTTAGAGTGACAATTTAGGACGTGATGTTATAGACACTAGCCTCCTCCCAGCACGTGTCAGAAGTCCCCTTATAACTAGATAGGTAGGCTGGGTATGCAATCTCAAGATAAGAATAGTCCTTGCGATAATGATAGGCGAAGTTGGTTGGTGGTGTAGGTATCAGGTAGGGGCGAAGCTGGTTGAAACTGGAGACTACCTAGGTAACAAGGACCACTATGAAAAAAAGTCTGCCTACACTAGCAGAAGTAACTAGGCCCATAGTCTTTCGCCCTACGTGTGTGTAAGTGGTATGTACCTAACACAGACTACCTATAGTCAGGGGGGACAGTATCCCCACAGAGGTAAAAGGCTAAAAGCTAATACAGGACGGGAATTGTTAAGCGCATAGAGTATGATCCGGCGGCAACTAAGACGGGGCGGCGCGCGGAAACCAACTGGTCGGGTCAAGCACTATGGTACCCCGGAGCGCGGAATTAGCGGTAATGTAGGTGGTGTTTAGTGATCTCTGGAACGCGAAGGATTGACACGCCGCAATCGTTCACATGGGACCTACTAGCATAAAACCGTCATCTCTTGCATCTAATCGACTGCCAACCTCGGCAGCCCACATAACGATGGACGTCCTAGTAAGCCATACCACTACCGCCTATCGCCCAGGACCCATTAGAATCCATCGTCATGTTCCTTTGGTAATAAACTAATACATCCATCGTGAGTAGCAGAGTAATATCGATACTATAATTCGTCTAAAGTTGCAGCAGGGAGATTAAAAGCAGATTAAGGGTTGTCAAAAGTCTAGAATTACCGTATCGAGACATTCCCGCGTTTTTAGTATTTGTGGCTGCGATGATCGATCCGGCCAGCTGGGATTTTTCA